AATAGTCCTAAGACACAGCCTTGTGAAATTCCAGTCAATATTTGCTTGATTGTTGAGTATGCCGCTCCATGTGACACCCTAAATTCTTTTTCAGAAAGATATAGTTCCAGCAGTTGACAAGGCTAGATATAGCTCAAGGCTACCAATACAACTCGTATTCATATTTTTCAGGTGAGATGTGTTAGTCCAGTTGGAGATATCTTCAATAAATTTTAGATTAATGCACAATGTCGCTTGATCCATTACTCAACACCTTGAAGAAGTCGGTATTCAAACTTTACCATTGACAGCAAGTACCAATACTTATCATAATATCTCTAAAAATTAAAGATATTATTCAAGATAGAAAAGAAAACTAGTTATTTTCAAATAGGATAGGTAAAATGTGTTGACGTGAATTTAGGTAACGTCGTAATTCATTGTTCTTTGGCTGCTAAAGCTCCCACCAGTGTCGTGGTCGGCAGTAAGCGATCCCAGCGGTCCGCAATTAATCCGTCGAGCCGGAGAAGGCAATCCCGGGGCGGCCACCCTGCGGTGAATTGCTGCGGCATGCGAGCTCGGTCCGCCGGAATCCGCAAGATTCCACCACGACAGTTACGATAATTTGCTCTCTTCACGCCCTTTAAACCTAACCGGCCGTTTCCCCATTTGATATCTTCCTTTCTCGGTTCACCGTCTGCATTTCACCCGCGGCAACTTTATAATCCCCATCTAACATGTTCTTATGAGTTCTTAGTAACACCCAACATTCTCGGTAGTCATCGGGACCTATACTTAAGAATATATGATATTAATAATTTTCGAAAGATTATAACTTCTAAAAAGAATTTAGTAATTTGAAATCGAATAGTACATTCGTGTAAGTGCATTCGTGTAAAGACACGAATGTAGTTAATTGAATGTAATAATTAAGTGCAAAGCAAGCAAGCAAGCATTGAGGGTTGGGGTGTAGAAGGTCCTTTGAGCCCTTTACGGGGCCGCAACTAATCACGGATGGAGTTCGCGAGGGTTAACCCGGGCGCTGACATGGGCCACTCAATTACCGCCGCTTTAATTAGTCCGTGACGGCCCATTGCCAGCTCATTAATACAGGCGGGCGTCGGCGGCGTCGTCGGCGTCCGTGCAGGTAAATCACGGCGGCTCGTGTTCTAGTTCGCTCTCTCTTCCTCTTTCTGGCTCGATTTTCTCTCATTCTCTCCAAGGGCCCAGATGCAAACGTCTCTCGTGTCCCGGGCGCTTAATCGTCGAATTAATTTTAATTGCTGGCAGTTTCCGGTCTGCTCCGGGTCCTAGGCGGCGCCGCGGCGGACCTTATTTTAATTTACTATGCAACGGTTTGTTCTGGTTTCGTGGTGTAATATTTAAGAATGTAAGACTTGGTTGTCTTTCATTTCCGGACGAGTTTATATATATTTATTTGTGGTTTTCCTTTATTTAAAAAGTATGAATGTTTCTTTGTAGTAAAATGTCAAATTAAGGAGCGATTCGTTATGACGTGTGCGAGGGGTGGTGGGTGGTTGGCAAATTTGCAAAAATCACAGACGGTGAAATTGGATAAAGGAGTGAGTAATGATTCCGAAATTTCCAGTGACAGCTTTAATACGCACGAAGGGGATTTTGGTGGCGTGAATTTCGACCGAAACGATGGGCGGCGCAAGCCAACTTTGATCTTCCCGTGCGTTGCCGAATAAATTACGCGAGAGCAGAACCAAAAGAGAGAGAGACTCGCGCATAGGCTCTGATATTTACATTTAATTTTATCGGGAATTAAAACGTTTATTGGCGTATTTGTTTTCGAAAACTGGCAAACATACCGTTTCCATGAATATTTATCAATCAACGGTTTAATATATTTTATTGGCGGTCATAAATTCGAACGTAACATTTCAATTTCGTCGCCCCGAACACGCGTATAACTCTTCATTCGCTGTTAATACAGGTTTTAATTTTGCGATTTTACAATTTTTCAAATATTCTGACCATTTTAATTCAGTTAATAACGTATTCATGATAATTCTCAGAAATTCCTAAGTGGAAGAGTTAATAATAATTTAATTTATGCCGTGGTTTTAATGATTTCCGGACAGGAATAATGGCATCGCAGTTTGAAAAATAAATTACGAACGTCGATAAACGTCACACGGGAAACGATAAATTGGGTGCGCAACGAGAGAAATATGTTTAGAAAGCTGTCCGCCGTTATTCAATAATGCCCTCGGGGGCGTCAGAAAAAAGTGTATATTATCTGGGGGAATTTGCATGAAACGATAATAAATTATGTCGTCGAATATTCGGGCGCGTTTTGAATAAATATCATAAATTCGGGGGGCTTCGTACCACCACCACCGTAAATATTGAGGTAATCGGCAAACGTCAATCACAAATACCGCCAAAATGCATTTTTGCGACCTCGTTTTCGAACGTCCGGCATCAACGACACGCGAATGAAAAAAAAAACTAAATAAACGGAGAGAGCTCGCCCCCGAAAAAAGGAATACAAAAACCCTAACGAGAAAATCCGCATATGCTCCGCGATTTTTTCTGTATGAAGCTCGGTTTCCCATCGACTACCAATAAAATTTAAAAAAAAGAGATCAAATATAAACGACCAACTAAATTTCATCATAAATAATTACTCCGCAAAATTTTACATTTACACTGCTAATTAACACCTCAATAAAAAATTTGTTGATTAAGCGGATTATTTTACGCTGATTATTTAAATACTAAAATAAATTATCAATGTATTATTTTTCTTGATTTAAAATTTTTCTGTTTTGACGGGTATAGTATAGGGTTTCGGGGCGCAAGGATTTTAAATTACAACCGTGACGTGCACGTCAGAGGACAGGATAAGCCCGACAGGCGGGAAAATACGCAAAGTGAAATGCGAAAAAGTTCAAAGCACATACACGTACGAAACATCAAATGCAGGCGCGAATCGCTGCGAAAACTTGCTTATTTACCACCTTTCAACCCCCCCTCATAAGCCCCAAACTTCCCTTCACCCTTCAAAAATCCCCGAGCTTTTCCACACCGAAGGTTTGCATATGATGTAAAAGTAAACCAATCAACGTTTCCTTTTTATTAATCTTTTGAAGTCGCCGATAAATTCGTCCAATAAATTAATAAATAAATTATTTAAAAAAAATAACGATGTTTAATAGCATCTTCGTAACCTGTCTTCTTCAGGTTACACCGAAAGAGCATCACTGAAACCAACCACGTCCTTACAAAGCACTTTGTAACGACGTACATACACAGGGAAAGGGCGCCCATTCTTTTTCAAGGGATGAAACGAGCCCCGACACGTTATGTGTTTATGACGCGTTTGAGTTATTACGTTTTGTGCCTTTGCCGGTGCGGTGGAAACGCTTGTTCTGACAGCGCCGGGAAAAATCAAATTAAACGCTAAATAAATACACGTTCCAACGACGACGTCGACGCTCCAACGAGAAAACCCAACGAAATCACGTTCGATGTTGTTATACGTTTATACGAGGTTCAAAAAAAATTGAAAAATATTAAAAAAAAATCATTAATGTTAAAGTTTGAGTCATTGTATCATCATCAAGGTGGAGTTGTAATTATCTAAAATAATAATTAGAAGATTCAATCAATGATTGATTATTATATTTCACGTCTGGAGACGTATAGCTAAAAATTTGGGTCTAGTTTTAGTTCAATAAAAATATGCAACAAGTTAACACTGAATAGAATAACAAGTAAAACTAGAATTAACACTAGACCTAAAACTAGAAAGTATCAGGTTTAGCCGTGCGTCTGAAGATACACGGCTAATGTTTGTAGTTCTAGGTCGTGTTAGTTCTAGTTTTAGTTTAATAAGAATAATATAAATAATAAATAATCTGAAGGTGTTTTCCACAGGGTTAGTACCATTTTGACACACACCAATAAGCTTTTATGTTTTTTGGTATTTTTGAAATTCTTTCAAAAAACATCTAGATCAATATCTTATTTTTTTTATTGACTCTTCTACAGATCTTTTTAATCGGTAAAGCGTCTTTTCGTGCTAGTTCTCCTCTTAGTTTGCGATGGTAGCAGAAAATCAGGCAGCTTGAAGGCCTAAAATTTGGGAAATTCAAGGTAATTATTAGGAGTATTAAATATTTAGAAATAACATTGTTAGAGGAAAATAAATATTTGGTGTTTAATATTGGTTGTTGATTTGAAAAGATTTTATTATTGTTTCCGTTGCAACCAATAATAACGTAAAAACGATAAATAATATAAAGTGATGAAAACGTTAATATTTTATTAACCAAAGGCAATTCCCAGTGGATAATATTAGTACAATAATTTAAACTGTAATGGATGGGATTTTGTAATTCGCAATTTGGTTCGGATATAACAAACGTATAATTTAAAATAAAATCCCAGTTTTAATTTATTTAATACACTTTCCGATAAAACGCAATAAATTAAATTTAATAGCCGTTGACGTGAAATACGCCAAAATTCTCGCACATCGAAATATAATATTAAATAGCAAAGGGGAATTACCGTTGGGATGGCACAGGAACGTATTTACTGTGTATTTATGTAATCAGTTAATCAAAAATCAGGGGGTTAAAACGAAAACGGGCTGTTTTGGACTAATGCGCCAAAAAAGCTTTATTCAATTTGTGACAAATAGATATTCATTAATAAATATGAGAATGCATTGCGCGCTGGGTGTCCGGGGGAAATTAATATATCGCCCGCGTAATAAATATAAAGCGCATTAATTTGTTTAAATTTTAATGCGTCGCTACTCCAAAACCGAAACGATAAATAACGAGGACGGCGGTAATGCGGCGAAATAAAATTTATCGCTTACAGTTTTCCATTTTCAACCCCTATTCGGTAATTATTTCGCACCCTAATTAATAACTAATAAATTTTTGTTTACCGCGTGCCGTTTTCAATAAACGTCGTTGACCCAGATTAATAAATAAATACGAACGTTATTATTACGAAATAACAAAACGCGACAAAATCTCGCTGACTGCAAAACTTTTTCGCAACGGATCGATGAATTTGCAAATTACATAGAAAAACCTCAGTCCTTCGTATTTCAGCCACATATTCACCATCTGTTTCGAAAAGAGAGCCGAATTTCGTACGCGAGATAAATGGTGCAGCACAAAAGTGTTCATTTCCATTGCCACGATGGAAATGTGGGAAAAGGAGCTGTACAGAAATTTCAAGAACCCGAAGGAATGACTACGATTGATTTGAAAAATGTTCATGGATACGAGGAATGCCAAAAAGGTAATTTAAAAAAAATAAACTTAATTTATTATAGATACTAAATCAAATTCCAGAAAATACACCCCCAATCATTTTAATAAATCCAATCCGAAAATACATTATTAAATATTTAATTATAACGTTTTTTATCATTTTTGCAACGGTAACGATATTTACAATAATCACGCCACAAAATCCAGTTTCGAGAACGTTCAAAAATGTTTTCCACATTCAATCAAATTCAGAACCGAACATATCGCTTTCTGAAATAACGAAACTCATCTCGATGTACACCGAAAATATCGATCGCTGCATAACATCGGGGAAAGTTGATGATTGTTGCGCTATTTTCGCTGAACTCTATGACGGTTTTACCATTGAAGCGTGTAATATCGATACGATCAGATCGTTATTAGGCAATGCAACGAAATGGGACAATGACCAAACTGAATCTTTTTCCATAAACAATAACATTACTTTAGATGATTCTGATGATGCTGATTTTATCGATTCGGACACAAAAATCTCTGATATGTTAAAACCGGTTATTGAAGACGATAGTTTGAATTTAGAAGGTGATGATATCGCGATTATTTTAAGCAATGATAAGATTATCAAAAAAGAAAAGTATTTATACAAAAGAGAAATTGATTTAAATTTTATGCAAAACCAGATAGAGACTCCTCAAATTAATTTTATTGGAGATAAAGAAAGGAAATTTAAAATTGTTGATTCAAAAACGGCACAAGAAAATATCCCAAACACCATCGTAACATCAACTCAATGCGTCCCATTAACCCCTCATCCATCATATCATTACGATCCAAATCCGAGATACGCAGAACTCCTCCCAATAAATAGAAATCCTTATATTATGCCTCCAACTTTTCCATACTCTATGAATCCTTATTTTTCCATCCCACCAATTCCACCAACTCAATACCAGTACAACCCATTTTACATCCCTCAAAACCCTATACCCACCAGCATCCAAGCAACGAATCCCTCCGGACAATTTTTCATTTGCAACCCAGTCCCAGCACCATCAACGAACCATCTAACTTCAATCCCGGGGGTGGAAGTACGACAAAGCTCGGGGTTAAGTCTTCAAGATTTAGTTGATGATGTTGCCGAACCCCACAGCAACAAAACAAGAAGCTCAGATTTATGTCCATCCGGCAAGGTTCTTTGTGGCGATGAATTAAAATGCATCAAAGAGTTCAGAGTATGCGATAATAGAGTTGATTGTAAAGATGGTAGCGATGAAGTTGGTTGTTCTTGTACTGATCGAGTTGGACCGTCAAGAATGTGCGACGGTTATTATGATTGTCCCAATGGAGAAGACGAATGGAATTGTTTTGGGTGTAGAAAGAACACGTTTAGTTGCGATGATTGGAATGATGATCGAAGGGTTACTTGCATCCCAATCGAGCAAAGGTGTGATGGCATCGTTCAATGCAGAACGGGGAAAGACGAAGATGATTGTGCGATTTTATCAGAAAATTTCGGAAAAACTTTGGTGAGTTTTCATAATAACTAATAACACATTTTAATTTATCGTTTTAGCCAATGTATAAAATTTCGAATTCTGCTGGGTTCCTTTACAAAAATTACAAAGGTGTTTGGTACCCAGCTTGTTCTAATAGTGAGATATGGGCGATTAGTGCTTGCGATAAAGAATCTGGTCCAAACATTTTGTAACATTCTTCATTAGTTTTTAATACATAATACTTAAAAAAATTTTTTAGATCTCCAATAACCCACATGGTTCCAACTCATCATAATTACGAAGGCCAATACATAAATCTAATTAATAAAGAAGTCGATTTAGTAGATTCTTGCATTCCAGGATTTGCAGTTTACGTCCAATGTCCATCACCAATTTGCGGTAAAAGAACTATGGGGAAACGGCCTTTTCGCTCAGAAGAAGATGATGATGATAGCCATGAAGATTCAATATCAAGATTTCGACCTCGTCATCAAAATAATCAATCATCAAAGTCATTAACATCGAGCTTAAATGAATCTTTATCTGAAATATTAGGCGTAGTTGGGGGAAGTCCAAGTCGACCAGCAGCTTGGCCGTGGGTCATTTCAATGTATCGCAACGGTTTCTTCCATTGCGGAGGTGTTGTAATAAGTGAATCTTGGATTTTAACAGCTGCTCATTGCGTAGATAAATACGCTAAATATTATTTTGAAATTGAAGCGGGGATTTTAAGGAGACTATCGTTTTCACCGATGCAACAAACTCGATTTGTTACTCGAGTTCTCATCCACGGTGCTTATGATCGGGCGGTATTAAAGAATGATTTGGCGTTAATTAAAATCGATACACCTCTAAAATTCAATAGATATGTTCGTCCAATTTGTTTACCATCGGAACATACTGCAGGAAGAAATTATTTGGAAGCACCACCACCCGGAACTCTATGCACCGCCATCGGATGGGGAGCCACTTTTGAACACGGACCAGATCGTAACAAAAATCTCTTTAATAATAAACAATTTTCATTTAAAAATCTTTTTTAGCTGACCATTTAAGAGAAGTCGAGCTCCCAGTTTTAAAACACTGCAAATACCCCGATGATGAAAGCGGACAAGAAATTTGTGCCGGCTTCGTGGAAGGAGGAAAAGATGCTTGTCAAGGTGACAGCGGAGGTCCTTTTATGTGCCGAAATCCAAACTCTCCAGATCAATGGTACTTAGCTGGTATAGTTAGTCACGGAGATGGATGCGCAAGACCTAACGAACCGGGGGTTTACACAAGAGTTTCATTATACATAGATTGGATTTTTGAAAATATCCGATCAAATCTTCATTTACTAAACATCCCCTTATTAAAATGTCCAGGATACGAATGCAAAGCTACGAAAAAATGCATACCAAGAAAAAACCATTGCGATAAAATGGTGGATTGCTTGCTGGGCGACGACGAACGCCAATGCAATCCTTCGAAAAATCCCGAATTATTCGGGCAAGCGATGAGCCGCATGATATTGCAACACAACTCGAAAAGCGAAGTTAATAAATTAAGCGCTGCCGAAGACACAACGCTCGGCTCGACTACATTAATAACAACGACCACAGAAACTCCAGTAGCGTCCGCCGTTGGGGTACAAGATCCTATCTCTACATTTAAAATTGAAACCAGCCAAACCGAAACCGGATTATTTTCAACTGTATTCGAATCTTTTCGTAGTACTTTAAATACGGATGAGAATCTTTTTAGCAATACAGAAATTACAACAAATAATGCAATTACAACTGAAAGTATCATTGAAGATGTAACCACCGATACAAATGATAAAAATTTGACGTCAAAGGAGAAATATTTTAGATGTTCCGAGTAAGATTTTTTTTAATTGTTATATTAGAAAAATTTGGTTCATTACCATAATTTATGTCATGTTACTACCAAATTAAGCGGTTCGATTCGATCAACAATGTATAACAGTGTACTTATATTGTATTGTAACATAAATACTTTGTTTATTGGAGTCCCATAGGTTTGCTTTGCATTTTGATATGCCCGAATTAATCTACTTAACTAAAATCGCTTGCGGATAAGATTCTGCATCGATTTTATATCACTAGAGATTGAACAGCTTGACACAACTTTTGGCAGTTTATAATAGTAGAGGTCATTGACCTTCGTAAACAAAACTAACCTTACCCAATCTTTTTTCACCTGGAGGTCAATCCATTCTGTTCTAGGGTATGGCATTTAGTACGCAACTTCACTCTTCAAAATGAAATGATCTGTAAAAGAAACGCTGTTTACATACTATCCTGATTAAGACTATTTTATCAAAATATTGCATTTATAATTTTCTTTATTATAGCATGCTACAACTAATTCCTTATACAAGAAGATGTGATAAATATATTGATTGCGAAGATGGAACTGATGAAATGAATTGTACTTGTGTAGACTATTTACATTCCTTTTCTAACGAATCAATATGCGATGGAATAAATGATTGCGCCGATTTTTCCGATGAACAAGGTTGCGGTAAGATTTGTTTTAATAAAAATTTGGAAATACACAATAAATGATGCAATAAAATATAAAATTATATCGATTTGGACACGCTGTTTGGCTCGGCAATTACGAATTATTGCCCATAGGCTATTATAGTATTCATGCAAAACGTAAATTGTCAGCTTACGGTTGGAATGTTTCGGTGTGAATTTAATAAAATTGGTTTTGCTTTATTCCGATAATACGTTTATTTGGGGCTGAACGAATAAACAAATTATCGTGATTCAAACAGCGTTTACTACCAAAAGTTTTTTTTTAATGTTTATTTAACACAAAATCAATTTTGGTTTAGGTGAAATGTGCGGACCGAATGAATTTCGTTGTCGAGTATCGTCGACGTGTGTCGAGGCCAGAAAAAAGTGCGATTCCATCCCGGACTGTCCGCATAACGAAGACGAATGGGACTGCTGTAAGGCTGAAATAAAAGCCGACCCGGCGTAATAACGGAAATTTATATATCAATTTGCATTTCCAGTCGCCCTAACGGACGCCAACGTTCTCCTATTAGACGAAGATTTACGCCCCCATTTGAATACTAAGGGCATCGTCACTTTTTACCAGAAGGGCCGGCAAACCTGGACGCCAATCTGTTTCGATGAGAACAACGAAGAATCCGAAGAAGAATCCATCGCTTCACAAATTTGTCTTATGTTAGGTCTAAACGATTACATTGTTTATCGGCAAACCCAAGTCGAAGAGAAACCTATGCAAATTATAAATGCAAACGGCGATTTACTTGGGGAAAAAACCGAAATTAACGATACAAAGTTTTGTGATGGTTTTTATTTGAGATGTGCCGATGATACGATTTCTGGTGCAGATCTTGAGTCTGTCGCCGATATCACAAACGACTTGTTCTCGATGGCATGGAATGTGGCAGTTTATGCAGATGGCGAATATAAATGCACTGGCATTCTACTGACTATGAAGTGGGTACTAACGTCGGTTAATTGCTTCCACGGAATCACCAAGTAAGCTCATCTTTTATTTATTTCTCGAATACTTATTGTCAGCAAAAGATTTATACTGTATTTTCTAGGGCTCACTCCTATTACGTAACCGTTTTAGCAGGAATTGGAAGATCTCTTTTGAATATTCAAGGACCGCATCAACAAGAGCGATTAGTAGTTTATTCCACCATAATCTTGTATTCAGATGGTGTCATGTTGAAAGTGGACAAGAAATTTGATTTTACACGATACGTTCGACCTTTAAGCATACCAACAATGTATTAATTATTTACATTTAATTTTTATAACTAAAAAAATTTTTGTAGAAGAGAAATTTCAAAAATATCGCACCATAAATGTGTGGCAGTTGGAAGAGGTCAAAATAGAATGGAAACGGTGCTTCTCCACATGACAAATAATTGTACATCTAATTCAAGGTGTTTCAAAAGAATTTCACCAATTAAAGAAAATTGTGAAAAATTTCATTGGAGTGGAGTCATCGTTTGCGAATCAAAATCAGCCCTCTACCCAATATCAATATATCAAGAACTATTAGGTTCATGCGGTTTTACTCATTCTTCTCCATTTACAGCCATATCGTTATACAAAACTGCGATTAACAAAATTATTGAAGATCCAAGCGACGTCATTGTATTTCCTCCAATTTGCGATGGATTCCGATGTTCTTTAGGAAATTGTATCGATACAAAAAAACTTTGCGATGGAATCGAAGATTGTCGATCGGGAGAAGACGAACAGGAACCAATGTGTTCAGGATTATCGTTTTTAAAAGACGAAGAAAAACAGTGTGACTCACTAAGTTTAAAATGTAATAACGGCAAATGTGTCCGGAAATCGGTTTATTGCGATAGAAATAACGATTGTGGCGATTACTCCGATGAACCGGACATTTGTAATTGCTTCAACTACTTAAATTCAACTCAACCGGATAAAGTTTGCGATGGAATTGTTAATTGCGAAGATAAAAGCGATGAAAATCCTGCTATTTGTAGGTGTACCGAGAAATTATTTAAATGCAATAATGAATGTGTACCATTAGAAATGGTCTGCGATGAAGAAAAGGATTGTTCTGATGGAGCAGATGAACAAAATTGTATATCTTTAAGAAGAGTGAGAAAAAAGTACATTTAAATTATAGTTTTTGGGTAATTGTTTCATATCGATTTCCATTTTTAGTGAATCAAGCGTTCAGGGAGAAGTTACAATACGAACTAAAGGAATTTGGCATTCAGGTTGTTTCTCTAGGAACATGACCAAAGAAGAGCTTACAGAAATATGTCAGAATTTAGGATTTTCAAATAGTACAGGTTCTTATGAGAAATATCCAAGCGAAGCTGTGGAAAAACTTTCTCCTTCACCTATTTCTAACCGATTTGATATAGTTTGGTTACATTTTAATCCTAAACTTAGGTTATCATTAAGAACTGGCCGTGATGGGTTAATTCGTTTTGATGAAACTAAGAAATGTCCAAGATTATACATCCAGTGTAGCTTAATTAACAATTAAAATGGAATCTTTGTTTGTATTTAATCGCCTTTTACTTTTCTTACCTATTTTAAATTTTTGACGTTAACACTCACTTTATAGGTTACTTAATTTCATCAACACTACAGATTACTTACCGATACCATTTTAAAAATTTGATGCGACATCTATTAAATAGATGTCAAATTATATACTTAATCAATCTAAATACTATTTACTAATTTAAAATTAAAAATAAGTTATGTTTAATGTAATTTAAAATTTAATTTTTTTTATTTTTGATAAATAAAAATTTTAAATAATCTTAAAATTGTTGCAGTTTCCTGTAATCCCAATTAAATACCACACCGTAGCATTTGACGTCTCAAAACATTTAGAGGTTAGTTTGTCATAACCTATTTCTCACCACGTTTTTTATCATTAATTCACTTTTAATCCAATAAAAATGGAATATATGCAAGAAATTCAACCTGAAAACATAAAAGGACAAATGTAAGAATATTATTCCAAATCAATAAATAATTTATTAATAAAAATAAATTTTTTCAATTTATTAGATTATGTTGCGAATGTGGAACAGCAATCGATCCAAACCCGACAAATATGTGCGTAGGTTGTTTAAGAACCCACGTGGATATAACCCAAGACATTCCAAAGCAATCGACCTTGTATTTTTGCCGTGGTTGTGAAAGATACCTTCAACCTCCAGCAGAATGGGTTCATTGTGCTTTAGAATCAAAAGAACTCATGACAATTTGTTTAAAAAAGTTAAAAGGTCTTAATAAGGTTAAACTTATTGATGCTACATTTATTTGGACGGAACCCCATTCGAAACGGATTAAAATAAAATTAACAGTTCAAGCTGAAGTTATTGGAAAAGCTGTTTTGCAACAAGAATTTGTTGTTGAATTTACTGTAAATCATCAAATGTGCGATAATTGTCATCGTTCGGAAGCACAAGATTATTGGCGTGCTATGGTTCAAGTTCGACAAAAGAGCGAGAATAAGAAAACGTTTTTTTATTTGGAACAATTAATTTTAAAACATAAAGCGCAAGAAAATACTTTGGGAATTAAACCGATTCATGAAGGAATCGATTTTTATTATGCAACGGAAGGTCATGCTCGAAAAATGGTTGAGTTTATTAATTCTGTACTTCCTTGTAAATATCAACATTCAAAAAAGTTAATTTCTCATGATATTCATTCGAATGTTTATAATTACAAATTTTCTTATTCCGTTGAAATTGTTCCCATTTCAAAAGACAGTGTTGTTTGTTTACCAAAGAAATTAACACAACAATTAGGTGGAATCTCTCCAATTTGTTTGGTCTATCGGGTTACAAATACTGTTCATTTAATTGATCCAGCTAACGCACAAAGTAAATTTGTATTAATTATATTAACAATTATTATATTAATTTTTTTTTAGTTGCTGAAATAAATAGTACAATTTATTGGCGATATCCATTCAATTCGATTTGCAATCCAAGACAATTAACAGAATTTATTGTAATGGATATTGAACCTATTTTGGAAAAAGATAAAAAATATTTTCCTGGTCAAGGAGCAATATCAACTAAGCATGTCCCTGCTGATGCTTGGGTCGTTAAAGCTTCCGATTATGGGATTGTTTCTGATACAATTCATACTCGCACTCATTTGGGGCATGTTTTACGAGCTGGAGATTCGGTTTTGGGGTAAAATTAATTAAAAAATTAATAGAAATAGCATTTTAATCATCGTTTTAGTTACAACTTACAAGATTCGAATGTAAATGACAACAATTTCGATAAATTAGACTCAAAAATGATTCCAGATGTAATATTGGTTAAGAAATTTTATCCCGATAAGAAAAAGAAGCAAAGAATTTGGAAGTTGAAACATATTACAATGAATGACGAGAATCCGTTTCAAATCGATAGGGATAATAGGTTTTCATTTTTTGTTATTATTTTTGTATTGTGTATTATTTTTAAATTTCGTAGGGATTATGATGAATTTTTGGATGAACTTGAACAAGATCCGGCTTTAAGACAGAATGTTCATATTTTTAAAGATTCCACAAAAGTAATTCCAATTGATAGAGATGATATGAGTGAAGAAAACGATGGAAATGGGATTACACTCCAAGAAATGTTGGATGATTTGGTTATTGATGATGTTGAAATGGGGGAATAAATTTATTCTTTAATAAATTAAAGTTTATTTTATCTTTAAATCATTTTTATTAAGTTTATAAAATGTTCCTTACAATAGCTGCGAAACGTCAACTGTTAAGTATGTTGGAACTCGCGAACACACTTGTTTTGCAATTAATATTCAGCTGAATTGCCTAATAGACCCCATATATAACCCATAGTTGTAAAAACTCAAAATTGCTTAACTAATTTGTGTTGTACTTAGTGTTAATTCACGGGTGGTGATATATATTGCTTCTCTAAATATTGTGTCTTGTTTTTATACCAGGAATTTCATATAACTCGCAATATATGAATACAGCAACCATGATTACGAAACTACTGTGCATTGTTGCATTGTCCCACATAAAATGCAACATAGCTTAATAATACAGGCATTAGGTAGTACTGCAAAGTAAAAGTTTTCTTTGGAAAAAGGTGACGTTCTTATGATAACCCTCAGTTTTTGGCCGTCTTAAGTCACTCACGGCTAAACACGAATGTTTCTAGGTCTAGTGATAGTTCTACTTTTCGTTCAATAAAAATATACCACAATCTTACGCTGAATAACAATTAACTAACACTAGATCTAGAAACATTCGGATTTAACCCTACGTCCCTCAAGACGGCTAAATACAAATGATTCTAGGTCTTGTGTTAGTTCTAGTGATAGTGCTGGTGCAACACTAGAACTAATACTAGAACTAGAAACATTCGGGTTTAGCCGCACGTCTCTCAAGACCGCAAATGATTCTAGGTCTTGTGTTAGTTCTAGTGATAGTGCTAGTGCAAAACTAGAACTAATACTAGAACTAGAAACATTCGGGTTTAGCCGCACGTCTCTCAAGACGGCTAAATCCGAATGGTTCTAGGTCTTCTGATAGCTCTAGTGATAGTGCTAGTGAAAAACTAGAACTAACACTAGACCTAGAACTGGAAAGTATCGGGTTTAGTTCAATAAAAATATGCAACACTAGCTTTCATTGTCACTTTCAGTGCACTAAAGCTAGCTTTTTGGACCTTACCAAGGCCACTCAGTTTTTTTTTTGTTTGTCACTCAGTTTTAATTTGCAAATTATATGCGTACAATATAGCTCCAGAAGCGTGTAAATCTTACATGATCATATCTTACATGCAGAAAACATGTGAAATTTAATTTTGCTATGTCTAATCCTGGAAGTATCACGAGTGGTGTTCCCCAGGGTTCAATTTTATATAAATCAGGAATGGAAGCCGCAGTTTTACAAAATTTAATGTTCATATCGGCAAAGCATTGACTTACTAGTAATAATTACACATGGACAGAGTGGTGAGTCTTTAAATTCGAAGAAGGGAATCAGATTTCTTGGTGTCCATGTGGATCCTAGACTTACATGGAACTTCCATGGGGAAGTTTTAGCTTCTCGTTTGAATTCTACTGTCTTTCTTTTGAGGCGTCCCTCGGAGTTTTCTTTTATTGAAGTACTGCGCATGTATACATGTATATTTTTGACGAATGTATACCTGTGAGATTTTAACGAATAAATTATTATTATTATACAATTTCCAAGAAGTCGATGCGCGAAAATAACCTTTTACTACGAACTGAATCCTTTATAATATTTGTTTCATAATCAAGAATAAACGAGAATGAAATTGGTAAAAAATTGAATACATATATATTTTAAATGAATTTATGCCTTTCTAATGAAAATTTCTATTTTATTCTTTTTCTTCATAGACCATATGGATAGTGTGGCGACCAAGAACGAGTCCCCCTAACTGCACAAATAAATTAAATCGGTGCTGCGTTTACGAAATGAACGGCCATCGAATAGAACCACACAACCATTTTCAAATGTTGAACAGTTATCCGCGCGTAAATAGGGCAAACGAAACACCGCGCGTAAAATGTGCCGTTGCTGTGGCCGTTTCCGCTTCATCGCATTCTGCAGTCTCAAACAATAAATTTAAAACATTTAAAAATAATTCTTTAAAGTAAATGTATTTTTTTTTATTTATATAGTTACTTTTACCTACATTTGCCTCTCCCGCGTCATCGTGGTAACCAAGAGTAGCAACAATCTCGATTAACATTTTATTAGCGACGCTCATTTACGGGCCTCGCCGCTGTCTTAAGGCGTTGGAGCTCCTCCTTCGCGGCCATCCGATGAGGAGAGCATATTGGGCGGACAACGACCCAAGAAAACCGTTTCGCGTTGCTTGGAATGTTGTCTCTTTCAGAATGCACCACCATACGGCCCGATTTTGTCTAAAAACTATATTATTAGTAACAAATTTTTCGTAACCTTAATTTTCAATTAGGACTGACAATGAGATCAAAGAAACCTCACGGCCTTGATACACGAATAATTATTTTAATTGTGTCACCGTTTTGTTATAAGTTTTCTTTAATAAAATTCTAAAGAAAAGATGTTTTATTATCGAGAAAGTACAATAGTTAATTTTAGATTGAGGATTTCTCTTTTAGTTTTTCATTAAAAGATGATTGGAAATTGTAGGATAAGTTTTAATAAAAATATTTAAAAAGAAAAATAAGGAAAAAGTAGATAAGAATTTCCACGAATGTAAAGCGCCCGGACCAGTTTATAAAAACTTCGACATTTTTCTTTGCTCTGCGGCCAGGTAAGCGATTTTGAGAAAGTCCACAAAGCGCAAAACAGCACCAGCAGGTGATTTCACTCCGAACGGCGTCGAACGTGGTCAATGGTATGTCCTGAAGAACCATTGTGAACGTGATAAAAAGATACGTGACCGTTGAATGTTGCTCCAAAGTCGAATTTTCTAGAAAAAAAAATCTAGAAGAAATTAAACAAAAATTATAGCCTTACTTAATTGGATTATCGCTCGGCTTCGGTGGTTTGACCCCTTTAGTTTTTGGTGCAAGAAACGCCTAAGAAATGAAAAATCTAAGAAGCAATTAACTTTTGAAAAAAGGATTAATTTTTAAAAAATTTGCCATGAAAAGATATTAATTTAGAAATATCTCAAAAAATTAATCACTTCACTTTTCTTTTCTAATTTCATGTTATAGATTATGAACTAATATTTCAAGGATCTTAAAAAAATCTGAATACTTCTTGGCTTATTCCCAAGTGTTAACTTAATGGTAATAAGGACATAAGTAAACATTTAATTAAAATTAATATATTGATCCCTCACAATCTTGATTATTGTTTTAGATTCATGGTAAATACTTTTTTGACTTCCTTCCATTTAAGTTATGAAATCAATAGTGAAACAAAGAATTGTAATAGATCTATAAGTTAAGGAGTTAGTTTTGAGTGAACCAGTTATCAGAAGAATTGCTTTGGCTTTTGAGCTGATCGTTAGATAAGCCACGTAAACGTTGGTTTAATTTTTGTTGAATATTACTCAATTAAGCCGAGGTTGCTTGCAGACTAGGTTCTGCAAGTGATATGATGTTAAAACAAAGCTGGACGATGCATTGCAACATCCCAGCAGATATAAACCTGGACTGATTGAAAATGTGAATGTTTAATTATTAATTTGTTAATTGGAAAATTCTTCTTTTATATTTTAGGTGGTTCAAGGTTGCCTTGTAATGTGACCCTCTCTTTTTAATTTTTCTTTATTACATAAATGTTTTAAATTTTTCTAAATTCAACAATGTCGTCAATTACCTTTACTACCGGATTCTTTATTTTGTCAAAACGGTATCTATCAAGGTGTCGTTGTCGTCGTCTTCAAGTGAGGAAATCCACGGAATAATAATAATGGACACCGCTGTCGTATCAATGACTTCAAGTCCGCACAAATAGCGATCGCCACAGGAACCCGTTCCTCCTTGTCCCCACTACAGGGCTACCACTCTCTTACACGCACAACAGGTAAGATGCCACCTGAGCCAGCAGTCTTGAGCTACCAACCGTTAGAGGTAGAGGAGTTAAATCGGTGTTTTTCCAAAGTGTTCTCTTCTGTGAACTGACCTTTTACTTAGTTGTTTTTTTCTGTCTTGTGTAAATTTAAGTTTCGCAGCTGTGGAGGAATTCATGTGGTCTTCCATTGAGAAGAGGAGTTGAGAGAAGACTGAAGAAATCGAAAACCAACGTAAGTAGACGACGTAGGTTTGTTTTTTTGCTGTAAAGGCGTTTCAGTTTGTTGCTTTCTTTGCGAAGAAGAACTAAAACTGTCTTCTACAGTTCAACTCGACTTCTTCTCTTCGCTATAGAAGGAGATGAATCCTTATTTAGAGGAAACAGTAAATTATATAGTTTTGGATATGTTTTTTTTTGTAAGAATTTGAGTTTATCTCAAATCGAAGTAAATAGGTGTAATGATTAGAACCATAATCTTGTGAAAGTTACCCACATAACAGATAAAAACCCCTATATATTTTTTAAATCTTCTTCGTAAAATCTAATTGTTAGGCATTCTTGGTTTATAAATGAAATTGTTAATAGAAAAATATGATTTTCAATGTCCTATTTCAGGTAAACGTAAATGTATGCTTATGAAACCGATGAATAAGAATGAGAATTCCGCAGAAACGCGGCGCACCTTTCGGCCAACCTATGTCTTGTAAAACGGCTCCGTGAGCGCGCTGTGGCCTACAAAAAGGTCTTCGATTAAAATTCCAATCGTTTTCATGTTGACAATACGTTTTCAATTAAAAACACATATTTAAGATGAATGATTCAATTAGGCATAAATAATTAAGACTTTAAATCTTCTTATTGGAGTTAAGGTTATGTAATGATACATTTTTGTTATCAAAATATAGCTATTACCTTTCTTTTAATAAACGTGTTTTATACGCATCCATAAACCGTAATTGCAAACTGCTTACTTCATTATGTTACGTAACAAGCTTAGATATTAAATCTTCTTATGACAGAAAATCTTATCCGATTAAAATTCCTATGTATCTATAATTTCTCTTTTCATATCTCATACTATTTCTTCTAAATATGGTGAGCCCGTTGTGTATAAAATGATTTATTCTTGGTGGTTGGTATTCAGCCATATAGCGTAACCTTTTCCGGTTGCTTGAATTCAAACGGAACTGGCGTGCAAATTGAATTAAATATAAAGTAACCCAGAAAATATTAAAATAAGGACCCGACGCTGTAATAAAACTGCTTAACGTGAGAATTTCAAAAAGAATTTTGAACCAGGTGGTGGTAATTAGCTCCAAAATAAAATTCTTTTGAAAAACCTTGAAGAATAGCACCATTTGGAGATTTTAGAGTCTGTGCAGGTAGATGAGAATGCAACCGGAACAACAAAACATCTTTAGAGGGCACGAAATGGTGCTTCTTTTCCTTTTTTCTTAAGAATTATTTCATTTCTTTTTTGGTGAAATTTTTTATGAATTGCGTAATATCTAAAAAAAAAATAGTGAATTAGTCAACTTATTCTCTGTTTATCAGATGCAATTGACTGCATTCTTCGAATAGTCGAATGCAACTAGACAAGGACATCGACTTTACCAAACCAGCACTTACTGAGAGTGGGCTTCGGGCGTTTGTATAACTCGGAAACGATTGTGTGATTTATCAAGGAAAATATTTCTCATTCTTTATTAATTAAATATGAATTATTTTTTAAGTAAAAAAATCTTGATTAATTTCAATAAATATTCTGTGTAATTAGAATAAGTATTGTGAATTCATCTGAGAAAAATTCTAACGAAACCCGTGTGTTGTTTATAACGAGCATGCCACAATTCCACGTGAAAATTACTAAATAATTACTTTATTCGAAACAAAAATTTATGCTGTGTCGTTAGACCGGTTTTAAAAATAAAAATATCCTTGATTTTTGAGAAAATTCTCCACTCACTTTAATTATTTATTATCACAAAAATTTAAAATAGAATTTATTAGGTGCTAATACTTGATTGGGTTAGATTGATATCTTCAATTCTCTCAGATATCTTTTTCTTCACTTGAATATGTTTGAATTTGCTTGTTTGTTATCAACATTCAACACCATTTCATTCTGACCTTAGCTAAAGAATTTAGACTTATCTTCCAAAAGAAACCTGAACTAGAGGATAATTATGTCAGAACTTGTATTTAATATATTAATATTTACCCTTAGAAATCATGTTTATATATGACTTTTCCAAGGCTTGAAATGGTACTTAACTTTACAAATTACACACTACTTACTACATACTAAGAGCATACAAATTAAGTAATGCAGGATGGGAATGGCCTTCTATAAGCAACAATCGTAACTATTAGAAATGAATAAGAAATGCTCAGAAAAACAACACTTATAAAATTTGATAACTTCAATTAAGACACAAACTTTCTAGCGTGTTAAATTAACCCTCCTTTTGCTGTTTGCAGTATTGCTCGTTATCAGTTTGTACTTGTGCTAGAACATACGGCTAAACCCGAATGACTCTAGCTCTAAATTTAGGGTTAATTCTAGTGCTAGTAGTAGTTTTAGTTGTTATTCAGTGTTATATTTAATATTTTTATTATAGTAAATCTAGAACTTACACTAGACCTAGAACTAGAAACACGTGCGTCTCAAGAGACATGGGGGGTTTGGCCTGTACTAGGATCAGCTTCCACTCTCTTCTATCTCGTGTCTGGAATTTCAGTTTCTAACTCCCAGCATTTTTAGACTTTCTTTCACTAGGTCCTTATATCTGCTTCTAGATCTGTCTCGCTTGCGGGTTCCAAAAACTGTTTGGCCGAACATTTGCTTTCTAGATGGCCGAGTTACCTTAACCTATTAATTTTGCAGCCCAACAAGTTTACGTCATTTTTGTCGTGTCCATGTTTCTGGCGCATACGTAAAGACTGGTCTTATAAGCGTTTTGTATATAAGTACCTTAGTTTTGTCGATTACTTCGCCTGACATTAACAGTTTTCTCATTCTAAAGTCAGCTCTATTAGCTATATACAGTATTCTCCTTATTTCTGTAACCATCATAGAAACATAGTCTTATAGGTGACCATAACTATAATTAGTGGGCAGTAAGTAAGCCGAGATTTATAAACAGTTTGGACACAAAAGCGTTTATATTATAAATTTTCCTGTTTGAGCATCAACTACATTCAAGGCACGATTATTTAACTAAGCAGGATTAACTTAGCTTATAGAAGATAATGTTGCACATAATTTCGCTTCCATTGAATGCCCTAGAAAATTGAACGCCACCAAATTTAAATCAAATGGAGTTATTTAAAGTTTTATTTGCTAAAATATAATTTAGATTATTCTCCTCTAACTTGTTTTCTAAGAAATACATATACACAATAATATAAATAAACATTTACAATCCATTTTAAACACAATACTAACGTCTTATTCGGATCTTAAGAGAAATGTTTTGAAAAAATTTCCATTTTACATCTCCGTCTACCAGATACAATACTCCGAGCATAATTTCTGTTTTATTCTCCGCCTTGTTGCTATTCAAAGCAACAGTTGTGGCGCATTTCTTCCAGCATGGTAATGTAGACTAATACCTTACGATACCGTTCTTAAGCCCCACTTTGCTTCAAAAAATCCAACCTGACATAGTGACCGCTATCAAAATCATTAACACCAATTTTTGTGCAACTATTTTACACAAAACTATTAAAGGGGAAAATTTAAATGCATTTCCGTGTTGTTCTAAATTGAAAAAAAAAGTCAACTCTTAAAGTTAAAGAATAATATACATCTTTTTTCCTATTCATATATTGCCATTTACTTTCAAGGTTAAGATTATGAAACGACAGTGTGGCTTTGTGCAGAAAACTGTTACGTAAAATAATGAACGGCATTAACTTGAGCCTCAATAAATAGCGTTTCATTTGCAACAACCACGAGTAAGACACGTCGTTTTACTTCTTATTAAAGAAGTTTCTTTTACACGTGTCCAAGTTCGTGCAAAATATAATTATACGTCGTTGTCGTCCAAGCGAAATTCGTGAACCGTTAACTAAATTCAAAAGACGGGCAGTCTTCCCGGTTCTTCTTATATGGACTTTGAATAATTATGCTATGACGGTCTCTGATACTGTTATTTTAAGTCCCAGTTTGAGTTCGACAAGTCTTTATAAACGACGTTCCTCTAACGTGCGTCAATATTATTTCTAAATACCTCAACCTAAAAAAACCGTTTGAAAGTTGTACTTTACATAACACCATAAAAAACAAGAATTGTTTTAGTAATCTAATAGGAGTAATTAATGAACAGTTAGTTGACAGCGTGCTTTAAGAATTAATAATACACTTTTTCCATTTGAGTCAAAGTTAACCGTTCGATTCTTCCTTCCGGTTATTTTTAGTCATCCTTAAATTTAACTTTAACTATATAAGTCGCCAAGCATTGCGGCGTGAGAAAAACGACAACTTTGGAAGTTGATAGTTATTATTCCATGTGAAAACGGACGAACAATATCCTATTAAAGTCTTTTTCCATTTAGCGCATCCTCGCAACCGGCTATTTAAGGTTTAATGAGAAATTTTAGTTGCGTAAAAACGAAATTTAAAGTTCAATTTAAAAATTGTTTGGTTTTTATGACGGCGAAATAGATTTTTTTTGCGGTTTATAGAATGATTCATAAAAGTCGTTTCTATTAATAGAAATCAATTTAATTTTTGATTTGATGATCTGGTACTTTAATAATTAAGTAATAAAAATCTAGATCACTTCCTTATTAGGTTATAATTATGATTAATTTTTTTTGTTGTTAAAAAAATAGCCACCTGCACAATTAGGGCAAAGATTTTTGTTCGATAAGTTGTTACATAAGCTTTTCACGTTATGAAATCCCGAAACAATGTGCCATTAGAATGTGGGAAAGATTCAAATTTTCACTGGATTGTTTACAGTATTCGCCCATTCGTAGCAATTTAGCGCGTTACTCTCTCTTGACCAAACATTTCGACAACAAATAGAAACACTTTTTTAAACTATACAATACACTCCCGTAGACTATCAGTCCGTATAATTTAAATTTCTAATTTTGCATTAACGTCATTTTTTAATGGCTAGCTGTTTCAAAAAATCTAGAACTAGAAGGCTTAGTACTAGATTAGTGAGTTAAAATATATAGTATCTAGTGTTAGTTCTAATGCTAGTGTTAGCTCTAGTTTTAGTCGTTGTTTAGCGGTAGATTTTTGTATATTTTTATTGAAGTAAAACTAGAACTAACTCTAGACCTAGAATTAACATCATGCTGGTTAAGAAATGCAAGGCTAAACCCGAATGATTCTAGTTCTAGGTCTAGTGTTGTTATTCAGCACTAGATTGTTATGTGTTTTTATTGAACTAAAACTAGAACGAACACTAAACCTAGAACTAGAAACATTCTGGTTTAGCCGCACCGCATGCGACAGTGTAAATGGGTGTACTAGAAGGTTAAGATTACAATGTATTTATTTAATTTTTAATTTTCATTTTGATCAAATTTGCAATTTATATTTAATTCAATTTCTTGACCTAACATCTTGAGGTTGTCTTGAAACTCGACAGAAGAGAAAATACGCTGTCGTAGATATCTAAAAGTGGGTCACGATATTGAGCAAGCTGATCTTACAGCGTTCCATTATAATAAAGGTTCTAAAAGTGAGTTTAAAATTATAATACCTTTTTTTATTGTTTACAGGGCCATGCTAATTAGGTTAAGAGTGGCCGAATTGGTCACCATATTTATGTTAAGTAATCTAAGGATATCATCATCTCAGGTATGTAACTTTTATATTTTTAAAGAAACAATACGTTGTCCATTTCTGGTCTATTTCACGTATTCGAATTTCACGCCGTCGGATACGGCGCAAATTTCACACTTAATTAATATGCGCTCTTTCACCTTGTTACAGGAAACGCCGAGCTTATTTAGCTGTCCAAACGGTAAGTCCAAGGCTGCAATTTCTTCGCTTCCATTCAGATAGATAACTTTAGAAGGAGGAGGCCAATACAAAATCAACGTTCCGCTTGCTTTCTTCGATTGGGCTCCTTCTGGATGTTACCTGAGGCCGCTCCTAAATACCTCCGCAGTTATCGCATTCCGTAAAAAGATTCTCGGTTTTCTTCTCTTTCTTATTTCTCCTTATAGTCTTCCTTATAGTCAATTAAAAATCTTTATGCAATCGCAGAAACTGGTTAATGGGTCGCCGTTGTGTTGCGCATCCGATATGGAAGCCATTATGCGATCGCGATGCACCGTTACCAGAGTACGGTTAAGAAAAGAAGAAGTTCTTTAGTAGTAAAGAGATTGATTTTGTTCTTTTTCTATTTCTTAGTAGAACCTAGAAGTAGTCTTTATAGAGATGGCATATTCTGCGAGCGTGGAGTGAAAGTTTCCTGAGCACCGTGGATATTTGACCTTTTAAATACGTAAAGTTGAAGTATAAAAAGAAAAAAATGACGCGAATTCGGTGACTAATCGAGCGAAAATTTATCTCGTCAAGGTCATTATTGTCTTAATCGTCAAGATATTCTTTTTTCAAAGTAGGAAATCAGTTACGTAGGTCTTAAAACTTGAAGAGGTCGTTCCCTTGACATTTTTCCATAAACACCATCGTGGGCACAATCAATTTCAGCATTAATTTGTTTAATTAAGGGTACTGTTGATTGCAATAGAATTAATTGTTTAGACGTGGAGAAATGGTCGCCATCCGTTATTATTATTTGCTATTTGGGCCGCGCTGCTGGAAATGCCGTTGCAAATGTTCTGATGCGTGCTATGATTGATGCGATGATCATTATTGAGGTGAGAGAATCTCAAAACTGTGCAATTGCCGAGAGCACTCTGCACGCTAATCTCCATAAATAGATTATTACCTCATACGTGTTCATAAATGTATTCGATTTTTTTTCTTAATCAATTATGAAATTGTTAAATTTATGATTCACCCGAATTAATCATTCATACCGCGTTAGGATGAATAATTCTTTACATCGAAATAATAAATAACAGAGAAAAGAAAAGAAAGTGTCATAGCAAGGTGTTCTAAGACAGTTCAAGTGCTGAGAAAGGCTTCCATGCGGCCATTACTAGGAGTTACCGTGCACATTCATGCATTTCTTCTGATAATTACTTTGATACACGCGACTGGAAATTATTAAAGAGTGTGTAAAAAGCGCATTAACACCACTCCCCAGTTATAACGTAATGGAAAGAGTAAACAAAAACCATAAATTAGCTTCGAGAACAAACGATATGAATAACTGTAACTGGAGTTGCTGTTGAAAATTTTTAATGTGGGATTGTAGCGTTTTAAATCATATCTAACAACTCATAATTATAAAACTTTAATTTTTTTAAGCTTCTGTAACACATGTTCATGATCACAATAGATGATCGACTCCTCATGATTGCCATATTATCGACTCCTCATTGTGTGTAATGAAAACTTAGACGGATAGTAAGAAAGAAACTGAAGAAAAATGTCAGCAAGCTTTTGCGATCATCTTTGATATTCGAGAGGTTTTCACAAGATAAAAGAATGTATTTAGTTCAGCTTCTGGATAGTCTCGTAAGGCATCCTTTATTTGCTCCCAAACAAGTGTTAGTATACAAAGTTGTAATGAGTCAGGATGAACTAATCCATTCAGACACCTTCATAGAGTTTATGTCAGTCCTTAATAACAACCAAAAACTGGTGTGCCTATGTATGGCGGCGACAATTCAAAGGCAACCCCAAATTCTTATTCATTTTTTTATTCAACCTTATTGTTAGTCTCGTAACCAGCAAAAATAAATCTGCTTGTTTACTATACAATAGATATTTATTAGTAGCATAAAAGAGTTTCATCTTGAAGCAAATATGATATGATTAAAGATAACAATAATTTAATTCCTACCATTAATTAATCTCATAACACACCACGAGGAGAAACATGTGAGAATAATCCCCTTATGCAATACATGCTTTTAAATACAAAAACAACACACCTTTATAATATGATAATTTTACGCATTACTTCTATTATTTCATCAGAGTTGAATGTCAAGTTCCAACTAACGTTTTATGTAATAGATAAAGAATTCAAGGAAGTAAACGGGTTATAGAAATATTTTCTTCATAAACTGCATAAATTGAAGACCTACGTAGATTATTATTTTTCTGACCGTGGAATATAGTGAGAATAACAATAAGACCCAGATAGTTGATGATGAGCTACTTCGATGATGTGAGTCACACGATAACTTCGATCTTAAATCTAGTGTTAAACACATCCTAACACTTAAACTCGATGAACAGGCATGCGGTGGAAAGTACGCTGAGCAAGCATGTTAATAGCAACGGTAAAAATACAGGGTCAGGGACATCCTGAGTTAGTACGCGCCAGGACCGAATCTACTAGAATCAACGATGTCAACTTAGAAACCTTGTTTCATGTTACTACTTTCAATAGAATGAAGCTTAATTGTACCACAGGTGGCCACTTTACATAGACACATTAAGATAAATTCCTTTGCGCAACGGTTACAATTCGCTTCTGAGAGCAAGCAATTGTCGCGAAATTGTCGAACGAGGTCGACTGATTACTTCGTTAGTAATTATTGCCGGTGGGAAATTGCTAAATAGAAAATAACCCGAGTTATGGCAACTTTACTTCAACATTTCACGACGTTTTTTATGCACTTTTCAATTACTAGCTATGTTCGCAGCATCATTAGATCATTAGTCTCATTAAGAAGTAGGTTGTTTAAGGTTTTAAGAAATTTTTAATTAATTGTATTTTAGTGAGATTGATTTTAAAATCTTATTGATTATTATATAATTTTCGAATTTATTTCATGGTCCACTTTTACTTTGAACCCGGATCTGCATCACAATTTTTGCATTAAAGTCCATTTTCCACGACCTTCTTCATACCTCTTTATATCTAGATGATCCAGTATTGAAATTCTCTTTTTGTTGCAGGATGGGAACTTAGGGGATTGTACTGTTATAAGTTTTTCAATATTAACCATTCGTGGGAGAAAGCGGCCGATCTCTGCAGACGGTGAGTTATTTATTATTTATAAATAATCTAATTATTTAGAATTCTATATGAAGGAATGATTCAAACTGACAGAAACGAAAAGAAAGTGTACGTATTAAATGAATTTTCTTCGAGGATGACGATGATTGTACCGTTTCTTTTAGTCTTGCCACGTTTACGGTCAGTAACCTCCAAAAAAGAATCCGGGTCAGGACTGACCACGGCTCACCCAAAATGCATTCATAATCAAAATTCAACCTACTCTCTAAATCATTGAATTAAATTTTGTATGATGTAATTGATTTTTTAAAATAATAACGTTAACATAAAAAACTTAGTAGAGAAATTACTTATCCGTAACAAATCGAATGAATCAGACCATAACAATTATATTAAACTACTTTAAAGTTTAATTGATATAATTTTTTAAATTAGGTTAAGTATAAAGTTTAATAAATTTCTATCACAATATATAAACGAGTATTATGATGGACAAGATAACTTTGTCAATCAAAATATTAAATCTCAACAATCCCATTAATTCATACCTGCTTAATGTATGCAATTATTGTAGGAAGTGCGCTTGAAATCCCAGAAAATATTACGTAATAGGAAAAGAATCATTAGATTAGTTCTGCCAAAACCTGCAAAACTTAATCAACTTTCCTTTTAAATTTAAATAATAAATTTCTACTTTAATCATTTTTTGTTATAGATATGGAAGTGATTTGATGGCAGTGGAGTCATACACAGAGAATAATGTAACAGCATCGATAGCAGCACCAACAGTCGGTTTGGAACGGAGAAGTGCAAACCATTATTGGCTGGGCTTGGCATCGTTAGATGACCTAAAAACGAACACTCTAGAGTCGGCAGCGGGTACCCTCGTGTCACAGTACTCCGGTAAGTTTCTCCGGAAAGCGATTATGTTCGAAAATATGCTAATCGAAGCGACTTTATATGCCTGAGGCGACTCATTTCTTTCTTACCACAGATTCAATATTGAGTACTGCTGCATGATTTCACCGCCTTACATTCCATTTCAGTGTTTACTTTTATATTTAAGAATTTAAACCGAACGTTATTATTCACAAAGAAAGTAAGAATTAACTCTTTCAATTAACACACTTAGTGTTGACATAAATATTTTTAATTGTTACTAATAACTTGACCAGAATATTTAGTCAACTTAATTTTAAAATCATGGTGTTTATGTTTAAAAAATTGTTTATGACATCTTTTATTTTTATCAAAAACAGTTTTTCTTGAATTTTCGAAAATTTTGCAAAATTTCTGATTAACTTATTTTCGATTGCATCGTACTCCTCATCACCTCTATAACAGCAAACATAAGAAAAAAACTTAGCCAATTCTTATTCCTTTGAAACATTAGTTTTTCTTGAAATTTTTGCAAGTTTATATTTAGTTTTATATTTAAGAATTTGAGTCAAACCTTATTTACAAAGAATGTCACTTTATCAATTAACACACTTAATTAACAACTTTCTTTTCTATTTAGGATTTTGGTCATTGAATCAACCCGATCCAAAATCAGGTGAATGTGTCGACGTAGCACTAACGCGTGATCGACAATCATGGGAATTAACAACTTGCGAAAGTCTTTTACCCTTTATGTGTCGATCAAAAGCTTGCCCCGTTGGTTCCTTCCACTGTTCCAATGGAAACTGTATAAACGAAGCATTCAAATGCGACAAACAAGACGATTGTGGCGATTTCTCCGACGAAATCGATTGCGCATCAAATTGTAACTTTTACATGGCGAGTAGTGGGGATGTAGTCGAAAGCCCTTATTATCCTCAAAAGTACACCCCGCTAACCAACTGCAAATGGACTTTAGAAGGTCCTCAAGGCCACAACATCCTCCTCCAATTTCAAGAATTCGAAACGGAAAAAACTTTTGACACTGTACAAATTTTTGCTGGGGGAAGAACCGAAGATACCTCAGTTAATTTAGCTACGTTATCAGGAAAACAAGATTTAACAAACAGATCTTTTGTATCAGCTTCGAATTTTATGATCGTTAAATTTAGTACTGATGGAAGTGTTGAGAAGAAAGGATTTAGAGCATCTTGGAAAACTGAGCCACAAATTTGTGGGGGTACATTAAGAGCTACGCCGCAAGGACAAGTTTTAACATCCCCCGGATACCCTGAACAATATCCGGGAGGGTTAGAATGTCTTTACATCATCCAATCCCAACCAGGAAGAATCATAACTTTAGAAATCGACGATTTAGATTTAGACAACACAAGAGATTACATTTTAATTCGCGATGGAAGTTCACCGAGAGATCAACCGATTGCTCGCTTAACAGGAGACTTAGAAAATAACCCAAGAATTGTGATGTCCACAAATAGCCAGTTATATCTTTATTTCAAAACCAGTCTTGGTGATTCCAAACGAGGATTTAGATTGAGATACGCCCAAGGTTGTAAAGCAATGATTGTCGCTAAAAATGGAACGTTAACATCTCCAGCTTTTGGATTAGCAAATTATCCGAGTAACCAAGAATGTTTATTTAAAATTAAAAACCCCGGTGGCGGACCTTTATCGTTAAACTTCATCAAATTTGATGTTGATAAATCAGATAACGTTCAAGTTTACGACGGATCAAGCACAAGTGGATTAAAATTACATTCGGGTTCAGGATTTAGCGCTACCTCACTTCCAAAGATTACTTTAACAGCTTCAAGTGGGGAAATGTTGGTGAGATTTACTTCGGATGCGCTTCATAACAGTAAAGGATGGGAGGCGTCATATTCGGCTGATTGTCCAGCCTTAAAACCGGGTTTTGGTGCTTTATCTTCAAGCAGAGACACCGCTTTCAAAACGGTTATAACATTCACGTGTCCAACTGGACAAGAATTTGCTACGGGCCAACATAGAATAACAACTACTTGCCTTCCCGGTGGAAATTGGTCAATCAGTTATATCCCTAACTGCCAAGAAGTTTATTGCGGACCAGTTCCACAAATAGATAACGGTTTCTCCATTGGTTCCACAAACGTTACTTATCGAGGCCAAGCAACTTATCAATGTTACGCGGGATTTGCCTTCCCAACTGGAAAACCAATCGAAAAAATTTCTTGTTTATCCGACGGAAAATGGGAAAAGAAACCATCATGTTTAGCATCACAATGCAGCACTTTACCAGAAGTACCACACGCAAACGTCACCGTTTTGAACGGTTTAGGAAGAAGTTATGGCACGATTGTTCGATACGAATGCGAACCCGGATATGTACGAAGTGGACATCCGGTTATTTTATGTATGAGTAACGGAACTTGGTCCGGCGATGTCCCATCGTGCACCAAAGCGAAATGCCCGAAATTTCCCGAAATTCAAAACGGATTTATCACGGACACCTCAAGAAATTACTATTTCAAAGACGAAGCTCGCGTTCAATGTTACAAAGGTTACAAACTCATTGGAAGTAACATAATGAGATGTGGCGAAAACCAAATGTTTAACAACCCGCCTAAATGCGATGATATCAACGAATGCGTTACGAGTCAATGTGATTTGGCTTCGACGGAATGCATGAATACTCCTGGATCGTTTTCGTGTAAATGCAGAAAAGGATTTGCACCTAATTTGGAATGTAGACCGGTTGGTGATTTGGGTTTGATCAACGGTGGGATTCCTGATGATTCTATAACGGTTTCGAGTGTGGAAGAGGGTTATCATAAAGGGATGGTACGATTAAATAGTGGGGGTGGTTGGTGTGGGAACTCGCTAGATCCTGGTTCAAATTGGGTATTAATCGACTTGAAAGCACCAACAATCATCAGAGGTTTCAGAACGATGAGTATATCAAGACCGGATGGAACGGTAGCTTTTACATCGGCAGTTAGAATCCAATACACCGATGATTTAACGGATGTCTTCAAAGATTACCGAAATCCTGACGGAACAGCAGTTGAGTTTAGAATTTTAGAACCAACCCTTTCCATTTTAAATTTACCAGTTCCCATTGAAGCGCAATACGTGAAATTTAAGCTACAAGATTTCGTGGGATCTCCTTGTCTTAAACTGGAAGTAATGGGATGTACAAGATTGGAATGTGCTGATATTAACGAGTGCGCAATTGATGATGGGGGTTGTGAACAAAAGTGTATAAATAGCCCCGGGGATTATTCTTGTGGATGTACCGTTGGATACGAGTTATACACAAAGAATGGAACTGCTGGGTTTAACATCGAAAAAAGCGAAAACGGAGTCCGCGACGGAGATACTTACCAAATTAATAAAACTTGCGTCCCAGTTATGTGCCCAACACTTAATCCCCCCGAAAACGGCATCATCATATCAACGAAAGAAAAATTCCACTTTGGAAATATTGTACGGTTCCAATGTAATTTTGGATATGTTATGGCTGGATCTTCAGCTTTAATTTGTACAAGCACCGGGGCTTGGAATGGAACAGTTCCAACATGCCAATACGCTAATTGTGTTTCACTTCCTGATGATAAAGGAGAAGGACTTAAAGTACTTCGGGCTGATGATACAAGCGTTTTAGTTCCGTTCCGTGAAAATGTAACTTTAAATTGTGGCCTCAATGGAAGAGATCTAAGAAAAACTTCAACATCTAGTTTTAGACAATGCGTTTATGACCCAAAACCTGGTCTACCCGATTATTGGCTAAGTGGTTCAAAACCGGCCTGTCCAAAATCAAACTGTGGGAAACCTCCACCAACACCCGGGGCGGTTTACGGAGACTTCGTCGACACAAAATATCAATCCTCTTTCTTTTTCGGTTGCCAAAACACTTTTAAAATGGCTGGGCAAAGTAGTAAACACGATAACGTCGTTAGATGCCAAGCAAATGGAGTTTGGGATTTCGGCGATTTACGATGTGAAGGTCCCGTTTGTGAAGACCCGGGAAGACCTAGCGATGGATATCAATTAGCTAGAAGTTACGAACAAGGTTCTGAAGTTAGTTTTAATTGCAATCGGCCCGGTTATATCTTAATCAACCCAAGACCAATAACCTGCGTTCGAGAACCCGAATGCAAAGTCGTTAGACCATTAGGATTAGCATCCGGCTTAATTCCCGATTCTGCAATTAATGCGACCACGCAACGACCGAATTACGAAGCGAAAAATGTTAGATTAAACTCCGTAACCGGTTGGTGTGGCAAACAAGAAGCTTTTACTTACGTAAGTGTGGATTTAGGAAAAGTTTATAGAGTAAAAGCTATCTTGGTGAAAGGAGTAGTAACTAATGATATCGTTGGAAGACCAACTGAAATTCGCTTCTTCTATAAACAAGCCGAACATGAAAACTACGTCGTTTATTTCCCAAATTTTAATTTGACGATGCGAGATCCCGGAAATTACGGCGAATTAGCGATGATCTCCTTGCCAAAATACGTCCAAGCAAGATTTGTTATCTTAGGAATTGTGAGTTATATGGATAACCCTTGCTTAAAATTCGAATTAATGGGGTGTGACGAACCAGAGGAAGAACCACTTTTGGGGTACGATTACGGATATTCTCCATGCGTCGATAACGAAACACCAGTATTCCAAAATTGTCCCCAACAACCAATTGTTGTAGAAAAAGACGCAAACGGGGGGCTTCTCCCCGTTAATTTCACCGAACCAACAGCCGTAGATAACTCTGGGAGCATCGCCCGATTAGAAGTAAAACCACAACACTTCAAAACACCTGCTTATATTTTTGAAGACACCGTTGTTAAATATGTCGCGTTTGATTACGATGGAAACGTTGCAATTTGCGAAATTAACATCACCGTACCAGATAACACCCCCCCAAAATTAAGTTGCCCGCAAAGTTACGTCATCGAATTAGTTGATCGCCAAGATAGTTACGTAGTAAACTTCAACGAAACTCGTCGAAGAATTAACGCAACCGATGCTTCAGGAGAAGTCTTCGTTACTTTTACTCCGGATAGAGCGTCAATTCAAATCGGGGGATACGAAAATGTAACAGTAACTGCAGCAGATAAATACGGAAATAAAGCGCATTGTCACTTCCAAGTTTCAGTCCAAGCAACGAGATGTGTTGACTGGGAATTAGAAGCACCGGTAAATGGGGCGAAAACTTGTAGCGCAACGGATCGTGGTCTTCAATGCGTCGCCAGTTGTAACCCCGGGTATCGATTCACCGATGGTGAACCAGTTAAAACATTCTCTTGTGATCCAAAAACAACTTGGAAACCAACTTCCGTTGTACCAGATTGTGTCTCTGAGGATACTCAACAAGCTGCTTATCACGTTGTGCCAACAATTAAATATCGGGCAAATGGGGCTGTGCCACAAAGTTGTATGAAACAGTACATGGATTTACTTGGGCAATATTATCAAGATATGAATAAGATATTAACGCAACGTTGTTCTGCGGTTAATGTAAACATGAATGTATCTATCATCAAAGGAGTCCCGACGTTAGTTGAAGAGAATGTGGTTAAAATCGATTATATCCTTGCTGTGATACCCGCAGTGAGACAACCTCAACTTTATGAACTTTGCGGATCAACACTTAATTTAATTTTTGATCTCTCCGTGCCATATGCAAGCGCAGCAATTGATATTCTTCTAAACATTCAATCGATTTCTAATCAATGCCCACCTCTTAAGGCTCTTTCTTCAAATATCACCAGAGGATTCACTTGCAGTGTTGGAGAAGTTCTTAATATGGATACAAATGATGTTCCACGTTGTTGTAAGTAATTAATTAATTAATTAATATTGTGTGGTTTAAATTTGTTTTTTTTTTTTCGTTTTAGTGCATTGTCCTGCAGGAACCTTTGCTGGGGAAAAACAAAAAGAATGTAGTTATTGCCCACATGGATTTTATCAAAATTTAGATCGACAAGGATCTTGTATGCGGTGCCCAACTGGTACTTACACTAAAGAAGAAGGTTCGAAGAGCATCAACGACTGTATTCCTGTTTGTGGTTATGGAACTTATTCCCCAACTGGTCTTGTACCTTGCTTGGAATGTCCAAGAAATAGTTACACTGGTGACCCACCGACCAGCGGATTTAAAGAATGTCAAGCTTGCCCCGCAAATACTTTTACTTATCAACCCGCAGCGCCAGGAAAAGATTATTGTCGCCCGAGATGTAACCCCGGATTTTATTCCCCAACCGGATTAGCTCCTTGTTCTGCTTGCCCGCGAGATTTCTACCAACCAAAAACCGGCCAAACCACCTGCATGGAATGCTCATCAAATATGCGAACAGAAAATTCAGCTTCAACCGGAAGAGAAGCGTGCCAATCAGTGCAATGTACTGAAGGGGCTTGCCAACACGGAGGTCTTTGCGTACCAATGGGGCACGGAATTCAATGTTTCTGCCCAGCTGGATTTTCTGGGCGACGTTGCGAAATTGATATCGATGAATGTTCCTCACAACCGTGTTATAACGGAGGAACTTGTATTGATCAACCCCAAGGATATAAATGTCAATGTCCACCCGGTTATTCCGGAATAAACTGCCAAGATGAACGATCTGATTGTGGAAATAACACTTGTCCCGAACGAGCGATGTGCAAAGATGAACCCGGATACAACAATTACACATGCTTATGCAGATCTGGATACACCGGAGACGATTGTGATATCACAATTGATCCTTGTTCAGCCAACGGAAATCCTTGCAGTAACGGCGCAACTTGCATGGCTTTACAACAAGGAAGATTCATGTGCCAATGTCTCCCAGGTTGGGAAGGTCAAATTTGCGAAATCAATACCAACGATTGCGCCGAAAACCCTTGTTTACTAAACGCAAATTGTACAGATCTCGTAGCAGATTTTAGTTGTTCATGCCCGCCAGGATTTAAAGGAAAACGCTGCCAAGAAAAAATCGATTTATGCGCCAAAATCCCATGCAAAAACGGCGTTTGCGTTGACAAACTCTTCTACCACCAATGCGTCTGTCAACCCGGTTGGACTGGAGAAGCTTGCGAATCCAACATCAACGACTGCATGAGTAACCCTTGCGAACACAGCGGCCAATGCATTGATTTAATCGACGATTACACTTGCACCTGCGAACCTGGATTCACCGGAAAGAGATGTCAACATCAAATCGATTTTTGCGCTTCGAAACCGTGCCAGAACGGTGCAAGTTGCATGAATCAAGTGGAAGGATTTACTTGTAAGTGCAGACCGGGTTTTGTCGGACTACAATGCGAAGCAGAAATTGATGAGTGTCTAAGTGATCCTTGCAATTCCGCCGGAACGGAAAGATGTGTTGATTTGGATAATAAATTTTTGTGTATGTGCCGTGAAGGTTACTCTGGGGTTTATTGCGAAGAAAATATCGATGATTGCGTCTCAGAACCTTGCTTAAATGGGGGTACTTGCCGAGATAACGTTGGAGGATATCAATGTATTTGCCCTCCTGGTTGGAGCGGAGTTAATTGCCAATATGATATTGGAACATGCCAAAGTACACCGTGTCAAAATGATGCAAGATGTATTAATTTATTCCAAGATTTCTTTTGTGTGTAAGTTTGTGTATATTTAAATTTTTTAATTTACCATGATATAATTATCTATATCATTCGTTAAAACCTATATTATAATATAATTTTATTTGATAGATGTCCATCTGGAACGGACGGAAAACGTTGCGAAATTGCACCTCAACGCTGCCTTGGAAATCCTTGTATGCACAGTGGGAAATGCCATGATTTCGGATCGGGTCTAAACTGTTCTTGCGCGAATAGTTTCACTGGAATTGGGTGTCAATACGAATACGATGCGTGTCAATCAGGTGATTGCAAGAATGGGGCAACTTGTTTAAATCACGGAAATGGATTCCAATGTGTTTGTCCTTCGGGATATACAGGAAGATTTTGCGATGAAGATATCGTTGATTGCAAAGAAAACTCTTGCCCACCGAGCGCAACTTGTATTGATTTAACCGGAAAATTTTATTGCCAGTGTCCTTTTAATTTAACTGGAGAGGATTGTAGGAAAAGTATGATTTCTAGTTTTAATTAATTCCACTTAATTAATGCAATTAATTTTTTTTATAGCAATTTCAGTGGATTATGATTTGTACTTTAGTGATTCATCGAGAAGCTCAGCTTCTCAAGTTATTCCTTTCTACACCGGATCACCTTCAAGTCTTACAATCGCGATGTGGGTCCAATTTATTGAGAAAGATGAGAGTGGAATCTTTTTCACTTTATATGCAGTCTCGTAAGATTAATGATCGAATTCAGTTTTATTTATAATTATTCTCATACAAATTTAGGTCTAAACACGTCGCTAATGACCGAAAAGTTTTGATACAAGCAAATTCAAACGGAATCCAAGTTTCGCTTTTCCCCGATATCCAAGATGTTTATCTCAGTTATAGAGATTACACCACCATAAACGACGCTCAATGGCACCACATCGCAATCGTTTGGGATGGAGACAACGGCGGGGAATTAAAGTTAATAACCGAAGGATTAATCGCGAGTAAAGTGGAGGGTTATGGTGGAGGAAGAAAGTTATCAGAATAGTAATTAATCCATTTTAGATATTTGAGATTTTTTACATTAACTTTTTAATACTTTTCAGTGGTTGGGTAACTTTGGGTAAACCAAGATCGGGAAATCCAAAAGCATACACGGAATCTGGTTTTCAAGGGCATTTAACAAAGGTGCAAATTTGGGGTCGCGCTTTGGATGTTACATCAGAAATTCAAAAGCAAGTGCGCGATTGTAAAACGGAACCGGTTCTTTACCGAGGTTTGGTATTAACTTGGGCTGGATATGAAGACACCGCCGGAGGCGTTGAAAGGATTGTGCCATCGGTTTGTGGGCAAAGAAAATGTCCATCTGGATACGTCGGACCTCGCTGTCAAGAACTGCAAGTTGATAAAATACCACCTCGCGTTGAATATTGCCCAGGGGATCTTTGGGTTATTGCCAGAAATGGATCTGCGATTGTTAGCTGGGATGAGCCTCATTTTAGTGATAACGTTAAAATCGAAAAAATACAAGAAAGTAATGGACATCGTCCGGGGCAAACCCTGTTATGGGGGGTTTATCAAATCGCTTATGTTGCGTATGACGCAGTGGGAAACACGGCGACTTGCACGTTTAAAATCTCGGTTTTATCCGAATTTTGTCCGGAATTACCAGAACCTATAGGTGGGGTCCAAACTTGTAAAGATTGGGGCGCGGGGGGTCAATTCAAAGTTTGCGAAATTTCTTGCAACCCCGGATTAAGTTTTTCACAAGAAGTTCCTAAATTCTATACTTGCGGAGCTGAAGGATTTTGGCGACCAACACAAAATCCTAGTTTACCCATGATTTATCCGGCTTGCTCACCAGCAAGACCAGCTCAAAGGGTATTTAGAATCTCAATGCTTTTCCCGACATCTGTGCTTTGCAACGAAGCCGGTCAAGGAGTTCTTCGACAAAGAGTAAAGAACGCGGTTAATGCCTTGAATAGGGATTGGAACTTCTGCTCATTTTCCGTGGAAGGAACAAGGGAGTGCGAAAAACTTGATATTGGAGTTAAATGTGAACACAAAGTGAATCGGATTACGAGAGAAGCGAAAGAAGAAGATGAAAGAGAAATTTATGTTTTAGATGCTGAGGTTCCAATTAAATCGTAAGTTAATTTTTTTATCGATTAATCTTTATCTGTTATGATTAATTTTTTCAACACTCATTTAAGTGTTTACACAAATTCGTTTTAAGCATGAAACCTGTAGTTTGTAGATTTCTATAGAATTTTTGTGTAGTTCTTTAGCACCTAGCATGTTTTTTTTGTTGTAATTCTTGTAGCAAAACCAGGCAAGGACGACAACAATCTGGTGACACCTACGATATTGAAATATCTTTCCCAGCAGTCAAGTAAGCACTATTAGTCTTTTTATGTTCTAACCCTTAACTATTTAGAGTTATTTTCGTTTTCCTTCGTTTAATCTTTGCACTTCATTTTTTAAAAAAAGAACATCTAAAGACGAAAAATCTTACTAATTAATTTCTTATAACAGCGATCCCGTAATAAACTCCAACACAAATGAACGCTCAATCGTAAAGGATCTCCTTGAAAAATTGATTTTGGAGGAAGCTCAATTTGACGTCCACGATATTTTACCGAACACAGTTCCAGATCCGTCTTCTCTCATCCTCGATTCAGATTACGCGTGTCCTGTTGGACAAGTTGTTATGGCCCCTGATTGTGGTAAGATTAACCAAGATTCCAAATCAAAAAAAATCTTAATCAATCTTATTTATTGTTTTAGTACCATGCGCACAAGGAAGTTACTACGAAAAAGAAACAAAGAAATGTATTTTATGCCCAATGGGTTCCTATCAAAGCGAAACCGGTCAAACTCAATGCATGTCGTGCCCTGTTATCGCTGGAAGACAAGGAGTAACAATCGGTCCTGGTGCAAGAAGCGCCGCGGATTGCAAAGAACGATGCCCGGCTGGGAAATATTACGACCACGACGCTGGTTTATGCAGGAGTTGCGGGTACGGATTCTATCAACCCGATGAGGGACAATTCTCCTGCAAAATCTGCGGATTAGGAAAAACGACGAGAACTAACGAAGCAACTTCCGTTAAAGAATGCAGGGATGAATGTGGAAGTGGAATGCAATTGGCGGTTGATGGAAAATGCGAACCTTGCCCAAGAGGAACTTATCGCATGCAAGGAATACAAGCATCCTGCTTACCATGCCCCTTAGGAAGAACAACCCCAAAAGTCGGCGGGGTTAGCATCGAAGAATGCTCATTGCCAGTTTGTACACCCGGAACATACCTAAACGGGACCTTAAACAGTTGCGAAGAATGTAAAAAAGGATGGTACCAACCCGAATCTCAACAAACAACTTGCTTACCGTGCCCACCAAACACAAGCACGAAAGGGCCGGGCGCTATAAACGCGGCGGAATGCACGAATCCTTGTGAAATGATGGGTTCTAACATGCATTGTGACCCCAACGCTTATTGTTTATTGATACCGGAAACCAGCGACTTCAAATGTGAATGTAAACCGGGATTTAACGGAACCGGAAAAGTTTGTATCGACGTTTGTGATGGTTACTGCGAAAACGATGGTCATTGTGTTAAAGACGTTCGAGGACTCCCCACTTGTAGATGCATCGGAAGTTTCACCGGAAAACATTGCGCCGAAAAATCCGAATTTGCCTACATCGCGGGTGGTATCGCAGCTTCAGTTATATTAATCATTTTCATCGTGCTTTTAATATGGATGATTTGCGCGCGAGCGAATCGTAGGAGAGAACCAAAGAAATTATTAACACCCGCAACTGATCAAAACGGATCGCAAGTTAATTTCTATTATGGAGCACCTCCATACGCCGAAAGTATAGCGCCTAGCCATCATTCGACTTATGCCCATTATTACGATGACGAAGAGGACGGTTGGGAAATGCCCAATTTTTACAACGAAACGTATATGAAAGAAAGTTTACATAATGGGATGAATGGGAAAATGAATAGTTTAGCCAGATCGAATGCGAGTATTTATGGTACTAAAGATGATTTATATGATCGATTGAAAAGGCATGCGTATCCAGGAAAAAAAGGTAAATATTAATCAATTAATTTAATTAAATTTAATTTCTTTTTTGTTTAGATAAAAGTGATAGCGACAGCGAAGCTGGTCAATAAGACTTGGTTCAATTCTGGTCAAAACTAAAATACGCTCAATCAGCATAACCATCATTTAAAAAAATATATAAAAAATAGTGTTTAGTGAACAAACTATTTTTTTAAATAACAGTGACTTAAGAAACATTGACTCTTTTTATGTATATTGTTGATATTTATGAAGATTAGATTTTTTGAGTGGTGGAGACGTTTTTTCTTTTAAATTAAGAATGAAAAACATAACCAATGATGTTTTATAACTACACCGTTTTGTTTATATTTTTTTTATATTATAAATAAAAAATTTCACAAATTATTTATATTCACCTTTAAATAAATTTAAGCAAATCCGATTTTTTTATAAATATACAAATGTACTTATTATATTAACGTTATTTTGTTAATACTGTATCATTTTCTATTAAACTTTTAGTCATGTTCGCGTAAAATTATTTTACTTCTTTATATTTTTAGTCATAGATGTAATTAAAACTTGTGTAATTTAAATAAATATTTGTATTTAGGTGCGTGTGTGATTGAAGTGTTCAAAAAAAATTGAGTGAATAAAAAATACTTTATAAAATACCATATTTATTTTATATGACAAAATTTATTTACCACTATTAAATCTACACAAAGTTTTTGAATTTGTATTTTTATAAATGACTCTTTCAGTAATCAATTTATTATCTATATTTGCTCTAACTACGGATGTTGGTATAAAACATGTCTTTTTCGCGTCATTTTTAAACTTTTTAGGGAAAGTCTTAAAATTATTTGAATCCTTTTGAATTTTATTTGTATCATCAAACTTTCTTTTAAAATTTTCTTTCTGAAACACTGTTTTCCTTTCATTATTATTCTGATACCCAAACCCAACTCGACATAGAACATCTTTAAACCTTTGCATTAATTTCGTTCGAGTTTCCACTACATTTTCATATTCAGGAGCGTAACAAACGTGAAGTATCCCACCGTAAAATGATTTATTATCTAAAAATCTCTTTGCAATTCTTGCTGATTGTATTCTTTCATATCTTACATGATAACACTCGGTGAAAGCTTCAGTTTTATATTCGTTTGTAATATGTATAGATAGTATTTCCCCGTATTTACGACACAACACCTTTAATTCGTTGCGTAAATTAATTTGGGGTACTCCGTAAATAAATAAGTGTTGAGACTCATTATTTACCGTGTATGTTTTTACAGCGGTTAATTTTCTTCCTTGACGATAAACTGGTCGGGTTTTACACAATGCACGTTGTTTATGGTGATATTCGTCTTTTAAAAGTTTCGTTTCCATTATTTATTTTGATAACTAAATTTAGGTTAGAATATAACCTCAATTTTTATTTTGACGTTTAGTTGTTGGTAAAGTAGGTAACTTTTAAAAAATTATTTAAATTATTATTTAAAAAATAGTTTTATTATCTTTTTCATTCTCATTTCTTCAAAACATTCTCCGCTTCATATTCCAACTTTCTACAATGTTTTAGCAGTTGGAATAGTGGCGCATTAAACTTTATAAACTTTTCAAATTAGCTTGCAAAAAACCTAAATATCTCTCTAGTACCTTCCTAAAACATATTTATTCCTATTTAATCCTACTTATATCTTTTCATCTATCATAATAGAAGAGCCAAATTCAATGTGCTTTTTACCTATGTTTTAATATCTTTTAAATTATTGTGTAAATCAAATAAATGATAAGATAACATAAATGTTGTCACATAGAGTGGTAGATATTACTTTAGATTTAGTACCTGGGTGTGTTCTGTTACTTCTGTTCATGTTAAAACAATGAAGTTGCTACAAAAAACTCTCTTCATCATATTCTTTTATGTTAACTTAACATACAGTTGTAAGTAATCCTAAAACTGATTAATCAAAAAAGTTATTAAAAAAAATCTTTTTATGGACCACGCCCTTATTAATCATTAATTTTTGTACCTTACTTAACGTTCAGATAAAATATGCGCTTTGAAGAAACACGAAAACATTTGTGGTCAATTGGAACGAAACAACCGCATTAAATGCGAATATGTAGACAATGAAGCGAGTTGTTTAATAAAAATCGATTCAGGCGAAATCGATTTTGGTTCGATAAACGCCGAAACAGCATTCCTGGGGAATGGATTAATATCGAACGTTGTTCCGTTCGCCCAAATCATACCGGAAACGGCAAGAAACGTGGAGTTCGATTATGAAACGGTTGTAGTATCGGAAGAAAAATTCGAATCACTGGAAGGATTAAGCTATTGCCATCCCGGCTTTGAAAACACCCTGATTCCTCCGCTAATTTTAAAAGAATTTGAACAACACGTTTTTAAAAAGTATTCAAATCATTGCGATACTGAATTTGAAACTTCGGTTGAATGGGAAATTTTCGCCTTAAACAAGATTTTTGGAGATAGTTGTAGAGATGGGGTGTGGACACCTGATAAAAAATTGGATGAACATTTACGTAAGTTACAAAAAAAGGGTTAAAACAAATATTAAGAATTCAATTTTTAGATGATAAATATCCGGGATTAATTAAATTATGTCCAAACTTAAATGGAGATCCTTTAGAACGATCGTTACAGTGCATGTTGAACACGAAACATTCGATTGCTTTAACTACATCAAATACAATCAATAATAAAATTAATACAACTAACAAAGCTTTGTGGTATTATTGCAAAAATGGAACTGTTTCAAATACGCCATGTAGTTGGAGTAAACAACCATATCCAATATTAATTATGAGCAACCATCAGAGGTAAAAATTTACTCATGTATTTAATTTATATTGATTAAATTACTTTTAGCCAACCTGGCAACCTAGAAAATACTCTAAAGAAATGGTTATCAAGAGAGGTTTTTAATAAAGACGGCAGCGAGGATAGTGAATCAGATTTAGATGAAAAAGATTTAAGATATCTTAAAGAAATTCTCAACAATAACAAAGAATTGAATAACGTTGTTGTGAATTACAAGTTATTCAATGACAACACCTCGAATGCTTGGGGAAACTTTATAAAAAGTAAGAAAATAAATTTTATAAAAAACTAAATCTAGAATTAGAAACATTCGTATTTAACAACTAAAACTAGAACTAACACTAGCATTAGAACCAACACTAAACCTAGGCTAGAAACATGCGGATTTTGCCGTCTTAAGAGACGTACGGCTAAACCCGAATATTTCTAGTTTTAGATCTAGTGTTAATCGAATTTTCCTTTTTTTGTGCAGGTTTTCGAGATATTCCATCCCCAGACGATTCAATCATCTGCAAACGCAAAATGAGATGGTGCACAACTTCCGATAATGAGCAAACCAAATGTAAATGGTTATCTCAAGCCAGTATAAATTACGGAATCCAACCGGTTGTTGAATGCGTTCAAAAATCCAGTGAATTAGAATGTCTTAAAGCAATTAGTAATAACAATGAAAGTGCTGATTTAATAACAACATCCGCCGACTTAGGATATGCGGCGAAAAAGTAAAAATATTTTCTATTAATATATTTACCACCAAACATAATTTTCTTTTAGATATGGTTTATCAGCAATCGCTTTTCCTGAAACGTATAATAATCAAGAAATAAACACCTTACTTTTAGTTAAAAACGATAGAAATATCGAACGATTAGAAAATTTGAAAGGTAAAAAAGGATGTTTTCCTTTATACAGCGGTATCGCTTGGTTATCTTTCGTCGAAGCCACAAGAGGAATTGTTTTATCAAACGAGTCTTGCGATTACGGAAAATTATTGAGCGACTTTTTGGGCGATTCTTGCATGCCTGGAGCTATAGAAACTAACCGAGCCATCCACAATACAGTTGATTCTGAAAAAATGTGCAAATTATGCACAGAAACAGGTACATAAAAATTAAATTAAAAATAATAATGTATTAACAATTTCTTTTTAGGAAAAACTTGTGAGGCATCCGAAGCGACAAATTTATACTTTAACACATCTGGTGCACTCAGATGTTTGGAGGAAAAAGGAGATTTCGCTGTGATCGTCAAAGATCCTTCGTTAGTATTCCCCAATAACGTTCAAGTAATGTGTAAAAACGGGACATTTTCGACGTTGGATGCTTTTAATGTGGACGAAGGATGTTATTTATCAACTCTAACAACGAGCGAGGTTATTACGAGAATTAACGACCCATTAAATAAAGACATCCAATTAGCATTATTACAATATGATGAATGGTTTGCCGCTAAAACTCACACACCCTTCAGATTATTCGATAGCTTTAACAATACCAAGGATTTATTATTTAAAGTAATTTTCACCAAAAACGGATTTGAATTGAATTGATTTATTTTCTTTCTTAATTTTTAAGGATTCCACTCCAGGTTTAGCTGTTCCAACCTCACAGAAACCACCCATCAAAAATTACGTTGAACTATTTAAGCATATCGGCGATTGTAGCAAAGGATCTGGTGTAGCAGATAATCCCTCGAAAGGGATTAGATCAATCACTTTTGTCACTACGACTCTTTTAATTTTCACGACAATTATCATGAATTTATTTTAGTAAGGTTAACTTATTAATATATCTTTATACATAATATCTTTCATATTAAATTATATATTTTTTGTAAATTTGCAATTCACGTTTTCTTTTGTATATTTAATCCAAAATTTAGTTTCAATTTTAGTCGTTAGTTTCCTTATCATTTTGTTGCCATATATACTAAGGTCTTTTTCAATTATTATTTTTATCTTAAATCTTGGAATTTTGACTATTAGTAAATTTAATCAAGGGAAATAGTAAAAGCGGTATAACAAACGATTCTAACCCCCAGGAATTGGAAATGATCTTGGAAAAATATAAAGGTAACCAAAAACCGATTCATCACACCATTTTTTTATATATTTTATAATTCATAATGGAGATTTGATCAGACTAAAACTATCAGACAACCTCTTTCTAACATTATGGTTAATATAAATAAAGTAGAAAAGTAGTAAATATCCATCGAAAGACACCTAAAAAAAATTTTTAAATTAATCTATAAATCAATTTAATTACTAATTAATAATAATAAATATAATCGAATCAGTGTAATGGCTTCTTTATCGGCAGAGTAAACATTAAGAGTGGTGCATGCCAATCATCATTTAAAGCTTAAAATTAATAAAAATTAAGTTAAAAATTAAAATTATTACCTTTTTGAGTGCCTTTATTGGTGAGATTTATGAATTCCTTTTTAAACCATCCTCAAATTCCATTAAATTCTATAAAAAAAAAATAAAGCTTAAATTAATCAGTTAATAAATATGATATAATTTATAGATTTGAATTATTTTTTAATCAGATAGGAGCGAAAGACAAAAATGCTAGTTACTAATCATTGAAAGATCAGTTGAACTATGAAATCATCATTTTAACCTTCAGTTAATAAAAAAATCAAATCATTTAATAACTAAATTAATGATTACCTTCATAGATTTCTCTTCTATTTTATAATCTTCATTTCAGAAATCATTTGTTGTAGAATTTTAATCTAAAAATAAATTGTATTAATTTTGAAATTATAAAAATAAATTAATATGTAAAAATTGGTTTTCTTTATCAGATAGGAGCGAAAGACAAAATGCTAGTTACTAATCATTAAAACAATCAGTTGAACTATGAAATCATCATTTAAATAATCCCCAATAAAAAAATGCTTCACAAAAAAATACTCACTTGGCTTAAATCTCCAATAAATCGACTCATATTTAACCTGTAATTAATAAAATTTAATTATAAATTGAAATTAAATTAAAATTAACATATTGTACTATATTATTTCAGATAGAGCTAATAATAAAATAAATCACTTAAAATCTCATTTATTAAATTGATTTCATCATAAAAGCTTAAATGAAAAAGACATTTAAAAAATAATTACCTTTTTCAGAGGAAGATTTTTGAAATTTTCCTTGTACGAATATCCGAGGAACATCAACTCCCTCCTTTTTATTAATAGTACGTCTATGGACATAAACATTCGAGATAATTTCAAACCCAACTTTCTCCATAACATTTTTAATAAAATCCAAAGAGAAATAATAACACCTCGTACCATCTTGCCTCATATACAAATTTTCCGATATCTTATGTCCAGCTTTAAATCTTAACTGAGCCATATCGTAAAGACCGTAATCACGGAATAATAAAACACCCCCAGGTTTTAACTTATCAAAAATGTTTTTAAGCGTTTTAATAAATTTATCGGGATGAATTGCTGATAAAACGAATATTAACGTTGCTATATCGACACTATTTGATTTAACTTCATCAAAATTATCAACCGTTATATCCCCAACGAAAACGTTAAACGTTTTATTATACAATTTATTTCTTCTTACAATCTCCACGGCTCTTTTTGATAAATCGCAAGCTATTATTTCAAAATTTAATCCCGCTTCGATAAGGGGAAATATAAAATTACCAGTACCACAACCAATTTCAAATAAAACCCGCTTTTCACATTGATATTTCTCGTTTAAAAGATCTTGGAATTCACGCGTGGTCCAATGTCGGTCTTTGAAAAATCGATTTTCGTTTCTCTTATAAAATAAGTCCCAATGTTTTTGGGCGTGTTCTTCTAATTGATTCGCTTTAAATTGAGGTACTAACCTTGAATTTTGGGCTACGATTAAATCTTTTTCTTCATCCGTTAAGATTTTATCGAGGTTAGTTTCATCCCCCATCTTAACACGTGCAGAGTGGAGCTAAAAAGAGATTGGAATTTTTTTGACGCGTCACTTATATAGTTGGATAGATGGCGCTGTTGTTGTTATATGCAATGGTGACATCTTTTGGTGATTTATTTTAATTCAAAGTAATTTGTTAGAATTCTTATTTATTTCCTAAATTATTAATTAAACTAATTCTAAATCTTTTAATAATGATTTATTTTCTTGGTAAATAATTTCTTCTTGGTTTCTCCAGCGATTTATGTAAACAACCATTTGCAAAATATGGAACAGGTTTGAAATAATTTTTTTCATTCTCATCTAACATAGAGTTTGGTAATTCAACGAGTCCAATAATAAAATGGGTTACTTTCTGAATTATTTCGTATTTAACGGGAGTTATTAAATATAATATGTTATTTATAACGCAACGAACAATCCCTGCAGAAAATTATTTCAAATTAGAATGTATTAAATAAATCCAAATAATATTTACCATATCCATAGCAATTAAAGATATTTCCTTCACCCTCTTCCTTTGAGCATAAACCAACAATATTAAAATTAATGATGTCTTCTTTATTTAACGTGTTTATACTTTTGTATTCTTTATCAATAACGGTTATTTCATCTAAATTAATCCTAAAATTTCTCAAAAAATTATTAATCTACATTCTTTGTTTAAAAAAACTTACATAAACATAGGAATAGATCCACTTCTTAATGTTAAACCTTCATCTACAATTCTCCCAAAATAAGAAATTGTTGAAATGTTTCTTCGTAAATAACCGGCAGGTTTAAATCCAGTTGCATCACTCACTGATGTTATACTTATGTAATCGTAACTTAAATTAACTTCAAAGTTTGGTAGAAATAGCGAAAATTGCTCATTAACCATTGTTTTAACTAAAGCTCTAGAGTAGTTTTTTTGAGGTCTTTCAGACCGTATCTCAATTAAAATGTTTGGGTTAATCACAGCGATTGCACTACTTGTTATTTCTAAACCTAATCCTTTCTGAAACCCCACCATATTTATTAAAGTTGGGAATTTTTCGAGAGTTTCGTACGTTTTCATTAAACTTTGAATGCTTTTAATGTAATGATTAGGTGAAAATGAAACATCTATGTTATGAGAAATTGATCTAAAAATAAATTAGTGTTTTTAAATAATTTAAGTAAATATTTAAATATTTATACCTTATAGTTTCATTCAAAGTTGCATAATTCGGGCCGAAAATTGGATTCTCCATACAAATTATTGAAATACAACCGGCCATTGTAAATTCGGATTGACCAGGGTCTAAATCGATGACATAAACTTTTTCATGATGATTCAAAAATGTGTTGATCATATATCGTAATAAAGTGCTTTTACCAACACCTTGACCACCACAAATCATAACTTTTTGATTGTTTTCTTGATAATTTGTTAATTCGTTCCAATCTTTCCCAACTTTTAAAACATTTTCATCAGGAACGGAATTAAAAGTAACTTGAAGTTTACTTTCATTTGGAAATAACACAACGTTAACACACTTTTTTATATATTTTAACCAATTATTGTCAATTGGATAACAACAGATGATAGCATATTCATTTATTAAATAATTATTAACAATTTCTTTGTATAGATTTCGATTAAAACCACACTTCTTAATAATCACCTTAATTCTATCATCATTAATTTCGTCTATATAAGAAGTGTGTGTTAAAAATAAACGTGGTGTTCCACGACCAGAAAAGATATCATACATTTTTTCTCCTGGATGAAAATTATAACCATAAGCAGTCACACCACCTCGTAAAACTTGTATTCTACAAGCCCCAAATACATAAATTGAACTATTTTTACTTAATGCAATGACGCCACAATTATTCCCTTGAAAATATTTTAAATTATTTTCTGAGTTATTCCCGAAACATTGGGAATTTTCAGATGATACAGTTCGTTCTAAATCATCATCAGAATCACTTTGGTACAAATTTTCACTCTCAAAACTTGAATTGCTTAGGTTTTTGGATAATTTTAATTTTTTCTTCTGATTTTTACTGGGGGAGGGGTATCCTTTAACATCTTCTTCCATCTTCATGTATTTTTACTGATAAAAACACAAATTTATTTAAATTTGTTTGAGGTTAAGTTATCAACACTTGTGAACTGTCAAAAAGCAGCATGGATAATAAATGAACGCACCCCGAATATAAATCATTATAAATAATAAATTCAATTTAATTAAATTGAGTTAATTGAAGGAAGTGTGATTTTTATGATAAATTATGATTAAGAATTTAATTTTTGTTAGTGAAGTATTAAATAAATGTCAAAACTTAAAATCACGTGGGGAATTATTGAACGTAGACATCATTCTTAAAGGAATATAATGCACCCTTATAAATTAAGACAGTTTAGGGGTGTTATCAATAGTTTTTGCACGATTAATGTTAAAGAGGTACTAATTTGCTGTTTACCGTTTAAATTAATGAATGGATGTGACATTTAAAGCCTCTGTTTATTTAGATTTAATGAACATCCTCCTCTTACCTTATCTCCCTTTGGGTAATAGATAATCTGTTTTAGATAGATCCTTACCTGAAAACAAACAAGATTTCTTTGGGATTTCATAGAAAACGTAAGCTAAATTAAATGCAATTTTTTTTAATACAGAATAGTACTGTTTTGCATTTTGCAGAGTCATCTTTTCATAAAAGTTTCATTAAATCAAGTTTTTGGAATAAAACTCCTGCTTTTAGGAAGGATTTTTTACCTAAACAATGTAAGTTAATGTATGTGTCGTTTAAAATAAAGTATAAAGTTGAGAAATTATCCCATTAGGAGATAAATGTTATATTAGGTTATGTTTTGATGATATATTTAGCAGAGGTGTTATTTGGGTTGCCTATTTATTTTTTTTTTATTTTCAATTAGTAATAATAAATTGGTTGTTGAACATATGCTAAATACTTATTTGTGCTAATTGGGCAAGCATGACTAACATTATTATTGGCTTTCGTAACGGTAGCGAAGCTCCTTTCCTAATCCTTTGATATTTAAAGATGTCATTTCCATGATTTAAAGCCGCAAAAGAACAAGCTTAATTCCAAAACTTTCTACAACCAAATTAATGATTACCTTAACTATTTAGATTGGGGTGGGTTGAAGGTCTTAATGATTCATGATCAGAGCGTCGAGTAGTTGTTGCAATTCTCTACAGTTTAATTTGATCTGCAAATAAATAAATATTTCAAAATTTAACATACACCAATAAATATTAATATTACATTATTTCAATGTTAAAATAATTGATGTTTTTGATTGATAAGATATATATAAAGATAAAAATTAGTTAGATAATCATTTTTAAAAATTGATTTAATCCCAATACATTGTAATGATTTATAATTAAATATCTGGACGAATCAAATAGATTAAATCGTCTAGATTTATATTTTTATCATAATTTAGTTAAAATCGACTTTATTAATAATTATTGCTCAAAAAACTACAATAATAAATTCTTAACACTACAATAAATGTAACAAACGTTATCTAATCTACAAAATTTCTCTGACGACGACTGTTAAATTTTATTTTAAAGTGAATAAATATTTTGAGTTTCAAAACCTTATTGTTACAACAATTTCTTTACAATAGGCCTCAATAAAACACTTTACTATTGGGATAAACTCCAATTCTTTACGACAAAGAAAGAATAAATTGGTGAAGTACTTTTGAAAGCAATTTTGATTAAAATATCACGATAACTTCTTCTGTTTATTAAACACTTCTGAAAATTTTATTTTAACAGGACAAAAACAATATCTCCTAATAAACAATAAAAGAATAATCGAAAAACATATTTCATATTCAAATATACAATACTTACATATACTTAACTTATTAATTCTAAAAGTTTCCTACTCAAATTTATTTTACGACTCTAACCAATCAATACATATATAATTTAATCTTAAAGCTGATAAAACAATTTGCTCCCATGATTCAATATCCAGAGACTGCTGATTACTTAGTTTTGGTAGATTCTCGTTTCAAACAGGATGTTCTCGTGGTTACTCTCTAACAAGCTATTATGCTTTTTTATCTTAGCCACCATCGCCTTAGGGATATCAACGACAATCCTAGGAGTGGATAATACAAGTCTTAAAGACGATTTAGATTCTTGCAAATCCGAAGAAGAATCGACAACCGATAATCCAACAACAACCGAACCAACGCCGGAAGAAGACATGACCGATTATCGTCTCCCCAAAAATGTCGTACCAAAAACATACGACTTATATTTATATCCAGATTTAGTAGAAGGACTTTACAATGGTAAAGTGACCATTGCGGTGGACGTTTCGGAAGAAACGTCGATCGTTAAAATACACAGCAACGGTTTGAACATCGATAGCGTCGAGATCGATTCTGAATCAACTCAATATGAAAAAGACGAACTTCACGAATTGATCGTTTTGAAAAGTTCGAAAACTTTAACCGTGGGAAGTCATGTGATTACAATTGAATATAATGGAGATATGAGAAATCGTATCGTAGGGTTGTACGTTAGTAAATATGTTGAAAATGGTGTGGAGAGGTGAGTTTAATTTTTTTTAATGTTAAATTAATGTCTTATCATATATAAACCTTTCCAATAGAGTGTACATTGTGTATAGGGCGTGACATTGTTACGTAACGGGTGTGACAAACATAACTTCTTTATTTACTAACTTGGTATTCCCAAATTAGTTACAAAAAATTTATTAACTGTCAATGAATGACCTAATAAGCTTTAGTTAAGTTTTTGTCAAGAACGGTAGAATTTAAGAGGACTGCTTCATCCCTTATTCTTTTGTAATCAAGAAAATGATATCAGTATAGGACCAATACGTCACACCACGTATCACTCTCAGTCAACTGTTACTAGCTTTGAATAAAAAAATACAACAATCTAACGCTGAATACCAACTAAAACTAGAAGTAACTATCTAAAAGGGTGCACCTGATAAGTCATCTATGAAGTTTTAAAAATTCATTAATTAGTTAGTTGCTGAAACTTGCCAAAAATTTCGCCAAAAACTTGCCAGAAACGGCGGAAGGAAATTAGTAATGAAAGCTTGTTTGCCTGGCATGTTAATAGACAGTCGATACGTTCTGCGTCTTAAGTGCACACCATTCCAATGTACTCTTAGCTGATATCAACCTATCTAACTACTTTGTGTAGTTCGTGTATTTTGGCATTATTCAAAATTAACCTAAATTTTGTATTATAAAGTATTAATAGTAAATTTATAATAAAATTACTAAGAAATATCATGAAAACGATATTATTGTCCCTAATTTAGAGTAAAATATTAAAGATCTCCTTGCTTTATTATAAATATTTAAGACGTACTTGACATCTTATCATATCAATCAATTTTGAATTGTATTAAATTTGTCATAATAAATTTTTTTTAGCCTTGAATTAGCTATAAATTTGATCTAGTTTATCTATATAATGTGTAATATATCATAGAATATTAAGATGTATATAACTTTTTATTTTATTTTTATCTTGATTAATCATGATTTATAATATATAAGGATTAATTCAACTTAACCCATATGTTTTGATTTTTTGGTTTTAATCAAAAGTATAATAAATAATAACTATATTTGTAAGTTTTATAAACTTATGTTCTGATGTCATCTGATATCAACTTGATGGATGATCGCGTACTCTATTTTATTTTATCAAAAAACATTTTGTTTTATTATTATACTTCGTGGACACTTGTTGGTTTATTTATAAAAGATAACAATGTATTTTTAACATTATTTTTCTCCCCAAAAATATGACGCAAGTTTTACGCGTAAACAAATTATAATATTTCGAAATCCCATTATAATTTATTCTCTGTCGAGTATATTGTTTCGTCAAGCAATTTCAATTCAATTAACTAGATTTAAAACAAAAACAACGTTAACCAATAACCATCGACCAAAGACGATAACATCCAGTGTAATAATTTCACCTTCACTTTCCAAACGAATGCCGCAGACTTTAAAACACTTACGGTTAGTTTAAAGTCGTCGTTCTTGAGAAGCAGTCGTTGAACCAAGACACTACTTTCACATCAATACAGTTAACGGTATCGCGTTATTTTCATCTCGGTCAAAGTCTCATCCATAAAAATATTAATTTATTTCGTAGAAAAATAATGTCATAATTTGAAAAATGAACGGATCCGCAGAAAATGAACCCGATCAAAACATGCGACCACCACCAATAAAAGTGAGAAAACGTAGCCGAAGAAAGTTGATAACGTTTCTTTTGAGTTGTTGCGTTTTCCTCGCAGTTTTTTGTGCGTGCTTATTAACAGCTTTGGTTTTAATCGGAAAACATTACATACATAATTACGACCCGGATTATTTTAAAGAAAATGTTACAATGAAACCGTTACCAGAAAAGAACATAAACGATTATCGTTTACCAAAAGATGTTAAACCCATAACATACGACATAACGTTAAAACCCGATTTAAAATTAGGTGTGGTGAATGGAAAAGTGAATATAACAATAAACGTTGAAAATAAACGAGAAAATGTAATTATTAATAGTTATGGTTTAAATATAAGTGAGGTTACGATTCAAAGTGTAGCTACATTAGAACAACAACTCGTGGCTAATTATGTTATTGATAACGAGTTACAGAGAATCGTTATTTATTTTAAGAAAAAATTTATTGATTTTGGAAAATATTTTTTAACGATTACTTACGATGGAAATATTAAAAATAAAACTAAAGGAATTTATCTTAGCTATTATAAAGACGAAAACAAAACTAAAAGGTGATTATAAAAAAAAACATACCTATTTTAAAGGATGTAATAAATGTCCTAGATTTTTTTAATCGTTTACTTAATTACGTAACTTTGAATAAGTTGTTTAGAAAGTTTGTAATCCTCGTTTGCATATTTAATTGATTGAGTAATTACTCAAATTATGTTATTTAAAATGTACTTGAACTTATTTTTAAATTAATTTTTTTTAGAGCAATGGCAACATCAAAATTCGAACCAACTTACGCTCGACAAGCATTTCCATGTTTCGATGAACCTCAAATGAAGGCAAAGTTCACAGTTCACCTGTTAATACCTGGCGACGATGAAAAATACATCGCTCTATCAAATATGAATCAGGTAAATATAATATTAAAAATAAGAATTTGATCATTACTTTTAACGTTCAAATAGGATTCGACTGAGCGTGTCGATAACGGTGTTTTGGTAACATTTAAACCAAGCGAATCAATGTCAACATATTTAGCTTGCTTTATTGTGAGCGATTTTGCTTATAAAGAAACATCGTTTAATGATGACAAAGTACCTTTGAGAGTATACGCAACTCCGGGACAACTGGATAAAACAGATTATGCCCTTTCAGTGGGAAAAGGAGTTATCGAATATTTTAATGGATACTTTGGACTTGATTATCCGTTACCAAAATTAGGTAAGAAATTGAAACTATAATTGAAAACATGATCAAACTCACTTTCATTTTCGTGGACCAAAAATTTCTTTGTGCTATTAGAATATATCCTGTAATGCTTGGTGAATACCTGTTATGGTCTGGTTTTTGTGGATACTCATGGTATTATGAAGGGGGGTTGGGTTCCTCTGCAAATAAATATAGAAATTTTGATCACATTTCAGTGTTGCGTATCGATTTTGATAATTCCTAAAAATAAGTTGGTAAACTTCCACAGCGGATGTTCCATGTCCTTTGTATCTTGGTATTTCGTAGAATAAGCGTACTTCCTGTGTTATTTGTCTCATTTAATATGCTTCCCAGATGGCTAAAACTTGGCACTACTTCAATGTAAAGCTTCGTTATCTTATTATAGAGTGATCCAAGTCAATTGGACAGCAGTTTCGTGTGTAGTACTGTTAGAGTTTTTTCTTCCCTTCTGGACATTGATCATTCTTATGATATCATCCCTTCTTTTGAACAACTGGTCCAAATAGATATGGTTATTGGCTTCTTTATTTCTTTAACGGCTTCTTAATATATTATCTGCATTGCAATGTCTGCAATAAAATGTTATTTCCTGTTAATACAGATATGGCCGCAATCCCAGATTTTGTATCAGGAGCTATGGAACATTGGGGATTAGTTACTTTTAGAGAAACAGCTTTATTATACGATTCAAAAATAAGTTCAACCGCTAATAAACAAAGAGTGGCGACCGTTATTTCACACGAACTCGCTCACAGTTGGTTCGGAAATTTAGTAACGATGAATTGGTGGAACGATCTTTGGTTAAATGAAGGTTTTGCTTCATACATTGAATACAAAGGTGTCGATGCGGTTGAACCAACTTGGAATATGGTAAAAATAGCTTAATTTACAAAATAAAAATTTTAATTACACTAATTTTAGATGGATCAATTTGTAATTGAAGATTTACATAACGTTTTGAAAATCGATTCAGCTTTAAGTTCGCACCCAATCGTTCAAACTGTTCTTACTCCGGATGAAATAACATCGATTTTTGATACGATTTCTTACAGTAAGGGAGCTTCCGTTTTAAGAATGTTAGAAAATGCAGTTACTGAAAATGTATTTAAAACGGGGGTTACAAATTATTTGAATAAATACAAATTTGGTAACGCGGTTACTGATGATTTTTGGAACGAACTTGAAGATCTTTTTAATGATGTTAATGTCACTGAGTTTATGAACACTTGGACCATGCAAATGGGTTACCCAGTTTTAACCGTAAAAAGTGATGGTAACAAATATACTTTGACACAAAAGAGATATTTAACCGATCAGAGTAAAGCTGAAGAAGCAAAGGCTATTCCTTACAAGTTAGTGGACATAAATATAAAAATAAAAAAATGTTTTTTTTATTATTTGATTTATATTTTAGTTACAAATGGATTATCCCAATAACTTATGTTACCGATAAAGGAGTTTCTACTGAAGTAATTTGGCTTCATCCTGATGACGAATCAGGTTTTGATAATAAAATAAATAATATGTATAAAAAATTAATGTTTTTTTTTAGTTACAATTGAGAAACCATCTGATGCAACGTGGTTGAAATTTAATTCCCGTCAAGTTGGGTATTACAGAGTAAATTATGAAGATGGGCATTGGAATGATTTAATAAATAATATAAAAATGATGGATACAGTTGACAGAACGCATTTAATTGAAGAAACATTTAGATTGGCAGAATCCGGTCACATTAGCTACAATATTCCTTTAGATCTCTCTAAAAAGATGGCGGATGAAAGGGATTATGTACCATGGAGTGCGTTTAGTACCGTTGTTGGAGAAGTAATGCGTTTCTTACAAAATTCGAATGTATACACAAATTTACAAGTAAATATTTGATTTTATAAAGTATTCATCGTTAATTAATATTTTCTTGTAGGAATATGTTAGTAGTCTTGTTGAACCTGCTTATAAAGTATACGGTTTTGAAGAAAAAGATACAGATGGTCATTTAGACAGGTACTAAACCGTAACAATTTTTGCTTAAATAAATATAAAATTTATTGCAGACGTGCGAGATCGACAGTTTTAAATTTAGCTTGTAGCGCGGGAATGAAAGAATGTAATGAACAAGCTTCTAAATTATTTAAAGATTGGTTAGACGGAACAGAATCGGATATATCTCAGGATTTGCGACAAATGGTTTATATTTATGGTAAAAAAATTTCAATACAAAATTAATTTTTATTAATTATAATTTATAATTAAAGGAATGAAAAATAGCCCTGTTGAGTATTGGGATAAACTCTTCGATAAATTTGCGAACGAAGCAGATGCTGGGGAAAAATTACGTCTTTTATATGGTTTAGCTAGCATTAAAGATCCTTCGTATCTTACAAAACTGATTGAGTTAGCTTCAAAAGATGAAACGTACGTTAGGAGTCAAGATTACTTTTCGTGCTTAGCTTATATTTCTTATAACACTATTGGGACACCAATCGTTTGGGAATATGTTAGGTATTTTTCATAAAATAATTTCTATTTATTATAAAAATATTAAAAATTGTATTTTTTATTGTTTTAGAGAACACTGGGAAGATTTGGTTGATAGATTTACTTTAAACGAAAGAAATTTAGGTACTATGATTCCAACAATCACTCAATCATTTTCTTCACAAACCAAATTAGATGAGGTAGATATTTCTTTTTTAATCAATATATGTAATAATGATCTTTTTAAATTCATCAATCCATTTAGTCGGTTTTTGGGCAAATAAGGAAAAATATCAGCTGTTTCACTTTTACCTGTCACATTAATTCTAACCTTGACGAATAATTCATTCATGTCTTTAATTTTCCTAAGGGTAATTGTATCTTTACAATAGGGGTCCTGTTATGATTAAGATAAATTTAAGCTTAGAGTGCTTGCTGTGCAAAAATTTGCTAGATTAAAATTTATTAGAATCAGCAAAGATATGAGCCAAGGTCGTTTGAAAGGAAACTTTACCGAGTGCGGTGCTACCGAGCTAGCGCCTCGGCTGCAAGCGACCTCAGCTTAAACCTATCTGGACTAACGAAAATATAAACCAAGGTCATTTGTGGTCGAGTTGTTACTTTGAAAACTTAGAAAATAAAGAGCTACAAAACTAACGACCTCGGCTAGAATTATTGAAATTATATACATATTATTTAAGAACTTTACAACCAAATACTAATTTTTGTAGATGGAAGCGTTTTTCGCAAAATATCCAAATGCTGGAGCTGGAGCTAGTGCTCGATTAAGAGCTTTAGAAACTGTAAGAAATAACATAAAATGGTTGTCGCAGTACAAAGAACCTGTTGAAGAGTGGATAACAGCTTTATCGAGCCAAAAAGTTTAAAAAAAATAATATATTTATATGTAAGGCGAGGAAGGTGTTTTTCTCGTCCTTTTTTTGTCAAAATAAAATTGTTTTGTTGTACAGTGTACATTGACGTTTAAATAATAAAAATATATAATAATTATTTACTTTCCACTTCACCAGCTTCTTGAAATCACTTTCATTTAAAGGTTTTAACGCGATCTCCGAATCGTGGGGGGTAATAACTTTCTTCAAAAACCCGGTGGGCGAAGAGATAACATTCATAACTCGAGTAAAACGCGAGTGAAAATGTCGACAAGCGACTCTACAAGTTGTACAAAAATTCCCGAACACCACTTAGAAATTAAAGTGAAACCATCGAAGAAATTAATAACCTTTCTATTATCATGTTGCTTTATTTTATTAATTTTCTCCGCGTGTTTATTAACGGCGCTCATTTTAATCGGAAAGTTTTACATTCACAATAAAAGTTATCCCCCAAAAATGAATTCGTCGCGTTCAATGGTGTTTGATCAATCGTTAAAAAGTGAAAATTTAACGAGATCTCAAACGGAAATGGATGAAACACTTTTTAGGCTCCCAGAAGGTGTTACTCCCACTCATTACGATCTTACAATTCGGCCGAATTTGATTACGGGAGTTTTAAATGGAGAGGTGATCGTGAGCGTTTTAGTTTCCGAATCGGTTCAATATATCGTTTTAAATTCGCATTTATTGAATATTAGCAAAGTGCAAATTAAAAGGAACGATGGTGAATCAATTTCTGTAAGAAATGTCGCGATGGATGAACGCACTCAAACTATGGCGATACATTTAAATAGGAATATTTATCCCGGTGAATATTTTGTTTGGATTAGTTATTTTGGAAATATGAAAGATAGATTAACCGGGATGTATCTTAGTTATTACACAACAGCTAATAATGAAAAAAGGTAAGAAAAAAATAGAACTAGAGGAAGTTAATTAACTCAAATTGTGAATTATTATCCAATTGGTGACAAATAAACCAGAAATGAATTTAAACCCAACTCTCTATTTACATCGGTGAAAGATTGTTATTTTTCGATTACGAAAGCCTTCAATTTAGAAGAGGCGATTGAAAGGTTTTACAATAAAAAATTGTATTGGATTAAATTAATTATTTACGGTGGTAACAAATGATTTCTTGTGCTATAATTTAAATTCTAAATTATTCATGGGAATTCTTAATACCATTTAAAATTTTCTTTATAGACCCATTGCTAGTTCAAAATTTGAGCCAACACACGCCCGCGAAGCGTTTCCTTGTTTCGACGAACCAGATTTAAAAGCAACATTCACAGTTCACATTTTAAAACCAAATCTACCCGAATACATCGCCCTATCAAACATGCCAGAAATAAAGAGCGAATTAACCAGAGATGGCGTGATGGTTCATTTCCAAAAAAGTGTTAAAATGTCGACGTACCTCGTCTGTTTCGTCGTTTGCGATTTCGATCACACCGCAAATATAATACACACATCCACGAATGCCAATAACGTTCCGTTTAGGGTGTTTGCAACTCCCGAACAAAAATCAAAAACCGAATTTGCAACCGCTATCGGTAAAAGGATTATCGAACATTTTAATCGATATTTTGGAATCGATTTTCCATTACCAAAATTGGATATGATCGCGATTCCAAATTTTATATCTGGAGCTATGGAGCATTGGGGATTGGTTACGTTTCGAGAAACGAGTCTTTTGTATCACCCCGAAATTAGTACAACTAAAAATATGCAACAAGTTGCGGCCGTTGTTGCTCACGAGTTTGTACATAGTTGGTTTGGAAATTTAGTAACAATGAAATGGTGGAACGATCTGTGGTTAAGCGAAGGTTTTGCGACTTATATAACGTTTAAAGGATTAGATGAAGTTCTCAAAGAACAATGGAAGATGATGGATCAATTTTTAGTGGAAAGATTACATACTTTACTCAAAATAGACGCCACGTTAAGTTCACATCCAATTTTACAACATGTTACAAAACCGGATGAAATCACTTCGATTTTTGATACGATTTCTTACAACAAAGGAGGCACGGTTTTAAGAATGTTAGAAGATGCCGTTACAGATAACATTTTCAGAGAGGGAGTAACTAATTATTTAAAAAAATATGCTTATGGTAATGCGGTAACAGATGATTTATGGAATGAGTTAGGAAAATTAGTCGAAGATGTTGATGTCGTTACGTTTATGAAATCTTGGACCGTACAATCAGGGTATCCCGTTGTTAATGTAAAATCGAAGAACGACAGTTTTGTTTTAACTCAAGAAAGATTTTTAACCGATCCCGATGCTCAAGATAGAGTTCCATCACCTTATAAGTAATTTAAAAACTCTAATTCATCTCAAAATTAGTAAATTTTTTTTTTAATCTTTAAGTTATAAATGGGTTATTCCAGTTACTTATGTTACGGATGAAAGTTCAACATCTGTATTAGTTTGGTTTCAACATGACGATCATGAAAGTAAGTTTAAAAATTCCAGTTTTAAAGCAAATTTTACATACCTTTTAGCAAATTGATCTTACCTCTATTGGCAGTATAAATTAATATTCTCCTTTTCTCTTTCTTCTTCCTCACATTTGAAAGTTTTCATCCAGTTACCACTCGAACTAAAGGTTTTTCTTCAAATTAAAGGCTTTATACTTCTCATATTCCAATTATGAATCCATTACCACATTTCATTTCTGAAAACAAACAATTAATCATTTATTTTAGTTGAAATAGAAAAGCCGACAAAAGCAAAGTGGGTAAAATTTAATTTTAAACAAATCGGAATGTATCGAGTCAATTACGAAATGAACCATTGGAAGACATTGATCGATAATATCCACGAGATGGAAACCGCAGATCGAGCACATTTAATTGAGGAAACGTTTTCTTTGGCGGAATCTGGACGTTTAAGTTACGAGGTACCCTTAAGTTTATCTAGATATCTTGTAAATGAAGTTCAGTTTGTACCTTGGGCCGCATTTTTCTACTCAATCAAACCGGTTATTGATTTAATGAGAGATTCTGAACATTTCGACAAATTAAATGTAAGTTACTTATATTATAAAAAAGTAATTAGATTTATAATTATTTTTTTTTAAAGAAATATGTCCAATTTTTAATTAAACCTGCTTATGATATGTATTCTTGGGATGAAAAACCAACCGATACTCACTTAGATAGGTAAATTAACAATAAAAAAAATTATTATACTAAAAAAAAATTTGTATTTAATATTTTAGGAGAGCCCGCGTTATTATTCTTAGTTTAGCATGTACGGTGGGTTTAAAACATTGTGTACAAACAGCTTCAAAACACTTTATGGATTGGTTGGAAGGAAAAACTTTGAGGATTCGACAAGATTTACGCGAAATAGTGTATCCCCATGGTTAAATGAACTAATTAAGCGTAAATTAAGCTTTTACAAACATATTTTTAGGCATGAAACATAGCAACGTCGAATACTGGGATCATCTTTTCGATCGCTTTGCAGCAGAACACGATGCTGGGGAAAAAATGAGATTATTGCATGGTTTAGCAAGCGTTAGAGACCCTTTGTATTTAAGTAAATTACTTGAATTATCGAAAACGGAAAAGTATGTGAGGCGACAAGATTATTTTACTCTTATTACTTATATAGGTTCGAACCCGGTTGGAAGACCGATTGTTTGGGATTACATCAGGTAAAAATAAAATATGTTAACAAATAAGAAATTAACAAAAATTTTTTAGAGAAAATTGGTTAAAAATAGTTGAAAGATTCACATTAAACGATCGTTATTTAGGAACAATAATAACGTTAACAACGAATTTATTTTCAACTCAAACGAAAATTGAAGAAATACATTCGTTTATAGCTAAATATCCAGATGGAGGGGCAGGGGAAAATGCAAGATATTTAGCATTAGAACAAGTTCACAATAATATTAAGTGGTTACGAAATTACAAAGAAACCGTTGAGAATTGGATCGCAAATGAACGAATTAAAAGTTAAAAATGTTTTATAACAAAATAAAAATTATTTTTGACACTTTATCGAGTTTCTTTTGATTATAATCTAGAAGCGATTATAATCTAGATCCTATTATAATCTAAAAACGATTATATCTAAACTCAATGAACAAGAAAACATATCAGTATATTAAAACTCTTGTTGCGCAGTACCCATTGTAGACCAGATCAATAATCCAGAGGGTTCAAGTAATTTCTTTCGCCCACCGATAGGTGGCTGCAATAGTTAGAATAAATCGGGGTTAGAAGACCGTGTTCAAGAACAAGTTGTTGAAACCCCACCCGGTTTACCACAAAATCGCAATAACATCTCAAAACGTGTCAAAAAAAACCTTGAGTTTTGTGTCACTTTCTTGTGGTTAACTTTTAAAACCTCTTCTCGAAGGAGGTGGAATGAGCCCTGTTTTGAATAAGGTATGCAAAATCCGATGACACCTTCCGATTACACTTCATAAAATCAATATGGCAAATTATCCTTGGTTATTGTACTATTTAGCTTTACGTGGTTAACAACGTTTTACAATTTAGAGTAGTTGTATGGGTTAGCCACGTTCATTTCGCTTCATCACGCATTCAATTAAGCTTCAAAACCGGAACAATTAATTCTGAATCGTAATGAATTTATCATTGCTTTCCAGGGGACGTTCTAGCCAAGATGTTCATTCATATAGATTGTGGATAAACTTCAGGTATATTTCAGTTTTAAAGATTTTAAAATAAACATTCAAACATTTTTCAATTTTTCCAGTTTAACATGACTGATTACTTTAAAAGCTCACTTGCAATAGGTAAGTTAAAAAGTTTTCAATCTTAGTAAACTTTAATTGTTAAAGTATAGATAGAACATTACAACTCATTTCATCACTACTCAGATTTTTAATACAAATATTTGTCTTCTTGGGAAGGTGCTAAATAGTGATTACAATAGCAGTGACTATTCATCGTCCTAGTTTCTCATAAATAAACTCTAGGGTAAAGACAAGCCATAGGACAGAATCTAACTCAACCAAAACTCTCTCTCTCGCTATGAGAGGGGTTAAAAATAGGTCGCAATAACAGCCCCGTTGAGATGAGCCGATTGGCTCTCCGAAATTAAGTCGGTCCTAGTCTGCAGGGCGTCAAAAGAGGCCAAGAGGACCTCTTCGGCGTCCCCTCCTCCCAACTGCGATCCAGAAATATAATCGTTTTTGTACGAGTTGAGGCGGCAGGAGAGCGGCTCTAAATTAGTTAAACCAATCCAGGACGTGCGTGTACTTCGGATGCAGGAACACGATTAAAGCGGACGTACGTCGTTTGCTTGTCTTTGATTGATTCGTACTTTACAAACGAGAAGAGTTGTGCAGCATTTGGTGCCGTGCGCAAATTCGGATAGAGTTTTCATCACGGTGACGCGAGATATGTTGCGCTGTTATTTTAACGTGAAAAGTTTAAATTTCGTACGGGACTTTAACTACAAGTTAAAACTTTGTTATCAATTAAACGGTTTGTCATGGTGTTAAGTGAAACGGTTTTTTTATAACCCTTTATCCCACACTAAAATTAAATTAACTTCAACATATAACATATTTTTCGTACTAATCATACCATTTTTATTAATATTTTCATTTCTTTTTGTTCTAATATAAGTACGATGAACTCAATTTGAAAATAGACTCGCAATCGTTAACGCCATCTCCAAACGAAAAACGCTAGTTTTGCTTCAAATTGATACAGCTCGACGCAAAAGTATTTAAACGTAACACAAAGAGTTTAGTTTAAAAACTTTGGCTCGTTAAACCGCATGACGTTAATCTTATCAACATCCTCGCTTATTTACATTAACCGCAAAATGACGATGAAGTCATCGGGAAAATATTAAACATTAAGCTGAAAGACACATGTTTGGTGATATTTTACAGTAATAAATGTGCCGTCGTTCTATATACTATGAATCAACAAGTTTGTGCAATTTTGTGAACCATAGGGAACATGTTGGTCGTTTTATTGTGTTGTATGATGAAAATCGTCGAAAATGTCGTCGGGAAACCGGAACCGAAAAAGAAAAAAGTTCGATACAAAAGGAGAATACCGAAAAATAGTAAAGGTAATTTTTGAAAAATAGATTGATTAAAATATAAAAAGATGGCGGTAGGATCGTTCCGACTCAAGCTTTCTTTTGAAGAATCCGTTTTTATCATATACTGAAAATCTTGGCCCAATTCAATTTTATTTATCTATTTATGAGTTGCCATAATAGAAAAGATGTTTCAGATTGAGTTATTGCTGAGAATTTTGATCACTCAGTCTTGACTTTTTGTGCAAACCTAAGTTAGTTTAAGTAAATCACATCGGTAATGTTGAATTTCTTACCTAAATAAAAATATTAACAGTTTTTTCATCGAATTCAATTTCGAATGTTCTGCGTTCTTTGATTATGCACCTCTACAGGTTCCCAGCGACTTCCTCGCGCACATCATCATGTTTTTCTAGCCAATCTGAAATTAAAAGAAATCATTTTTATAAATATAATCTATCCATTCAGATAAAAATTCATCATCATGATTTAAGGATATAAAATTACCAGTATTTGCTTTCTATGCCCTACAGCATTCCGTCATCTCTTGCGTTGTCTCGCAATTTGTCCCTCGTTGTAATATGCATTGAGGACTGCATGATGAAGCTCCTGGAGTACAAGTAAGCACCTGAACGTATTTTCTTTCCAGCAACTTCAACACGACTTCGGTTTCTCTCTGTCGTTTTTGTGCCAGTCTTAAATTTACTGTTCTGAATCATTTCCACGACTTTGCTGTAGTCAAATTACCTGAAAAGTTTGATGGTTAATTACTGCTCTTATTTTTTGTTAATTTTAAGACACCTACGTATATAATATCTAATTATATACCAAAGAAAAGAAAAATACTTATGTACAAATATCTGTTTACAAAGAAATTTACTTTTACTATACATAAATAAACCACTTAATCAGTTCCATTGGTTTAATAAGTTTTTTTTAATATGTTTAAATGAAAGAACCGCCTTTCTTTGATGCGTCATTCACTCCAAAATCGTTCCCCAATCTTACAACGAGCGCGTGCGCGCTACTAAAAACCATACGAGAAACGACTACGAGACATTCCAAACGTTTAGTGTGGTTTAGTGCACGTCGGGATGATCTGTTACGGAGTTGTTGAGGTGCTGTTTATGGTGTAAATGTAAAATATTGGTTCCTCGCTGTGTTTAAAAAAAACGTTTAAATATTTCGTTGAATCAGTGAAAAGTTTAAGAAAATTTAACATGTTGGATCAAAAACTTATTTAATAATGAGGCTTTTAAGTGGTAATTAAAAAAATATATCTAAAAAAATAATAATTATAATAATAAGAAATGTACCATGATTAATTAAAATGAAGTTATAGGAAAAAAATTATTGAGAAAAAGAAGCCAATAAACATTGTACACGTGCCACGTTATGAAAGCGATTAGCTTGTCTTTATATGGAAGGCATAATACCAATTATGTTACCAATCGAGTCCGAGTATAGAAATTCCCGGTTAATATTAGGAAATGTAAAAAATGTTTGCATTTTTTTTGGTATTCCAAGGATAACGTCCTGATTAGTCACCATTACAATATTATTTTTAGTTACAAAGTTTAAATTCCAATCAATCCAAATTGATTCAATCATTTTTTTTACAAGCATTTCTCAAATATAAAACATTCTTTTTATTAAAGAACAATCAACGAGAGAGAAATTTGGATTGCGTTGTTATTCACTTGAGTTACTTTTGTGGAAACGTGTAGAATGCATTATTCAAGAATGGTTTCTTCGGCTTCCTTAAACGATGTGTTATGAAAACGAATAAAAGTGGGACGATGTTTAGAAACTGGATTGTTTTTTTTCTTGATCTTCATTTTTCAATCGGAATCGTTTTCAATAAAAATATTATTTATTTTCATCTTTTGCGATTCAAATCATAAAAAATGTTGTGTTTGAAAAGTTTATAAAAACATATTTTATCTAAATCTGCTAAAACCTCTAACTGCAGCAATGATAAGTTGAGAGTTCGGTATGGTCAATAAGATTTGAACCTGCCTTTTCTTCCTCCTTATCCAAAAACTATTTTCCATTCTCTTTTTCGCATCAACAACTATTTAGAGAATCCACTTTACGGATATTTTTTGTATATATCATAGGTACTGATGGTCTAGGTTATGAAGATTTTTTTTGTTGCTCCAGCAAATAAATCAGCAATTGCCGCAATACTTATCCATGACACTATATAGCATACAAAGGTCACCCTCATATTTTCCATTGAGGGCGTTTAACATATTTCTGGCTGTTTCGTCTCCGTGTCAAAAGCATTTTTTTACCTAAAAAATGCTTGTTTTAACTTTCATTCAATAACTTGATAGAGAAGGTGTGACAAAGTAATAAATTTATTCCCATTTTTTTTAACTGTTATTTGCAAAAAAATATAAAAAGTTTTATAACAACTCTTAAAAATTAGAAGTACCTCTAAACACTTTGAACTCCTTTCTTTGCTTCTTTCTGAAGTGGGTTAGTACTTATTCGAAAAGTACCATTCAAAACCGCAAATGTCGATAAATTATAAAGTTGTTGACACAAAATTCGAGTACACACTATTTCTCAAAAATAATAATCCACCATCTCCGTCACCCGTTTACCTACATTTCCCTGTAAATTATAGTATGCCGAGCTGGTTTCTACGAAAGTGTGTGAGCTCAAAACGTAATTTACAGTTACGATCTTCCATTAACTTCAACACATCATCAACCGCGTGAAAAAGAAAATTCTCAAAAATAATAAAAGAAACCATAAAAAGACGCAAATTTCGACATCTGCCGTTGTTTACCTTTTCTCTTCGTTATGTCGCCCCTTTAAGGTCACTGACATAACGCCGGCGCCAGTCGCACCTCTCGAGAGTAGGTTTACCATCTCGTATATTACCATGTAATTGAATTCTTGAACCTCTGAGGAGGTGTTAACGAAGCGAGCGGACTCGATTTATGTAAATCCAAAATAGTTGGTTTTTGCAAATTCCCTCTTTTATAGTTTACATGTATACAAACTTGAGGTTGTTCGTACATAGTTAATTTTATCGCTTCGAGTTTGTAAAATCAACTCAGTTGAGAGAGAAAGAGATCTAAATCTCTTTTTAAAACGTACCCAGAGAGTTTCCAAAGCGGCCCTTCTCTTCTCAAGCTGTCGTCCAATTTCATGCTTCTGCGAGTCGTTAGTCATCACGTGACTCACACCCTCTTCAAACTAAAGATCGATTCCGGAGATAAACTTGATGTCGTCCATATCACCATCTTCGCGGGTTTTTAATAACATTAAAATTTTTTGTACAATTTAATTTTAGTAGAATCGAATTTAAATGTCGCACACCAAATACCAACTTATTACTTTCGATACTATATAGGTTAACGCGACATTTCGGATTAAAAGCAAAGTACGTGACATTATTCCTAATTTTACCTGACATTATCAAATGGTGCGCTTTGAATATCAAAGGAGTAAGACTAAGTTAAGGCTAAAATACTCAATCTATTAATAGGAAGGCTTTGTGATATTGAAATGAAAATTCCTTTCCATATAAAAATTTTAAATCATGGTACATTTTTTTTGATAATAGAGAATGTTTTGATTAACCCTACTAATACATAAAAAGTTTTTTACTAACATTATTGTGAAACTAAAACGAAGACTAAACTAAAAATGAGATTCATCGTGGTTCCATCTAAAATCCCAGCAAACGGTTTTGTGGCAAAATACTTGCTATGCAGAGGTACGTGATTTATGTACTTTAGAGAAAATCGCTTTCGTTTTAAATTGCCACAATTAGAAAACGCACTTTACCCATTACAACTTTTTCGTTTTGCTAATAGCGTGAAACCAAGAAACGATTTGTATAATATGTTTACGGTTTCTTTAAACAAAATAAATTCCTACAGTTTTTAAAGTTTACAGAATTATAATAAAATCAATACCTACTCTCTATGGTAGAAGGCAGATGTGAATATCCTTTTATTCAATGGTTGCAGCTGTTCGCAATTTCAATTCACAATTCATGATTTTATCCCGACCTAAAAGAAATTTATGGTGGTGAAGTTAGTAGACTTTTTATGGACATAAATATACTCACCATTATAATTTATTGTTTCATTGGAATGTTTTCTTGTTTTGACAGATATTTGTGCTAGTAGATTCACCATCTCATCAATGACCAAAAAGATCATTTCCTCCTCAATTTCTTTTTTACCTACATCTTCTTTCTTACCGGGCAAGATCCATCACCTTTGCAACAATTAATACTTAGTTAATAACTTTTAATATTTAAATTCTAATAATTGTTATTTTAACATAAATCGATATCAAAATGATTTCGCAAAACCTCTTGTCTATTGTTTCTAACATCCGCATCATAATTAGTAGAAAATTGTTGGACACAAGTGCATTCGTAAGCGTGACAAACGGAATTCGATGCTTCGGTGGTCACTTTCTCTTTTACCGACTCGTTTGCTGTTTGTAAACCGCAGAAAGTATCAGTTTCGATATTTTCCATCTATTAAACTAGGAAAAAATCGATACCCACCGAGTTTTACAACATTTTCAACTAGATATGTATCAACATGATGTAACAACTCTGCGCACGCGAGAAATTCAACCCAGAAATTTAAGAGCTTCTCGACTCTTTCTTATCTCTCCGCGCTGTTTGGTGTACTCTGCGACCTTAATAAATCTTTACGAGAGACTTAAATCGCCTTTGGGTATTTAATATTTAAAGCACGTTTCGATAAGTTATCTATAAATACTAAACAATAATATCCTTAGGGTCTTTTAGGATTAGGATAAAGGTCAGATTTGATGATATTTTACGGGGGTTGTCGTAAACAATCGTATTGTAGCTGTATTTGGCTCTCTGCCAGAAAGTGAATTAGAACCTTTCTTACATTAAAAATGGCTATCGTATATTTTTAACTTTGATAGGAAGATGATAGTTTTTTCAATTAATTTTCTTTTAATCTTTTCAAATTTTTATATTTCTTCTTATAGGAAAAGCGATGAACGAGGTTGGGGTAGTGGGAAGAGGCACCGCTCTGACCCCGGATTCGGATTGCAACAGCAATCATCCGGGGTCAGTGAGTTGTCTCAGCAACACATCCTCTCAAGACATAGACTTCATCCAGGATAACTCCGATTACCAATGGTTCTTAGATTATGGGTAAGAAAACCACGCTTTTTTTCTTTTATGTAGATTATGTAAAAATAATAATACAATTTTTTTTTCAATCATAAAGAAGCTGACCTTCGTGTCAGTTTTAATTTGCAAATCAACGGCCCACGTGCCTTAGTGTATAAATCAGAGAAATTTGGCTTTCATTTCCATTTGTGCAATGTTTGAGTCATCTATTCAAGTTATAAATATTATAAACTGCGTATAAGATTGTGTTGAACAAATTAATTTGTTTGTTTTTAACGTTATCAATTTTTGAAGTTAACAAGAATTTGCCAATTTAATGAATTAAAAAAAAAATAAAACTTAAATAAGTACATTTATGTAATAGTCATCACCTTATAGTGTGTATTTGTAACTCAGTACCACACCGTGTGAGGATAAAACATCAAAAAACAGTGAAGCTACAGGAAATGACGACCTATTCTTATTAAAGTTAACCTTGTAACTGTTTTGTTGTTAATGGTAGTCTCAATTCTTTCTATTTTTTTAAATTATTTTCATCACAATATTGTATTATCATTACAAATACATTTTAAAATCACCCGTAAAAAATGTTTATAGAATCGATAAATTCTTACTTAATTAATTTTCTTTTCTAACTTTATTCACACTCAATTGATAACAATAATATTTTCAAGAAACTCCCAAAAAAGAACTGAAAAGGGTTCAAATTTCAACACTTTCTTTTTCTTGAAATAAAAAGTCCTAAAAGAAAGTCGGATGAATACCATCCAATGTTCCCCTTCCATCCTATCTCAACCTTGGGAAGATTACAAAAATAACGCCTGCGGTGCGTCGGTGTTCCCTTTTCGTGTTGGCTGGACGCCTGCATAATTTTAGTCTGAGCCGGGATTAGATTCAGTTCTTCGAGAGAGGTTTTGCCGCGTAACGTTCTTGTATTGTATCGTAAACGCACACGTGGTCCACGCCCAAAGAAAACTTTCTTTACTTTTTAACTCCCGGTGTGTGTATGCGCGTGTTTGCAAACTATAAACAAGATGGGAATATAAACTTCGTCGTTTTGAGTTGGTTCTTTTAATCGGGATGGTGCCAAAAATCGCGGAAATGTCGAAAAAGGTGCGAAAGAAAAGATCGGGTAGATCAGGGAGTCCCAAACCAAAAAAGTGAGTTTATTTTTCAATGATATTCAGCGATTTTACGTGAGGATAAGTTTACAGGAAGCCGGAGTTTATTTCGCCGCGTCCCGGGTTATATTTAGATTTTGGTTTAAAAATGATCGGATGTTTTTCGTTCTTGTCTACCAGTTCTCGTAAATCAAACTGTTTAGGTGCCCCTACACAAGTTTTTATTTCAATACAAACTCGATTTTAATGGAACGTATTTATCATTTTTATTCTCGTTAAAGGTTATGATTAATCGATTACAAATACACCGTTATCACCGTGGGTTTAAATAATAGAAGTCCTTATCGTATTCGAACTCGGTCTTCAAACATTGTGTACTAGCTGCGAAATACTATATAATTAAAATCGGCTACATCAAGAAACTAAAACTTTATCGACCTTGTTATTGTTACAACATAAGATAATCTTTGCTCTTACAATAATTAGTTAATTTATATTTATCTTTTAAAATATTTGTGTTGATTTATGAGTATAACATTGCATATTAAAACACACAACAGCTGCTAAATGAATATCTGTTGGAAGCCAGAGTTCTCGCGTCCAGATGTTTCTAAACGAACGAAATAAATTGGTTAATGGACGAACCACCTCTCTCGCTTCGCCTCAAATAGACTGTCGTCATAGTGGCAAAGTATGCGGTCGCCATTTCCATGCGAAATCATCGGTTGATGAAATTTCATTTTGGCAAGTTTGGAAATTTGGCAACAAAACATCTAAAGTTTAAGTTTACGGTCGATGTTTTATGCGTTTTTAAAAAGGACATGAGGTGAGACAAAACTGAAAATATATTCAAAAATGTTTATTATTTTCTGCGCCAAATTCCACCTAATCGAAATTTAAATATTTTCGTGTTATTTTGTCACCAATATGTTTACTAAAGTATTAAATGAAAAACAAATTAATAAGTAATTTGTAATGTTTACTTATAGATATCGGGACAATAACCACACAAGCATTCTTTCGCTGGCCGAGTCGTACGATGCTAGTGATATTGGTTACTACGACGCGTTGGCTAAGAACATGGACGCAAATTTAGCTGAAGCAGATATGGAGAGTTTTAGAACAGAAGACATCCACGCACTATTAACGAATTTACCACCGATGTGTACTGATCATTTAAGTCAAGAGGTAACTTAACGTCTTTATGTTGTTAACGATTATTATTTCAATTTGTGTATATAGAATAATAGGCAAGGGGAAAGTTATGCAAGTGTTTCCGGATCAATAATGGCCAAATTTGATTTTGATAGTCCTCACACAAGTTCACAAGGCGAGGATTCGGCAAACTCAACAACAATGTCAATCTGCAAATCGGAATTGTTGTTCAGTCCGGTTAAAGAAAACCCAATGTTAGATGCAAATTTCAGCGTCGATTCTTTAGATTGCGATTTGTTAAACGAACATGACATCATGTTAACATGTCAAGCGAACAAAGATAATTACACCATCGCTTTTGAAGGATCTATGACTATGTTTTCAGAAGAAAGTGATTTCCATGACAACGGTAAGATTTAATATATTGAATAAACGGTATTAATTTCTATTTTATTTATCTTAAAAGTAGATAAGAGTGATGTATCGAGTGAAGATGCGAATTGGACGAGAATGTTGAAGAAGAAATTGCAAAATATGCGTCTGGATCAATCCATGACAAGATCTGATTGCAGTACTTTAACCACATGGAGTAAATTAAAAAAATTAACTGGTGAGAGTCAATTGAGACGTTTACCATCCGGCAATAATAATGAATCGAGTGATGAAACTTCTTCTTGCAACATGAATGAGGCTACTTTAAAAAGCCAAAGCATGCCCAATTTAACTAGGAATAGATTGAACAAGAAAATTAATAAAAGTTTGATTTTGCATCAAATGAGTTGCAGCTCGGTAAGTAAAAAAGTCTTTTATAACCATAATAATTACTTTCCGATGATCCTTATAAATGAAGAGAATCCCATTGAGGTCTTATATGGTTCTTAATCACTATTAAAGAAATATGTTTTAATTAAAATACTTAATTAACCTAAAAATCTCACCGCTTTTAACCTGACATCCAAGCGAAAATAAATTATGTTAAGATAGACGCTAAAAAACAAATTGATTATTACTAATATTTTTTTAACGAAATTATGTTAATACCTTATTATAAATCACTTTTATTCGAAATAAAAAAAATTAACTCATTTTTTGACATTGACAATCATTTGGTGGCCAACCTAAAAAAAATATAAAATTCAATGACTTAATTTTTTAATTAAATAATTTAGTAATAACATTGGAATTATGCTAATAATAAAAAATTAAAAGAAAAATGATGATTATTCAAAAATTTATTATCTTTTTATATTTGTATCAGATTTGACACATTAGTTTTGTTGCCAACGAAAAAATAAAAAAATAAAATAAAACCTGACATAACCTCAAAAAATCTAAAATAAAATAAATTTCTTCTAGTTTATTCTTAATCATTATGTACACATTTAAAGTAAAACTTAAATTAAATCGAATTCTTTTTTATTCAGAGTGATTCAAGTACTGTTCGTAGAAGACCCGTTAAAGTCTTTGATATCCAAAACCAAATCCAACAAATCAGCAGTAGGAGTACAAATGGGATGAGCGAACTCTCAGATATGGCTACATCAATAGATGCGGGGAGTACGACAAGTAGTGATCACTCGGGGAAGCAAAACTTCAGTCTAGTCAAATTGTTTATGAAACAGAAAAGTATGAGTGCCGAAGGAATGTCTACAGCTTTAGATAATTCTTGTACGAGTGAAAATTGGCCCAGCGATAGTAACATATCGGAATCGAAGCAAATAGAACAAATAACTAGCAATAGAAGTAACGAAGTTATTGTTGAGGATCAAGAGGATGGTGGTAAAATTGAAGTGGAAGAAGAATTCAAAAGCGATGAAAGTAAAATTAAAGAAAAACTTTCAAATAACAACAATAGTGTTGAAAAGAAAAAAGATTATAGATCAACGGCTACGAATACGAAACGTTTGAATAGTATTGGTGTTAGCATATCATCGGAGAGTAGTAATTCAAGCATTATACAATCCGAAATCGATCGAAAACGATCATCAAAAATATCAAAATGTGTACCCCTTAAGTTGATTAATAAGAGTATGCAAACCAGCGTAACAGATATATTTAAAAATCCACCTTATAAATTAACCGGAAGTATCAAAGAAAGAGTAAAAGTAGTTGAACCATCATTTTTAAATAAACTTAAAGAAAAAAGCGAAGTTGCTAAACCTGTTTATGTATTATATCCAAGTTATGCACTACCTAATTTAGACTTCTTAAACAACAAAGACGACGATATCGCCAACATTTTATTAATGCCTCAACCGGTAAATTCAGTTTCAACACCTCCGAAAAGACGACCATTTAGTTGCAACGATTTCGATGCTTTAAAAAAGAAAGGATTTAGTCACGTTCAGGATTGGGATTCGCTTAATATTTTACTCCCAAAAGAATTTAAAACTATTTTAGCCGATGTTCCTGAAGTGGCACATCATTTTGCAAAGAAACGCGAAAAGTCGAACAGTAATAATTGGAAAGAACGTGCTCGCCCAATGAGTTGTGATTATGGAAGTTTAGAAAAAACTTCGTCCACCTCAAGTACAGCCACCCAACCAAGTTCTGGTTATAGAGGTTCCTCAACTTTATTAACAGATTCTCAAAACAGTCCTAATTTAAATCCTCTTTTTGTGTACCGATACGATAGTGTTACAAGTTCAGAAGCGAGTTCGATGAATAATGAAAAACCTTTGGTTACTGTGACAGCACCCCCACTTCCGAAGCGATCGATTAGTTTGGCTGGGGATGTTCCACCACGTCCACCATTACCAAGAAGTATTTTACGAAAAGGAATTGATAATAAATTAATTGGTAATAAGAAGCGTTATAGTTTAATCGAAACTAATGAGGAATCTATCGAAAATCTTAATAAAAGAAGCTCTTTACACGAACCATATTATCTACCAAGAAATAAAAGATTAAGCGAAACTGAAGATGAAGGAGTCGATGCTGGAACTTCAAGTTCAAGTTTTGATGAACACGAACGAACTTTTACCCCACCACCAAATATTGATCCGTTATTTAATAATTTAAATTACGAAGATATTTACCAATTGGAAGAATTTTTAAAATTAAGTGGGGTTTCTCTATCAGATACGGATAACGATGAGAGCATCACTCAACTAAGAAGTTACGTAACTAAATTTTTATCGTTAAAAATCAACCAAGATAATTCAAAGAAAGTCAGTTTTGCTCCTCAAAAACATTTCGTTCCGAATAATTCCCCGAACGTCTCCGCTTTATTACTTAATCGAAATCATCAAACAAAAACTTTAGTCGATATGGCAATCTGTGAAGAAGGCGAAACAAGCCCTGAAAGTTACTCATCACCACTTGCAACCCCACAAAAATATGATGTAAATCAAAAAAGGAATCTTGTCACGACTGTGGGGGAATCCGTTGAAAGATTAATGCAACATTTCTCTTCGGCAACAAATCAAAATGAATTAAACACAATTGGTGACTCAGAATTAAACCCATCTTGCGCAAAATTAACTCTTAATACTTTATGTCCGGCTTTATACACTTTGCTAAGTGATGGATTAAAATCTTCGATTGAAACTTCGTTTGGGGCAATTAATAATTCCGTTTGGCAAGTTGTTGAAGCTTCGGCTCAACAAGGTCCTTTAACGAAAGCTTTAAACGAATTGGTTATGCGTATTAATGGTGAAGATACTTTATCAGAAGGATTGGTTAAGTTTAACGCTTTCGTGTTTGGTTTATTAAACGTAAGATCTTTAGATGCTTGGATAAGTTATTTAAGAACTAGAGAAAGTATCATTAAAAAGCACTACAACGCAAATTCTTTATTGGTATTGTCATTAACAGGAAGTGTAACAATTCGTGGGATTTTAGATAGTTTAATCGTTGCTTTACAACCGTTGGCTTTATTACCGTTTCAATTTGATTTGTTGTTTGAGTATCGGCAATTACATGAAAGTTTAAGACGAATGGATTCTTATCAACATCCAACAAGTCCGATTCATAAAATCCATAAATATTCAACTTATAGTTTTTCTGGGTCGGACACTGACGAGGTTTCTTGCGCAACCGCGATTCATCATGCTTCTCAACCGAACAATGAAGAACAAGGATTACCAGATTTATTAAATTCATCAAAAAGAGTACCACCTAAAGCGCGTCCAAGATCTTGTATTGATCCCGGTTGTTATTCAAAACCCGGGTTTAAATTAGCTGAAGATGTTGCATCAATAGCGAAAAAACGATGGTCTGGTGTACCTTTAACCTCAAAGCTATACCAAGCTTATAATCGACTTGCCATCGATTCAGAAGAGGAATACACAGATAGTTTAGAAACTCATTACCACCAACAAGCTCAAGTAGATGACGAAGCATTGAGTCATGTTGAAAATTTACCAAAAGATGAAGGAGAAGAGAATCGTGTTGAACCATTGAATGGAAAGAAATTTAAAAAGTTGCAAAGAAAGTGGGAGATGTTAAGTGGGAAAGAAGGGGGAAATGATCAAACTCCTCCAGAATCGCCTACTCATGTTAAATCGAAAATACCGCGACCTGTTATTTCCCCGGTTAAACCATCAGGAATTCCCGTTGCTATTCCATCACCAACTGGGAGAGGAAAAATTCCAACGGCTATTAATGGGGGAGCTATTAAAAAAGTTCCGAATCTAGTCAAAAATAATGTGATTGGTAAAAAGAATTTAACAACAACCAGGCAAGTTTTTTTATGCAATTAAATATTTCTTTCACAATTTATTTTTTTCTTTAAGAACAAGCAGATTAGATCAATTGGAAAACAATTCGAATACCCCAAGAATAATTCCAAGACCCAGCAGTTTACCATATAAACCTGCAAATCAAACGACAAAAAATAGTAAAATAACGCCACCAAGAAGAGCCGTTTCAACATCTGTAACTAGAAAAACAACAACAACACAAACACCAAAGTAAGATTTGTGTTTGTTATTAATTAGTTCGCGGTTTTTGGTAAAAATGAGTATTGTTTTTTGAAGGGTGGTAAAAACGTTATCTCATAGATTGCCATCTGAAAGCGGCCACCTTCCTTATAACGAAGGAGAAAGGCTTAAAGTCGTATTAGAAGTGGATGAACAATGGCTGCTTTGTTGTAGAGGTACTCAAAAGGGACTGGTGCCAAGATCTGCTGTAATTCCAGCAGATAATGGACGTTTTTGACTGAACGATTAAAACGTAAAATTTAGAAATTTTGTGATTAATTTTTTAACTTTCTTTGTGTTTCTTTAAAAAGCTGATTACTTTAAATTTTTTCCGGCATTTTCTTTTGTGGTGGTGGGATTTTCCTCACTTATTTTGTCGCCTTTTCTTTTTCTATTCCTTCTATTTGTGGGTATTTTCAAAATAATATCAGTATTAACTTACATTCCAACCTTAAAGAAAGTGTTAAACTGTGATGATTGATCAAGAATTTTAACAACCCATCCTTAAAAAATCCTCTCCATAACTAATAATGTGTAATCTAAATCAAAATTGGTCAATCAAAACTCAAACGATATTAATAAAACTTCTTTCTTCTGCAAGGTGAAGGAGAATTGAGAATTGTAACTTAAAAAACCATCCTGTTTTTTCTATCCCGCTTATAACATGTCTTTTCACTGCAATTCAAAATGAGCACTATTTTTTTGTAAACTAACATTTTCATTAAAATATCCTTTCCTTGCACGCTAACAGTTACACATAAATAAAAAGATAGTGCAAAAATTCACTTTGTAGAACGATTTGATTAGAAGTTTCTCTCTTTGTATTACTCAAGGTAATATTAAAAGTTGAGGCTTCATTATAAGCGCACAGGTTTTTTCCCTTCACCATATCTGGTTTAATGTGGGCCCTGTATTTATTATAAAATACTGCTGCTTTTTGGAACCATCATAAAACCTCTACTTTTATTTAAGATTTTTTCTGTTTCTTTATTTTTCAGTCAGTATTTTTTATAATGTAAGAAATTAATATTATAAGAAAAAAAATAAAAATACTAAAAAGAAAATACTCATGTAAAAAATAAGCACCGTAGCTATCTCCGAGACACTTCTCTTTTAAAAAATGGTAGCAAATTAAGAGAAATGCTTCTGTATTTATCCTCAGTAATTAAAAAAAGTAATTTAAAAACAGTTTAAAATATATGAAGTAATAATAACTAAAAGAAATGATGCAAATAAAGCGTATATGTATATATTGAAGGCTTATTGTGATTTTTGTATATAATATTCTCTTGAACCAAAGTAAAAAAAAATGATGATGATAGACGGTGAAGTTTTTACAGTTTTACAATATATAAAAATACTTTTAAACACATTTAGCTTTGTTACCAAGTTTTTCTTTTTGTATTTTTTTCTTGGCACTATCGTTATTATTACAGGTTTTCTTTGAATTAATTTTTACGTCCCGGGTTTAAACAAAAAGTTTTATTTCTAATGATATTATTTATTTTTAAACTTCCCCATTGAAATCCTTAGATTCAACCAAAATAAATAAATAAGTCTGTGCCATAAAGGCGTGTGTGTTAAAAGAAGTTATTTTATTTCCCCTTTCTTTTGTATAAAAAAGTATGTGTAATATTATCTTTAGGATAGGCTAAAGTGTACTAAATATTTAATAAATTAAGAATGAAGAATATTTTTTATTGGTTTTATTTTATTCTTTTTTTTGCATTTCAAGGACCAAAAGTATTAATTTTTATAAGTTTATGTAATGTTACGCTATTAAATTATAGATGTCTCTATATAAGATTTTTTTTTTGAGGTCAAAATTTACCTTTTCAAAAGCTCAAAATAGTTTTTTTATGAAAACTTACCATTTTAAAAGCTCCAAACAGTCTTCAAAAGTTCGTTGAAAATTTTATCTTGAGATAGTGTTTAACTTGTAGAATTTAAACTCGTAACTTTCTAACCTAAAAACTGGAGAATGATATGAACGGAAGTTCGATCTCAAAATATTAACCAAAGATATTTTTGAACACACTTACCGACCGTTGCTTTAAAGAACTTTAGTCGTTATAGTTTCATTTATATCCCAATTTATCCCGAAAAAATCGGGAATAACAAGGAATGCTTACAATTAGATGTAACAAAAATGGCGACGCTGTTTAAATTTGTGATTAGTTTTGAATTATTCCCATAGATGGCGCTGTTAATTGTTAATTCACCCTTAATAAATATTGCTAAAATCGTTTTTATATCTTCTATTATTCGACAAAATGTAATAAAACAATCTAAAACGTATAACTATTTATTAGCTTTAATTTAAAAATGACGACGTTTAAATTTGTGAATCGCCTGTATTATTCTCATAGATGGCGCTATTAATTGTGGTTGTACCCTCAATAAATTAATGTTGCTAATTTCTTTCTTATACTCTTATTACTTATTACCCAACAAGATGTAATAAAACACTGTAAAACGTATGAATAATTATTTATTAGCTTTAATTTGTTTATTTTTCCATAATTTTAGGAATAACAATAACAATTTAAAGCAACAGAGGTATTTATTAGGAATACATTAAAATTTGGTGAACAAAAACAGGAAAGATTTCAGCAGCGGGGCACATTTTGTTATAATACTGTTAATATAATCAAAGATTTCGTTTTAGAATTACCAAACTGATACGTTATTCTAAAAACTCGTTAAAACTCCTAAGATTTGAAACGTGAATAAAAAAAATTAAAACTCACCATTTAGAGTTAAATATTTGTGCACTGCTGATGAATACTCATAAACGAAGCTATCACACAAACATTAACAGGATTTCATTGGGTTATTTAAATTAGTGGTTTTAGTTGAACAGCTTCGTTTAAGAAACAAACATTAAATCTACCTTAAAAACTACAATCACATAAACACAGTCAGGGGTTAAACATTTAAAACAAAACTAAAAGTAAAATTAAAAACAAATAAAACGATAGACAAAAATTAAACGTCACATTTGATTTTTTTGGGAGGTAATAGGATGAATGTTCTGTATTGACACATAAAAAAATTGAACAAATATTAATAATTTTGAAATGCAATAATTTTAATTCCCAATTCATAAATTTGATTATAATTAGAGTAAATATTTATAACTTTTTTTTTTTTGAAAAACATCAAAAATCGTAATCCAAAAATCTTAGCCAAATTCATCATAATAACATCAAAATAGCACTTCGATGTGAAATTGAAAACGCCTATTACCTATTTTCCATCCATTAAAAAAACAAGAAAACCCCATAAATAAAAAATTTAAACGTAAAAGAAAATAAATATCCGATAGGATCATCTATCAAACACCTAAAACTACAATATTAAATTTACCAATGGTTATCAAATGGAATAACAATAAATATTACTCTACAAAGTAAACAAGAAATTTATGGAGATCAATTCTAACTTTGTAGAATACCTTGATTTTTTTTGTAATTTTCGAGAAAAAACTTAAACAGGTCTAGGTTTTAGCTAGAGTTAGCTAAAATAAAGACGAAATTCAGTATCCATTTTATGATCTTTGCGAGACAATGGAAACTAAACCTTCAAATTACTAAGATAACGATAAACATACGATATAAATTCCAACATATCAAATAAAAATCAAACAAACAACAAAATGCGCCGAGACTAATCATCCACGATTTTACCATTAAGTTACGGTTAAAACAGATCCCATATCTAAGTTGTTCGCGTTCTTCGGATTACGAGTCAACGGCTTATGATGTCTTAAATCTTGCGAGTGTTTCCATTGCCAACAGGAACGACAAAAATATCGGAAACACATTAATTCACGACAAAAATATGGACCTTGATGAACACCGCAAACTGAACACAAAGAATCTTCTAAATACGGATCAACTTGTACCTGCAATAACAAATCGATTTAATTACTAATAAGTACAGTTTTGATATTTTAGGTTTTACCTTTTTTGTGAATCTTGCTGTTTTTATTTCGATAAAAGCAGCAGCTACCGCTTTCATATATGATCTTGAATTGTTAAAGGTCACTCTTCCTGATCCTATGGGGTATTTGTATTTATCGGTATCAATACCTAAAAATTAAAAATAAATGAATCAATACAAACAAGTTTTGATAAAGGGAATTCATTTTTACCAGCATAAATAACTCCATCAAACAAATCATTCATGATTTTGGCTAACCCTTCCGCATTTAACATTCCGTGGAGAGCTCCCACAAAAACCGTATTATTCGGATCTAATTTCTGCGACGCAGATTGCATATAATTCGAATCGCTCAAACTCCATGGAATAACCTGAACCTCCTTACTCTTCATCCGTTTCGATGAAATCTTAAAATAACAATTTCCCGTGCAATCTATATCGTGTCTGCAAGCATGTAGAAGTGCACGAACATTCTTTTCCGACTCGAAGATGACGTAAACGTAACCTTTCGGCTGTGACACTTGTTTTTCCTTTCCAGGCCATTCAACGCGAATTTGACCAAATTGTCGAAAAACTTGGACGAGATGTTGTTCGGTGATGTCCCAAGGTACACCACCCAGGAAGACTTTATTAGAAAAACCTTGTTTTGATATCATGGTGGTGTTTTGAGGTAGCACACCGCTCCAGGTACAAGTTGCGTCGCATACAGAAGCTGCGGAACGATAAAGACGAGCCGCACGATCTAACTGGAGGTTTTCTTGGACTTGACCGGCAAGCGAAAAGAGACCACCCCATGCGGAGTTGTTATTCCAACGATCAAAAAGCTAATATTCCAAAAAAATAATATCAAAACGCTATAATGTAACGTGTAACATATTTACTTGAGTTGCTGTTGGATAACCACTTCTTAGTAAAGTGTTGAGAAACGGTGAGGGTTGCAAATATTTGATGGCTTGTAAAGCTTGAAGATTTTGAAGATTTGCCATTTCAAATTCTGAACGAACATCCGTGTTGTTGCGTTGGAGGACATCGTTTAAGCACATATTACCCTGAAAAAATAACTAAATTTAATAAATGCATAAAATAAATACGATTTATTACCAAAACATCGCATAAACTTGCATCAGGAGTAGAAGAAACGCTATCAGAAACTCCGGATGTACTTGGTGTCCAATTGAAGAAATTTCCAATCAACGAAGGATCATGGGTTGTTGAAACAGGGTTACCAACAGTACTGTAACTAAAAAATAAAACAGTAAAAAAATAATTTTTGTAAAAATAAATTACCTTGGGGGTGAGTTTTTCGGGTATAAACTCTGATAAGTTGGTAAAGAAGAACTTGTTGATGTGTTCGACATGTTTCTCTAAACAGAAATAAAAAAATATTTAAATAAATTAAGTCAATTATTTAATAATGAATTTTAAAAATGTTGCCAACTTAAATTAAATTACACCAAATAAAATCAAAATGGCGTTGAAAAAAATTGAGACAAAAACTCAAAAAAAATAGCAAAAGTCATATTAAGACTAAAATTATTAAAATTAAAAGGTTTAAACAAATAATTAAGCAGTTTATTCAAACGTACCTGTAAATTCCTTACTGGAGATGGCGAAGAAAGATCTTCGGATGTGTACCTCTCAGAATTCCCAAGAAGACCGCGTGGTGAATTAAGACCCAAAAGATCTGAAATTGAAATCGTGTCGCCAGCCATCAGCTCAAAAATATTTTTAACAATTAGTTTTTAAGCGTAATAAAAGTCAGCGTTAAAAACGAGGGGTTATGGGGTTAAAACTGTGGCCTTAAGTCACTACCGCTTCGCTTTTATTCTACGAATGGGGTAACTTTGATCAAGGTCTCCTACATGAAAATTTTATTTTATCCTCCCACTCTAATAACAAAAATCCTCGCCGACTACATTTCCAAAAAAAAACTGGTTTTCGAGTTTCACATCTGTTCCGTTAACGAGACAAAATCTTTTTACTTGCGTTAACAAAAACATCTGTTGAAATAATAAAATAAAAATATCCTTACCTGCTTCGTCGAAAACATAATTTTTAAAATCGTCATCTTGCATTAAGGCATTAATTGAATGTGTTTGTAAAATATGCCCTGGGGTATCCAAAGAATCCATTATATTCGATGAAGGCTAAAATTATACAGCAATATAGATTTTATTAATAACTTTAAATCGTGATACTAGATTAATACTTTTAAATTAAATATTTGAGGTTAGATTTTTTCCGCTTGAAGTTATTAATTTTGTTACCAACCTAAAATTATTTTAATTGAAATTTTATTTAAAATCAAAAATTTATTATTAAATTTTAATTATTCTTATAATAAATAACTTTAATTTAATTTTATAATTATTTTAGTTTAGAAAAATAAATTAATAAAAAATAAATAAAATTGATTCAAAAAAAAAATTAAATTTGTTGCCAACCTAAAATCGTTTTTAATAAATTAATTTTTTTAAGTAATTTATTTATTTTAAACTTTATTTTATAAATAAATAAGAATTAATTTTAATCCGTAATTATTATATTGATTTGATTTAATTAGGAAAATTGGGGCAAATTTATTAAAAAAAATGTTGCAAATAAAAAGGGTAAAGGGTACTGTTAAAATAATTTTTCCTTCAATTGAACGGTTGTTTGGCATAGAAAAGTGCATCTTGAAGGGATGAAATGCTGTGGGAAACGACCCCAATTCTTGGCAATGTTACAATTGTGTATATTACGGCTTAAATATTGGTACAAAACGTCGAAATAGGAGGCCAATTACATTATAAATTTAAATTATTTCTTCTATGTATTTATTTTTGTTTTTATAAAACAATTTATAATGTTGCCGATTAATATAAATAATACAAAAAGCATTAATTTTAAAAAAATTAAGATTGTTCCCAGATTTTTACATAACACTTCTTACATTCACGTTATTATTATGATTTCTTTACTTTATTATTTTTTTCTCGTCGAGTTGGAAAACGGAATCACCTCGTCGTACTTTCATAATTAAATCGTAGCGATACTAATAGGAATCCTCGCGTTCTTTTCTAATATTACTCAATATAAATCGTTCCCCGTCAAAATCACCGGCGCAAGTGAACTGATTACAAACGGAATTAATAATCTAATGAGATTCTTTCATTCTTACCTGTTGCTGTACCGTTGCCATCATTTCTAACACTAAATCTCCTCTTCGATAAAAAAAAAGCACTTATTATAACTTAAATTTACGTCTAAAACTAAACTTAAAGTCTTTTTTAACTTCACATTTAATTAAATAAAACCACACAATTCTTCTGCGAGGAATCTTCGAGAATTGGTGGATGTAATGATGATCGTTGTTTGGATAGTTTGAAATGTGCAACAGTGGGGAATTGGAATGGGGCAGTAAGTTTGTGAGGACATTGGGAGTGGGGAATTATATCAGAAAAAAAAAACTTTTAAAAACCTTGCAAAAGGAGAAATTCTAAGAAAATGTAGGGTTTGTTTAGAACGTGTAGAAACTGGTTTTATAGTTTTTACATTTAAGAATTATGAGTCATCATCTTATTGGGGGAATAACATAGAAAAAATAATTTTAAATTCAAAATTAAAAGTGTTATAACAGTGACATCTATCAGAATTAATATTAATTAAATTAATCAGAATTAATCAAAACTAATTATTGATTTAAATTAATTTAATATTTTAAATTATTTTTGTATGATAATCGTATTATAAAGATGACATTAATCATAGTTAAATAATCTGAAAGATATATTAAATTTAATGGTGACATCTATAAACTTTAAAATGAACTCATCTGACAATCTAACCTAAATGTTATTCTTTCAATAATCATTTAATTTATAAACAGTACATCTTTAATAACGAATATTATATTAATTATATAAATATCCTTTTCATGATGGATTTTCAAGTTAAAAGAGAGATATAAACTAGACTTTTTGGTTAATTAATAATTTATTATAATAACTTTATTCTTTTTTCACAACAACACAATTCTTTTTATGTTTTAATATCTCAATCGGAGTTAAAACCAATTCACTTTTACAAACATCACACTTAAATAACTTAGAATTAGGTTTGTTACTAATATTTTCTTGTTTAATTAATTCCTCTTCAACGATTTTCTTCACACAAAAACTTTCGTGTTGAAAAATCCTAAAAAAGGACATCCCGGTAAAAATTTCCCCGCAATTCGGACAATTAAAATCCAAATTATAAATTTCATTTTCTAAATTAGAATCCCACTCGTCCTGGTTTAAACAATTATAAGTAACGTTTTCGGTTACTTGAACTCCACCGATTAAAGCATTTTCTTTCATTTCGTACTCGAGATCGAAGGGATTTTTAGTATTCTTTAAGTAATCTTCATTAAAAAATCCTGTGTTGTGATTATAAATCGTTTTTAAATCCGCCGGTAGTAACCGTTTAATATTGTAACTAATTTCTGATGACATAAATTTAATAATATCGTTGATTAATGAGTTATCTTCATTGCTTTTTGTGTTTACATCGTTTAATTTTTTTTCTAATTTATCGTTCCATTTTTTGCGTATATTTAAAGCGTGTTTTAAACTCGCTTTGCCTTCACCAACATAGGGGACATGTACAGACAAAAATTCGTCAAATATAAAACTTGTTAATGTTGCATTTGTGGCGATGTTTTTACTCAAAAGTAAAAGAGTTTGTAAAGCTGGCATTCTCATGACGTTAACTAAGTAAGTTTTTTTCGTTTTTAAAACTGATTGATAAACTAAAAGGTTGTGCTTTTTACTCAGTGGGTTTCTACTAAAATAACCTGAAGGTGGGATGTCGATATCATCGTTATTTAATTCCAAAATATCGGGGTGAGAAGCAAAAATGCTTGTTGGGCGTAAAAACAAATAGCTTTTATTTTTTGTGTGAAACAATCTCTCATTGACCGTTTTTAAATTGTTGTGTTCATCTTCAACAGCAATTTGGGGGTATAATCCGCTTGAAATAACTAATTTTAAAAGAATTACATCTTTGTAAGAATCTGGTGATGTCTCATCGAGTAACTTTTGTAATCGTTTAAAATCGTTGGTAATTTTAAATTCTATATCCCTTAAATCGGGGGAGTTATCTTCATTTTCGTTATCAAATAAATTTTTTGAGAGCCGCTTTTTTGCACTCGATTTAGATTTTAATTTTAAATCATTTCTTAACGATTTTAATTTTTTTAATTCGCCATATCGAATCGAACGTTCTCTTGATGTTAACTCTTCATCGTTTAATTTTTGTAATAAATCGGCTTCGATTAAAATCTCGCGAAATTGTTCTAATAATTTCGTTGTTTCATAAAACCTTTGCTCCTCAAGACAACGTTTTCTCGCCCAAAATTTCGAATTCTTTTCTTTGTTCGAATGAATCGATGTGTTCTGTTTAATCGTTAACCACTCTTTGTAAATAAATAAAAGTGTTATTGGATCACCGTGATTTGATTCAAAGCGTTTTCTTAATTCTTGAGCGTCGTAATCTCTAAAAGCTGTTTGAGTGTACGGAGATTGCACGCTTAATAAAGCGGCGCATGCTAAAATCGAATTAACATTTCCAAAAATCGTTGATATAATTAACATTTTTCCTATGCACAAATCGACGGGGAGTTTCGATAACTTTTCGCCTAAGCTTGTTAATGTTAATGAATCGTTTTCTAAGCTTAAAGCCCCACAAAATTTTAATTTTTCGATTGATTCTTCGATTGTATCTTGAGATGGTTGTTCGAGAAATGGAAAATTATATATATTATTTAAACCTAATGAAATCATGTGGAGTAAAAGTGAATTTAACGGGACTAAATGTATCTCAGCTGGGGTAAATGGCTCGAAGTTTTTATAATCTTCTTCTGAATATAAACGAAAGCATATTCCAGGACCGGTTCTTCCAGCTCTACCCATTCTTTGCCTCGCACTATCTTGAGATATATCGCACTCAGCTAATCGATTAATCCCCCCTTCGGAAACATAAGACATTCGATTAACTTTCCCGGAATCAATTACAAAACGAATCCCATCGATTGTAACCGAAGTTTCAGCTATATTAGTTGAAATAATACATTTTCGAACCCCATCCTGCGGATAATCAAACACTCTATCTTGTTGCTCTAAAGATAAAGTACTATGTAACATTAAAACAATCCAATTATTATCTTTATGCGATGAATATTCCGTTATAACATCATGTAAAGTGTTAATTTCGGAAAAACCATTCAAAAAAATCAATAAATCACCTTTTTCATTCTTCGGATATTTCTCATCGATCATTTGTACGATTTGCAAATAAGGTGTACAATCGAATTTATCTTTATTTTTATCGTAAGGATCTTTAATAACAGGCTTATAATGAATTTCAATAGGAAATAATCTCCCTGGAACTTGAATTACTTCCAAACTTTCATTACTAAAGTACTCTATAAATAATTTCAAATTAATCGTAGCTGACATCAAAATTAATTTAAAGTCCTTATTTTTGTACAAAAAGCATTTCATAATCCCAACTAAAAAATCCCCATACAAATGCCTTTCGTGAACCTCATCTAAAATAATCACATCATAACCTCCAATTACATCTTCTTCCGAGGCTTGCCTTAAAAGTAACCCTTCCGTCATAAAAATAACTTTCGTATCTTTTCTTTTCGTTTTTTCAAATCTTATTTGATAACCAATCGTGTTTTTGTAATCGGATAAAGTTTCATAAGCAACACGTTTCGCTAAAGAAACACAGGCTATTCTACGAGGTTGTGTACAAACCACTCTTTCATATCCACCATTCATAACATATTGGGGAATTTGGGTAGATTTACCACAACCTGTGTCGCCCGCTATTAACATAACACGACAACCTTTTAATTTCTTCGTTATCTCCTCTTTATATTCTGCAATTGGAAGTTGTTTTTGCGATTCACGCAATTTTTTTAATTTTAAAAACTTATTTTTTTGCTGAAAATCTTGATAAGCTTTGATACTTTTTAGAAATAAATCAAAATCTTCGTTTTTAATTATTAAACGATCGCCGTTTTTATCAAGAACTGGTAATTTATCCAACAATTCGGTTGTGGTTAATTCAAAGCTTATATTAAATAGTTTATTTCTATCAAAAGGAAAAGTTTCTTGTTGCGATCGACGGAGATTTATGAGAGTGTATTTAGTGTAAAACGTCCAAAAGTCTTCTTGATTCCGTATTTCACATTCTTCTTCTAAAAATCGTCTTAATTCAAATTTGCATTCATCGATTCTTTTAAATTGTTCTTTTATATGATGCTTATGATGCCTTTTATTATCATAATCATCATTATGTTTACTTGACTGCCCATATTTTCGTTTTCTATTATACATTTTAATATTAATTTTTTTGGCTTATAGGTTATGTTGTGATGTCATAAGGGTTTATTTTAACGTTTGTAGATGTCGCTTAAAACAAGAAAAAAAACAAATATATTCATATCAAAAATATATTATAATTAATGTACAAATATTAATAATAATATGAAATCACACTACCCCAACCCAAATTAATTAATATCATCTCTTATCAATCATATTTAAAAATGTTATTTATTTAAAACTTCTTCTAGCGAAAATTTGATATAATCCTACGAAAGAAGATATTGTAGCAATAAAACCAACTTGCCACGTCTTTAATTTAGAAGACCATAAGAATCCTGGAGGTAATGTATTTACAGCATGTATAAAATCTAAAGTAAGTCTAAAACATGTTATTATTTCAAAGTTTTGCCGAGCTAACAAATTCTTCATTGTTTCCCTAAAAAATAAATGATAAATAAAAGTTTATTTAAAAAATACGAAACATACTGTTCCACTGATCCTTTCATACAACTCTTATGTTGTCGTAAAATCGTGATGTATCGCAATGTTCGCATTAAATTTAAATAAATACTTGCAGCCCAAAAAACAGAACTTAAAGTATCCCAGGGTTCAGTTTTATACCCCGATATTAAATTATTTTCAGCTAACCATCCAATCTTTTCAATTGGGTAATAAATAGTATCAATTATATTCGTTACAACCCCAAGTGAAGCCATCAAATTATCATTTTCCTACAATAAAATTAATATAATCCACAATATCCAACATTATTAATATTATTACCCCTTTTCCTAATCCATACTCCAAAGTATATTGTAACATAGGTAAATCATCCAAAAGTCTTAAAATAAGCCTTGTTTGACTCATTTGCGAACTAACCACCTGCATACGTTTTTGTAGTATTGGATCTTTTGAAAGCCCACCAATAAGCTTTGTACTGTAACATATTGTTCTTAAAACCTACAAAATAAATCGATTAATTTATTCCATTATAGAAAAATAAGTGCGGTTACCTTATCTCGACCTTTATAAGTCTCCAAAAGGGTGCAAATTTCGTCCAAAACACTCTTGCTCATCTTATCGGTATCTTAAAATCCAAAACTTGCCAATTCATCCAATTCCTGTTACCAAGAGTTTGGAATATTTACAAAATAGCGATCTACTTCTAAGATAAGCCAAAAGTAATAGTGACATTTATCTTTAGGTTACGTAGATATGTATATAGGAGACTTTCTCTTTTAATAAAAAAAAAACTCAAGGTGATAAACACGAATGTTTGTTAAATGTACATTGTATAAATGTACACACCTTGTTTTTGATTTAATCATTAAAAATATCGAGATTAATGTAATTTAATGATTTGTATTTCAAAATTCGCGCTTAATATAACGTCATTATTATGTCAATCTAAGTCATTTTTATTTCTCATAGATGGGGTAATAAATTTTTTGTAATTCGCTACGGTAATGGAAGCTATAACAGTACTCAAACGGGTGCTGTAATGAGACTCCTTACAGCATCCGATGCTGTAATGAGATTTTAGTAATATTTTATGGAACCAGTTCAAGTTGGTGACATTGGGTCATTAATTTTTCTAGTTGTCAATGTGACAATTTTTGTCTATGGATGTTTAAACACGTTCTTAGCATCAAATACAAGGTGAGGACATTGACTCTGAGCTATTTCTCTTATTTTGGGAGGTGTACATCAAACATTTTTTTCAGGTGATTATATTTTGTGTTTTGACAGTTTCTAATTGTCAATTCAAAGTTTCTATTTTCAAGTGTTCCGGTGTTACCAACTGCTACATACCTATTTCCCTACATTGCCAAAATTTACTTTATTTTTATTAAAAAAAAGTATAAAAACGCGAATTACAAAAAATAGCATAAAAAACACGTTTCATAAGACTTAAAGCACTCATTCATTAAAAAACTCGTGGCTTCGCCACTCGTTTTTCAACTTGAATTCGTGCATTTCAAGCGTGTCTTACGAAACTTGTTTTTTAATATACTATTATCACAATAAGTGATTTTTTGAAATAATTTAACGTTATTTCTAATAATTTTTATTCTAAAATTATTAATATAAACACAATTACACTATAACTACATTAATAAATACATAAAAATACGTAATACTTTTTTTAATATTTATTCCCATTGATTTTCAATGTTTGCTGAAGTACCCAAAATAAATAAACTCTTTTAAAACTAAATAACTTTGACGAAATTAGATTTACGCTTTTCTCACTGATTGTTCAAACATCTTGGACCATGAGGAACTATCGATTAGAACATGGGCGTTCTTACAATTAGCTAATAAAGTAGCATCGATTTCTTGATTACCCGTTGGAATTAATATACCCATATCTTTCTCCTTTTCCGCTTTCATATTTACACCTCCGGCGATGACGAAATGATTCGTCAATAATTTTACAAACGTGTTTTTCTGACACTCCTCAGATAAACGTAAAATTAATGACCCCGCATCTTCCATTACAATTTCAGAGGATCGAGCAAATCTCGCTACTTGGACATCTACCAAACCTTTCTTTATTTTTGCTTTTAAAACACCATCTAAACCAGCTAAAAAAATAAAATAATTAAAATAAATGTATTAGAAAAGTATTTTGAAATTTTTTTTTACTTATATTTAATAATCCTTCGTTATTTATGTTTATATTGACGTTTCTATGTACATTTTTTAATCGTAATATACCAAAATCTGTTTCAAATTTGCTTTCGTCGCAATAAGACGAACCAACTGTAATATCGCCAGAAACTGTTTTTGCTCTTAACGCTAAAGCTTGTAATCTATCAGTAGTTATTGACTAAAAAAATTAATGATTAAAACAACGATTTAAAGGTTAATTATTAATTATTACCCCTTTTCCTAACGTTGATAATTTAAGTGTTCCAGCTTGTGTTAATTCCTTACAAGTAATATTACCCCCGTTAGTAGATAAATCAATGGTTTCACATTGCGACTTTCCCAATGAAATATCACCTGACTCACTATTGGCCATGATTGACCTACCATAGAAATTCCCTATGATTATAGGACAATCATATCCAGTGATATCCAAATCTTAAATTAAAAAAATTAATTAATTTGCTAATTTTTCTAAATGAGAACTTACTGGCTTTTAAAGAGGCAAAAACGTTAAGTGTTAAGTTTTTACAATTAGCATTGGGGCCTGATCGAATAGCAACTGTGTCTCCTTGTTTATCATATTTAACGCTGGGCAAATTTCTTATATCTGTAGATTCGACGCTAACTTTAACCTTATTTTGATCGCTAAACACATCCAAAGGGTGGACGAAAATATTACAAGGGCTATTTATGACAACAGTACAAAATTGAGAGACATCAAACTGTTCTGTTAAAATGGTAGCGTATTGACGAATGTTGGATTTAATACAATTACATAAACGACTGGTTAAAGCGTAAGTCGTTGATAATATCCTGAAATAAAAAAAGTTTTAAAAAATGTTAGTTAACAAGAATATTAAAGTTACATTTTGGGGCTCTTTGTGTTTAATCACCAAAAATAGTCAAACATAACCTCTCTTATGTCAAAATAAATACTGTTGTTGATTCGGGTGGATTTTATGAGATTTGATCCTAAAATCACTGCAGAACATTACTAAATTTAGTTTTTGTACTTTCACTGGTAATTTTTATGAAAAACGAGAGGGTTTTTCAATGGGAATAAAAATTGTTGATTTAAAAGATGTCAAATTTTGAATGATTTTTGTTGTCATGTTTACGAAATAAAAAACAATAGAAATTATTTTATTGTATTTGGTATAAAACTAGATTTATACATTTAAACACCAAAAGTTAATAAAATAATTAAAATATACCGAATTTTAAATTGAGGTTATAATTAACTGTCATGTCAAGTGAGTAACTTAACTGTTACGTTAATGAATTAAAAAATTTAAATTATCACAAAATATTTAAAGAAAATTGTTATTTATTTAATTTTTATATAAATTAAATCAATTTTAATTAAAGTCAAAAAATAAAAACAAATTCAAAAAATAATTTCAACGATTGGTACGACTGCATATGAAGGTCAACCGGTGATCGCGATCTGTTCATTGTTAACAATAAGTTTAACAGGATTAACATAATTACGAATTTAATTTTAAAGAAAAATTGTCATTTAAGATCGTCTGTGATATTATATCTTACCTTTTAAACGCACACAAAACCTAAGAATCATGTCGAACCAATACGACGCGTAAGTTTAATTTAACCTCACTTTTATAACCTTCAAAACGCAACCGAATTTTGCAGTTTAAAAATGCACGAAAGTTCTGATAGCGGAGACGAAGAAGGTACAGGTAGTATTTTCGATCTTGGCCCAATACAATACCCCAACGGCGAACATAAACTGGAACACCCATATTGTTTATGGTATTCACAAAGACCAAATGCAGCTTCGAGAAACACACAAGGTTATTCAAATTCGTTAAGATTAGTTGGACAAATGGGTACAGTTGAACAATGGTGGGGCATTTATTGTCATATGGTTAGATTACAAGAATTACCACCTTATACAGATTTACATTTATTCAAAAAAGGTATACAGCCTATGTGGGAAGATCCCGCAAATACAAAAGGTGGAAAATGGGTAAAATTAAGTGATTACTATTTTATTTGGTGCTATTTTTTTTAATTTTAAGGTTATAAGATTAAAAAAAGGGTATCAATCTGGACGAGCATGGGAAAATTTATGCATGGCAATGTTAGGAGAACAATTTATGGTAATTATTTAGTTATTAAAAAATTAAATAGCTAAAGATTTTGTTGAAATAGGCAGGTAATGAAATATGTGGAATAGTCGTTTCTTTGCGTTTTCACGAGGACTTAATAAGTATTTGGAATCGAACGGCAACAGATCAAATAATGACGGCGCGAATTCGAGATGCAGTAAAGAGACTTCTTAATTTACCATCGAGCGCTGGTCTTGAATACAAAACACACACGGATAGTTTGAAGTAAAAAAAGTTTGATGTTTGGTGCAGACTTATTTTTGTGAATTGAAACCTATTAATTTTTAGAGGTTGGAAAACTACACCGCCGAACCCGGTTAAAAGTTGATTGAAGAATTAAAACAATTTTTCTTTTTTTGATGACGAACGGAGAAAATAGTACATCATTATGTTGTTAACTCACACTTGAGAAAGGTCTATTATTACGTTTAAATTACAAAATAAAATTTTATTTGTATCAAAATAAATTTACCGTGAAAAAAATAAAAAGAAAAAAAAACAATTTTAAGATTTCTTTTTTTAATTCAAATTATTTAAATAATTATCCTATATTGTAATTATCCATCTATACTTTTTAATTTCCTTTGTAAATACTTTACTCTATCCACAAGTTTATCTTTTGGTCTGTATTCAGTGTACGGAATTGTTATCACTTTATATCCTTTTATTTCAACAAGTTTTGTTATGAAATTGCTTAAACCTGATGGTTCATTGCTTCCTTTACACATATCTTGGTATTGATGCATCAAAATAGCCACTCTTAAAAAAGAAAAGTAATAAAAAAATATTGTTTAAAGCTTTTTTTTAACTCACTTTTTATTTGATGTTTTAGGACTATCTAAAGGAATTGGATTCGATTTGTCGTCCAAAATACACTCAATATCTACAAAATAAAAAGAATATTTATTAATATCGCCGATAAATCATAATTGTGGAAGATTTACCAATATAAAAACCTGATCCAGTATTAACTTTCGATTTAAAACATTTTTCGGACGCCAAATTCTTCAAGCTATCAATAACAGATAAATACATATCCTCTTTTTCTTTATTTCTAGGAATTTCGATCTGTTCCAAATTTAAATGTTCACTTAATCGGGCCCCTTTGTAATTTTTAACAAAGTATTGAGCGGATGAATCAATGTTCAATAATTTTAATTTATTAACAACAGTCAAAGCTTTTTCATCTACGATTATTTAATTTTTTTTAAATATTTATTATGAAAAAAAGGATTGATTCTTACTGTGAAGTTGCTGAATAAATTTTTGTTCCAAAACACTATTTAATTGATCAACATTCGCTTTATTTAATAGAACGAGTGACCAAACAAAATCCAACCAAACCGTTGATTTATTTGCTTCTGTTGGGGTTAACATTGGAAGAAAAACTGAAACAATTTCTTCAATGTTTTGAGGGGTATAATTTAAAACGCCCATTGTTAAAAATAAAGCAAAAATATCTTGGGGGCGACATTCATTTGCATGTTTAACCATCCATTTACTTAAACAATTTAGGACATCTAAAAAAAATTAATTAAAACCAACAAATTTAAAAAAAAAAAGGAAAAATTTTACCAATATCTTTATATTTTAAAACTCCTAAACTGGTTAAAACCGATCCAATAACCGCGCTTTTATTTAAATCATCATTAACACTTTTGCAAACATCAAAACAAACTTTCTCCAATAAATTTTCATCAGGAAAATTTAATATTGCCATACCATAAAGTAAATCACCGCATTGTTTTAAATCTAAAACGTTGGAGCTTTTGGTGATATTGAAAGCCAACGAGCGTAATAAAACGATGGATCGGCGCTTCTTGTGAGCCAAACTCGTCATTACTTTAACCATTTGAGGTAATGTTATCCCAGAAATTAATTTAGCAGCTTCGTCATCAGCTGTAATCCCCAAAATGGTTGATAAATCTTCATTTTTACTATAAACAGACCGTACGTTTGGAGTTTTAACCATTGTTTTTGATAACACGCGACATAATTTTAAAAATCTTGGATCTGTTTCAAAATCTGGTAAACTAACTTTACCGTTAGATGACCATTCGGCTAAAACAGAAACAACTTTCAAGGCGTGTTTCCTTGAAATACCAGTCCCGTTTGATATTGATAATAATTCTTCGATATTAGTAGCCGACATAATTCTTTTGTCGGTATGAGGGGTGTTTATTTCAGTAACTTCCGCGGTTTTAAGTGAAGCAAATGCAGCAGCTACAATTCCATTTCTCCTCTTAATCGTTTCGGATGTTGTGGGTTCCTGGGTAACATTTTTTAATTCAACCGTTGGGGCGCTTGAAAAAGATAAACGTATGTAACCATTTAAGTGGGTACATTTTGCTTGAATAAAAGCCCTAGTAAATTTAAACATGTTCCAATCTTCACAAGTATCCTAACCTAAAAATTTCTACAATGGCAGACGATCGTTCGTTATGTAATAATAATTATTAAACAACTCACTTATGTATTGCAGGTAATAAAAACAAATTGATTATAGGGGATAAATTGTTATAATTACAACATTTCATAGAATATTATCCGATAGCACTCGCAAAAGTTGTGGTTAGGTTTTCTTTTCAAGAGTTGACAACTGTCAGGTAAATACCAATATAAAAAAAATTAAAAATGTTATTAATAAATCAATTTAAAATAATAACTTCAAAGAATTACTTAGACTTTATATTTTACATCGTCTAATAATACATATTAAGTACTTATAACAAAACATCTCCATTTAATTTAAATTAAAAAAAAAAAAAAAAAAAAATACAAAAACGAGATATTCAAATCAAAGAAATAAATTAAATACCCCAGAAACCAAGTTGTTACCCCTGGTTTTAAGAAGAAGAAGAAATTGAATACACATCTTTACTTAATTTTTTTAAATTAACTCTTAAAAAGAATTAAAATTAAACACAAGGAATCATTTTTTAAACTCTAGCAAACATTTGTAATAAATAAGTGGGTAATAAGTTTTCGATCTTTTCAAAGACATAATAAACTGGCGAAGACAACCAATTTAAAATTGATCTTGCGATAACTCCCATTGGTTCTGGATATTGATGTGTCAACAACGCTAAAAGAGCTGTAAACGAACACAACCCAGCAGTAAATATAATAAAAAATGGTAATTCCTTTTTTGGATAAACAGAAACTTCATGGAATGCCGGCAATAACTCCCTATCGGCACATTCCGTACAAGTTGGATAAGGGAAAAATAAATGTCCTCGTTCTAACGGATAAGGTAACATTCTAAACGTGCCTTCCCAAGTACAATGTAGTAAGGTTAAAGCACCTTCCATTTGTTTCCAATGTGCCAAGTTAAAAAATGAATAAGCAATCGCTTCGGAATCACCTCGTTTTAAAATATGTTCTGGCGGTAAAATTAAAGGTTTCATTTCTAATAAATATTTAGGAACATGGGGGTTAAATTCAACGGCTCTATGTATTGCATCAACCGCTGCCATTTCAGCTGTTGTTAACCCTCTTTTACAAGCAATATCTGGAGAAAATTTTTCAGCAACAACTCGAGTTTTTAATAAAGCTGATGTATAACAAATTGTTGCTGATCGTGGTACAGAACCGTCATCGTATCTTGCTAAAACTGCTTGAACATCTGCGAACGCTTGCATTTCTAATAAAGCTTCAATTAAATTTTCGTGAATATTTAAAACATTCATAATCGGTGGAACTTCTTTTGTGAGGTCACGAAACATTTTCACGGCTTCTTTTAATTTTCCCAATCGTCTTGCACACATTGCTAATCTTCGCTTTATATATATTAATACGTTGGTATCTCTTCGATGTTGAGATTCCATTAAAGATCCTTGATGTTGTAAAGCTTGCGATTTCCGATAATTTAAGTCTGCGACTTTTAAAGCTTGTTTTAAAATTTTTTCAGCTTCCGTGATTGTAGTAGCCTCCTCTTCAGCTAATAAAATATAAGCTGGCGCACATTCCAAGTTCTTTTCCAAAGCATTATGAGCAGCTTTTATCCTTACAACAGGATTCCTTTCTCTCCAAGCTGTTTGCATTATTTCATACTCAGGTTTACCAACATCAGCTTCGCAAGTAAAAAAGGTCTGATGATCTTGAGCAGATAAATTCATATCATAATAAGTTAACGGTTCTTTATTGGTGGCCCAATAAAATCTTTGATACTCAGCACCTCGATATAAATTTAAAGGATTCCTCCACACTTTACATTCTGGAATATTATTCTGTGTAGAATTTCCGTTATTATTACCATTATTTGTTGTATTTTCAGTATTATCAACACCGCTAATCCAGGGGCTAATATGGTTCAAGGAAACTTGTTCAATAAACGAGGTCCCATATTTCCTAAAATACCACCACTCAAAGATTAAAATCAAACCAGAAATAAGTGAGGAAGTCCCAGTTAGGGCCACGTAGAATTTTGGCGTCAAAGTACTTAGGAACATCGAAGAATCCCACATTTTTTGCCTTTTTAATGTAGTTCTTGTTTAATTTTTAGGTTAGGATTTCTTTAGGGTTATTATTGATGTTTTTTTTTAAAGGTTTTTAAGGCTATTAACTTTTAGGATATTAAGGAGCACATTTTACGATGATAATACGATTATTTACATTGAAATAGTTTAAATTATTTGGTTTGTTTGAAATTTTCACTTCTTGACAGTTAATCAAGGACTTTTTGAATTGAGGTGTTGTTTAAGAGATGGCACGAATTGGTTTTAAACAGAATTAATTAATTAAAAAGAAATTAATAAGTTTATTTTAAATTATAATATAAAACCAAAGAAAGACAAATATGTTTTAATTGATTTCGATTAATTTAGTAAATTTCTTATTAAGTAATTTTGATTCGATAGAGTGAGATTTCTGTAAGAGATGGCGCTGTTTTTGAGCGGGAATATTTCAATTTAATCTATTTAAAATTGATTAATACTTAAAACTTTTATTATTTCGTACATAATTAATACATTCGTGGGTGAAACAATACTTAATGATTAATTGTTCCATTTTATTGTCATAAAACAATAAGTAATTTAAAAATTATTAATTATAAGTTAGAAAGTGGTGATTTTTTGGAATCAGTTCATTTTTGTATTTGAAGTAATACTAAAGTTTTTAAAATCACCATGAAGACATCTTCAGCTCTCTTAATAATAGCAATTTTTGCCTGTTTACAATTATCTTGTTTCGCTAAACTTGATGGTAAATTATTTTAACGTTTAACTTTTTTATGTTACTTTTTAATGTAGTTTTAGGTCCAACATCTATTACGAATGAAATCGCTAATATCCCGGATTTATTCTCGAAAATTTTCCATTTAGGAGGAGTTTTCGTCAGAGATATAATGTCAATGAATATCCCCGGAGCTTTAATGATCCTTAGAGATCTCATTAAACAATTTTCGGTTATTTTCAACATGATCAACATACATCATTAAATTGCAAACAACAAAATGTATTAAAATAAAAGCTTTTTTTTTGTGAAAATAATTTTTGTATTTAAAACTGTCAGTCACGAAAGGACGCTTAAATTTTGAGAGTGCATTCTAAATCATTTCATTTTTATTTTTCTGAAGACGTCCTGCCTCGGCAAGTTTTCCGTCACGTTTGTACTGGCGTCGACCTGTCGGTTCATTTTTAAGTTCGCGTGACTTTTACCGCCGGAACGTGACTTGGTGGTGCTGCAGGAGCTGCTAGTTTTAGCAGCGCGACGACACCATTTCCGGCCACCCTCACTTCCTTCTGAAGTTTAGACCGTACCAGCTGTAACAGGTGTTGATTGACTCTGTGAATAAGACTTTAAACCGAAATTATCCATAAATAATCTATTTACTACTTATAAATATTATCATCATATCATTACAATCAGTTAAAAAAGTAAAAATTGTGGAAAATTAACAAGTAAGTATTTAAAAATTGTTGTTATAAAATGTTAGATGTAAATGAAACCTTGATATTGGAGGAACAATTTGGTTCTATAACAAATAGATTAAGAAATAGACTTTATATGTCAAAATTAAAGTATCTTTGTCTTGCAACCTAAACGGAGATCGTACAAGAATTCAGGTTATTATCTTTTATTACTCCTTTCTCATGGTCATCAAGGACCATCTGGATCGTTCCATGGCACCACGAGCGACGAATCCATCAGACCGGTATAAACACTGTTAATGCAGAAGTAATCATTCCTTCATGCTCAGAAAATGACATCGATACAAGAAACAGAAGTGATAAAAGAGTGTTAAAGTTAAGAATCTGAGTCCTTGATTTCCTTTTGACTTTATTGATTAAACTGTACTTTATTACTCGACTTATTATAAGTCTTTGAAATTTATTTAATAATTTTCCAACATAAATAATAAGTTTTTATTTCCCAAATAAATTAAACTAGAAATATTTATATTAAATATGTAAATTTAATCATAATTTGATTTATGGGCAATAAATCGTTTAATAAAAGCGAAACATATAGAAAACCATTGTTTCCGTGCTGATCCAATAAGGTACCTACTCTATAAATAGGGTTACGGGACAACTTACACTAAATTCTCCCACGGACATATTAATGGAAATTCAATTTGCGTTGGTTTTGCTTGTTGTGTTGTTGAAGGTCGCTTATAAAAGGTTCAAAATGGATCAAGGTATGGAAATTGGCAACGAGCACCAGTTGTGGGTTAACCTTAGCTCTTTAACCGAGGGAAATATCGGCGGAGTCCTCCCAAAACTCATCCAAGAAATGTTGGGTAACATAGAAAATGAAAATGTCGAACAAGAACTATTTGAAATCACGCTTCCAAGCGATGATGAATGGAGAAATAAGATGTATCAAAAATTATTATTAAAACAAAAACTTGCTATGTCGTAAGTAACATTTCTTTTCAAATTTTAAACAAGTTTTAATAAGTATTTAATTTATGGCGTTTGCGTGCAACTTCACGACACGGTTTTGTATAAATATGTAAATGTTTCATAATAAATCTGAACTTTATGCGGAAGAAAAGTTTTCAATGCGGCATTATTTTAAAGTTTGCACCTTCTTTTTTTTTCAAGTGAACCTTATTAAAATTGACACTCCAAATTGACAGTTTTAATTGAATTTAATGATGATGTGAACGCCGCCGTAAAAAGTCCTCCGCTCGGTAAATTTTAAAAAACAACAAATTTTTTCGCCGAGCTTTTTTGTAGAATGGACCAACAAATTCCTGAAGAAAAAATCGTATTGCACGAATGGAATATACTACCTAATAAAAATGAAAAGGTTTTTTGCGCACCCGATGCTGAAAGATTAGCGAAAAAAGTTATTAAAACAGGCCCTGGACCAATAACTTGGACGGTCAGTGATATCGCAAAAGCTTCCTGTTTATTACAAACACCACCGCTTAAAATAACATTCCAAGATGAACAAGAAATGCGTAGGGTTTACACATTAATCTACGACGTTTTTAGATGTAAATTAATTAATTGAATTATTTAAAAATTATTGAATAAAATTATTTTTAGATAAATCAGTGTTACATCAAACTTTAATGGATACAGCTTTTTTCTTTATATTCCCCGAACTTATGAACGATCAAGCTAGAGTGTATTTATTACTTTACGATATGTACCATAGAAGTTTTAAAAAACGCGAAGTTCAAAATCAAGCTGTAGCGAACAAAATGTTTGCCGAATGTGGTTTATCAAAAGTCGAAGAGTATTTATGGAAACAAAGAGTGAAATTGGCTGCGGCTATCGCGCGCTTACGCATCGAAAAAAGTGCTTTAAGATTAAACGAGTTATTACCCGGTCATCTTCGGGATGAAAAAACAACCATTTTTGATACATCTCCGGTTACTTGTTGGGTTAATTTGAAAAAATTAAAGTATAGAATAATTTTTACGAGATTATTTTTGAATAAAATCTTTTCGTTTTAGAAATAAGAAGGAATTAAATGTCGAACTTATTTCGAATCTGGGATTAACGGAAATCGATAACGATTTAACGCCGGGACCTGGCCATTACAAATGGGATCCTCATTGTCCTCATTTTTTAGTTTTACACCCTACAGTAAGGTCCAAGTTAGCTCAAAGCACTTTAGTGAAAAAACATAAATTAATTGTTCAGGTATGAATCAAATTTTTTTTTTATTTAACAGTAATTCGGATAGATTTCGGTCTTTATTTGTATCGCCAATCTTTATTCTTTATATAATTCCTTTATATATTTTTTTGTTATATAGATTTTGAAATTTTAAAACTTTTTTTTTCATTTTTAGAGTAAATCATTTTGTGTTGGTCCCGCAACATTTGGAAAAATAATTTCAGATCTTCAATTAACCGGAAGCGTAGTACAAACCCACGTAAACTCCCCAAGAACGGTAGCTTATTTGGCAACTCTTCTCTCCCAAAACGGGAATATCAAAAAATTGATGGCTTTTAGCGCAGGTAACAGGTAAAAATCTACAAGAGATTTTCAAGTCGACTGCTTAAAGTCGCATAATTATCGTGTATAATATAGAAAGAAAGAGTACGAGACGTATTTTCACGACCTCGGGATGAAAAATATCGTCATTTATTCGGAAAAATTAATCGACGTGGCACCGGATGCTAATTATTTAGAGGAAGTTATCGCCGTTTTTGCTACGCCTCCAAATAGTTATTCTGCGGTTACCGATCCGATTGATCTTGTTTGCGGACGAGGAGGCGATTTATCGGTTTTAGAAATTCTTACGGAAGCTGAAGAAACTAAACAAACCAAACAAAGAGTTACTAATATTTTAGAAGAACAGAAAAAAACGTTACGATTCGCCATGTCACGACCACAAGTAAACATTAAGTAGAAATAAAAATTAATTTAAAAACATTACTTTTAGATCCAATTCGTTTTGTATGAAACTCACTCTGAAATCGATGCTGAAAATAACGCGATGGTTGATAAAGCTATGAAAGAAGTAAACAAATTAGCTTTAATACACCACGCTTCTTTACAAGGAAAAATAAAAGCTCAATCAGTTGATGCTGCCAGCATACAAGATATAACTCTTGTTGATCAAACCTCTTTATTAAATAAAAATTTATTGGAAGCCCCTTCCGATGTCTCTTTAATATCGAGAATGTCAGCTGAAGAAAGTGATAGTGAAGAAAGATTGAGAAACGTCGTTGTTCCCGATTGTGATGTTTTTACAACTGCTGATGTCCCACCTCTTTGCCCTAATATTAAAGAGCAATGTACTAACATCTCAAGGGAAGGATGCTTTTTAGCTTTAATGCAACGAAAAACCGTAACAAATATGGATAATAAATATATGATAGAAATGGCTGAATCTCGGGGATTATTTGGAAAAGCTAATCCTGATAAAAAAACTTCTAAAGGAGCTAAAACGAAAAAACCTGTTGAAGCTGTTAGTTCACCCACAAATAAACCTAAAAAGAAAGTTAAACAGATTGAGGTAAGTAAATTAATGTTGCGAGATGATTCGTTAAGACCCAAACCAATCCAATCCTTTTCATCACAGACATTTATGATTTTTAGATCGAACGTATTGCTGCACCTACATTAGCATCGATTCAACATTCAAAAGCATGTACGTTTTCAACTTGTCAACATTGTATGAGACATTCAAAAGATTTGTGGGAATGTAATTATCCGACGAAGAGACCGTCGACAACATCAACACCCGCGAAGCAATGGTGGTCAGAAACGACTCGCCACTTAACCAATTTACGCACGAGTTTAGTAAAACAGAAAGTTTTGCCACCGAAACAAATACCCCAGAAGCAACAATCAGCGACGAGCACAACTAGCAAAGCGATCGCAAACACTTTTATTCATACAACGCAAAGGATCGATGAAATCGTTGCTAAAACTTCAAAGAGTTCTTGTGCGATTCCGTTGTATCCGAAATTAAGATTAACTCGAAAACCGAACAGAAAGGATAAGGTTCCGTGTCCGATGACGGTTACTTTTGTTAAATTTAACGGAACCGGACATAGAGCTCTTAAACTGAATTGTTAACAACAAAATTTAATTAGAGCATCAAAAACTAATTTAATAAAAAAACTGTGATTAAAAAGATTGGTTTGGGTGTGTAAAGGGAATGTATATTTTTTATATTTAAATAAAATTATGATGTGTATTAAGACTTTTTTATAATCTTAGACTGAATCTAAACTATTAAAAGAAGGTTTAACTGTGAGAGGGACTGTTAAAATTAATCAAAAAAGAGAGAGTTATGTGAAATATCAAGATATTCCCAGCACCAGTGGATGGGTTGGTACAAGAATCAACATGAGGAAATGAAATAATTTAATGTAAAAGGTACTTTTCCCTTGCATTACTTACCAATGAAGCCCCGCCACAAGAAAATTGCAACTCTAAGATTCCTCGGTCTTTCCAACACTCATTCATTCATTTTATCTGCATGATCTTTAAGCTATCCATTATTAATCGTTGTTACATATATCTCCAAACCATTTTTGTGCTTGTGGCATATCTCAGCAATCATCTACCTTAACCTAACCTAAAAAAAATATTCTTTTAACTAACAATTTGTCTAATTATTAGGATCCATAAAAACTCGGCGAATTCTCAAGATAACTCAAGAACAAGTGGAGGATTTACGGCGATTTAAATCAAGATGTACACATTTAATTAAAAAATGAATAAATTGTTAAAAAATATTCTTTTGAAAATACTTATTTAGGCAACCAAATCGACAGCATTGCCTGCCAATTGGGTTGTATAGTTATGAATAAGAAGTCTTGTGTCTTGTTAATGAACCGTAAGTTAAGGTGTTGTTCTGTTTTTGCAGTATGGTTAAATCTGTAAAAGTTATTGTTCCATAGTTAAAGTTCTTTTAATAATAACAACGAGTTAAGAGACGTTATTTAAAAGAAAACATATCACTGGAATCACTGCAAGACAACATCCCCCTTCAATTTTTTTGAAGAAAACTATAGCAACAATCACTCCAAAATATTTTAACATTTCTCCTGTCAATCTTTTTTAATTAATTTCTTCCTGATTCTTCCTCACCATTATGACTGAATTAAATCAATTAACTAAAGATCAATTGGTAGAACGTGCAAAACTTGCGGAAGAAGCGGAAAGGTTCGATGATATGGCCGCGACTATGAAAATTGTAACTGAAATGGGGGGAGAATTGAGTAACTTTGAAAGAAATTTGTTATCGGTCGGCTACAAGAACGTAATTAGTTGTCGAAGATCGGCATGGAGAGTGATTTCATCGATTGAACAAAAAACTAAAACCGGGTCGGATGTAAAGCAAAAAATGGTGAAGGAGTATCGAGAAGAAATTGAAAAAGAATTAAACGATATCTGTCGGGATTTGATTAATTTATTGGATAAATATTTAATTCCAAATGCAACGTTGGCTGAAGCTAAAGTATTTTATTTAAAAATGAAAGCGGATTATTTTCGGTATTTAGCTGAAGTTGCAACAGAAGATCGTAAAGGAAATGTTACGGAAGATGCGCAAAAAGTGTATCACGAAGCTTTCGAAATTGCAACAAGCAAATTGACACCAACACATCCAATTCGATTAGGATTGGCATTAAATTTTTCGGTATTTTTCTACGAAATTTTAAGTTTGTCAGATAAAGCATGTCAAATGGCCAAACAAGCATTTGAAGATGCTATAGCCGAATTAGATACTTTAAATGAAGATTCATATAGGGATAGTACTCTTATTATGCAACTTTTAAGAGATAATTTAACTTTATGGACAAGCGATACACAAACCTCACAAGACGAACAAGACGGCGGAGATAATTAAATAAATAATTGTAAAAAATTTGAAATATTTTTTGTAATTTTGTTTAGACTAAATAGATAAGTCAAACAAATATAATAATTTTTTTAATTAATTAAAACATTCAAATTTATAACCGCCATCTATTATCTAACAATCCAACTAAAAGGATATTTAATTTTTATTAAATTTTGAAAATGTTCCTTAAATACAACCAAAATTAATTAAGAATTAAATTACAATTAAACTAAATCGATATTTTCTTTTTAATTAATTAATTTAATAAATTTTTTTTTTAAACCGACATCTATTATCCTTCCATTCAATCACATTCTTAACCTCAATCTTAACAATCAAAGCATGTTTTTAATTTTGCTTTAACTGTTACAATATTAATATTTAAATATGGAAGAATTACCCGGTTTTGAAGATTTTAAACATTCAGAAAATGTTGATTCAGACGATGACAACGAAAGTACATTAAAACCGACGAAAACCAATAAAAAAAGTGGTGGTTTTCAATCAATGGGAATAAGTTATAACGTTTTAAAAGGAATTATAAAACGGGGTTATAAAATCCCAACTCCCATACAAAGAAAAACGATCCCTTTAGCTTTAGAGGGTCGCGATGTTGTCGCTATGGCACGTACGGGAAGTGGAAAAACAGCTTCATTTTTAATACCCCTTTTCGAAAAGTTAAAGGTAAGATCTGCGAAAAGTGGGGCTCGAGGATTGATACTTTCACCAACAAGAGAATTAGCTTTACAGGTATATTTTAAGATTATTAAATAAATGAGATTATTAATTTAGTTGATTTTAGACGTTAAAGTTTGTTAAAGAGCTGGGGAAATTTACCGATTTAAAAGCTGCTGTTATTTTGGGTGGTGATTCAATGGAAGATCAATTCGCTGTAATTCATGGAAGTCCAGATATAATTGTGGCCACCCCAGGTCGTTTTTTACATGTTTGCATTGAAATGGATCTTAAATTATCAAATGTTGAGTGTATTATTTTTGACGAAGCTGATCGATTGTTTGAGATGGGTTTCGGGGAACAGTTGAATGAAATTGTTAATCGATTACCTGATAATAGGCAGACTTTATTGTTTTCTGCTACTTTACCCAGAGTTTTAGTTGATTTTGCTAAAGCTGGATTAAGCGATCCTGTTTTAATCCGGTAAAAATTTATCTTTACCATTACATTATTTATTTATTTATTAATTTTTAGTTTGGATGTTGAATCTAAATTACCTGAACAATTACAATTGCATTTTATTACTGTGCGGGCAGAAGAAAAAGTTGCTGGTTTACTTGTTTTATTAAAAAATCATATTGAAGCTAAACAACAAACTGTAGTTTTTGCAGCTACCAAACATCATGTGGAATATTTACATTTGGTAAAAACAATAAATGTGATGCGAAAAGGGACCAGTTGTTTAAAAAATTCTAATTTGAATTACCAATTTTTCTTAGTAAAGTACTTCCTTATATTTTTGTAGAGATACTGTTTTCTTTCTTCAGTCATTCCTAAAAAATTTAATTAAGATAGTTAATTATTTTCTCTTCTTCACTTGCAACCCCCATAGCAGCACCAGAAGTATAATGTTTTTGGCAAAAGGAGCAGAGATCTGACTTTGCTCTTATGATGACAATGGTTGAGCATGTTTCGCGCCAAATGTTTATGAACACTCTCAATGATACAGATTTTTCAACCATGTCCTCTGTGAATGATTGTAGATATCGTACATTTTTTTCTTGCTGTCGCTAGAAGGCAACTGAGTCCTATTATAATAATCGATTAAAAACTCAAAATCGATATTTTCAACCCTATTATCTTCCTTCGGTCGTAGTGAAAATTTTACTGGTCTCTTTTTGCTTTCCGCATCAAAATTAATACATTTTTTAATAAAATTGTGTTAGATTTTAGATAAAGTTGGAATAAGCAACACTTATATATATTCAAATTTAGATCCTGCAGCTCGTAAAATACACGCTGCTAAATTTAGTTCGGGAAAATCAATGGTTTTGATTGTAACAGATGTAGCTGCACGAGGAATTGATATTCCACAATTAGATAATGTTATTAATTTTAATTTTCCAGCAAAAGCTAAATTATTCGTCCACAGAGTTGGTAATTTTTTTAATTAAAACATTTCGTTTCAATTTAAATTAATTTTAATTTTTTTAGGCCGTTGCGCTCGCGCTGGCCGTTCTGGTACGGCTTATTCATTAATATCTCCAGATGAATACGCCCATTTACTCGACTTATACTTATTTTTGGGTAAAAAAGTCTCTTTTGTAACCACTCATACACCAAAAGGCGATATCGGTCACATTCCTCAATCGTTATTAGAAGAACAACAATGCTTCTTATTGGGTTTACACGAAACTTACATTGATTTAGTGTCAATGCGGGAAGTTTCCGAAAAGGGTTATAAACAGTACTTAAGATCGAGACCTGCTGCTTCCGTTGATAGTAATAAAAGGATTAAAGAATTACCGTTTGGGAATTGCGGAATTCATACTATTTTTCAAACTGAGGATGCTCTTAGTGAAATTAAAAAAGAAAATATTTTAGAAAGAATGAAAAATTATCGTCCAAGTGGGGTAAATATTTGCTTCAATTTAAAAATTAATTTTTTGATTGGTTATGTTGTAATATTTTTAGACAATATTTGAATTATGTAGTAAAAACAAATCAGAAGATTATCAAGTTATGAAAACGAAACGAGCATTACACAAAAACCAAATAGCCTTATTCCACCAAAAGCTTTCAACAAACAGCGCAATAGAAACAACATTTACATCAACATTACCATCATTAAACAATAAAGAAATCGAAGAGACTTTCAAAGAAGTAATTTTACCCAAAAAACGTAAAATCGATGATTTATATAAAACAAAAAAACCTAAAAAAATCAAAGATGATGAAAATTTTATTCCATATCAACCTCGAGATAAACACACAGAAGACGGTTTAGCGGTGAATTCGTTTGCTCAAGAAGCTAATCAAGTCCAAATGGATTTAACAGGTGATTCACATGAAACCATGAGAATGTCAAAACAGGTTAAAAAATGGGATCGAAAGAAAAAGAAAATGATTACGGTTGATACAGGAAGTAAACATGGGAAAATTAAAACCGAATCGGGCGTTTGGATTCCTGCAACATATAAAAGTAATCGTTATGCTCAGTGGAAAGAAAAAACCAAAGCTGATGAGGACTTAGATGATGATAGTGGTGACGATGATGAAAAGAATAAGAAAGGAAAAGGTTTAGTAACGAAAGTAAATACTCATTGGGCGAGACATAACGAGAAATTAAAAATGAAAATGAAAAAATCCGAGTTGAAGAGTACCGATCAGATTTTGAAAGCGCGAATGTTGGCGGAGAAAAAGAAGAAGAAACAGAAAGGAAAAAAGAAAACTAAAAGAAAACATAAATAACTTAAACGTTTCTTATTAAAAATTTTTTTATTAATCACTTTTATTAATTATAAATGATAATAAAAAAATAAATAATTTTAGTAATTACTATTTTATAGAAAGATACATTTTTCCTTTTAACGTTTGTTTAACGGGGTTTATTTTCTTTAAAATCTGAGTCATTATAGTTACTAATTGCTCGCTTGAAAGTCCCGTTTTCTTCGATTTAAACTTTTGAAGGAGTTCAGTGGTTGTCATGGGTTTCCTCATTAAATATTTCCGTACAGCTTCCTCAGTAATTCCAGATTCACTATAAAAAATTACATTAAACCTTTTTCTTTATACAGTGAATTTCACTTAAGATGCAATATACAAAAATATATTTCCATAGAAACTTTAATTGTTTTAATTGTTATTCAGCCTAAGATTGTGGTATATTTTTATTGAACAAAAATGTTGCATTTTATGTGTTTAAGTGCATAATAGTTTTATAACTATGGTTACTGGATTCATATATTGCAAGTTATATGAAAGTCATGGTATATTTAAAACAATCTTACTTTGCCCCTGGAATATAATTAGGTATGGGATTCTCCAATTTAGCTTTTTTTGATGGTGGCATATTTGAAGAACCGGCTAAACCCCTCTTATTATCGGACATTAACGAATCAGAAAGTGAGTTATCACTACAAAAAGAAATAATTAAAAGAGTGTTTTAATATATTTTAATAAGTACTTGTCCAATAAATCTTTTTCTTTAACTTTGTCCTTTTCAGCTTCAGCCTTTTTAGCTTTTTTCTCAGCTTTTTGTTTCTTAATATCCTCATCGGTAGAACTATCAGAACTAAACTCATCAGAACTGGCATCTTTTTTCTCTTTCTTAAGTAAATCTTTTTTATTCTTCTTCTTATTCTTTTTAGTTTTATCCTTTTCTTCACCTTGTTCCTTCTTTTCGCCATCTTTTTCTTTGTCTTCTTCATCCTCTTTCCCCTCTTCCTTTTCTGATTTTTCTTCTTCGTCAGAATCTTCTTCATCAGAGTTCAATAATTTTCTTAAGGCTTTTTCTTCAGCTACACCTTCCAATTTTGTGTCTTCAGGTTCACTTGCTGAGCTATCAGAAATATAATCCAGTTCTCTCCCTTCATCATCACCATCGTCAGAGTCTTCTACAGCTTCTAAATCTGTATCCCTTTTTTTCTTTTTCGGGGCACCTTTTTTCTGTTTCTTTTGCTTCTTTTTTTCATTTTTATCCTCTTCGTCTTCACCTTTTTCACCTTCGGATGACTCATCTTCGGAAGAATCCATCCATTCATCAATTTCTGATATCTTTAAATCTTTTGATTTTCCCTTTTTTGTTTTTGCTGTTTTTTCTTCTTCGTCTAACCCCTCTTCGTCACCTTTCAATCTCTTTCTTAACATCAATGAAAAATAATTTAAATGTTTGTTACGTTTACTGAATTCTAATTCAGCCTCTTCCGCTGAAAGTGCTTTGTATCTTTGGATTGGTTGAAATTTGTACCATTCGTATAAAGGAAAGGCTTCGATTGCACCATCAGCTGCGTGTGTAAAAACGTAATACGAAGCATTTTCTGATACTCCGCCCTCACGGATTCCTTTAAATTTTTTTACACCACCAGAAAACAATTTGAGAATCCAAGGTTGATCTTCAGGCTTATATTTTCTTGTGATTATGCCCAACTTTTTACGGCGGGCTTCCTCTTTAGCTTCTCTGCCAAATTCTGAACCAGCACCAAATCTAATCGAAAAAGATTTCAAAAAAAGAATTAAATATGGTTAAGTTTTACTTGGGTTGGTCCTCTTCAATTCCTTTAAATTCTCTCATATTATTTTCCCTTTCCATTTTTACTTGAGTCCATTTTGAGAAATCTATTCCTAAATTTGCGTTAAAACGCATAACATGGTGTTTTTTTGGAACATGTTTTGGAACTCTTATGCTAAATTCTTGAACACTACTGTTCTGTGGGTCAAAAGAAGGCTTAATTTGAATTATTTTGCGATATTTTTAACATACCGAAGATCCAGACATGGTAAAAAAAATAATTTGTTGTTTTTCACTTATCAATATTTGACAGCTAAGATATAGGTTAAGTTATCTGTCAAATTTTTGTCAATAACGCCACATCAAAAACGTTTTTTGCGATTAATAAAAGGTGTGTAATAAAGGGGTTTATTAAAATCACAATAAAATAAGATACAAATAAATTAGTTATTAAAAATATTTATATTAAAAAGTAATTTAAATATTTTTATTTTGGTTTAAAGCGACATCTATGATTAAGATTTGTAAGTAATGGGAAAATTTTAAAATTTTCAAAAGATTTTTGATAATTTCTGTATTATTATTAATAATAATAATGCACCTTTATTGGGACCGCAAAATAAATACAACAAAACAATAGTAATAATTAATTTAATTTATTTAGAATAACAAGCTTTGTAAATGTGACAAATGTCAAATGAAAGCGCACTTCGTTTGTTCAAAGCCTCACGATCCCAAAACATAAAAGCATAAAATTTCCTGTACTTGACCATGTTCTAACCCATAAAAATTATCCTCCAGAATTTCAAGAGAGTATATCTAATGTAAAATGCCCATTCCAAACCGTTAACCGACGTCGCGCTCGCATCCAGAATCGTCCCAATTGTCAGAATCCTCGCTGTTTTGATACAAGAATATCACTGTCAAAATTTTTTTAATAATTATACTCGCGGACCAAATTCGACGGGGAAATCGCCTCTAGTCGCTGTACGATGGTGTTTAGGGTGTTCAGAGGGTTAAGACGCATCAATCATTGCAGTAGTCAGTAAGTAAATTCCTTTCTATCTCTACACGTTCAAACATAACCTCAAATATTTTTACCGACTTATTAAATGCGTTCGTAACTTGCCCGGTTAGAAAATGGCAACCGCATACTTTCGCATTGAGGCACTACTCCGAGAAAGATACGGACAAACCAGTAAAAGAAGGCCCCATCACCGATTTGCCACCGATGAACGAAGAGGTTAAAAACCTTCCAAAAGCCGTTTACGCTTCTTATACGGAGGATAATCAACAAACTCGCATTACTAAACTTTCAAATGGATTAACTGTTGCCTCTGAAAATAGATTTGGTGAATTTTGTACTGTCGGAGGTAAATTTTAAGAAAAATAATCTTCAATTAATTTCACGAATTTTTTTTCTTTAGTTGTTGTGGACTCAGGTTCGCGATATGAAGTAGCTTATCCAAGCGGAATAGCTCATTTCCTTGAAAAATTAGCGTTTAATGTAAGTTATACTAAATTAATTATTATGTTAGGTTGTAAAATGTTATTAATTTTAGTCAACAGCTGCATACCCAGATAAAGACAAAATGTTAAACAAATTAGAACGTCACGGTGGTATTTGTGACAGCCAAGCATCTAGAGATACATTAATATACGCGGCATCAGTTTACACACGAGGTCTCGATGATGTAATGCAATTATTAAGCGAGGTAACGTTACGGCCGCGCATAACTGAAGAAGAATTGGAAATGGCTCGCCAAGCGATCAATTTCGAATTGGAAACTTTGAATATGCGCCCTGAACAAGAAACGCTTTTAATGGACATGATCCATATGGCCGCTTATAAAGATAACACCTTGGGATTGCCGAAATTATGTCCTAATGAAAATATTCATCAAATTGATCGTAACGTTCTCTTTACGTATTTAAGTCAACACTTTACACCTTCGCGAATGGTCGTTGCTGGGGTTGGTGTTGATCATGAGAATTTGGTTGAGATTACGCAAAAATATTTCGTTAACGAAAAACCAATTTGGGAGGAGGATAAAAGCTTGTTTTTAGCCCCAAGAAATATATCGGTTGATGAAAGTGTAGCTCAATATACAGGTGGAATCTTACAAGAAGAATGTGATATTCCACAATTTGCTTCTGCTGGTCTTCCGGTTTTATGTCACATTATGATCGGTTTAGAAGGTTGTTCACATCAAGATAAAGATTTTATAGCAATGTGCGTTTTGAATATGATGATGGGCGGTGGTGGTTCATTTAGCGCTGGTGGACCCGGAAAAGGAATGTATACAAGATTGTATACAAACGTTTTGAATCGATTTCATTGGATGTATAGCGCGACTGCTTATAATCATGCTTATACAGATACCGGATTATTTTGTATACACGCAAGTGCGCCGCCAACTCATTTAAGAGACATGGTCGAGGTTATTGTTAAAGAATTAATTGGTATGAGTGGAAATGTATCCGATCCTGAATTAAGAAGAGCAAAAACTCAATTACAATCGATGTTATTAATGAATCTTGAATCCAGGCCTGTTGTTTTTGAAGATATTGGACGACAGGTTTTAGCTACTGGAAATAGGAAAAGACCCCAACACTTTATTGATGAAATAGGTTCGAATTATTATAAAATTAAAAAATAAAACTAATAATTTTTTTTTAGAAAAAATTACTAAAGAAGATATAATAGCAGTTGCTAGAAGACTGCTCACTTCGCAACCATCGGTGGCAGCACGTGGTGATTTAAGAAAAATGCCTTCCTTGGAACACATCCAACAGTACATACTTGAATCTGAAGCGAAATTATCAAAAGGACGGAAACTATCGATTTTTAGATAACCTAAAGGACGAGTGTAATAAGTTTTTTTAAGTACACTACCAACGCGCAAGTTGTGATTGATTTCTCTTATCCTAATCGTAGACTGTGACCCTTAATCACTATTTATGACTTATTTACTCTTTCTTATCTTTTGTATATACACTTATACATTAAAGGTGCAGGCGATGTCTGAACAATTATTTACCGACCGATCGATCTTAAACTGGTTGGTTTTTGATTTACGTCTGCTATAAAACAGGATTAATTGTAAATAAATATTTTTTCGTTTTACATATAACAGTTGTTTTATTATTTCATCATTTCCTTTTTCATCTAATAACAACATCCTTCTTGTTAACAGTGAATTTCACTTAAGATGCAATATACAAAAATATGTATCCATAGAAACCAGAGTATACCTTCTTACTTTGTCCCACATAAAATGCCTGAATGTTTCTAGGTCTAATGTTAGTTCTAGTAACAGTGCAAGCTAAACTCACATGGTTCTAGTTCTATGTATAATGTTAAGGTGGCTACACACGTAACTGTAAACTTGACAAGCATGCATGATTAATCTTTTTGTACAAGCATGTAAAATTTCCCTTCGACACCACACGATACAAGTATGCTTGAACAAGCGCCAGTTTGCGCTTGGACTATGTCGAGCTCGGACGACGATGCGCTTATAAACATTAAACTTATAACTAATTCTAATAACTAATGTCATCCTGGATTTATACAAATTTTTACTTCGATATAGGTATCTTTCTTTTTAGAAAAACTTGTTCATGTAACAATAATCTTGTATAATTCTTCATTTAAGAATTATAAATTATTGACGCAAGAATGAAGTTTTTGATGCAAAAAATTGATATTCTTCGATGTTAAGAATATGATATACTTCTTCAATAATAGTTCTATTCTTAAAGCAAAAAAATATTTTAAGAAATACATTCAAAAATACATTTTTTTTGAAAGTCAAGAATAATGTCCCTCAGTGCGGGATCTCAGATTGTGACCCCTACTATTATTGGCAAATATCCCTACATATTTCATAAATTAAAGAAAACCTCCCTACGCCATTTTTAGGCTGAAAAATCCATACGTTCACACGTCAAGCAGTGTGCTTGGTACACACGTGCGGTTTCGCTTGATGATTAAAATTCAATCCTGTAAATTCAATGCCTGTACTATTACGCTATGTTGCATTTTATGTGGGACAGTGCAAGTGTATAGTAATTTCGTAACTATGGTTACAGCATTCATATATTGCGAGTTATAGGAAATTTCCGATATAAAATTAATATTTAAGTTAAGATTCAGAATAATTTTTTGTTCCCCTCAGAAATAAAGAAACTTTTTATCGGATAAAAGTGCGAAATAAAGTGAAGGACAAAGCGTAAAGTAAAAGCAGCAAAAAGTTGTTATGATAAACTTGTTAGACTATTTTTTTCTGTTATTTTTTGGGGGACTTACATCTATTATTCATTTCTACAAAAAAAAACCGCTTTGATATCCAGATTTCATTTCTCTAAAAAATCTTTTGTAATAATTAAAATTAATGTGTTTCACGCATTTGCTTTAAAACGAGTTTTACGTTTCATTAACCAGAAAACCCTTCCTATAAAATGAGAAAAACATGAAACTTTTCACCATCCTCAAAATTGTCCTTCCCACGCGACTACTTTAATTAGAAAGGGTAGAACAAAGAATTTCCTTTCCTCTTTTTGTTCATATCTTGTATATCCAGATACGCTAATGGATGAATCGCACAAAACGCTGTTCATTTTCGTTTTAATTGGATTCAAACAAAGAAAAATAGAATAGATAACAAATAAAAAAGATACAGGTCACTATTAACACTAGATTAAATTTTTAGTCACGTACAATTTCCTTGTTACACACTTTATGTTGGATATATTTCACGTTGCATTTAAACTTTACCTTCTGTTCGAAATTCGAGCAATAACTCAAAGTTTTAAAGCGGTATTTCTTAAGATGTGTTGATGTTTCTTATATCTTTCAAGATATTTAAAAACTACGTGGAAATCGGAAACCGCTCTTTGATGATTACACTTTGATATAATGCCGGTTAGTTCTGGGAAGAACTTTTCAACTTGATAGTTTATAAAATATTAAAAGTTGCTTTGAAGTGATGACAAAGTCGTTTTATATTATATTACTCATACAAGGACACTTCTTGTACATAAATCGCGAAAATTGCGACCCTAAAGACACATTTTTCCTTAAAAATATTGTCTCACGCGATAATGTAACATTTTTATCTCTTCAAGCAATTTGTTTCTCACTACATCGATAAAAAAATGGAGAAACTGCTCCCTGTTTTATGATAAAATAGGGAGGCATTATTATTTTATTACTACAAAGGAGGGAGGCAATTTTAATAAACGATCTGTGTCAAAAGAGAAAATGATCAAAAAAGAACGATAATTACCTACAAAGCAATTAGTGCGCAAAGTAATTGTTAGATGAATTAAAAATGTATAAGAATGGCATTTTGTAAGTAAGAAGATGACTGTGACAAATTTTCTTGCTAAAAACGATCGACAATATTGATGTATATACGCATCGGTTTTCCATTTGTTACATTATGCGACGTAAAGACCTTGCTCTGTTTCTTAGGGTTATTCTCAGGTGGCGGGGTTCCTGTAAAGCTTTCCTGCCAACTTAACTCGTATTTCATTTTTTTTTTAATAAAAATGATTTGTTTTTCTTTATTTCCCCTTTACTAATGTTTTAAACGAAAAAAAAAGGGACAGGAGTCTAAAAGTATGGAGTCTCAAAAGAAGTCAAAAAGAAGTCGAACTCGATCCTTTTCCGTTTTGTGAAAAAGATTGGGCCACTGAACGGATCCGTATATAACACAAAGAAGTGCTCCTTGCAAAGCTCTATAAAAAGAATGTAACGAAAAAGCTTTTTGCATTGATACTTTTCGATAGAAAATGATCTTTTCATCTTATACCTGTTTACACAGTAAAGTGTAGGTATCAATTTCAAAAAAAATCTCTTTTTTTAATATATTTCGAATAATGCCGTTGCAAAAATATGTTTTCCGGAACATTCACGGTATAATTCCATTTGTAAACAAAACTTATCTTACATAATATTCCTTCACGTTATAATTAACGTTACTAAGGAAAACAAAGTTTACCTAACATTGCTGCTTGGAAAAGAGTAGTTATTGCTCGTAGAAAGATATTCTAGATATTGTTGGCAGAAAACTAGATACTATTGTCAGAAGACTGCTGAGTAATGATTATAAACTACTGTAGGAGGCTTACACGCTGTTGGCAGGTTAGATATTACTAGAGGATCAATTAAAGCTCGTGCTACATATGATTACCCAGTAAACAAGAAACCTTACGACTTAAGAAACCTTTATTAAATGAAACATCTTACGTGACAGATATTTACGAAACGTATCTAAAGATATGTATCAAATACATTTCAGTAGAAATATTTATGAAATATCATTAAAATATGTAGCAGAAACATTTCATTTGAAACATTTCGCTACATATGTGTCTAAAACATGTCTGGAATATCTTCAGCACCGCCTGTGAACGTATGTACAAACATTAATTAATGTTTGTAAACAGAACTAACCTAAGGTAACATTCCTTCACGGTTTAATTGACAGTTCAAAAGAAAACTTCACGCTATGATTGGCATTACTAATTACTAAAGAAAACTTCACGCTATAATTAATGTTTGTAAACAGAACTAACCTTACGTAACATTCCTTAGTTATGTCTCAAAGAATATTCAACGAAAACAAGCAACAAATACAGTAAATGGATGTAAAAAAATGTTTTATAAGACACCTGGCAAGTGTTCTCGAAAAGTAATTCTCACTATAGAAGACAAGATACGTCCAATAGAAAGCTGGAACTGCTTCCCAATAACTTCCTATTGTTTAGCAAATAATCTATATTGTTGACAGAAGTTTAAATACTACTAGAAGATCAAATAAATTCAATGTTTAATGTAATATAAATTCAAATTATAAATGTATTATCTTGCCGACACGATTTATTTTAAGAAGACCTTTGAATTCGTTAGGCATTGTTTCTTGTTAACAATTGAGTTTACTCCTTCTTGTATCTCGTGGTTCTAATCTTACCTATTCCATCATTACTTGTGTGAGCGTGTTTAGTTTTCGTCTTGGAAATCAAATATAGTGTTCCCGTCCAAATTAATTTATTGTTTGAACAGTTCGAACGAACACTAACAATATGCACAACTTTATTTAGTGTTTATGTACAATCTTATCAATTTGAGAAGTTCCACCCTATTAAATTCAGCTTATCCTCCTAATTACTATCGAAAGGAACGTCTAGGGCAATCGTTCGAATGGGAAGGTTTACGTTTGCTGTCAATTCCATGAAGATAAGTTTATATCTCCTTTAGCTAAACTTTGATTGTTATTAAATTTGGAACTGCAAATTTTGTTTATAATTTTTTAATTACTTTCACGTTTATATTTTTTAATTATTTAACGTAGGCAAAATAATGTGATATGATAAACCGTGACTACAATAATGGCACCATGCAAATTACATTCCCTTGGTTATTGCATATTCATTCCATAATCAACAATAAATTAGATTTTGCACGGAATGAAAACGAGTTTTCGATATGATCAAATACTATATGTTAATAATTCGACAACAAACTCTGATAATTTATAATTTTAGTATTTAGTAATTAAGAGGGGTTAATTCATATTTGTTAGGGAATTCATTTTAAAAATTTAATTATAAAGTTTCTATTTTCTCTCGAGACCGTCTAGTTTGTGACAAAAAAAATTTATTGTCTACAACATATCCCTTTTAATATTTTATCATTTTATTACGACTTGAAGCGTAAAAAGAAAATAATATTTAGAGTGAATCCGCGTAAAAAGTTTCAGAATACATTTCCATACTTTTATTACTTCTCCTTTTTTTCGTTTTTTATTACTCTTGGTATTACCTTTTCAACTTGTGGATTTCTATTTTCCTTTTTGGGATAAGTTTAATCCTTATAACGAAGGTTTAAAAAATTTAATATTAAAGTGTTAGCGATTAAATCACAATGAAAAGGAACGATCCTGAAACTCGCATGCGCTCCTAAATTACGAACTCGTTTCCGATTTTCCTTCAGTCCTTCGCTAAGTTCCCTTCCGGAAGGGACTTGTGGATACTATTCCATGAACGTTTACATGCAAATATCTTTTTGGGAAGGAAAAAGTGATCAATTAAAAAGTTTTTTGTTATATAAAAAAAATGGAAAACGTAAGTATTTATATAAAACTAATTAAATAGCCGTTTTGTTGTTTGAATTTATTTTTAATATTAATAATAAATCAAATTGAAGTTTGTAAGCGGATTAATAACAAAGCGTGCTCGCATCGCGTTATTAACGTTCAGTTCCATTTCCAATTATAAATGAAATAGTGGATGTGATGAAATTTCCTGAAATTCATTACAAAATTTTTGCTAAACAATACACTTTTAGGTACCTAATCTGGATTTTGATATTTTTACTTGTAACAGTAATCGTTAGATTTTAATGAAGACGTAAATTTAATAAAACGCTTAATTAAACGAGAATATGCACTATTTCAATAACAAGTTCAAATGGGTTCCTCTGTCGACTTCGTTTATTGCCGTTTAACTATTACTTAGAATACATACAAACTCTCTTAGCGCGATTCAAAACTTTCCAATTACATTAATCAATCGAACGAACAACAACTAAGCTTTAAGCGCCTCCGGATATATTAACACCCACGTGAGGAGATTTACAGATTAATTTAATCAAATTCAGGAAATTGAGTAACTCTTTCCATGAAAATTGGACCTACTTATCACGCAAAGTAATTATTTGAGAATTACATTTATTAGTAATTTTAAATTGTGAATGAAATTTTAATTACAAAATAAGGAATCTTTAGAATTTAAAGTACCTAGAATGAAGTTTGTTTGAAACCCATTGGGGTTTTAAATCCGTTTGAACAAAAACCAGATGCTCGTATGTTACCGGGAATGTACGTGGGAGGATTTTACAAAGTTCGGTGAATTCCATTTAAGCAAAATGCGAACAGTGCGAGCTAACTAAAACGATTTGATACCTAAATACACACAACCAAACGAACGGTTTTCGAAAACTAAACCCTAGCATTAAGGAACGTGGCGAGAGTTGAATTCATAATGATTAAGCTTACAATTTGCTAAACGAACCTTTATGCTTCTTTTCTTGGTAGTAATCCTAATTCTAAACTGTTTTTACCAATGCTTTTGTGATAAAACCTTTTTCTTGTAAACATCCCTTTTTTATTTTCTCACATCTAAAACGGAATTGTTTTCATGAACATTTGGTATATGAAAATCGCAATGGTGTGAATTTTAGTATTCTCTAGGATGTTTGCTAAACGTCTAACTTGTAAAGAAAGCACCCCACATTCACATTTACATTAACACGTAAATTCATCAAAACTCCTATCATGACAGAATTCCCAAATACCGTGTTTTGACGTCTTTTTGAGAGTGATGTTTCTTTACAAACATCGTAACATAAAAGATAAGTTCAATTTAAATTTCAGCATCTATATTTATTTACACTTCCTTCTGTTAAGCCTAACATCTTTACAGGAAACTTTAGATTTGTTTAGATTTCAACCATACCAAGCCTATTAATAAGCCTATACTAATATACCAAGCAATTAAAATTATTCAACCAAGCCGAGGTCGCTTGTGGCCGAGGCGCTACATTTATACCACTTCGCTACAAAAGCTAACCTAGTTTATAACGATATCAAGAGTGATTAAGCCAAGGTAGCTTGCGGCCGAGGTATTACATCTCGGCTTAATCATTTTTAATATTATTATAAGCTGGTTATTTTGTATATGGTATCAATGTACCGCCTCGGCCGCAAGCAATCTCCTTTTTATTACTCTAAACATCGTTAAATTGTTGTTAGCTTATGTATACGATAAGGTATAAATGTAGTGCCTCGGCCGCAAGCGCCTCGGCTTAATCACTCTTGATATTGTTGTAAACTGGTTAGTATTCGTATGAGATAGTATATGGATGTAGCGCCTCGGCCGCAAGCGACCTCGACTTTATTACTCTAAGCATCGTTAAAATGTGGTTGGCTTATGTATACGATAAGGTATAAATGTAGTGCCTCGGCTTAATCACTCTTGATATTGTTGTAAACTGGTTAGTTTTTGTATGAGACATGATATCAATGTAATGCCTCGGCCGCAAGCGACCTCGGCTATTTATTCTTAAAATCGTTGAAATATGGTTAGTTTCCTGATACAATATGGTATTAATGTAGCGCTTCGGTCGCAAGCGACCTCCCAAGCGAAAATTAAGTGTAGTCCAATTAATTTTAATTATCAATTAAATTAAATAAAGAATATTTACAAAAAACCGATGTTTGAAAATGTAATGAAAACTTTACTGCTAGCTTGACTTTAATTAAATTACAAATTCTACGTTATTGTATTTCGATGGTTTCGCAGAACATCCAGGAACAGCTTGTAATTAGGAACTATTATCTCCCGTCAGAACAACGTCGACGTTGTCATTTACGATCTCATTGTTTTTCATAAAATGATTCTTATTACCAGTTTTATTTATTATATTTTTAATAATTAATGTTGGTTGCGCAAAGTAAAAATAAAATTCAAAGTATATTAATAATTTGAATAAAACTTTTTGTGTTAATTAACTCGACCTACTTTATCAAGAGTAATTGCTGCATTTCATTTACATCTTTTGCTGAAGGTGAAAAGAAATGGAAATTTAAGATGGACTGTAGATGACAGATTTAACTGGAGCGGATATCAATGTTAGTTATGTAAGGAAAAATTTAAACTTTTAACATTCTGAATGGTTCTGTAAAATTGGACGTTACTGTTAAGCCTCTTTAGCAGTTAATAGACCTTAGTAAATCTGAAAAGTTTGTCTAGTTTTAAATTAACCTTGCCAGCTTTTCTTCAAGGGTCTATTAACTCGAATACCGAACGAGAAAACTTTTATTCTGACTTTTTTTAATACGTGACTATATAAGTGGTCCGTAAAGAAATAACTAGCTATCAATTTTCCTCAAGATAACTTTTATGAAGAAGCACTTTGATTTAATAAAAAAAAATTTTAATTTCACAACGGAATTTTCCATAACTATCAACGAAATCTTGTTTACAAACAAAATTAATACTTGATGTCTCAAAATTATTTAGACATTCCAAAGATTACATTATTCATGAATTTCCCGCACCCCTCCGTTTTCAGGATATTAATCAATGCTTTTCTCTCCTTCATTTTACGTGACAAGCTTATATTATAATGCTAGGAATTCCACGTCTATTCGTATACAATGAAATATATCTTCCCGAAAAAATATAAACTTTTTATTCTCTTTTCAGATAGAAAACTATTCAATTTTTGAAGGGATCGATTATGGTCCTATTTACCCAGTGATTCAATCAACAGTAACGACAATATCTTCCGGTTCAAGAGAACCATTAGAAGATAACCTGTCGATGTCTCCACTAGTTCAAGCCGGATGGACGTTGGTTTTCGCTGCGATGATTTTTACAGCGGTCGTAGGGAATTCAATTGTGATTTGGGTGGTAATTGGTAACGTTGGATTCAAAAAAAAGTAAAAATATTTTCTTAATTTTGTTTTTATAGCACATAGAAGAATGCGTACTATAACAAATTATTTTCTGGTTAATCTTAGCGTGGCCGATTTATTACTTTCAACGCTTAACTGCACTTTTAATTTTATCTACATGTTACAAGGGTTCGTATCTTTAAAACGTCTTTATATAAATCACAACTTTAATATTCCTTGTCCATTTCCACTAAAGAAGAGATTAACTTTATCCTTTGGAGATGTATCATCTTCTTAAAGAAAATTATCTCTCATGTCAAGAAGGTTTTTGATTATATCTTTTTGTATGTTCAAAACGTCGTTTGGTCCAGTCTTCTTATTTAAACGAATAAATAAAATAAAGTCGATGCGTGTAATAAAACGTTTTATTCTCTATAGACACTGGCAATTTGGAAGAGTGTATTGTACTGTTAACAATTTCATAGCTAACGTAACTGTAGCGGCGAGCGTTTTCACATTGATGGGCATTACATGCGACAGGTGATTGAAAACTAATTAATACTCCATTCAAAACGTTTAACAACTACTTCTTTTGCGTTAGATATTTGGCCATTGTACATCCTTTACAACCGAAAATGTCAAAAACTGTTTCGATAGTTGTCATAATAATCGTTTGGTCGACGAGTATGGTTTTGGCTTATCCCTGTTTACTTTATTCAGATACAATCGTATACAGGTAAGTGTTCCTTTTCCTTTATTATAATCGCCTTAAGAGTGAGACATTAAACCGGCAATTAGGTGTGGAACTCGTCACGCGACTTCCGGTGAATTTAGTTTTAATTAAAAGCCCGCTAATCCATTATAAAGCAGACAACGATCTAACTTTTAATGAAGAAAGATAGTGAATTGTGCACTTGAAAATGTTAACTTTGTTATTTTCCAAATGGTTCTATTTCTACCTTATTAAATTTAGGCGGTTTTATAGTTTACAGTTTGTATAAGCGAGCGGTTTACGAAATTAATGACCCTCATAAAATATTTTTCTCCTTATAGAACTTGGGAACTTTTAAAATAATAAAATCCAACCAACTTGTTGCTACAATGAATTCATACACTATATCTATTGTTTCTATTGTAACAATACCCGTATTGTGTGTAATTTACTGAAACTTATTTCACCATGTAGAGAACTTTCTAATTTATTTACAATTAGAAGTTACGTCATCATGGAAAGTTTTCGGACTAGCCCATAAACTGGCTTATTAAAGTTTAGACAGTGTTTGCAGAAGACTACTTTCGTTTTATAGAAGATTAAATAGTACTTGAACAAGACACATCTTTTGAATTACAAGCAAGTCTCCATATTACTAATGGTAGTCGAAACCGTTTAGATAGAAAACTAGATATTGCTGGTAGAAGACTAAAAACAGCTGGCAAAAGACTACATATTGCTATTGGAAGAGTAAATATAACTAATAGAAGACTGGAAACTGCTTGCGGAAGAATATCTACTGCTTGAAGACTTATCTAGTCTTTTTCGTGGATGTCTAGATAGCCAGTGTCTTCTCCGGCCATGTTTTAATCATCAATTAAAAACTATCCCACGTCCTCCACGATTACAAGACGACCCAATTAGAGATGATTTTATCGCATAATGAGATAAAAGACAAGTTGGCAAAACCCTCTCGTTATTCCTCTAAATCATTTTTAAGTTGTCCAAGCCTAAGCGAACCTAAGTTTTAAATTCCATAAAGCGAAGATCAATCATCTGGGAATATCGCCTTCACTTCTTCGTGTCGAATTAAAATACGGATGTACCAAATATCACCTAAACATACTCCATGTAGTGACTTGTTGCATCAAGAATTAGCATAATTATTAATGATTTCGTTAGGGTGGCTATCATGGAAGAACCAAGAATTATAATAATAATTACAGTAGATATTAGAGTTGACTAGTCAAAATGAACGCAGATACCATACTTTTAATGAAGATATAGACGTGGAATAGATACTGATTGTAGAAGACTGGATACTGTCAATAAAGGACCACATCTATTTTATAGAAGACTAGGTACTAATGGAAATTTTTGTAGTAAAGAGAAATATTTCAACCCTGAAAAGCAACATTTATCGTAGATAACGAATATTCCATTTTTTATGTTGTTTCGCGTGTTAGCGGTTTCATTTCGTAGCAAGTAAATTAAAACTGTACGCGTATTCATTAAATATACTCACATATATTATATAAATATAAATGTTTCGCGTTGTTATCAGTTTATTATTTTAAATAATTATTATATTACTTTTGTAAAAGTACAATTTATTTAATTATTTTTTGATTCCTATTCTACGAATCCAATTCCCCAGGATTTAAAAGCAAAAATAATTTATACATCGGCTATTTACACAGTTTCATGATGAATTGCATGGAAAGTTTACCTTGTGAGTTGTAGGTGTTTTATTCTAGAAAAAATTACAACTTTTTAATTATAGTCTATATGAAGCGGCTTACATTTGAGTTCTTTATTATTAAAACTTTTGCAATCGCCGCAATGCCTACGCGAAACCGAACGAAGTTAATATTATTAAAATATTCATACAGAAATTTTCATAACCATCAATTTGTATAAATACATTTAGTTATATTTTTGTCTTTTAGGTTTAAAGATAAAGAAAGAACTGCTTGTCTTTTAATATGGCCAGATGGTACACCGACTGAATCTAATTTAGACTATGGGTACGTTAATAATAATACAATTTCGTTTTTATTTAATAAATATTTGTTAATAAATAGTTAATTAATTCGTTTGATGGTTTCATTTAATCAAAATTACATATTGAATTAATCAGTAACACAAAAACGATTTTTTAAAACATTCTTTTACATTTTGTTTTCGTTCTTTCAAACAAAATTCTATTGTATACAGTAAACAGCAAGAAAACGTTTGCATACATAATTTTCCCGATATCGTTGTGTCTGCGTGGAACCACTTGTTTTAGGAGGTATTATTAAATTCCTAAAGGTCGAAAGTTTCCACGCAAAAAGCAAACACATCGATCTTTTAAGATTTTTAATTACTTTGTGCTTCTATTTCAGGTACCAAATAACATTTTTGGCTGTAACTTACGTAGTTCCAATGATTTTAATGTTGTGGTGTTATACAGCGATGGGTTTAGTTCTTTGGGGTTCAAAATCAATAGGTGAAAAAACTCAGAGACAAATCGAATCAATCAATTTAAAACGAAAAGTAATCTTATAATAATAATAAATGTAATTTAAATAATAATTATTTTCGTAGGTTGTGAAAATGTTTATATTCATAGTAACCGTTTTCTGCGTCTGTTGGCTTCCTTATCATAGTTATTTCATTTACACTCACATCGATCGTGAAGTGGTGTACAGTAAATACGTACAACACGTTTATTTAGGGTTTTATTGGTTTGCTATGGCCAACGCTATGGTGAATCCCCTGATTTATTACTGGATGAACGCGAGGTGAGTTTCCAGTTTTATTTTTCAAAGCTTTAAATTTGAGACGGTTGAAATAAATGTAAATCGATTGGAGGGGATTTCGATTTTAAATAAATAGAAAATTTGAGGCATAAAATGACCAAGTTCTTTTCCTTTGAACTTGAAAATTGTTGGTTTTAAATCTCAAGGGAAATTGACAGAAATAAAAACGATTTTTGTCGAATCCGGCTCCACCACCATTTTTTTAAATAAACCCATAGGGGATCTAATAAGCTTTGTGACATTGAACAGTACAAATCTGGCCAATCAATCAAGTAATAAATGACAAAGCTATGATAAATCGATTGAACCAGTTAATTCCATGTACTCAATTAACAATAATAAGTCTTTAAACTCCAATTATTTTGAACATTTTTTTTAGATTTAGACAATATTATACAATAGTTCTTTGTTCGTGGCGAAGAGCTGTAAAAAGATCGGTAAAAGGTGACTCAATACCAATTGTTACGTTTCAAACTACAAACTCGTTACGTTCTGGAAAATTAGGTAATTTTTTTATTATACATATTTTCAAAGCATTTTGCATTCGTGTCAACTGCAGGGTTCAAATATAACCCAAGGAACGCATCGTGCAGGCGACAGAAACCTGAAACCTGCAGGAATACGACATCGCAACATTCAATAAAGGGAAAAACGAGCGGTTTGAATAACACGTAAATAAAAATGGAAAATATGCAAGATGAATATGAAAAAAATTAAATTAGTTCTAAGTCGTGTTGTTCGTTTTATAAATAAGCATTGGAACAAATAAATATGCAATTAGGAGTCCAATCTTTTGTTATTTATTTTAATTAACGATATAAAATCAATTATTACTTACCATTTGAAGTGGACAAACAAAAAATCAACAGAAATTTTAAATTGACATGATGAAGTTAGGTTATGGTGTGTTAAGTCACAACATTTTAATTTTGCAGCATTAAAACTACTTCACGGGGTCTTAAATCACTAATAACAAATAATTTAGGTGTTTAAAAATGTATTTTGATTATTCTTACGGTTCAATTAAACTTTCTTTTTCCTAAAATTCACGTATTTTAGAAAGAATGATAAACGGTCGTTTTTAAATGTCAAAACTATAATTTAATACGATTGATTACCGCTAGATGGGGTGAGTAATCAATAATCAATTAAAACAAAAAGGATTTTAACAAAATTAATAATTTATGAACTAATAATTAATTGAATTAAAATTAATTATCAAATAAACAAATTTTTTGCATTTTCTATTTATTTTACTTTTATTAGTACCTCTCAATTTAATTACTTGACAAATAACATTGACAGCAGTCAATGAAAATGTCAATTTTAAGAATTTAATGATTATTTATTCTAAATATGATGAATTTGGAATTAAATATTATGTATTTGTTAATGAATCGTTTTAAAAGATGATAAAGAAACATAAAAAATTCTTTTTATTTCTTTTGACAATAATAATTTTGGTTACATCTTCGAAATGTTTTAAAAATGTTCTTCATCGGAATTTGAAGAAAAAGTTGCAGAAAAATATTCTAAACCAGGTTATTTCTTTAATTTAAAAGTTTACAATAAAAATTATTTATAGATCAATTCTAGGAAGTTATGGTTAAATGTAAAAATGAATCATTCTATGGCATTGAAATGGAAACATTTACTGGAATTAAATATTACTCATTTTTGGGAATTCCTTTTGCTAGTCCACCAATTGAAGAATTACGATTTAAGGTTATTAATTAATTTGATTAGTTTATTTACTTAGGTTGTAAAAACGTTTTAGCCACCTGAACCATTTAATTTTACACAACGAAGATGGAACGCGCGCTTTGAAAGAAGTCCCTGCCTCCAATTTCATCTCGAATCGAAAAAATGGAATACAAAACGTTTAATTTTTAATAATTTAGCATTAGGAAAAGAAGATTGTTTATATTTAAACGTTTACACACCGCGATTACCAAAGAATTATTTCAACGAAAAATTATTACCGGTTATGGTTTGGATTCATGGTGGTGGATTTTTAATCGGTGGAGGAGAACAAAGTCGTTATAACCCCGATCATTTCATAAACGAAAATGTAATCATGATTTCCTTAAATTATCGCTTGGGAGCTTTTGGTTTTTTAACAACGGGTAATAAAAAGGCGCCTGGAAATAATGGGTTAAGAGATCAAGTCATGGCTTTAAAATGGATTAACGAAAGGGTTAAATCTTTTGGTGGGGATCCCAAAAAAGTTACGATTTTTGGTCAAAGTGCTGGAGCCGCATCGATTTCTTATTTAATTCAAGCAGAACATGCTAAAGGTTTTTGCCTTTTTAAATAAATTTTGAAAAAAAAATTCTTTCTAGGTTTATTTTGTAGGGCAATTATGCAAAGTGGAACATCTTTATGTCCTTGGGCGCTCTCCAGAGATGTTTGCCCCAAAGAAAAATATAAAAGATTTAAAAAACTTTCGTCAAAAAAAATTTTAGAAACCTCAATGAAAGAAACGATTCAAACTTTGGCATTAAGAAATCCATTAAATGGATTTAGTTACGCCCCTGTTGCTGAAAATAATCATTCCGATTCATTATTTTATGGAAAAAGTCACGAAAAATTAAAAAACTGCGATATAATCAATCAAGTTCCAATTTTATTGGGTATAAACGCACGCGAAGAAGATACAATAGCAACAAAAATGCATTTTTTAGAAAAAATTTCGTTTTTTCTTTTCACGATCAAATTAAGATTTAATCGAATTATTAAAGATGTTGTTCCCATCGATATGAATTTGGATGAGAATAAATGTAATAAGGATCAAATTAGTTACTTAATTAAAAACCATTACAACATAACTAAAAAAGGATTTACCCCTAATTTAATGCGGGTAAATTAAATTTAAAAATAATTATCGAAATAAATCTTATTTATTTTTAGTTTATAGGTGATAACATTTTTGTAAAACCAATCATGGAATTCGCCAAATTATATTCGCATTGCAACAAAGGTAAAAACACGTTTTTGTATGAATTCGTTTATGATTCTCATGGTGTTGGACACGGAGATGAGTTACCTTATTTTTTTAAACCAAACAAAAACGACTCAGTTTATTTTATTTCGAAGAGATTAATTAAAATGTGGACGAATTTCGCTAAAACAGGGAACCCGACACCTTTTAAAGACCCACTTTTACAAAATATTCGTTGGCCTTCCACATCTGAATACAACAATTTTGCATATTTGGAAATTGGAAATGATTTAAGTATTCAAAATAATTCACGTACTTATGATCTCACTTTTTGGAACGATTTGTATGAAAAATGTGGCACCCCACCTTTCGATACTTATTAACATTACAAAAATAAGATAATAAATAATCCAATAAATACTTTGAGTAAACGTTCTAAACTGGATTAATACAAGATTTATTTTATCAAAAACTTTACTCAGTATCTTACGTAAAGTGATTGAAGAAACATGGTAAATTAATTTGTTTTAACTAATATTATTTATTAAAAAATTTATTTTAGTCTCAAACTTACATTTGGCCCTATTATGATATTTTACATCCCGGTTCCTTGATAAGAATCAGAGGAATTGTGAATAAAAACTCTGATAGGTAAGAAAAATGATAAATGATTATTTTTATGACGTTAAAAATGTTTCAGATTTCATATAAGCCTCCAAGACAATTTTGAATATTACTGCAGTAACTTAATAATGAGAACATCGTTTAGATTTGCTCGTGGGGGCACTTATTTGGTAAATAATTCAAAAAAAGATAACGTTTGGATGTTAGAGGAGATGTTAGAGCACGTTAAACTACAACCCGGGGATGTTTTCGAAGTTTTAATTTTATGCGAAGCCACAAAATTTAGAGTAAATTAATCATACCTACTTTTAAATATACTTTTTTAATAAACTACTTTTTAGATTGCTTTAAACAAAGAGCATTTATGCGATTACGATCATAAACAACCAATTTCATCGGTTAGATGTTTTGGAATTCATGGTGATGTAACCCTTACTTTAATTTCGTTCGAGGAATCTGGGGATGAGGAAAAACCAATAATTGGAACATCTTTTCCTGTACATCACAAAAAATAATGTAGAAATTGAAATTCAGATGTATATTATAATTATTACATCCATATTTAAACAGTTTGACAATTCATGCTTCCACAACACCCCGGAAAGGTTGTATTATGGACTGGATCTATGTAATAGCAACCTTTACTCGATAACAGTTCTGCACAACTAAAAAAATGAAATAAAATTAATAAATAAAATTATTTTTGTTGTTAATTACTTACGTTGTATAAGATATAATTCCTTCATCACATTTAACCTTCCCACAAACATCCGGTGCATACTTCAAGCGCTCTTCACCTTCTTTCATGTAACCTACATGTACATCAGCTGATTTGCATGTATATCCTTCTTGAATTTTATCATCATCTAAATTAAATTTTTTATTATATATTAATTAATTAAATCAATAAGTAACATAACCTAAAATGTCAAAAATTAATCCTGTATAAATTTAAATTTTTTAATCACATCTTTTTTATTATTTTAATTTTAATAATATGAATTAAAACTATTAATTAATTGAAATTGAATTAATAAAATTATGTTAACCACATAATATTTTTTAGTGGTTTTATTTCCCTCAAGTTGGTGTATCTAAAAATCGGCTATAAAAATTTAAAATAAATATAATTGCAATAATAATCATTTAAATTATGATAAATTAAACGAAAAATTAAAAATATTTAAATATCAATTTATATATGTAAGTAATAATAAAAAAATAATCAATTACTTACTTTAATCACATTTTTTTTATTTATTTATTATTTCTTTCAATAATTCTGTTCTAAACACAAAATTATTAAATAAATTAGATCAACGCTTGGTTAACAGTTACAAATAATAAATTTGACGTTTCACTGTCAAAAAAATTTAAAATTTCAAATGACAAGGTGAGTAAATTTTGTAGTGCCATCTACAAAAACAATTAATTAACACTACAACTAATATTTATTATTAATTATCATATTATTCGTTTATTTTGTAGAATAAAATGCTACTTTTATAAGATTTTTTTTAATTATTTATTATTTCTTTCAATAATTCTGTTCTAAACACCAAATTATTAAATAAATTAGATCAACGCTGACAGTTGACAGTAATAAATTTGACGTTTAACTGTCAAAAAAATTCTTTAAATAATAAATAAGAACTAAGATATAGTAACGACGACGATTCTTTAAATAATTATTATTTATACAAAAAAAGCAATATTGAGGATCATTTTTTAACCTACCATCAACTGGTGCAAACTCGGTGAAAACACTACAATGAATACTTTTCAAAACAACTAACAAAATAATAAAACCCGATTGATAAATCATCTTGTTCGCGAGAAATTAATTCTTAAACTGAGAAAATATACCAAAATCCAGAAGCTTTTATGTAGTTTTCCCTCCATTTTTTTTTATATTTTTCATTCTTTTTATTAGAAAGACTTTGAATTGGTAATAGATCGTAAAATAACGAATAAAATATTACAATCGGTTTTTTAGGTTTTTAATTACGTTTTTTTATTACAATTACTTATAACTACCGATGTTAATTTTTTCGACATTATTAACAACACCTTTGTGTTCAAATTTTGAAAACAATCATGTTTAAAAAGAGAAAATTTTATTGTATTTTTTCGTTCAATCCGGTTCTGTTTACGATTTACGTCAATCTATATCCCACATTTTCTTAAAAAGAACTCATTTTATTTCACCTGTCCATATAAAATTAGAAAACAAATTTTTATTCTAATTTATGTTTAGAAAACAACCATATAAAAATGATAATCTTAAGATATTTGAACGATTAAATCTTTTTGAGCATCGGCACTTGCAACAAGGTTTTTAAGTTCATAACCATTTTCATTAGATGATGTTGTATCACCGGCAACAAGAAGCATTGACATACACCCAGCTAATTCACCTAATTTTTCCCCTAAATCAACTTCTTCTTTAAGTTTTTGATTCAAAAAGTTGAAATATGTTAAAACCTCCATTGGCATTGTGTTGATACGATCTTGATACACATCCAAAAAAACGTTGAAAGCGATTATTAAAACCCTAGTAAATCGATAATCAGTTATATTTTTATTAAAAAATTTTAAAATTTGTATTAAAAACTTATTATCTCTATCTTTAAATACTCTCTCTAAAGCTTTTCTTCTTAAAAGTTCCATTATAACCTCAACAGTTATTTCTGGGGTTTTATTCACAAAGTAGGGTCTTAAAACTTCATCCAAAGCTTTTGAATATTGAAATTTTTTTAAATAATAATCGTAACGCGATATCTTCTCTATGTTTTCATCTTCAATTATAACATCCACTTTTTCATTATGAGTAAAGGATTTATACTTTTGAGAAACTTTTTTCTTTTCTTTCTTGTCGATTTTATCTTTATCCTCCATTCGGCTAACGCAAACTAAGCCATCAACTAAACCAGCAACTACTGTATCATCAGTTTTAGAAACGCCCAAACTTAAAATAGCATTCGGATAATCCATAGTATGTACAACTTTGTATGTGGAAATGTCGTAAATTTTAACATGTCTATCTAAACCAGCCGAAAGTAATCGATTATTATTTGAAGCTAATTGCATGCTTGTTATAGTTTTGTGATGTTGCGAAATTGTCCCAATTAATTTCCCTTTTGAAATCGTATCCCAAATTTTTATACAAGTACCACCGGCTGATAAAAATACTCCACCAGCAGGTAAAAATAAAACAGATTCAACTGGATGCCCATGGTTAACAGATAAAATTAATTTTTCCATTCTTGTATCATATAATTTAACCGTACCATCATAACTTCCAGAAAGAACTAAATCTGGTAAATTTGGATTTAAAGCTCCTGCTCTAATATAATCAGTATGTTCAGCGAAAGTTATTAAATTCTTTTCGGTAGGTATATCCCAAATACGTACTGTTTTATCATCAGAAAACGATGTTATTTGGGGTCTGTTATGAGCACAAAACGTACGATAAACAGGTCCTTCGTGTCCTTTAAATAATCGAAGCATACTCTTTGTGGACACATCAAAGAGTTTAATAGCACCCTCGTCACCACCTGCGCATATTAATTTGCCATCCGAACGGAAAGTAGCCCCATGGGCATTTTCACGAAATCGTGAAAGGTTTTTTACCACCAATTTCGTTATTGGATTGTATACTTGCACTCTTACTGAACACGTTACTGCGAAATGATATGGTTCTATTGGCGAAAAGTCTATGTAATCAATGGGGCCAAATTCTTTTACCAAAACTGGATCCCTCAGTTTTTTCCAATAAACGTAATCTGGAGTGATTTCTGGTCCCGTTTTAGGGTAAACTTTAATATCTAACTTTTTAAAACTCGACATGTTTAATGTTTAAATTAGAAATAAACGTAAACATAAACGCACATGAGGAAGTTAGGTTATGTTTAGATTATAAAGATAAATAAAAATTATTATAAAAAATATAAATTTAAAATATATAGCATTTATTTAAAGATAATAAACCGTAAAAATTTGTCAAATTAATTAAATATTTATAACTTTATTTAATTTTTTTTAAATAAATTTATTTTTTGGGTTCCATCTTGTATTGAGTAAGCCAACTAAAATTTGAATAAACTAAATTGTTAAGTGTAATCGGATTTTAAAAAATAATAATGTTGTGTTAATTAGGAATGTACATTAAAAATAAGGATTTATAAGGTATCATTAACGGTAATTTATAATTTCAATTTCAATTAAAAAAATTGTTGACATATTATTTAGGGAAATTTGATTTTATTGTGTTGTGTGCAAGTGCCACTGGCAGCAAAAATGTTTGTTATAGAAAATTACAATTTTTTATTTAATTGTTCTCTTTATTAACAAAAAGGAATAAATAAATGTATCAACTTACATTTCGACAACTAATAAAAACGACAAGAAAAAAACAAAATGTGCCATAATTCTCCCAGTACTCTTTCGAGCGATTAAGAGAAGAGGTTATGCCAGAAAATCCATCTGAAAATGTCCCATACCCGTATGATTCCAATTTACGGTACATCGCCGTCTTGTTCCATAAAGCACCGACTTGAAAAACGCCGAACGTTAGCTCGGGAACAACGTCTTGAACACAGCAGAAAACCAGATAAACCAGAAGACTTTGTTACTTATGAAGACAGTGAAAGTGATGAGGAATCGGTTATACAACAAAAAGAAGTACTCAACACCTCATACAACTTTGTTGATTACGTTTCTAGTCGGGAAATACTTAGTAAAAGTTATAGGACCATTAATCCCGATTACGGATCGAGACATATTTTAACTCACGAATTATTTAAAGAGACCCCTGTTAATTTGGGAAATATGAATAAAGTGTTTTGTTCACAATGGTTAAGTGATAGACAAGTTGTGTTTGGTACAAAGTGCAATAAGGTAACACAAAAATTGATTTTGACATTTTAAAGTGTCAAAAATGAGGGTTTCATTTATTAGGTTAACTATTTTATTTAATTTTTTTTATTATAGTTAATGGTGTACGACGTTTTTACACACTGCTTAGATCAAATTCCATCATTAATAAGTCGTGGAGATAATTTGGCTATTGAACAACAACAAACAGGGATTCATTCTGTTCAAATAAATCCTTCAAGAACATTGTTAGCAACAGGAGCTCGTAATACATGTAATATAGCTGTTTATAGGTTACCAACTTTAGATCCTGTGTGTGTAGGGGAAAGTGCACATAATGATTGGGTATTTCCTAAAAATAATTTAAAATATTATTTTATTTTATAGTTTTTTTTATTTAGGTGTTTGATATGTGTTGGTTAGATGATGAATTTTTGGTTTCCGGTTCGAGAGACACAAAAATGGCTCTTTGGAGAGTTACGAACGATATGATTGATTGTAAAGAAGAAATCCCGACTTATAAACACGTATCGGCTTTAAGTGTTAAGGAATGTAGGACTTCGCAAAAAGTGAGAGCGTTATCGTTTAATAAAACTTACCAAGAAATCGCCGCGTTGAGTTTGAACGGATACATCCATATTTGGTGCGCGGAAAGTTTCAAACAAAAATTATCTAGAAAATTACCATCTTCCCAAGAAAACGTTTGCCTCGCCGTCCAAGATACGGGATTATATGCAATTGGGTGTCGTTCTTGTACGATACTTTTAGATTGTCGGACTTTACAGGTTTTTTATCAAATTAAAACTGGTTGAATTTAAATTATTTTTTTTTAGCCGGTGAAAAAAGTTACGTCTCGGTATTCAGGATGTGGAATTCGTTCAGCGAGTTTTCAAGGGAACATCCTAACTATGGGGACAGCTGTAGGGATGTTAATGTTTTATGATCTCAAAGCGGGGCGATACTTAGAATCCAGTATTAATTCATCAAGAACAGTCGTACTTAAAGTTAGTAAAGGATTTGTGGTATGTAAAATATTGTTTTATAAATGAATAAAAATTAATTTGTGTTGTTTAAGTTTCCTGAAGAGGAACAGGACAACGTTCACAACGTCAAATACAATCCAGCTATTTATACGCATTGTTACGATAAGAGTGGAACCAGGTTATTTACGGCTGGAGGACCACTATCGGCTTCCTCAACTGGGAATTACGCTGGGTTGTGGCAGTGAAGATTTTTTACTTTAGGCAATTATTTCTTCATAATTTATAAAGAATTCTTTCTAATGTAATTGTGTGAATGTATATTAAGTGACAAATAAAGACTGGAAACTAAGAAAAATTAAAAAAAAGTTATTAAAGAATAAAAATATAAACTATGACTATATAATTTAATTTATTTATATTTTTGCTTCATCTTCCAGATTATTGTAATAATTCTGATGTAAAAAAGTACAAATTAGCGATTAATTTATATTATATTTTGTTCTAACTTGCTCAATAAAAAATTGACCTTTTCAACAAAGCCTATTTTAACCCGTTTATGCCCACAGTTTCCAGTAAAGACGTTGATTAGTGAGAGTGAGTTTGACGCATTATTGTGCCTTTAATGTGTATAAAAATTTGGAAATTTCTTTTTCCCAAAAGTTCTGCAACAACATCAATAACTGGATGGTCGACAGCTTCAAGCGGAAGCTATATGGTGATAATTATAAATCAAGGACGGACTTTTACAATTGGTGATAGAGACACTAACGACGAGTCAAATAGTGACAACAAAAAAAGAAACCGGCAAAAATCCGATCTTATTCTTGGGTTTCTTTTATTCCTTCTAATACGGTGAAATGTTTTGAGCTTTTTCTTGATGATAGTATTATATCATTTTTGGCAGAAATAACGACGTTATATACACAACACAAGTGTGAACTTAATTTCCTAGTTTCCAATGAAGAAATAAAGTGTTTTTTGGCCATACTACTATTATTAAAATTTTTCTATTGTAGAATGTGATGGGAGCTATGGACCGCATCTTGCACTATGGTGAACTCTATGAGAAGAAATAGATTGGAAATAATAAAAAGACATTTCCACTGCTAATAATAAAACCTTCCTCTGGGCAACAAATTTGCAAAACTTCGAGAATAATTAATTCAGAATTTTTGAAATACTCAGAACTCCAAGAAAGGTTGAGTGTTGATGAAAGTATGGTTCCATACTTCATATGGTATCCTACGCGCCAAAAAAAAATAGAGCAGCAATATTGCTATCGAGCTAACACACGGATAATAACTCAACAATATTCCACACAAAGAAAGATGCACGAAGAAAATGTCTGCTGCAGTTGGTACAAAAAAAACATCATTCGTCGTTAAAACAACAAATATACACAACGCCAACTAAAAGAGCTTATGATACAAAGTTGCAATAATAAAAAATAGCTATTTTATGGCTACTTTGTTTTAGGCCTTCAAACATTGCGGTGCAAATATACCCCAACTGGTAGTTATAGCAAGGAAAATAGGTTGGGAGGATGACAGTTAAGGAAATTTTTGTTTAAATAAATATATTTATAAGAAATAAAGGAGTAATTAATGAAGAAAAAGATTTTATTATTGTTTTAAACAGTGTATATTCCCCAAAACAAAATGGAATGACATAAAAAATTGAAAATCACAACATGACGTGTAAAAATAAGATGTAACAGTAACGGAAATATATCCTAAATAATAACTACATCCCTTAAAATACAATCATTATTGTTGCAATTATTGTTTCAGATATTTTTTAATATTGTCTAATATATCAGTATTCCTTTCGAATTCTTTTTGTAGATAATAAATATATAATTTAATAAATGTATATTTTTGTTTTCTTTTTTTTATATTTTTTTTAATAATTATTGGCACTTATATCATGACTAAATTTCTCAATAAATAGCAAAAAATGAGATCTATAAATTGAAAATACTGCTTTGTAATTATTTTAGATTTTTATAAAATCGAGATCGTTGCTTAAAAAATGTTTTTTTTTAGAAATTTTATTAATAAACCGAAGTAAGGCATTTTATGACCGACTTTAACGCACGGAATCTGAACCCGTTAATGATATGTTTTCATTTATTTAAATCGAATGCTTTTGATTTTCGCATTTTTCCTCAAAAAAAAGAAAAAAGCAAGTTTAAGTGTAGATAGAAAAAAAAATATAAAGTTTTTTTCTTCTTTCTTAAACTGTTCTTTATAAATTAAACTTTTTAAATATGACTAGTCTTATCAAAAAACGAGATTCATCTTATTATATTATTTTTGGGATCTTAATTGAAACTACTTATAATCAAAAACTTAAACTTTACAAGTACTTTCAATTTATCCCCTTTTTGTTTACAGCTATATTTGACTAGTCCCTGTATGATTAATTTAAATTATACAAACGTACAGATTTTATAGGAAACTATTTACTTATTATATAATTTTTTTTTCTTTTTCTTTTTTTCTCATTCACACAAATTCACAAATAAACCCACAACAATCACACACTTAAGACTAAGCTTTTTTTTTGGCAACTCGAAAAGGTTTTTTTACAAATACTTCCTAATCGAGTAATTCTTATAAATTTTTAAATTTTTTTTAACAATTTTTATAATAATTTTATACATATGCACAAAAAATAAATCGCAAAAATCCATAACTTTGTAGATTCAAAAAAATTCTTATTTTTAATAAATTGAGTATAATGGGATGAAAATTTAAAAAAAGGTTTAGTTCTTATCCTAACTTCTTTCTTGAACTTACAAAGCTAATCCATAAAAATAAATCATCTATGATAATCGCTTTTAACTTTAAGGAGAATCTGATTCAATTCGAGCGAGTTTTCCAATACTTTAGATGAAACCCGAAAAACTATTTTAATATACTCAAACGTTTCCACATTGTAAACCGACCTCGCGGTATTTGTCATATCAAACGGTTCCTCAATGCACAACAATTTCCATTGCAAGGAATCGTTTTTTGGTGCGCAAACGTGACGACACTCTTCTTTTAATAATACACCACGTTCCCTCACAGATATTACATACTTATTATAATCAAAATTGGCGTAGTAATGCAAAAAACCAAGCAATAATTCTCCCAATGATTGTTTATTTGCCGATGTATAAGCTGGAACATCCTCTTGAATATCTATAGTGTTTATTTTTGAAGTTGATAAAAATTTTTCTGGATATAAAGCATGTAAACATGGTAAAACAGGTGGAGAAACACCATCTAAAAATAATTAAAAGATTTTATATTACTAAAATTAAATTAAAATTAATTTTTGATGTAACCTAACTTTATTAGCACATTATAATTAGTATATTATATGAGCATATAATGAGGGCTATTATTCACTAAGGTTAAGTTTATAATATAAATAAATTAATTTTTTTAAATAAATTTTTGAATAAAGTTTAAACGTCAATGTGACACAAATCCAATGTGACCAACTGTAACCAACTTTACAGCAATTTATCAAAATTAAATGTTAATTTTATGAAACCACATGTATTTTTTTACAAAAATTAATTAATTTATGTTTAAATCATACAAAAAAAGTAATTTGTTTACGTTTTTTAATGTCAAACCTTTAGAAAGTGCTAAAAAAATTAAATTAAGTTGACGTTTTTTGAAATTTTGACGTTTCAAATAATTATTCAAGTCTAACAAGTTGATTACCCGTGAATAATGATTATTTTGCGATATTATTTAGTTTATAAGGTATATATTATAAGATAGTTGTGGACAAACTCATTTATTAACTTGATTTAATGTTTAACTTACGTTGTAAATAATGTATAACCATTAATGCAAGCGAATAACTCGAAATAGTCATTCGTTTAGCATCATTAATATCGTTTATTCGAGCCCAGTGTTTAACGACGATAACCAAAGGTCGTACTCTCCAATCCATATGAGCATAACAATGTAACAAATGAGTATTTCGTATGCCCACATCATTGTTACAATTTAAATCAACCTCAAACCCATAACGGACATCCTTGAATCTTAATATTGGAACTTTTGCAAAAATGATTTCTGGTGATTTTACATAATCAAAGTATCGTAATGCTGCTTGAATACTTTGCAAGTTGTTGAGTTCATCATTGCGAAAGTCGTCTAAGCGCTGTCTTACAACTAAACACATATCTATATCACTTGTTTCCATTCCTAAACCGTTCATCGTTGAACCAACCATAAACAAGCTGTATTTATGTAAAACTTTCTACAAATATAAAAATAATAATTAAGTTAAATTAATGGTTAATTTTAATAACATACTCTAATATCTAAATGAATAACTTTCCAAAACTCAAGCTTTTGAAGATAAGTTTCCTCTTTTTGAGCTTTTTCGCAAAATAGTAACCACATTGAATGACTTAGATATGGGTATAGATTATTCTTTGGTAAACTAAGTGGCTCTGATATCCTTAACAAATGAGATCGGGATGAAAATCTCTCCATTAAACCAAAAACTCTTTTATAAATATCCTTAGGGTGTTGTCTTCTTTTTCTCCAAGGTGAGTATTGAACGTTCACAGATGAATTTGAGTTTGACCTAAAACAACAAAAATAAATTAAAGTCCTAACCTTTTTAATTAATTAATTTACTGTGGAGAGTATTCTCGTTGATGTTGCTGAGTTGGTTGCCGAGTAGGTGTTGAAACCCTAACAGATGAGTTATAAAATATTGTATCTTCTTTGTATACTGGAGACTGAGTACCATTTTCGTTTTTTAAATATGAACTAACTGATTGATTTTCCCAATTTTCCTCTTTAAAAAAATTGTTGTTTATTACATTACTATTATTGTTGTTAATGTGTTGAGATCCCTGTAGTGTATTTAAATTAATGACTGTGTTACAGCAAGAACGTTCCCTCGTTTGTAACGCATTGTATTTGTTGAACTTTTGATTGGATGAAAACCTGCACTTATCCAATCTGTTCATGTTGCTGAAGTCGATTGGAGATGTAGAAACGGTCGAATTGGACGAATACCTCGTTGTATGCCTCTTTTTAGTAGACATTTTTTATGTTTTCATTGAATATCTTCTATGAAAAAAATTAGCAGGTTATGAACATGCCGCTCAACCTAATATGTTCGATAAAACTTACCGTATTAAAATATAGACAGTTTAATTTTGGGGTAGTGTTTAAAAACAACTTATTAGCGGATTAAAATGTTTCTTTTTTCTAATATTTAACAGACACATCGCGATTTTTTAACCATGTATTAATTTACCGCCAAAATACGCTTGCGCCACGATACCAACTGCTTTTAAAGTGTCAAAAAAACTATCGTAACAAAAAAATCAGCAATATTTATTTAAAGAAGTTGATTATTCATACATCAAAATATAATCTTTTATTGTTTCAATAATGATAACACTTTGTAAATTTAATAAACATAAATAAATCTACCGGAAAAAATTAAATTAATATATGTATTAATTTACCGTTCAGGTACCAACTGCTTTTAAATTGTCAAAAAAACTATTATAACAAAAAAATTAGCAATATTTATCTAAACAAGTTATTTATTTATACATCAAAATATAATCTTTTATTGTTTCAATAATAATAACACTTTGTAAATTTAATAAACATAAATAAATCTACCAGAAAAAATTAAATTTATATGTATTAGTAAAAAATTAGCAATATTTAAACAAGTTAATTGCTTATTTATACATAAAAATCTCATCTTTTATCGTTATATAATTTTATCTTTATAATACACTTTGTAATATATTACATTATATTTGTAATAATAAACATAAATAAAAGGTACCATCAATCGGGAAAAAATTAAATTTAAAGAACTAGGAAACTATAAACATATTAATTATATGGAAAAATTTAATTTTCAAGATTAGATCTATTCTCAAATTAATCATCATCTGAATATTCATATTCACTATCATCCGAATCATCAGAAATTGTCAATTCTTTTCCCTCATTCTGTAACTTAACAAATTTCTCGCAAATTTTCGACATCTTTTCTTTGGCGTCGTTTTTATGCTGATTTAATTTTTCGAGTAACTCCTCATCCTCCGATGGTTCACTATTACTACCTAAATAATAAGTATGCATATTGTATAATTCTAATTGTCGACGTCGTTGAAGCAGATTTCCTAATTTTCGAAAACAAAATTCCGCTACAAAATAATAATAAAGTAAATAATAATTAAATAATAAAAATAAATACCTTCATTCTTAATACGATTTTCTGTATAATTTAGTTTTTTCTCATCAACACATTCTCGAATTATTTCTTCTATTTGAGAATAATCCGGAAATGTTGTTCCATCTCTAAAGACTTTGTTAATAGCTATGTTAATTTCATTTGTTTGTGAGGCACAAAAATCAAGTCTAGTTCTACTTAAATCTCCTATATAGACACTTTGTTTATAATAAGAACATAATTTTTTATATACTTCAAACGCCCTTCTTTTATATCGTTCTAGTTGTATATACGTTGAATTTTCTTCATCATCAAAATTAACTTCAGCATTTTCTAATTTATGAATTTTTGCGTTAAGTTTATCAAGGAAACATTCCAGCTTTGCGATTGCTTTCTCATTAAAACTGCTCGTATTTGTAGTAGCCCGTTTACTTGCAATTTCAATTTCCTTAAATACATCGACAAACTGTTGTAATGCAAGGCTTGTAATAGCATTTCTAGATGTTTCAATTTTTGATTGAATCAAATTTGTAAACTTTTCGGAATTAATGTAATTGGTGACATTATCAAAATGAGGTTTTAACAATCTTATTTTATCCATGAATGTGTTTTGAATTTTCGATGATGTAAATTTTTTGTACAACATTTGTAAAAGTTCCACTAGTTTTTCCGAGGACGAGAATAACCTTAAAATTTCTTCTAAATGAGTATGACGGGATGGTATTTCTCCATTTTCAGCTACTTTATTAGTTTGTGCTATGTTTTCCTTTTCTTCGTCTAAGGAATTAATATTTTCTTCTAATTTTGGATGCTATAATTTTAACGTTCTACAACTTTTCATTCCACAATTGTTACAACAGTTACTCACCTTCGATGCATTATTAACATCGCTATTTTCCGACTCCTCTTTTTCAATCCCTTCTATTTTTCGTTTTAGCGAGTTAGACTACAAAAAAAAAATTAATTTATAAAAAATAATAACTGAAAGTACTTGCCATTACACATTCCTCGTCATCCGAGGATAATATTTCGACAGTTTCGGACATTTCTTATTATTTTATTCTTATCTATTTAATATTTAATAACAATTTAAACGACATGGAACTCAAAATAACCTAAAACACAAATTCAGATTGGATACGGGTAAAAAAAAGACGCAGGTTGGCCAACATATTAATTATAAAAATATTATTAATTTATTTAAATAAAGGTTAATAATTATTATTGCACAATTAACATCATTGAAATTTGAATTTTTAAATTAATTAAAAATGCAACAAAAATTAAATTTGTTATATATACGGTTACTATGGTATATATACCATGGTTTTTAGCGTTTAGGTTGGTAACAAAAAGAGGTTATGTTAGATGCACTGCCGCCAAAAGTACGATAATTATCGTACATGTACAATCATTTCAATTCGTATACAATAATACATTGATACTCATTCAGACATATTGCATTTTATGTGGGAGAAAGTAAGTATTGTAGGTATGCTCTCGTTTCTAAGGAAATATATTTTTGTATATTGCATTTTAAGTGAAATTCACTGTATGTTTATTGTAAAGTTTGTTAAGAGTGAAGTTTAATTTATTTACCTTTTGTATTCAATAAAGATTATTTATTTACACAATACTTTATATTTTTTATGCGTACGATATTTAAATTTAAAAACGATAATCTTTTCCGCGCATGTACGATAAGTATAATGTTCAAATCTGGCAACACTGCACTTGTCAGGTGGAATGACAAGTGACAAGTAACAACAAGTAAGAATAAAGAAACCTACATTAATACTACATTTTAATATTGAACGGAGTTTAATATAACAAAATTCAAAATAATATAATACTTTTATTGTCTAAAAAGTTTATATGTACATTAAAACAATTAACCAAAGAGGAGTTTTGTACACAATTTAAATAAATATACATAAAAAATTGCATGAAAATCATCATCAGTCCTATTTTCACACAATTAATTTTATTTCACACCCAGTAATTTCTTAACGACCTTAGTAACATCGGTTGGTCCAGGAATAGACACTAATTCCAAGCTTTTTGCATAAGCCATAGGTACATCAGCTCCGGTAACTCTAATGGCAGGTTGATCTAAATGATAAAAAGTTTCACTCTCCATAATTTGAGCTAAAATCTCAGAACCAATCCCGCAAGTGGGCCAACCTTGTTCTACACTAACTAAATGGTTGGTTTTTGCAACCGATTTAGCTATTGTATTAAAATCTAACGGTCTCAATGATCTTAAATTAATCACCTCGGCTTCAATACCCTTCCCCGCTAAATCTTTAGCTGCTTCTAAAGCAGTCTCAACTGCCCGAGAATGTGCCACTATTGTAACATGTTTTCCAACTCGTTCGATCTTAGCTTTTCCGATTGGTAGTACAAAATCTTTCGATAACGCCTCATCGGTCATGGGAAATTGTACTCCATACATGATTTCATTTTCTAAACAAACCACCGGATCTGGATCTCTAATAGCAGCTTTTAATAATCCTTTAGCATCTTCAGAATTATATGGTGAGATAACTTTTAAACCTGGACAATGAGCATACCACGCCCCAAAACACTGGGAATGTTGTGCGGCGACACCACTTGCAGCACCATTTGGTCCGCGAAACACGATTGGTATATTAACCCGACCGGCTGACATGTAAAACGTTTTCGCAGCCGAGTTAATAATATGATCGATGGCTTGCATTGCAAAATTAAAGGTCATAAATTCACAAATAGGACGTAAACCCCCCATTGCTGCACCTACAGCTAAACCACCAAATCCCATCTCCGTAATTGGGGTATCAATAACACGTTTATCACCATATTTCTTCCACAACCCTCGTGTAACTTTATAAGCACCATCGTACAAAGCTACCTCTTCACCAAGAACAAACACTCGCTCATCTTTTTCCATTTCTTCATCAATTGCTGTATTTAAAGCATCTCTTACTGTCATTTGTTTAGCACTTAATGTTCTAAATGTGGATAATTGCCTTTTGGTTAACAATTTAATGGTCTTTAATAAATATGGTTTTATAGTTGCCATGACTTTAATTTTTTTTCTTAGCTGAAAACAAATTTGATTGAACTAACATATTTTAATGTTTAATGCGATTTTTGTTGGATTTTATTTATAAAAGTGAATTACTTACAAAATGTGTTATTCAAGGTGAATTAGGTCGTATCGCGAGGACGACAGATTTCTGTCAAATGGTGCTGAACGCGTGATCGTTTGTGCGTTTGAAAAGATTTTTTTTATCTGTAATTTCTCACATTTTATTTTTTCTATGTTATCCTATATTGTTACGTAGGTTATTTAAAATTAGATGGTTTTATTTTTGTATTGTATGATGGCTTCTAAAAAAATTGTTTCTATTTATAAACATCATTGATTTTTGTTATTAAAATTTTTATCTGTGATTAGTAATAAAGGATTTACTAGAATTAAGATTTTTTTTAATGTTTATTGTTAAATTTGAAAGCTTTGTTGTTAAGTTTAGATTAAAAATTAAAGTTAATTTGGTTGCCTTTTGATTTTAGCTTTTATAACAATTATTCCTATTTAATAATAATAACATGATTTATTAGTATATTATATGTCAGTATCGTGTAGTACATATTATTTTTCTTTATATTTATAACAATTTTTTTTAATAATGTAGGCAACTTATTTAACTGCTTCTTTAAATATTAATCAGGTTTATGTTTTAAACAAAGTGTTTAAAATAAAGTGTTTGTACCTTATACTATATACCTTATATGAATTAGTTTTTTAAAACAAGAGGATAGTCATTTTTCACGGTAATCAACTTATTAGACTTGAATAATTATTTGAAACGTCAAAATTTCAAAAAACATCACTTTAATTTAATTTTTTTAGGACTTTCTAAAGCTTTGACCTTTGACATTAAAAAAACGTAAACAAATTCCTTTTTCGTATGATTTAGGTATAAATTAATTAATTTTCGTAAAAAAATACGACGTTTCATAAAATTGACATTTAATTTTGACAACTTGTTGTGAAGTTGGTTGCAGTTGCTAACATTGAATTTGTGTCATATTAACGTTTAAACTTTATTCAAAAATTTATTTAAAAAATAAATTTATGGAATCAATTTCAATAGTCGTGGACAAAGTATAGTATTCTGCTCACATATAATGAGCTATTATTCACTCAGGTTAATTATATATAACACATTTGTGTATACGTTTTTAAACATATTGTGCCACCATATTTAATTTACATTTATTACATTTAGCTCTTACTTTAACCGCATTAGCTCATCTGCCGCTTCATTGCCAGCAACCCCAGAGTGACCTGGGACCCAGATCAGAGAAACTCTGTTATTACAGTCATTAACATCGTTCATACCTTTCCCATCCCATCTGGTATTAATTCTATAACCTTAAGCAACATTTTTTACCTGTGGGTAATTGAACCTAATAAAGAAAACTAACCTGACCCAACATACTTTAAAATTAATCACCCCACATTAACATGTTCATTAATTATAATTGTTGGTAATAAAACATTTATATTCTTTAAATTAAAATTAACCATAAAAAATGAGTTGTCAAATTTGACATTTATTTTAACGTCAAAATATATTGTCAATTAAAAACATTACAAAGTAAACTTTACTTATTAAATATTCTTATTTAAACCGTCCATGAATAATTCAATTTCCTTGATATCTGCAAAGAATCGATTTTGGAGTGTGGTTGACCTAAACAAATCAAAAAATAAATTAATATTTCTGTAGTAAAAAAGCATGATCTTACATGTTATTTGTTGCAATATCAACCATATTTTTAACATATTTAGGACATTGATCGGGCATCATAATTCTGTAATGTAATAAAATCCCCCCGGAAATACAGAAAAGTAATTGGGAGTAAGAAATTTTCTTTGGTAAATTGAAATAAAACGAGAATTTTTCCCATAAAAGCTAAAAACAATATTCAGTTAATTTAATTTAATTTTGATTTTCGCATACTTGTAAAGTTGTTGTTAAGGCAATGATAAATATTTGGATGTTTGGTTTTATAACGTAAGTTCCACTCGCTATTAACGCAGCTATTAATGTGTGACTTGGCAGTTCTTTACGTTCTTTTTGCTGAAAATAACATCGAATCGATCTGTATATAAATACGAATCCACCAAGAAAAGAACCCATCATTAGGTTATCTTTGTGTAGTAATAATAGCGGAATTAACTTTGGGGTATTGACGTAAATATACATTTTTGGAAGGAATTTTCTTACGATTTCTAATAAATAACCAATAAAAAAAAAATTATAACCGCCCTAAAAATAAAATTAAATGGAAATTTATTAAAATATATCTCGTAAAATATTTACATCCAGCGAGTAATCAAAGCATGATTTTTTATGCTGACATAATTCATCAAGGGGAAACCCATTTCTTTTCTCACTAACATTATAAATACTTCTTTCAGGATAAAACCATAATAAGGGTATTTTTTGTTTTATTTTCCTAGTTTTGAAAAGATACATTAAGTTCGATGTTACTAACATAAAAGCTAAAGTTTCAGTCCAACGATTTCTAATTATGATTCGTTTGGATGTTAAAACATTTATAAATATCTCTATTAACTAAAAAAAACAATTAAATTAAATTAAAAAAAATTTGGGTTCAAATAACCTGATTAAAAAATAAAATTTTATCCATATTTTTATTTTCAGTTGACTCGATTAATAAAGATAAGGCACCCACCGCTCCTGCTTGCATAACAATAAAGTAATTTATCCATATTTTGCTAAAATAAAATGAATGTAAAAATTTGTATCATTAATAAAAAATAACATACGAAATTGTACAACAACTAATTAAAAATAAGCTTCCGAAAGAAACACCATAAGCAACACTTCTTAAATATCCTAAAATTTGTTCTTCAACGAATTTTCTTTGATTAATCTTTTTATAATTTAACATTAATTTCACCTGGATTATTACAAAATCAATTAAGAAGTAATTAAATAAGCATTTTTACTTACAATATAAATGGGTAAAAAAAATTTTGTACTTCCCAAAAAAACATTTGTAGCAAAAACCAACAACCCACCAAAACAATTAGAATTCCAAGGGTGGAAAATGCTACATGGAGTGACCGTTGTAACACATTTATCGAAAGTATATTTACTTAAATTGGACATTATCACTTATCTTTTTATTTTTAGATTTTAATATGTTTTTTTCCTTCTAATTGCGATGTCGACGTTTTAGCTTTTAACCGGACGCGAATTTAAATGTAACTGATAGGATTTGATGTGTTTTTGAATACTTATAGAGGTATTGTTCTAAACATATGGTAAATAGTGGGGTATTGTATTCAAAATTTTTATACTTTGACAGAAATGACATTATTTTTTTATTTGATGACAAAATCCGTATTCGAACACACTTAGAAATATTAGAAAATCGCGAATTATTCATTTATTTCACTTAAGAAGAGTAAAAGCAAAAGTAGATTTATTGGTAATCTAAGATTTCTAGGTTTTGTTAATTTAACAGGTTAATTTGACAGAAACAGATGGAAAATTGCAACTTCACATCAGACATTTTGGCGATTGAAGTGCAAAAAGCAACATTAGCAAGAACGAATCAGGTCTAAAATGTTAGGTGATTAAAAATAAAAGAAGAGTTATAAGTTTATCAACGGAAGAGAAGTGAACAAGATTGTTGTATTACTTTTCTTTATTAAATTGACTTTTTAATTGAATTATAATAACAAGATAAGATAAAATAGTACCGGCCATACCATAAATTAACGAATAATTGATTGGGAAAAATCCAGCCGCTGTTATTTCAACGTTTCTTTGTGCAGTTTGTTCAGCTAAAATGATTAAATTTTTTCTGAGTAAATTTTCTAATTGATTACCACGATTGGGCCAACTTTTTAGCAACAATTTATAAATTATCGGCGCACTTTTTCTGGTTTCCCGATAATTTTTTTCGCAATAATGAGCAAGTTGAATGCAAAACATCTTAAAAAAACATTTACGATACATTTAAATAAGAAGAATTTTATAATTCTTACCATTAAATGAAGACTAACAATAATTTCAATGGTAATTCCAAAAATATATTGTGGATATTGTTGAAAATAATTTAAAAAATTCTCTATGTTTTGTAATAATAATAAACAAACGTAAATTAATGTTAATAAGATTCTATATCCAAATTTTCGATTAAATTTATCGATGAATTCTCTCAAAGTGATATGGAGTCTCGTTAAAGCATCGATTTCTTTTAAAGAACGTTGTAAAATTATTAAACTTTTTGAATTAAGCCCTTCATTTGTAATCAGGAAAAGTTTCTCGTTTATTAATTTAAATCTTTTAATCACTTCTTTTACGATAATTATCATTTGGTAAAGCATCAAAAAAATAATTAATTTATTTAAATAAGTAATCATAAAATATTTGTAAATCGTAATTAAATTATAGCTGAATTGTAGATAAATAGCAAATATATACAAAGAAATTGTTGATAAAACAATAATCGCACCTTTTAAAAGATTTTTTTTAGATTTTTCTTCTTGATGATTTAATAAATCATCAATGTAATTAATGATGAATTTAAAATCGGTAAAAAAATTGTTATTACCTTTTAAACTCGGTAAAATCATCGAAATGTGATAAGCACATGTAACATAAGTAACCCCAAAGTCTAAAAGTTGACTCATCATATGCGATGGGAGCAAATTCGAGGAAGCTTTTCCAAAGTTAATCCATAAAGCTTCCAAAATAAATAGAATAATCAATGATAAACAATAAATTTTAAAAATTATTGCGTAAAAATTATTTGTTGGTATCGATGAAGATCCGAAACATTTCGAAGCTTGTTCTAAAAATCCTAAAATTGTCATCATTTTTACTCGACTAACTCATTTTTTAGTTAACGAAAGAATCGTAATCAATCATACTTATTTCTTATCAATTCAATCGTTTAATTATTCCAAAAACATCAAAAATCTATTTCTTATATTCCCAATTCCATTTACGTTTTAGCTTTTAAAATGATTACAATAAAATACAAGTTAACAGAAAATTTAAATTTCTTAAAACCTTTAATAATAATATCAAATATTTTTGGATTACACGAACAACCATCAAAAAAATCGAGATTATTTAAACTTTACTCGACTTTAATTTCTTTATTATTAATTTCGGCAACTTCCGTTGCTTTGTATTTAAAAATTCGCGAGGAATACCGTGAATCAATTACAACAACAGTTTATATGGATGTAACAGTGACAGTTTTATCGGCTTTTATTAATGTAATGTGCATTTTAAATAATAATAAAAAGGATATAATAAATTACGGCGAAATAATCAAGGAAGTTGATTTTAAAATAAAAATAATTACAAAAAGGAAATGTAAAAATCGAAAAATCATGTTTTTAATCGAATTAATCATCATCATTATTTTATTATTTGGATTGTGCCTTTGTGAAATGATTGAAAGTTACCAAGCGTTGGGTTATTTAAAATGGAGAAGGATAACCGTTGATACATGTCACGCTTTAATCTTAATCTTAGTTATTTTATATTTTCATAATTATACATTATTAATTCGAGATCGATTCGATGAATTAAACAAGTTTTTAATTGATAAAAAAATTTCTTCGTTGGAGATAACATCAAAATCCCATCACGATTTATGCGATTGTATTGATTATTTAAACGAATGTTTCGGATTAAAAGTTTTTGGAATCATCATTTTAATATCACTGCAATTAATCCAAAGTGTTCATTTAATGCTAAAAATGTTACTTGGATTTGAATCCTTGACCTTTGATTTTTCTATTTATTTAATTATTTCTAAACATGTTTATACATCGATAGTTTTTTTAACTTTAACTGTAATGATAGCTTCATCTTGCGTTAAAACAATAAAATCAGGAAATGATACGATATTAATTTGCCATAAATTATTGTTAGATTATCCATTTAGCGAAAAATTAAATCCGGTGGGAAAGAAAATCCAAGAAGAACTTATTTTATTATCCCAACAAATAAATGAAAGGAAAATTGTATTTACAGCGGCAGATTTTTTTGTGATCGATTATAATATGCTATACGCAATGTGTAGTTCTATCGTAGCTTATATCATTATTATTATTCAATTAAGATAGATTTTTATTCTTAAATATATTTATTTATAGAACAAAAAATAAAATTAATTCTTTTTATCACTCATATGTAAAGCCCATTTAAACTGTTCAAACTCCTTCCGTAATTCAGGATCATCTTGAAACTCTTCATTAATATTTTCAACATTAACACTTCGATTAACATTTAATAACTTAGTTTTTACGATTTTTCCTGTTGGTCTTCCTATCCTCCCTCGTTTTTTATTGTTATTTTTTTTAACCTGGTTAATATTAATTCCATGAGATGGCCAATTTTTAATCTCGTTTTCATTTTGATTCTCATTTGGGCTATCTAAAATTGTTGAAACTGCGTTTCTCGTTTCTAAATTGATTTGAGTTGGTGAACTTAAATCTAGCGGTGGAACTCCAGTTGACGATGCTCTCAATCCGCCTAATTGAGGGTTAACCATCAAGCTACTTTGTGGAAATCCAAATCTTCCTAAAACTTGGGAAATATAAAATTCTTTTTCTTGAATACCTAACGTCTCCCAAGACATAGAAACAGCCGATTTTAATTGTGCTTTCGGCGTGTTTGGGTACATCCAATGATATAAAGTTCTTGTTCGTTTGGAAAATAATGATTTAGCAGCCATTAAGACTTCGGTGTGTCTATTATCCATGCTATGACCGGATTCTTCTTGATTATTATAATTATTCATGTGATAAATAAATTTTATGTTTGGTATTAATTTTTCTTCTTTTACCGGGGGTGCGGTGGTGTCTTTACGTTTCCTGCCACGTTTTTTAGGCACGCTGGATGGCGTAAATAATAATTGATTTGTTGTTGATAAAAAATTTGATTTTTCAAAATTAATTTCTTGCTAAAAAATTAAAATGTCATAAAATATTGACGTTTAAAAATTTTAAAACCTGGTTCGCGGTAATCAAATTCTTTCCCAAATCAATTTGTTTAATTTGTTTTTGAGAAAACGTTAAATCGATTGGTTCTTCGTGTTGGGTTTTCGTTTGCATTCCTGAATACAAGGCGATTTCAATTTCATCTAAAGTATTACTATTATTAAGTGAGTTATTTCTTTGGGAGGTAATCACTAGTTTTTTACCATCGTTTTCATTTTTTTCACGAATCTAAAACATTATGTTAGAAGAAAATGTAATAATAAAAAATTTCGTTTAGTAACAATGGTAATTTAAAAGTAAATATACTCACATCTGAATCGGTTTCCATTGAAATTTCCTATTTATTCGCCAAAAAATAACGAGTTTATCGATTTTGTTGCTATCCTAACGATTTATAAACTTCGTTATTATGATGTTTACGTTTATTTTATAGTTTTTTGTTTAATTCATTGATTTGCACAGCTCACTATCACACTTTATGTGCACACTCTAAATAAAATAATTCAGTTAAAACTTTATACTCACATAACAAACAACTCAAAATAAGTGGAACTGAACATGAATAAATAACCCTGATGATGCCTTGTTGGTAAAGATTTGATGAAATCTTTATGCTGAGAGAATAGATTGAGTGGAACTAAGAAAGGTATCGATGTAGCGCATTAAATCATAAACATTTGAAAATTGGGTAGTATTGTAACCAGATGGTATCAATATAAGGCCTAGTCCGCAAGCGACCTCGGCTTAATTACATCATAAGTTGTTGAAAATGGTATAGTTTTATGTCAATATGGTAATGAAGTAACGCCTCGGCCGCAAACTACCTCTATTAAATGATAACTATTTGAAAATTGGGTAATATTCGAGATGGTATCGACATAATCCGCAAGCGACTTCGGCTTAATTGCATCATAAATATTTGAAAAGTGTGTAATGTTGTAACGAGATGGTATCAACGTAGCGCCTCGGCCGCAAGCGACCTCGGCTTCATAATATTATAGACATTTGAAAATTGTGTGGTATTGTAATGATATAGTAATGATATAGTATCGATATAGTAATAATCACAAAGGATCCTCGCCATCACTGTGTTTCAAGCTACAAATTGAAATTATTTCCAAAAAGTGAAGAAAATAACGACTTTAATCTGAAGAAATTTTGTACGTTCAAATTTGTGACAATAGATGGCAGCACGTAACAATCAAATTTAACTGTAATAATTATGAAACAAACTCGATTAAAAATTGGAAATAATTAAAAAAAATAAGAAAAGAACTTATAAGATTTATAAAAGAATAAATTTTATAAACAAACAAATTATATTTTTGTAGATGCCATTAATTTTCCACTATTTTGATGTTGGTAGCACTAGGTAACTTTGTTGACAATTTCTGTGAAGTGTAAAACAAGTATTTTCTTAACAAATCGAAAAATTAAAGCCAAATAATGGTAAGAAAAATACTTTTTTATATATAAAAAACATATGTTTTATCAATTCACACTAAACGTACACCAATAAAACTCCATTATTCTTTACTACCACATAAACAAATTATTAAAAAAAAAGTGAGGTTAGGTTACACACATTTTCGTCCATTTTTCATCGTTATATTTATCACTTCGACGGCTCATTTCTTAATTTTAATTGTTTATTAACCTAGATGGGCGAAGAAGAAAAACCACCGGAACGTACTCGATGTTTTTTCGATATCAGCATTGGTGGTTTACAATCGGGGAGAATCATTTTCGAATTGTTTAATGATGTGGTTCCGAAAACTTGTGAGAATTTTAGGGCTTTATGTACAGGAGAGAAAGGTTTAGGTGAAACTACTAATAAACCCTTAAACTATAATGTAAGTTATAAATAAAAAAGGTGTTTTAAATAATAGTAATTCTATCGTAGGGTGTGATTTTTCATCGGGTTGTTAAAGATTTTATGATACAAGGAGGTGATTTTTCGAATGGAAATGGTACCGGCGGTGAAAGTATTTATGGGGGAACATTCGAAGGTAGGTAGAAATGATGATTTAATTTAATTTGATTGAATTGATTTGTAGATGAATCGTTTGAGATTAAACATGATGATCCTTTCTTACTTTCAATGGCTAATAGGGGTAAAGATACAAATGGATCTCAATTTTTTATGTGAGTAACAAAAAGATAGGTAAATTAATCCTGTTGTTTAGACTTTGTTAGCTAATATAATATTCCTTCCTAAATAAATCATAAACACAAAAATCATTGTACGATATGAAAAAAATAAATAAATAATGAATAAATACAAACAACAGAGTGTGTTACAGAACTTTTGACTTGAGCTTGTTCTGTAGCGTTGCATCCTTGAATCAAAGACCAGCGTTATACCGACCCTCGGTTGATCATATCTTGTCATATTTTGTGTTATAGTACGACGCAACCCGCCAGCCATCTCGACAAGTAAGTTTTAAAATTATCAACAAAATTAAAGCTCATTTCGGTTGATTTTTTTTAGTGTGCATGTGGTTTTTGGTAGAGTTATCGGCGGGGCGGACGTTGTTCGACAGATCGAGTCATTGCCAGTCGATACAAACAGTAGACCTTTACAGGATGCGAAGATTGCAAGGTGTGGAGAATTAATTCGACAAGTAAAAGGTAAAATTCGATTCTTATTAATAAATAAATTTTTAATTTATTTTCTTTAAAGTTAAAAAAGAGAAGAAGAAGAAAAAGGTAAGTGAAAGTCAAAGTGAGGGTGAAGTTGATGAGGAAAAGAAAAAGAAGAAAAAAGATGTTAAAGATAAAAAACGAGATAAAAAAGAGAAAAAGTCGCATAAAAAGAATAAAAAGGAAGGGACGGACGAAGATGGGGAAATAAAAGACGATAATATCCACCCTTTAGCTGTAATATCCAATATAAACCCAGAGGATATTCCTGATGTTCCTGTTAATAAATTTTTAATGCGTGGTGGACCAAATAAAGATAATAACAACAAAAAAGATGACCGTAATCGGGGTAAAAATTACAAAAATGTTTATAAATCAAAATTTTGTTTTAATCTTATGTTAATTAATTAGACGATCGACGAAACAATAATCGAGGTGGTGATAGATTCCCACGAAGAGATTGGGATAGACGCGGTTATAATAATAGAAGGGATCGGGGACAAGCTGTAACAAAAAGTGGTCGTGTTATCAAAGGAAGAGGAGTTTTTGTACGTTTCTTTAATTTCATCGAAACACATAGCCTTAATAAATTGAATTTTAGCGTTTTCGAACACCATCAAGAAGTCGCTCGCGCAGCGTAACCCCAATTCATTGGAAACAAGAAGAACGTCGCGTTATAAAACTTTCAGATTACAAGAAAATAGAAGCGACTCGCCATCAAGAGAGAAACTCTAAATCGCCCTCTTTCGATAAAGGGGGGCACACTCCTGAGAATAATCGAAAGGATGATCGGAAAGAAAATGAGAAAAACATTGATTACAACGCTTTGGATTATGAGGAAAATCAAACTGATGAAGAAAATGAGATTCCGAAGAAAAAGGTTATTTTATTAATCTTTTTTTAAAATTGGAGTCATTAAATTTTAATTAAATTATAGGTACCAAGTTTGGTTCAATATCCACTTCCCGGATCGTTTAATCCAATTGAAACAGGATCAAAAGACGAAATTTTTAATCAAATCAACAATGCTGAAGAGGAAATTGAAGGAATGATGACAAATAAACGTTCGGAAGCTTTAGCGATGGCTTTAGGTGTACAAATAAAAACAGGGGAAGATCCTCCAACCGGGGAAATTATTATAAGTGGTTTTCAAAAGAAGAAAAAGTTTAATGAAATCATTGAACCCGAAATCAACATCCCTAAAGATCATCAAAAACCTCAAGAAAAACGTATGGAAAGAAATAAATTTGAAAACGAAAAACCGGATCGAAACGCGCCATCAGACCGATTTTATCACCGTAACGGGCGTGATTTAGATCAGCGTAGAAGTGGTTATCGAAGAGGTGTTGATAGAAGACCCCCACAAAGAGAACCACCGATGAGACGTTTCGATGACCGCTTTGGAAGAAATCGTTTCGCCGAAAAAAAACGTTTTACCGACAAAAACACCTTTACAGGAAAAAAATCCCGATCAAGAGAACGTCGGAGATCAAGATCACGCGATCGACGATCCCGAAGTCGCGAAAGACGTCCGAGACAAAGATCTAGATCGAAAGAACGCGATACATCGCGAGATCGTAAAGAATCCCGCCCCCGTAAAAACTCCGAAAAAGAAGAAGAACCAAACAAGGAAACTAAAAAAATCGAAAGTGATACGGAAAAATTTAAAAGGCGCGCCGAACAAATTCTCTTATTAAAGAAAAAAATGGAATTAGAATTACTTCAAATGAAACAAAAAAAGCAAGATGAGGAAGAAAGAGAAAAGCAATTATTGTTATTGGAAAAACAACGTAAAGCCCGCGAAGAAGCTGAAATGTTAGAACGAGCCAAAAAAGCTCAAAGAGTAGCCGTTGAAAAGGAGAAATTAATCAAAGCGGTTAAAGTTATTAATGAAATTGATAAAAAAGCCAGAAAACGGTCGAAATCGTCGTCTTCTAGTAGTAGCACGTCTTCGAGTTCTTCTTACAGCTCAGATTCATCGAGAGATGATAAAAGTAAGCTTAAAAATAAGAGAAGAGGGCGGAAATCGAGCAGTAGCAGCACTGATTATAGACGGAAAACTCGTACTCCTCCAAAAAGAGAAAAACGAAAGTAAAAAATAAATAAAAATTTTATTGAAGACTATTGAATTATTACAGTAATAGATTATTAAGGTTTCTTTGATTTACAGTAATTTCATTATATTTGTGTAATGTATTTAGAAAATGGTAATTTTAAAAGAATTGTAAGTTTTTTTTCGTGAGATAAAATTTGATTAAATGTATTTGATTATTTCGTCTAACCTAATCTTCAAAATCCTCCAATTCGGTAAAGAATTTTTTGAAAAGTGGGTTTTATGTGGCCTCACGTTCATCAGAATATTATGGTGTACTTAATACTTAGAGAAATCTTTTACTCTGAAAACCAAACATAAATAAGCCTAAATGTTGAAGACATGAGAAGAGGTGTACTGAATTCAACAACAGCACATTTGACATGTTGGAGAGATTTTTAAAATCCTCAAGATGATTTTTCAACAATTCAGCTGCTATTAAAATTGTTATCACCTTTCAAAGAACTTACTAAAGAATTAAGTAATTCGCAAAAACAGCATTTCTATGGTTATACCACTCATTCACGTTATTCTGACAACATTAAAATCCATGAAGAAATGGGTTATAACCCCAACCTAAAGAAAGAAAAGTTGACAATACAATTGCTACTAGTTCTAGTACTTCAAAGCTACTACATAATAGTCAGTACAATCCATTTTTCAATCCAAGTGAAAGTGAGGTAGAAGATGATCAAGCAACATCAATGAAGATAGTGCTCCAAAATTACAATAAAGAAGACTATCTCTGGAAGAAGATCCGTTATTGTGGTGGCGAGAAAATGCTTACAAATATACTGTTTTATTACCGATTGTTCGCCAATATTTAGCAACGCCACCAAGTAACGTTACCAGTGAACAGATATTTAGTGGAGCGTCCTTAATATACTCAGATAAACGAAAAAACCTTCAAGGAGAGCATCAAAACCAAATTCGAGAGCACCATTGATTCTATCGATATTTGGCAAGTATAGATTGACAACGTTGACCTGAGATTCCTGCTTACTCTCAAGGAATCTTCACTGTAATCAAGTTTACTCACATTTTTATTACTGCTGTAGGCATATTAAGTAATTATCCAACATATCTACCCCATAATTAATGGTATTTGCTAGGTATATCGAGAAATAAAATCCTTAGAATAAAATAAATTTATTCAAAACGCGATGTTCTTTACGAACGCGGAAGAAAAAAGCTCCCGTTACGTTTTATTATCAAACCGAAGCCAACAATCGATTTCAAGAAAATAACAAAGATAACAACTCTCTTTATATATTACATATGTGTGCGAAGTTGAGGTCACGTAACATCACGAACACGTTTGAAGACGAAACAAGAACGTGCCTAAGTTTAAATTAGTAAGTTGTAATGCAATTCCGCGCGAACATCTTTTCCTTCTACTAGGTACATACATAAACGTATTATAACAACTAATAGAACAACATAGAATTCTGGTGGAATCAAAAGGTTGTCGTTGGTTAAGTTGAATTGAAATGCCACGATGATCGCGCGTCTAGTAATTGCAAACCGTACAAGTTAAAGACGAATAGTGCATTAGAATAATTCGCTGGTTTATGCAGGAAACAGGAATGGCGTGCATAGAATTTAATACCTCGTAGAATAAACGGTTGTGCGTTCCAAGAGATGTTTCTTGACTTTGTTGTACGTTTTAAATCATATAATTCCAAAAATAATTCGCTTTATCAAACGTTACGTAATATTTATTTACTTTTGCCGATAAACGTGTAATATTCACGTGAACGTTCCTAACCATGGTCAATAGAAAAGTGATAAAATTACATGACCTTTACGCTGCTAGATAACAAACAAACGTCATGTTTACAATAGTACAACCAATAATTTCATTCATAATCTAGTATACACATGTATGTATATATTACAATAATATTAGGATAGAAATTTAGATAGTTGAATTGGTCTCTATCTCATTTTAAAGTGATTAATTTTTTTTAGTTCTCATATTAGGGATTGGAATATATCTCTTTTGGTTGATTCTTGCGTCTTCGTCTACCTGCGCATGTCAGGGACTGGAGGAATGGTAAATGCTCTCTGAATGATCGTACTACTACGACTCGGAGTCGAACAGTTCCACCGCAAACGCGTTACAGTGTCCTCGTGTGGTAGAAACTGTTCACAAATGCGGAAACATCAATGGCAGTGTATACACTTCTCCACGGCCTTGTGTTTACAATAGGGGTATCCCTACTTTACAACAAAGGCAAGTACCGCCTTCGGTGCGGCCAAATTTTCTATCAATTTCATTTTACCACCGTTCGATTTGTGTACATACATTGGTTAAAAACCAATATGGCGGTCATACATAGACAGAAGGCTACGCGAAAAATGTTTGATTCCCTAATAGATACCGTATTGGAATCGAATTTTATATAGAATTAGATAAAATAAAGGTTACTTTAATAGAAATAAATAAAATTTTGATCGTTTCAATAACGGTTTTTGCTGTCAAAACGAAAACACGTCCGCGTGTTTTGCGTTCGCTACGTTTTCGGGTACGTTCACTTTTCGATCGCTGTTGCGTGCGCTTTTGTAACACGTAATACGCTTATTTTTAACACCGGCAATGGCATAGTTTCGAAAATAACTAAGGGAAGGGACCTTCGGGGCCCCCACGATATTTCGTAATGTTCGGACACCTGCCGAAGCGATAACGAATCAAATCGAATTACTCATAATTAAAAAAATTAATTTCGTATTTTAAATATGTCAAAATTCTAACCTGTTTTGTGTCAAAATTTTGTTTCGACTCAATCAATTCACCTTACATCACCGGCAGGTTATCTACGACCCTTTTCAAAACCTGTCCATTTTGCTCGCAAATGCACTTAAACGATACAATAGAATCGATAAAATCCCCCTTTATAATAGGAAACGAATTGAGGTTAAAACTACCCCACACTGAACTGTCATTAAATAGACTTCTCCTGTGTATATATTTTACTATAAAATGTTTTCATGAATCAATGATATCACATGTTTTTATATATGTATATTTCAACTTTGTCTATTTTTCTCTCCATCTATTGGAAAATTTATTAAATAACGCCGTTATTTTTAATTTAAATGTTAATTGTTTTATTAATTTTAAATTAATTAAATTGTAATTTAAAGTGCTTTTATAGAGGTTGAGTTAAAATTTATTTCTATTTTTTTAATATAAGATATTTATTCAACTTGTAAAAGCTCGAACATAACCTCAATTTTAAGTGTCAAAAAATTGAAATCAATAACATGAATCAATTTATTGTATATTCAACATTCTACATACATATATTCAAACAGATGGTGCGTGCCTAGATGATAAAGTAACATATAGAATTCAGAAAGTAATGGAAGGACTAATACCTAGTAGTAGGAATTAAAGTAAAAGTTCTCTTGCATTTTTTAATAAGATGGGAGATGTTCAGTGACGCTCTTAGGATACAACGTCATGTTTTGCGCATCTTAGGCAGTTGATGTAGCAATAATGACACTTTAATCAATGAGGTAATATCAACAACTTTGGTAGTAAACACGATTGAGAACAGTGCATTTGAATTAATTTAATAACATTTGTCACTTTGACATTTAACCTGTCATTTTGACATTTTAATATGTCATTTTGATCTTTTATTTCTAATTTTTGAGGTTTACTTATCATTTATTATCTCTACTTGATTTCTTTAATACTAGTAAATTAGCTAACTTTAGAAAGTGTTAAGTTTAAATCTTAAAAATCAGCTTCCGATTAAAACAACTTTCTCAAATGTTTTTATGACCAATAAGGAAACGCTACTGCGGTGTATAACGTTTAATTCGTGTATAAAAGATCTTTGTGCGGGTAATAACGTGCATAGAGTCGTTGTTGGGTTGATTGGAAAGTTGTCCTGGAAATAAGGCGAATGTGGGAGATAAAAGGACTCGCCGATCAGCTCGATACCGCCGCCCCATTTCTTGTCTTCGCGACGGATTTTTCCTCCGTCGTCGTTGTCCTTCGCATCCACTTTAGATTTTAATATTATTTTCAGTTTTAACGCGATTCACACTCGCGTTTATGCGTTGTCTTAACGACCTCTAAACCCATAAAAAGATGCAGTAGGAGCACATCAAATTTACCGCCCGCCTGTTAGCTAAGAAAAATGAGCTATCCGCATTTAGAGAAGAACTCAAAGTGGTATTAAAAAAAAGAAACGTGGAAAACGTTATCTAATCTATGGAATTTGCGTCTCTTTCTTGGTTCGAGACTGCCTCTTTGGATGCTTTACCAGGTCACTGAGCTGGGTTCCTCCGGTGAACCAGTCCGGGATGAACGAATCCCCGGGGTCAAGGTCAACGTGAGGGGGCCACTTCGTCCCGCACAACTCCTCGCGGATATCTGCACGATTACGTCACAAAGAGAACGATCCGACCGGCTGTACGTTTTTGCTTCTTTTCAGGTTCCGGAAACAGGACGGAATGTGCAAACGTATTTACTTCTTCGACTATCCACCAATGTATGTTTCAAAAAAAAACAAGAAAAAACAATTTTGGAATGGTTTAGTCACGTGCGAACTTGTTATTAACACAAACCATGTATTAAGTAATTACAGTTCATTCGTTAAACATGCGAGGTACTATTTCGTTGAAACCGTTCAAAAACGCAACTCGAAAAATAATAACCTGTACATTATGTTAATCACGTTAGGAAATTCTTGGAATTGTTTTCAAACAGAATGCAAAGCGTATAATTTAGAAGAGTTAGATTATTACAAAAAACGAATTATGAGATACATTTGAAATTTAGAAGTTTTTTAAAAGTTTGTTTTGAATCTAAAGCGATATTATTACTCGGGGTAAATAAGATTAACGTCGTCTATATCCGCGCACGCGAGATAAAACGTAAGTGAAAGGCAAACATCAAACGTTCTCATCATCGGGCGACTTCTTTTTAACGATAGCAATGAACGTTCATTGCCCCCCACAAAACGACAAATAAAATGCTGAATAAAACGGCAAATAAGACACCGCATATCAACAAAAATCATCATTCATCATTTCCTCGAATAACTATAAATTGTAAAATTCTATACACCCTTTATATATAATATTCGAATTTATCCCCGTACATTGTGACCTACATTTCCATCCCTCTTCTGGGAGGAACAATTGGGTAACGAGCGTCTCGTTAAAGTATTCAATTCAATATGGATATAGGATAATTGGTAAAAATTAATGTCAGTAGGTCGAAGTTTTATTAAAATAATCGAAATATATTGCTAAAAATGTTAACTTTAAATAAAAAAAATTTCATCATAAATTTAACAAGATGATTCGTGTATGAGTAAAAATGGAAGGTTGATTCTTTAACAACAATAAGTGATAAATTCCAAACGAGAGATGTGTGGGTGGTTTTCGAGAGGTGATTATTTTAAAAAGATATCGAGTTTGTCTTTCTCTTCATTCGGTTAGTTAGCAAGAAAAATTTCTTTGAACTCTACCTACCTCGCCTTTTTTTTTACAATTATTTTTTAAAACATAACAAACAAATCGAAGGCAACGGATGACGTCACTAACGTTCGTTATTCTCCGTTTGTATAAAAGTGTAACGTCCGATAATGAAACTAACTGGGTCAAAGCACTTCTGTGTTTATTATCCCTCCAAATTTATCGTTTTTTTGTTTATTTTGAAATTTTGTTTGTCCGTTACAATTTTATCAATCACATTTTCTCATAGCATTAGTTTTCGAATTGTAAAAACATAAGAACTTGCTAAGAAGACTTGATATCAAGGGATGATAGATATTGTGCGTTCTTCAGTTTATCAAGGATGTAAAGAGGAGTAGACGAAGTCTTTGTAACATCGTTTGCGGTTGAGGCAATACATCGATACTGTGTCAACATAAAAATACAAAGTTATCATTGACGTATGATACTTAAGCCTAGGTCGCTTGCGATCGGGACGCTACATCGATCCATATCAACATAAAACTACAAAGAATAACCCAAAATTACAACTTTTAATTTTTATCCGTTTCAGAACTTTTTGATAATCAACATATTAATTTTTGTAACAAATTCAACAAAATGACAAATTCAGTGCTAATTAGAAAGACCTAAATAATTACTTCATCGATGTCATATAAAAATGCGAGAAAGTGTAGCATAAATTATTTTATTATTATTTAATTAACTTCAGCACTTATTTTTTAAAAATAAGTTAGTAGAAAGATTTTTTCATGCTTTTTTTGAAGAAATAAAAGCTTTAACTCTGTACAACCAACGGTTTGGCTACTTTGGTTTCGCCAAGGTTAAGTCGTATCGCTACGACATAGTGATTTATTTGCGCCTATAAACCGTTCTCCGAATTAAGTTTGCGAATATTGCCAATACGGTAACACGAAGCCGAAGCCGAAGCCGAAGGTTACGTTTTTTTACGACTTTTCAATTTGTCATGGGACGTAGCAGCAGCAGCGACACTCTCCTTGCTTTCTTCGTTATCCTAATCAAATCGAAATTAAAATATTTATTTTTTAATAATAATTTTGTATGGTTAATAATGAAGGGAAAAGTAAAAGTTAATGGTGGGTTGTTTTGATGATAACTTAAAAGCAATTATGAAATTGGAACCACTCCTCTTTAAAGAAGCGAAACTGAAAAAAATTATTGTGTGAAAAGGTGCGGCTAAACACGTTTGTACTCGGAGTGCATTACACTCTCGTTTCAAGAAAAAAAAACGTCAATAAAGGAGTGGTTTAGATAAATACGAACCAAACATAATAATTTTTATTTCAAATTTAACTGATTATTCGATTACCTATACATATTGAGATTGAGAAAATTCAATTTGTCTGCTAATAATTCTCCGGGCAACGAGCCGATTCGTTAAACTAGATTAATGTTTCGTCCCATTAACTCCCAGAAGCAACCTGGGTTTTGATTCCGCAATTATCATCGGGCAGTAAACCAATTAAAACAGACCATTAACATCCGCTTCTCAAGTATTTCTCGACTTTGCAGATGGTGAACGTAAATCGATTAAAATTTTTACTACTTAAAGTTTACCGAATAAAATTTGACCGTGACCGCGCGACGATAAACGAAAACAAAACCGAAAAATAAGGGGTAAATAAATAAATAACGAAACAGAATTCGGGAAACGATTTGAAATTCACATACACAGATCTATGTGTGTAAGTGACCGGGTGTTGGGTTTTTGCCTCTTTAAATATGTATGTTTGGGAACTTTTAAATTGTTCAAAAACGTTTTTTTGGGTATCATTTGGTTAAAATAACGATAAAACTAAGTATCTAACTCGTTATAATAAATTTAAATATACTTATTTAAAAAGGAATCACAACAACAACATTTTAAACGTAAAATTAGAACTGGATTGATCAAACCTCGTATAATAATAATTATGTACTTTGGTAAGTTTAATTTATCCCGATTAAAATTAAAGATATCTCTCTGAAAATGTATACATTATTCGCAACGGTAAACCAACGCCACAAATCATAAACTCGTTCCATTATCCTAACTTTAAATACATAATATATTAAACGTATGTCCGTGGGGTATAAATATAAATAACCGTTTCCTGTTTTACCTTTGAAGATTAAAGATAAACCCGATCTCACTAAGCATAACTATCTTTACAATCAATAAAATCTGCTTTAATAAATAAATAGAATCAAACCAAAAATCGAATTGAAATCATTTTAATTCGATTCGTGTACAATAAAGTTTATAATCCTAATAAATTAGACGTTTAACCGAACCGGAAGTTCAAAACAGTCCTGATTACACGCTTAGGTTCTCTACGGAGAGTGAATTTGAATGCGATTTTTTCGTAGAATCTCAACACAACTACAGGAAGGAAGTTTGCAAACAGGAAGTCGTTTAGAGGATAATAACCGAATACCCGATCATTAGAAAGAACCTTATTACTATCCAATTCATGCGAATTCGATCCGCTCTCCTTCTTGTTCGCACGAAGATCATTTAAACTTTATCATTTTTCCTTAGATTTTACGTTTAATTATTTCGAAACTTACAACCGGTAATAACAATTGAGTAAACTTTATTCCACATTTTACAACCGTTTGAAAAGGAAACCCGATAAAGTTTTAGTCGGTCGTCAGCTTCCCCAATCCTAGATCGTTTCGAATTTACCCTCAGGAAAGTCGTTTGGCAAAACGATTGTTCCAAAAACAATACGTTTATACAACAACAACGACGATAATGACGACAACAACGTCTTTTGCGTCGTTATTATTAAATTATTTAGAAGAACACGCTGATTATGCTTATTTTCTACTTTTTTTAAAACTCATTGAGGTATCTATTTTATTTGCTTTTTAAGCAATTTTCTAAATGATAAATCTATCAGTTTTAATTATTAATACGCAGTTTCTACAAATTTCAAAGTATTAAATCACTGAACATAATCTTATTGTTAGATCTACTTTTATTTGAATGAAATCCAAGCAATAAAAAAGGATATTACGAGTTTAGTATCAACGAACATCGATTATTCGATAAATTGCGATTCTTCTAGTTCTGTTAAAGGTTTTTATGCTCCAGATAAATCACACAAAGTGAATCCCTTAAAAAACAACAATCAAATTAATTGTTAATGTTTTTAGAATAAATCTAAGTTAAAATAAAGGTTATTTCTTGTGTTATAACACCAAATACTTGCTTACAGCTGGTTTTTAAGGTTTTTTTATAGTATATCAAAATAAATTGATCATTATCCCGAATCTAGGTTATATTGAGGTTAAAATTTCTTTTAAAATGTCAAACGTCAATAATTATCATTAAGAATATAGTACATATTTACTATAATAGATGGCAGGAAGTAACGATAAAAAAAATAAAAAAGAATTATTTAAAGAATTAGAATTTTAGTAAATTTTTTATTAATGAAACTAATTAAATATTTATTTGAATTATAAAAATAAAATATTTGATTTGAATTAAAACAGTGAATTGAGGGAAAAAAATAATTTAATAATTTATTGTTGTTGACATTGACAGATTTAAAACTAACTCAAATTAAAAATCTTAAATTTTAAACTACACGAATTTGTGCTTGTTTTTGAAGTGAATTAAAATGAAAAGACATCTTAATGAATTAATGATACTGAAACTTATTTAAACCTAAAATATCACAAAATTATGCTTAACAATAATAATATAATAGTATTTGTTTCTGATAATAGATGGCAGTACATAATGAATTAATTTATCCCTAAGAAAATGTAGTTTTTAATAATTTGTTAAGAAAATACATTAATTTATTAAATATGTACTAATACTGTAACATTTGATTAAAATTAAATCATTAAAATGAGATAAAAATGCATTAAAAAAATATCTTGTTTAGGTTGGTAATATTTATACATTTATACAAGTGTCAAAAATTTGACACATCTCGATTATAGGTTATGTTTTGTTATTTCAATTAAAATTTTTATTATAAAACTCATCAAATTCATTTTCAATCACATTTTTTTCTTCCAACTAGAAATTGTTACGATCAAAGCAAGAAAATTTTCCAACACGCTCGATAAAGAAAACTACGTCACAATGTTTTCTTTCATCGTTGTTGTCAAAAGCCTTTGTAAAAGTATTTCAATCAGGTTGGGGCCCCTTCTATATACGACACTTCTGAAAACTTTTCCCCGAATTGACAGAGAACCAATAAATAAGAGAACAAAAAGGACGTTATTTACTTTGTTATTAACTGAACAAAAAAAATTTGAAATTTGCTGTGTTTAAATTAACGGAAATAAAGTTTGCGGAAGTCGAAAATTTACACGTAACGAACACAAAATGTCTGTTTGAGTCGTCAACGAAAGTTATTGACCCATACGGTGAGCAACGGACCGTGAAAGCTCTGAACATGTAGGAGTTGTACTATGGATATATAAACATACAACAACAGTGGTTATTTATCGTTTTCGATTTCAACCTGAAAAAAATTTATTTTATAAAAGATTGGTTTATTAAGTTAAAAGCTAAAATAAAAAAGTTACTTTTAAATTTAATTCGTAATTTTTTTCCCGAGGGTGGTTCATCAAAAGAAAAAAATCCGCTTAAACGTTTAAGTCGTCCAATTTTTTTTAAATGTCGACATAAAAGTTCATTCCCAAAACAAAGTCCACCTTTAATACCTTAAAGGTATTTTTATTTCTTTTCTTTAAAATTTTTCTTTGTAAAAATTTTTCTTCGATTGATTTGATTTAAAAGAGTAAGCTCCTTTTGGTATGAATAAATATTTTTTTTGAGGGCGAAATGGGGCCACGAAACGGACGATATCCAAACGAAAACCCTCGAATCGAGATGGAAGGGGTTGAAACTATCGATTTTGCGGAAATAGTGCAGCAGTAGGACACTCCAAGTACATTGCTGTAGGGTCGTTGCCCTCTTTTTAGAGAAGGGGGTTGCATAGATAGAAATAATTTTTTCTAAATGCCAATTTAGCTGACGACCAAGTGGTAGTAGCCCAGGACGAAGAAGTACTTGAATATATGGCAACAAAATTAATCGCCTCTTTCGCCATTCTTTGGAAATAATGTCCGGTTATACTATATATTTTTAAATACATAATGAAGTACTGTTATTGAAAAAAAATTTGATCTACCACTTGCTACCATCTATTATTACAACTTTGTACTATTTCGGAAATTTTCAATGTGTCAAAATTTGACACATCTCGTTTATAGGTTATGTTGTGTTATTTCAATGAAAGTTTTTATTATAAAACTCATCAAATTCATTTTTAATCATAATTGAAGGGGATAAATAATTTTTTTAAATATTTAAAATCGTTTATTCTTGCTGCAAAAAAAAAAATTAGACTGGTTTTGTATCGCCTCGTTCCAAATCCCCCTTTTTTATTATTTAATTTTTTTACGTTCGTCTTCTTTTCGATCTCGTTTCGAACGTTATGATCTCTTTTGAAGAGACCGGTTGAAATAATGACCCGGAGCCCCGGTTAAAACGCGATGATAATCGTCGACCGAATCCTTTTTCTATTTCAAACGACCTACGGTATTCAGAAGAGAATTGAGACCGACTGGGTCAGTGATATCAAAAGAAAACATACATTCGAGAAGCAGCTGTTGCAGAAAAAAAGTTTATACGTTTAGAACTTCCTTTGCAAAAACGACGGAAAAAAGACATCAACATAAGAAGAAAGAAACTAAAACATGCTACAAGATGGGAGAAGGAGGAGGATGCGTTTCCGGAGGACAACAGCAACGAAGAAATTGTCTTTGTAAATAGCTACCGGATTATTTTACGTTTAAATAAGTCGTTTACATGCGGATGATAACGTTCCGGAATGATTTATTGCGGATATCGAATGGTTATTAATAAGATATTTTGCTACTGTATAAAACTTTTTAATGATACAAATTATTATAAATTATTACATTCTACCACTTTGTGTCATTTATTCGTAGGTAAAACCTACAAATAAATGATAATTCTCGATTACAATGGACTTGATTGATGGTAAACTACACGGACAGCAACCTTCGTATCGTGCGTTTTGTTTTGATAAATCGGTTTCAAGCTCGAGATAAAATTGCACCGACGCTCTTACATTGTAACTTATAATACGTGTATCTCGCTTAAGACTTGTTCTGCGCACAAAAGAAAATCATACGCGCAATGTCCAATGATTAATGGTCAGATCTTTATTCGAAATCGTCCTCCGTTTATCAACGATATATCAAAATAAAGTTTTTTTGTTTTTATAATTTATATATATTTTTTTCTTTTAGCTGATTGTTTTGATGCGCGCGTGTTTGAAAATGCAAGCCTCTCGTTAACGTTGTCGGACCCACAGGACGTCATTGTGGCTAAAGGACAGTCGGCAAGCTTTTCTTGTTCCCCAAAAAGCAACCTTGTACCTTCAATCCGCTGGCTTTATAACGGAAACGCAATCGGGAATGATTCTCGATTACAAGTGCACGATAACGGCACCCTTACCATTTCGAAGGTGTCTGGAAAAAAAGTGGGAACTTACCAGTGTTATCTCAAAAACGATTATGGGGCCCTACTTTCCAGTCCTGCAACATTACGTTTAGCCAGTAAATATACAATAATTATTTTTGTTATAAATTGTTTAATATTAAATCTTGGTTATTTTAGTTCTTGGAAAAGAATTTTCCGAACAAATGGAAGACATAACTGTTGAAGAAGGGCAACCTATAGTATTGCCATGTAGAATTCATTCCTTTCCTAAAGCTGATGTGGACTGGTTCCGCAATAATCAACCTCTACCTCAAACAACAAGGTAATGTATAGCTTTAATTCGGTGTTTATTAAAACTTTTTTTCGTTTAAAATTTTATTGGGAGATTACTTTAATAATGATTTGATTTGTGTATGGCAAATGTCAAGGTTAAAATTCAGTTATTTAATATCGTTGCTTTCAACGTTGCCGACAAATCATTAGAATTTTAACAATTTTAATTTCATTTTCAGATATGTTCCTCTCCCATCGGGATCTCTATTAATTACAAATACGCATTCCTCAGATATAAATATTTATAGGTAAAAATGTTTAATTATTAATTTACGTTGTTGAATTTATTAATTTTTCAAAATTAAATTGTTATATTTCGAAGTGGCGACATCTATATTTTTTTTAAATAAATTAATGACCAAAGTGGTCAGAAATCTAATTTAAGTCACCTTAATTTTTAAAAATATGTTTTAAACATTTACTTTTTTCAAATAAACTTAATATCATTCTTAATAGATGGCGCTTGTTACTATCTGTCAAATTAAATCGACAAAACGTAAATTATTTTCAAATTTTCATATAATTTTTCTTTTTATATCTTTAAACTTCTTATAGTTGTAACGTTACCAACCCAATTCTTAAAAACAAACCGAAGGAAAGTAAAAAAGGGGTTCTAAAAGTAATACATCCTCTTAAAAAACAGACTCCCCTCAAAATACTCGATTTAGGGTTAGATCGAAATATAACTGTTCTCGTTGGTGAAGATGTCCGATTATTTTGTGCTGTTTCCGGCTGGCCAGTACCGACAATTAAATGGTTTAAAGGTAATAAATAAATATGTATTCATCTCTTTGCCTAAATTTACTTAATTTATTAGGGAAAAGATTTTTACCGTCAGCGAATGATTCTACAATTGTTTTACTGAAGAATATAACGGCTCAAGAAGCAGGTGTTTACACTTGCACAGCACAGAACGGAATCGACAATGTTGATCAGGTGAATCAGAGATCATATCCTTCTTTTCGATCTTGATGGTTTTCGTGGTTAGCGCGTTTTAACTTTCGCTTAGATTCTAAGCCTTAGAAGGTCCATAATTACGAATGCAAACGGTTGTCGAGGACGAGATGGACGTTGAACCCATTTCTTTGTTGTGAAACCACAACTTTTCAAATATTTGTTTTAAATATGTTGACTTTTTGAATAATTTGAATTCCTTTTTTTATAGATTTATAATGTTGTTGTTCATCAACGACCTTATTTTAACCACACTATGCAATCCAGAACGTATTCAGCTCCGGTTACTATAAGAACTCCTTGTCACGCTTTTGGTATACCAAAACCAAAGATTTATTGGTTAGTGAATGGGACGGAGTTTAATTTTAACATTGAACGAAAATCATTTAATAATTCTCAACTTTCTATATCAAAATCGATATCAACGGACGCAGGTAATAATTTGTAATCGCTTAAAATTATTTAATTACTTATAATTGTATTTTTTTTTAATTTTTAGGGATTTATCAATGTGTTGCTGAAAATTCAGCGGGAAGATCTTGGCTAGCAGTACAATATTATTCAAAAAATCCACCGTTACCGGCACCAATAAATATGCGTTGTCAACCGTATAACGACACAAGTATTTGTATACGATGGGATGTACCCCCAAATATTGAACCAAACGCTTTTACTGTTGACTCATATAATGGAGGTAGTGGTATCTATTATATTTACAATTAAACCAAAAAAAAAGATTAAGATCATAATGAAATTAATTATGTAATTATTTTAGAAATGGGACCGGATTATTTATCAAACGTCACTTATTATTTAGCTGGACGTTTATCACCCAAAACTGAATACTCGTTTATATCTCGGTTGTATAAGATTACTGCAAGTGATAATTCTAACTCAGTCACTTGTTCAACAGGTAATAAATGGATATTGATTCATTAAAAATACTTATTTATATAAATTTAGGTACAATTGGTGAACGTAACCTAAAAATTTCTCGAAACGATTATAACTCGGTTAATCTTACTTGGTCGTCAATAAGTAGTGATTTTCCATGCGATTTAAATTCAGTTCGTTATAGAATACAATGGAGATATTTAGGAGCTAATTACTCATCTGTAAAATATGTTAATTTTAAAAATTCAACGATTATTAAAGGTAATTACTTGGAATTTCATATAACTGGCAATATATGAATGCAGTAACCATAGTTACGAAACTACTAAGCACTTGCACTGTCCCACATAATATGCAACATAGCTTAATAGTACAGGCATTGGGTAGTTTTGCAAAGGGAAAGTTTTATTTGGAGAAAGGTCACGTCCTTTTGATAACACTGAGATAACTTTAAGAAGGCTTATTGATGCTTATAGAACACCAACAACTGATGCGATAGTAATTGAGAAACTTATGGTCCATGAGATGTCATTTTTGACATCATTTAAGTTCCGACTTATTTATACAATTTTCTTTTTGATCAATGACAAAATTATAGTATTAAGTTGATTTTTTAATATTCATAAGATGACAAAGTGATCAAAGGCATTATTAACGACTTTAAATTTAAAGAGAAATTTTTTTGATTATTACCCCCATCTAGCGATAACCACGTGTATTAAATCGTATTTTGACAACTACAAGAAATACAACGGTTTCTTTTTAAAAAAACTTGCAAATAAACGATTATTAGCCGCACGCCTCTAAAGACGGCTAAACCCGAATGATTCTAGTTCTAGGTATAGTGTTAGTTTTACACTTGCACTGTCACTAGAACTAACATTAGACCTACAACTATATATATTCAGACATGTGGCAATTCATGTGGGACAAAGTAAGTAGGTTTCTATGGAAATATGTTTTTGTATATTGCATTTTAGGTGAAATACACTGTATGTATTTGATCAATATAATAGTATATTACGAGCATATAATGAAGGCTATTATTCACTAAAGTTAAGGTTAATTAACCTGAGTGAATAATAGCTCATTATATGTGAGTAGAATACTATACTTTGTTTACGACTACTATCAAAATTTATTTTTTTAAATACATTTTTGAATAAACTTAAACGTCAATGTGACACAAATGCAATGTTACCAACTGTAACCAACTTCACAACAATTTGTCAAAATTAGATGTCAATTTTATGAAACGTCAAATCATTCGAAAAAAGGAATTTCTTTACGTTTTTTTAATGTCAAAGCTTTAGAAAGTCCTAAAAAAAATAATTTATTGATGTTATTTGAAATTTTTACGTTTCAAATAATTATTATTAGTTTGTTTTAGAAAACTCATTTATATGGTATATATTATATCTTATTATAAGGTAGTCGTGGACAAAAATCTTTTGTAATAAGTTAAAACATTATTAATTTATTTTCTTTTTAAGAACTTGATACGGGTAAAACATACGAGTTTAGAATAGCTTCGATTACAACAAAATCAGCCTTTTGCAATTGGGTTAATTTCGCACTTCCGCAAAATCCAAACAATAATGAGAAAACGAAGGAGATAATAAAAGAAGGTGAACGTTATAAACAAAAAGAAAACGATCCGACGATAATTGATTTACACGTAAATCAACAACGTGCCAACAGCGTACAATTAAATTGGACTTGTACAAATAAAAACATCGTTTTCTTCCATATATGTTACTTCGAGGCGTATTCGAATAAAGATTGCGATCAAAACGATGGAATTAAACAGTAAGTTAATAATTAATTATTTAAAATAATTTTATTAATAAAAATGTTGGTTTTAAAGCGATAAAACGGTGTATGATTCCGTAACGATTAAAAATTTAAAATCGAGTACCGTTTATGAGTTTTATGTAAGAGGAATTCACGAAAATGGTACATTCACCGATGGTAAAATCGTGGAATCTTCGACTTTAACGGAAGGACCTGTGATTGTTAACGATTTAAAGTATCGTGTTGTTAATTCGACGACGATTTGCGTTCGATGGCGAGCTCCCTATCATAAAAATGGGAAATACATGAAGTATACAGTCAGATATTCTTCGCAAAATGGAGTTGAAAATTCGGTTAATGTTACAGCATTAGCTAAGAATAATACGGTGATTTTTTAATTAAGTTAAAACTTTGATTTCTAATTTGGTGTGTTTATAGCCTTGTTGGATTGATCCTAGCGGAACTGATCACATTTCGGTTTTACTGTCCCAATTGGACCCTGATGACACTTATAAATTATTTATAGAACCCGAACAAAATTCGAATGTGACGGCACCACATCCAATCTTATTTACCATCAACGAACAACGCACGGGGAAAATAAACAGTCCTAAAACTGGCGTTGGATACGACCAAAAATTAGGTCAATTATTATAATTATTAGAAGTATTGACTAATTAATTATTAATATTATTAGGTATTGCAGTTGGAATGTCGATTTCTTTATGTGCATTCGTTGCGTGCGCAATATGTTTGGTGAGGATGGTGTTAAAAAGGCGAAAAACGCAATCGACAAATCGTAATCGGACAAGATTTTACGTTTGCGAGATGAGATCAACTCAAACTAATCATCATCAATTGGGAGTGAGCAGCGAAATTCAAGAGATGCAAAATTTATTGATTACAGGAAACGGAACCGGACATATTCCTGCAATCCCATCAACGGAACTTGATTCAAAAGTAAATTTGCAATAAATTAATCTCGTTTTTATTAATTAATTTATTTTAGGGCAATTCTGACTTTCCAAATAAACACTTGAACGGAAACGCAAATTTTGGGAATAAAAATCCCGCTTTGGTGAATGTGACAACAAACGGACACATTCACATTTTGGAAAATCCCCAGGTAAGTTTTTAATTTAGCTTTAAATAAAACAAAAGTATTAACTTTTTATTTTACCAAAATTAGTTTGAAGATTCCAATTCGAATCTTTCCGATTCGAATTTACACACGAAAATTTTATCGCATTTCGGCGTTAATCGTAATTCAAAAACGATCAGTATGGAGTCGTTAAATACAACTCAATTGACTTATTTAGACGATTCAGAAATAATGCAGACCTCTTTAAGGAAAGTTTCCTCACCTTTAGGTCCTAATGGTTGATGTTAAAAGAAATCCTTAAAAAAATAATAATAATAACAATTTTTTGTTATCAAAATTGTGAGTTGAGCAGCTACGCTTTTATTGTTTTAACGAAACGATTTAATCGCTTTTGAGTTTACCTCACGTTTTAAGTTTAATCGTTTTTTAAATGTTTAATTTGTTAAAAATTTTTTATTATTAACATACTGCTTCCAAAACGAGAAATATATTAAATCGGAAAAACGTTGCTCAATAGAATCAAGAAAAAAATTAATTAATTTTTAATAAGTACAATAAAAAACATCGATGTAATGGATTAATACAGGGAAGGGAGTCTAGGTTATATGAAAAAATTTAATTAAACCCAAAAGTTTACAGTTCTAGAAGACGCACGGCTAAACCCGAAACTTTCTAATTCTAGGTCTAGTGTTAGTTCTAGTTTTACACTGGCACTGTTACTATGTTGAACTGACACTATACCTAGAACTAGAATTATTCGGGTTTAGCCGTCTTTAGAGACGTGCAGCTAAACCCAAATGGTTCTAGGTATAGTGTTAGTTCTAGTTTTAGTTAAATAAGAATATACAACAATCTAACGCTACCACTAGCAGTAGAACTAACACTTAGACCTAGAACTAGAAATATTTAGGTTTAGCTGTTAAGAGACACACAGCTCCAATAAAAAAATACTTGGGAAATATCCCGAGATGGATTCTATTTATGAACAAATATTGATATTAACAAAAAAAAATTGTCCCTTTTATCCGAAGTCTGTTATATCGAGGTTTTTACTGTATCACTACATAGACTGATGTTGTATTCCTATTTTTTACATGCAATAGAATTAAAAAAGAAACAGTTAGGATTTTTTTACAATTTTTTAAATAAAAAAAAAGAAAGAAAAAGTCGAATTGCTCAAAAAAAAAATAATAATAATAAATAATAATAATTAATAGGAGACGAAAATTAAAGAAATTTGTTACGGGAAGTAGCGATGAAGACTGGAATTAAAAAAAAATGGTTGATTAGAATCAAAATACTCTCCCAAAATAAATTTGGAAATAATTATTATTTAATAAAGATGAAACAATTTTCCGAACGAAGTTATTTTCGTTAATTGTCCCGTAAATTGACTGAAAGAGACTTATAATGTTTAAGATGAAAAAAATTTGGAAACTTCCGAATTGAAAGAAAACGAAACTAAAAATCGTCGTGTTGTGTGTTCCTCGTATGAGATTGCAAGTTTTTCCCTACGTTTATAAATTTTAACAAAAAAAATCATAAAAATATAATCGCATTCATTGTAAAATAATTTCATTATAATGTAACACACAATTTTTTTTCTACTGCTATTTAAATCAAAATAAACGAATTGGATAACATCTTATAATGTAGCTAAAAAATCGCCAACTAATTAAATATTTATGTACTTTTTACAAGAAGTTTATGATTGCTTTTAATAAAGAAACACATCAAGAAAGTTATGAAAGTTCCTTATAGTTGAAAAAATACCTTTTCTTTATGTCTTTCTATGTCTGAGAAAACTATTAAATGAGTATATTATATTCTCCAAAAGTGTTCCTTTTTAAAGAATCATTGCCGGCTGTAGAGTGTTGCCTAATCTTTTTTTGTTGTAATTAAGCCAAGTCGTAGTAAGATATGTTATCCATTGTTGCCCAATAAACTGTTGAAGAGTTTCTTGGTGTGTCTTATTTAATATTCAATCAGTTTGTAACGCCTCGGCCGCAAGCGACCTCGCTTAAATAAAATAAAATCCTTCAACATTGGCTTTCTAATTGCAACATCAGTTGAAGTTCCAATTGGTTCTTTTGACGCCTGGCAAATGTACCTATCTTGTCTAATCGTTGAAAACATAAAAACTTTGAAGAAATTTTTTAAATTTGAGCTAAAAATGAGAGAACTATGTGAGTCGATATTTTTAGCTACATAAATTCTATATTTCTAAAGATAAAAAAAATTGTGTGTTAAAAAGAATTATCATAAAAATAGTACGGTATTTTCCACTGTACATTTTAGGTACCTGAGTGAATGAATGAAGAAAAAGAATTTTTTTATCATAATTGTATAAGATGTAAAAAAAGTTTTCGTTTTAATTTCGAAACGAATATAATAATAATCGATTTGATGAATTAATTTAATTAATTAAGTGTATGAACGAGTCTTTTTAAGTATTTTTTATTTGAATAAGTGTTTTATTATTTTCCCTTTTTCTCTGTAAGATGTTGATTGTTTTAATTTAATTTATAACGTTACCGATAACTTATTGCTATTATTACTTTTTATTATCTTTTTTTTTTACCGATACAATCCAAAGATTAGTTTCTTTAATAATTAATTAATTCCTTTTTTTTAATCATCAAGCTATACATTTAATTTCAACATTTTTCTTTTAACTGTATTATTATTATTTTAATTTTCTTCTTTTAGTTACCAAAGGACTATTTTTTCTTTTAATTTTAATCAACTTTTCTTAATTTTTTTTTAACATTAAAAGTTGTATATATTTAAAAAGGTATTCATAGCGTATAAGATTAGGGATAAAATCACAAAAAAAAAGTATTTTATTTTTTTTTTAATATTATTAATAATTATTAAATATTATTATTGGAAATATTATCTGGAAGCAATACAAAATATTAAGAGTGAAGTGTTCCTTTTATAAAGGAAAGCTTTGTTTAAAAAAGATACTGTAGTACCTCAGTTAAACATTCCTATAGATTTTTTTTAAATAAAAATAGCAACAATATAGAAATAGAAGTAATCCGTTGATCTTAATTCTTGACACAGAACACGAAATGAATGAAAATTTTAATTAAAAAGTTACATTCCATTAAAGAAATTAATAATAGAATAAATAATATTTTCCGTAATATATTTTTTTATAAAAGTAGATCTTTTTTATGTCAAAACAAGTAACGAGTTCAAAAGATCCGCTTAAAAAAATAAATAAGGGAGACATCAACGTATATACCTGCGATTAGTGCAATAAAATCGTTAAAAAACACTTTTGATATTCAAAAAAGTTTATTTTAGCACAAATCTACATTTTTGAATAATGAAATAATCGATGACATTTTATAAATTGTTAAAAATAGAAAAATAGCACCTCCTTTTCTTTGTTAAATGTAAATATACAACGAACGAAATACATTATTTTGCAATAGTGCTTCTGCTCAGGGAGATAAATAACAATTTTTTTTGAGCATCCACAAAAACAAAACAAAAAATAACTTATTTGTTCTGCTTAAGAAAACTTAATACAAAAAACATAAATTTATATGTAATAATTAAAATTAAAAAGGAAAATACTTACCCCATTAAAGTAAAATAAATACAGTGAAATTCCCCTAAGTCGAATCGCCAAGGGAGCGGAAGAAAACTTTGAAACAACCGAACGTCTCTCTAAAGACGGATAATCCCGAATGTTTTTAGTTCTAGGTTTAGTGTTTAATTTAGCGCTGAATAATAATTAAAGCTAGGTCTAGTGTTAGTTTTACACTAGCGCTGTTACTATGTAGACCTAACACTGTACCTAGAACTAGAATCATTCGGGTTTAGCCGTCTTTAGAGACGTTTGTGGCTAAACCCCGTGGCTACACTTGCACTGTCACTAGTACTAACATTATACCTAGAAAGATTTGGGTTTAGCCGTACATCTCTCAAGATGGCTAAACCCGAAGATGGCTAAAACACAAAAAACTAACTAATTAAACACATCAATTATCTCCTTAATTGATCAATTTTAGCCATCAACGTCTCGATAGAAAGTATGGTCCACAATAAAAAAAAATGTTTTATATCTCAAACGAAAGCTTGCACCTGCCTGAATAATTATGTCGTAATGCCCATTCGAAGAATTTTGATTAAAACACAAAAACTACTTAATTATCTCCTAATAAAATTCAAAACGACTCACCGATTGGATGTTGTTTCCTTTGGATTTTACTTCGAAGCTCAGCTGGAAAGCAAAGATAAATAATTTATTGTAACAAAAAAAATGAATTAATACGATACCTTCTAACATCCATAAAATAGCAATCCGATGAAAATATCTCAACATCACTAATATCACCTAACACTTAGCATAAATATTGCACGTATTTATCACTGAATTCAAGTAATAAGTTTTATTTTTCTAAACCACTTTATCACCCTTAAATGCCCGCACATCAACTAAAATGCGTTATTAGCGAATCAACTTCCAAATATCCCCTCCTTAATTTATTGTGTGAAGAAGGAATACTGGAGGTGAATAAACAAAAAATGTTAAGATGACGGGGCGAAGCGGTTTTAAAACGTTTTTTTGGTTTTAAAACTCAAAATGAAAAAATTACTGGTTTTCTCGAAACATTTCAAATAAAACTTATGTCATTTTACTAAAATAAAACGCACTAATTGAATTTCAATGTTTAACACTTCCTAAAAAAGAATCAGGTGCCCAACAAATAATTAAAACGAAGCAGCCAAGACGTTGGATTATGCTTCATCCCTTATTTTTGTGTCATGAAATATAATTTTAAAAAAATCGTATCTCAAGAACGAATTGAGATATCATAATTAAATAAAAAACCGTTTAAAGTATCTTATTAACTGTTTAAAGTTATCTTTCGTAAACTTCGTCGTTATGATTTATAAATCCAAACTAACACTACACGATCTAACTTTCTAGTTCTAGGTCTAATGTTAGCAGTAATTTTAGTTGAATGAAAAATATACAACAATCTAACTCTGAATAACAACTAAAACCAACACTAACGTTAGAACCCGAACGTTTCTAGTTCTAGATCTAGTATTTTAGAGAATAATTCGAAATATAAATGTTCGAATTAGGGGAATTTGACTGTAATTACTTTTTTGGCCAATCTACCTCAACAAAATAAATACACACTATAACACTACATTAAAAATATATCGCGTCTCTTTTTTTATATACAAGGTGTAACAAAAGTGAAATAAATTAACTTTAATCAACTTTTTTTACACCCATATTATTTAATTTTTGTTGTCTCAGGGCACGAAAACCTGTTAAAATAAAATAAATCTGATTCATAAAAGTATTCCGATCCGTTTCAATATTTATTCTTTCACGAATATTTTATGAATCATTTTGTTTTGTGAAACTTTGTAAATAATTTTTCGCTTTTTGTTATAAGCTAAGTTTTCTTTTTATATCGCGTCGTTTCTAAAATAAAAATTAATAACAAGTTAATGAGGCTATTAAACGCTCTTTTGTCACACCCCAAATATTTAAACAAACATCTCGAAATTAGTTTTAGTTATTGAATGAATCGAAATCACGAAACTACTTAATAAATAAACTAAGTGTGTGATATGATTTTTAAACGGATTCATTTACTTTTATTATTCCGGGTTATATAAATAAACGCAATTTAACTTTCGCGATTTCGATCATCAAAATAAAATTTAAAAACAACATTTCGGTCTCTGTATTAGTACATAAACATTTGTTATTAATGTTAATACTGAAAAAATAGTATATTGTACAATATATTATAACATTTACTGATGAAGAAAAATGAATATGATGACACAAGACGTGCAAATGAGCTGATTAATATATTTTTGTACGATATTGAATGAATGCGATATAATTGTAATTTAAAAATAAATATTTCCCAAACTATTTTTTATTTCTTTTAATTAAATCCAATATTATATTACTAAAACCTTAATCCTTTGTTATGCTGATGACGCGGTCCTTTTTGCGGAAAACAATCGTCTATTGCTGCTCAAAAAGTTAATGCATGACAACAGCGAAAGAGCCACTTCGATGTAAGCTAGAACATAGTAGAGCACTTGAAAGTTGAACTATCAAGTTATGGTAATATTGAAGAGGAAGCACCTATGCCAACAAGTCAGGAAAATCGCAGGCTGCTTAAACGACACTTATTAAAGCTTATTAAAAAACAACTTTATACATTTTTTCGAATTACTCTGTTTTTCTTAAATAAATCGCCCCAATTCTTCAAAATCCATAAAAGTTAAAAAGTGAGGTTATATTACCTGTCAAAACTTTCCTAATTAATTTGGTCATTAAAAACACTTCATTGAATTTTAAATCACTACAAATAACTACTTCGAGTATTTAAACAAACACTTTGATTGTTTTTCGATTCAATTAAACTTTTATCTTCGAAAAATTTTGAAAGAATCTTAAGATATGAAGAAAATTGTAAAATGTCAAAAATACGATTAATGTGTTTAATGACCACTAGATGGCGTAAGTAAATATTTAAAAAAGAATTTAATTTTAAATTTAATTTCGAAATAAAAATCTGTAAATTATATCTTAATATTATTACTATTATACTAATTACTATACTCTGTTTTTAAACCAGGAGGAGTATTTTAAATTTGTCACCAGATTGACCTTGCACGTGATTGATTGAATGCGAGGAAGGTTCACACACAGGCAATTGTGAATTTGAATTTTGAATTTGAAGGTTAGGTTATTGACAATTCGACAGTTTCGTGTCATTATTGTATATTTTGTGTTCTTAAACCCTTCTTTATTATATTTTGAAATAAATACACTCATAACTTCAATGTTAATTTGTATGTATAGTGTTGACGATAACAAACGAAAATAAATACAATAATAAGTAAATAAATAAATAATAATTATTAATTTAAATTTACCGCCAAAATATCTAGTGATATTTTCTGGTGATTTTTCCTAGTGTAAATCTGACTTTCGCGTTTACTCCTCCTGGTTTAAAAACAGAGATAACATTGTATTTATTATTAATTTTGAATTAAAAAAAATCAATCTTTCAAATTTTAATTTATAGGTTATACAACCGTCATTTTGACGAATGCTTTAAAAAAATTTCGAAAAATCCATCGATATCACATCATTCAAATTATTTAAGCTCATAAATTTAAGTTATTTAACCACGAAATATTACGAATCATCAAGAATTTATATTATCTTTTTTATCACTCATTTATTAGATTATGTCGCAAGAAAACCCCCGATGATGCACCATTTATTTCTACATGGAATAGGTTAAATTTCTGCTTTATTTTTATTCATTCACGGCCTTCAGGAAGTTTTTATAACCGTGGTTAACTCCTTAACCTTCATTCGTCCCCGCTAAAAGAAAAAAACCGCAAATTGCGTTTCAAAACATTATTAAATCGTCAACGTTCCGATCTATTTGTTGTAAGTTTCAAACCAAACAAGAAAAACAAATTGATTAAAAGTATATGATTAGTTATATCAAGTCCACAAGTTCATCAAGTTCAATGTTCGTTTAAAACGGTGGTAACTGTGTTAAGTGCATTTCTAAATAAAAAGATGAGGGTTTTTATTTTTATTCTTGTAATTATTCCCGGGATTATAGCAATAGGTATGAAGCAATTAATTGATTAATTTGTTTTTAATTCGTTTCTATTTAGAACCTTATAATAAAATCGCCAACTATCTTAAGGAATATATTAAAAATGGTGTTCATCAAGAAGGTTTAACACAAGCAGTCAATGAACTAAAACATTTAAACAACGCAACATTTAGAAGCGAACAAATTTGCAATACTTGCAGATATGTTATTGATGGTGTTATTAAATTTCAACGATCCGGAGTTTCCAAAGAAGACATGCTTAAACTTATTAAATATTTATGTAACACTTTTAGCGATCATGGACCATTAATGTGTAATTCTATGGCCGATATGGAAATTGTTAGATAAAATAACTAATTAATTAATTAATACATTAATTAATTCGTTTTTTAGGACGCTATGTTGTTTATGATTAATAACCGAAAAAATTTAACAGCTGATCGAGTTTGTTCAATCTACCTACAAAATCATCTTTGTGTAGATCCTGATGAATATGATTGGGTTATTGATTTACCGACAGAACCTAACAAAAAGGATTCGGTTAATATAAACGATAAAAAACCGTTTAAAATACTTCATTTAACGGATATTCACGTTGACCCTGATTACAAACCCGGAAGTGATGCGGATTGTGGAAAACCTTTGTGCTGTCAAAGTGGAGTTGGAAATAATTCCGAAACAACAGCTGGGTTTTGGGGTGATTATCACGTTTGTGATATGCCCTGGCATTCAGTTAGCGATTTATTACAACATGTTACAACTCAACATGTAAGAAAAAGTTTCTTAATTATTTTCAAGGCTGGTAGATTCTAAAAAGGATTACTAAAATGTTTTTTGTTTTATAGAGCGATGTAAAATATGTTTATTTCACTGGTGATATCATCGCTCACACTTGGAAAACTACCAAAGAATCTAATACAAAAGTAATTCAACAATTAAGTCGAGAATTTAAAAAATATTTTAAATCAACAAAAGTATTTCCGATCTTAGGAAATCACGAAGCTCATCCATGTGATTAGTAAATATATAAAATTATTTATACATAATTAACTAAATAAAATCAATTTATTTTTAGCTATGCACCTTTAAACGTTTCCCTTGAATCTGTTTCAACACAATGGCTTTTCGACATGGTTTCATCAGAATGGTCGGAATGGTTACCTGAAAGCGCACAAGAAACCCTCAAAATCGGGGGTTATTACACGGTTTTAGTCGAACCAGGTTTTCGAATAATCGCGTTAAACAGTAACGTTTGTTACATTTATAACCTGTAAGTAAAACGAATCTTTATAAATTAGTAATAATTTGATTATTAATTTTAGTTGGTTAGTGCATAATGATTACGATCAATATTCCCAATTAAAATGGTTGGTTGAAACGTTAACCGAAGCCGAAAAAAAAGGGGAATTCGTTCATATTTTAAGTCACATTCCACCGGGGGGAATAGAATGTTGGAAAATTTGGTTAAAAAATTTTAATCGAATAATAAGGAGGTAAAAAATATGTTAATAACATAAAAATTTTATCCAAACCCAAATTTTTTAGATTTTCAAAAAATGTTCGCGCTCAATTTAACGGGCATACTCATTTAGATGAAATTCGAATCTTTTTGGACGAAACTAAATCACAAGCGGTTAATGTCGCTTATAATGGAGGAAGTTTTACTACTTTTATAGGAAATAACCCCAATTATCGTGTTTATGATATCTCTCCAGAAAATGTAACCACATCAAAACTAAATAGAACTAAAATTAATTAGTTATTTAATTTTTTTTTAGGACGTTATTGATTATCAAGAATACATTTACAATTTAACTGAAGCTAATAGAAACCCTAATTCTCCACCAAATTGGTTTAAGTTGTACTCATTTAAAGAAGCTTACGGATTAAAATCAACAAACTTATCGGATCTTTACGATTTAACATTACGTATGAAAAAAGATCCCGAAAAATTATTATTAAAGCAATACTATAAATTTTATACTCGCGAAAGTGATGTAAAAATGACAGAACCGTGCAACTCAAAGTGTCTCGATAATCTTATGTGTAGCATTACAGGAGTCGATTTTAAGGATTCTGTGAAATGTCAGTAAAAAGAATCAACTTTTTAAATAATAAGAAATAAAGATTTTTTAAGTATGTACATATTTATTATTTATAAACCTATTTTTTTTTAAGGAACTAACTTATGGTATAAATAAAATTATTTCTTTTTGGTAGTTTATTTGTGAAGCAACTCCCAAGAAATCGGTTTTTGTGAAAACAATTCCTCTTTGGAAATGTTATCAAGCATTCGAAGCTGGAAATGGATTAAAAAAATTATTAATTTCCAATTCATAACCTCAACCAATTAAACATTCATAACCTCAAGCACAGACAAACACTTTTCTAAGCAATTCGAGTGAGCCGATATAATGTTGAGATAGTAAAAATGCACTAATATTCTCAATTTCAGAATAGTTTCATATTTATGAGTTAATTATCGAAAAAAAGACTCATTTCTAGAAATTTTGATGAAAAATTAAAAAAATTTACAGTTACCTATAAATATTAATTTATGAAAACGCCGATAGATGGCACTAACATTATTAAATATCAAATAATATAATTAAAAAAATTAACTTACATGCTTCCTAATATATTTAATCAACAATTCTAAATTCTCGGGATCAACCTCATTCCTTTGATACATTCTTCTCCAAATAGCTCCAGCTAAAACGCAATCATCTGATTGTAACCCTTCGTCATAAGCGATTAAAGCCGCTTGAAATTGTTCGGATAACTCCTTAACTTGGGCACGGGTAGCAGAGGGATTAACGGCTCCGATTTTTTTAACTCTTTGTCCCACGTCCGCCCACATTGCTTCAACTATATGATTGCGTACGAAACGGCCATTATCACCTTCGGCCATGCACCGCACCATTAACATCCAAACATGGAGTTCCGTGATTACAAACCATGAATAAAATGTGTCTGGGAGATTAAATTCTTCAAAGAAATCGACGTAAACAATTTTATCTGCGATTGATTCGTATAATAAATAACCTAGAACGCTTAATCTCTAAAAAAAAGTATTTTAGAAATGTAAATTGTAATAATTTCTGTTTATACCGATTTTTCTACGCTAATAAATGGAACTTTATTTAAAATTTTTTGGATTAAAGAGAGTGGTGTAGTTTTCTCCGATTTATCTCCGGTAACATCGGTGATGTGTGTTGAATATAAATTTATTAAAGGAGGATAAAAACGTTTTAAAGGCTTTGATTCGATTAATAATGGTTTAAATGACGAAAACTGTTTTTGCGTATTTATAACATGATTTATCAATCGTTTAGGATTCGCCTAAAAATAACCTGAAATTATTTTATTATAAATTACTTTATTAAAACTTACTTTTAAACAACAAGTCACTCTATTTAAACTCATCTTTCTTAATATAATTTATATTGTAAAATTAATTATTACACAACCTTTATTTTTTCATGCTTAAAGAAATATTTTTGAGGTTATGCTATAATATAAACGTCAACGCCATCTATACGTGATAATTAAAAACAATTGACACCCACAGAAAATGGTCATAGTTGAATATTTAGGTAAGATTTTTTTACGAAAATATCGAAAGTGATGTTGTTTGAATCGAATTTTGTTTAACGTTACGGTTCTTTAATCATATTAGATTGGATTGGTAATGGAAACTAGTCGATTCCGATTGTTTAAAATTAGCAAATTGAGGGAGAGACTTGTACTATTACTGACATTACATATAGGAGAATACCAATAATTATTTTTAATTTTATTTCGTTAAGTTTAGAGTTTTATTGAGAATTTGTTTTGTGTGTTGATAGATAGATAAGTAATCTTCACGTTATTAATATACCAAAACTTGAAAAGATTTTTTTGTGGGCAATTTCAATAGTTTTTTAGTGAATGTCAAGTTCTTAAATAACAACAATTTGGGGCTTTGGGGATGATGTAATTAGTTTATTTCGGTTGGGTTTGGTTTAAATAAATTTAAAAAAGCTTGTTTTAGTTTCAAAAAAGTTTAATTTTACTAATAAGAGATTTTTTAAATATTACTGGTTATCAATTAAAACTGGTCTTAATTGTTAATGTTTACATGTAACATCTAAACAAATCTTTACACCTACTATTAATGTAATCAATACGGGAGTTTAATAAGATTAACAAAAAATAAATATATTTTTGGAACAACATATAAAAAAAGTTAGGTTAAATTTTATTAGTGTCTATTGATAACGAAAATTAATCGATGTGTTTATTTTATTATATGGAAAAAAAATTACTTATTTTTATTTAAAAGTAATTATTTCGTATTTAGATATCGCCAAAATACCTTTGTTAAAAACCGTTTTTATTTCAGTGTCAAACTTTATTTGCATCAACAATTAAAAAATGTCTTCACGAGCGTTTGGTCGAGGACGTTGTAAAAAGCGCGTTTCAACAACATTGGGAAAAGCTCCCTCATTAAATAACCGTGATTCCGAAACAGATTTATCAACCATAAGGAAACCAATAAATACAAGTATTTTTGGTTTGCGACAAGTTCTTTCTTTATTTGAAACTGCAACCGAAGAAGTTAAACGTTACATAGCTTATGAATGTGATATAATTTATGAATGTCGAACGTGTCGATCATTATTTAGAAGCTTAGCAAATTTTATACTTCACAAAAGAAGTTATTGTCAAGAAACTTTCGAGGCGGTTTATCAAAGTAAAGATGCCGAAGATGTTGAAGGTGTCTATGAAATCAATGATGGAAGTGATGAAAAAGCACCCAAAAAGAAAATATCTGACGTTTTAAAAAAGTTAAATGAGATTCATGAGAATTTAAAAAGCTCCGAGGAGATAACCCTAAACGAATTAACCGAAGATAAAGAGATAAACGATGAGACAATCTCAAACAATAACAAAAAAATATGTTTAGAAAAAATTGAAAATTCAACAGCTGGTGTTTTTCAAACGATATCAAATGAAACTATCGGAAATGAATTAATTAAATCACAGGTTAAATTAGATAACTTAAAAAAATATGTTATTTTAATATTTTATTTGTTGTTATTAGGTAATGGAAATTCATTCGATGCTAAACACGAACGAAGCGATTCTCCAACCCGATGGGAAAGCATTTAAATTTCAAAAATCTAACTTGGCATCAAAACACAAACTTCTTTGTTCTATTTGTAATGCAACATTTTCAACCAAAAAAACTCTACGTTATCACGTTAAATATAAACACAACGATACCAAATTGGTTTTTTCGTGCCCTGAATGCAAGGAAACATTTGCAAATGCTTGGGGTGTTTTTCGACATCTTTATAAAATACATCGGAAAACAACAGCGCAAATACGAAAGTTGCGAGATCAAATACATTCAAATCCTATAGTTAAACCTCAAGGAAATGATTCAAAAGAAAAAGATAAAGAATCTTCCGTGGCTAATTCGGATAATCAGGTAAAAAAATTATTTTTTTAATTTTAATTATTTATCATAACCTCACAAAAAATTTTATTCTGTCAAATTATAAAATTTTACTTTTTTAAAATCTTATTAATTAAAATTTTTATTTATATAGTGGTTAGAAAACCTGGAAGGAGATTCAGATATTCAAATATGTGGTGGTTGTGGAAAACGGTTTGAGAGAAAAGCAGCCCTTCATTCCCATTCACAAATTTGTTTAAAACGAATAGCTGTTGTTAGCTCATCTAAAAAATCACCCGAAGAAAAAACGATGAAAAAATTTCAAACCGTAATCAAAGGTTCGAAAAAACGTAAACAGAAAATTTCCGTAAAATTCATTAAAGATCAACAACCAAACGGTACAACCAAAGATGCTACTAACGATGTACCAATAATAGATTTAAATAGCGACGATGATGAAATCAACGTTTTTTTTGCCGACGATCTTGAAATGGAAAATTTAGAAAAAGAAATTATAAACGAAGAGAATGAAAATGCTAAAGTCGAAGATGTTTTAAAAGAAAAAGATCAAGACGAAGAAGAAACCGTTCAAAATCAAACGAGTGAAAATGATTATGAACATCTTGAGATTGATTTAATTATAAATGGAGTTAATTTAAATCAACCGGAAGTAATTGTCGATTTAACTGAAGATATCGATGAAAACAATGAAAATAACCTAAAAAATACATCAAATGCCTCTGCTTCCACATCAACAACATCACCATTGATCGCCGATACATCTTCAGAAAACGATGTTAATTCCAATACTAATTCTAACATTAAAGCACTGCAAAAAGTGCCTGGAAAAAAAAGAAAACGCCCATTGGAAACTTCATTAAAAGCAAAAAGTGATCAATATGTTAACTGGGATCTTTTAAAATGTACTCCATGTACAGCAACTTTTACGACAAACGATTCGTTATTAGAACACATGGCAATGCATTTTAATTGGTTTCGATTTCAGTGTAAAATGTGTACATTTGTCTCTTATAATAGCAAGGCTTGTTCAAATCATCTTCAATCTGAGCATAAACTCGATCCTGATGATATAGAATCTTGTGTAATTCCTATGAGTAACACGAAAGCGATTAAATTATCTTCAGATTTTAAAGCGTTTAGTTCTGAAATGGTTCAAACTGGTGAAAAGAGCCCGGAAGTTGATAAAGTGGATAAAGGTGATCCAGACGTGCGTAAAATGATTATGGAGGTGATTTTTGGTTCAGAACAGACATCCTTGGGCGTTCATAAGAGTCAATTGAGAAGTAGGAACAATTGTGCGAAAAATTTGGATAAGGATTTTGTTTACGATATGACACTGGTTGATACTCAAATAAGAAAACAAGCTGCTATGGAGAATAAAGTTAAACCAATTAAGATTATTAAGAATAATGAAAGTGATTTTAAAGTGATTAACGTGTCAACTTCACAACAAAAAAAGAAGAAATGATTTTCTTTGTTATTTATTATTGAGTTCAGTTTTCTTTGCAATATTTTTTAAATAGAATGTAATAATTTTTTTGATCTAAAATATATTTTCTATTAAAAATATATGAAAGAAGGGTTAATTTTTTAATAATTTTATTTTTTTATAAAAAGAAAAAAACAAAGAATTTACAAATATGACTATTGATCAATACTTTTTATGCTACAAATTAATAACAAACAACTTTATTGGTGTACTTGTTCTGATATAGATTGTGTTGATATAAAAAAGAACACGGCAAAAAACATTCAAAAGAAAATAATAAGAAAATACAGTTTTGTACAATAACAAGGGAAAAAGTGTGTAGAACTTTTACTATTTGTTCTATATAAACATTGCATTCAATCTTTCTTTTAATTAAGATTTTAAAAATAAAACCGTTTGGTGATAATAGTGAACCAATAAATTAAAAAAATTTGATTTCAACTCGATAATTTATATAACAATTATAACATTTATACAAATCAATCCAGTCTCTGTGCATTATTTCAAAGTTGTCATATTAATATTCGAAATATTTCGCTGCCTTAATAACTAATTTTATTTAGAATTAAAAATCAAGGCGATTATCAAAAATTCTTTTCTTGTCAATAATCATCTTCGAACAGACGGAGAAGTTAATTAATTAGTACGAATACTATCACAAAATTAACTAAATAAAAAGGCGAAAAATTAATAAATAAAATTAATAATTACATTTGTCAAGATCTCTAATAAAAAAATTGTTAAATCAAAACACACATTCAAGAAAAAAGGAACAAAACTGTTCTTTCGATCCGATCTTCCGCGTTAAAAAATTTTTCTTTTTAAATGTGCTATATTCCTAATTCTCTTGTTAAATCGTGATCATTCGGAGGGTAACAATAACGATCGGAAAATGGGGCCCAACGCACACACGATTCCGAAAAACAGTAATAAAAATATATATATATATCTAATAAATATTATGTACTTCTATGCGTATTTACACACTATTAGCCTATTGGTACATAAATAAACTATGTACAAGAATAAATAACTTAAAAAAATGATCCAGCTGCTTTTCGTTGTTAACACTGCATTTATGGCAAAATTTCTAAAAAAAAATTAATATAATTAATCAAACACAATTAAATACACAAATTTCACTTAAAATGCAAAATACCAAAAAATATTTCCATAGAAACCACTTACTTCGTCCTAAATAAAATATAACATGTCTGAATGTTTCTAGTTGTAGGTCTAATGTTAGTTCTAGTGACAGTGGTAGGTAGAGATAATAATAAGATATCACTATGTTGCATATTTTTATTGAACTAAAACTAGAACTAACACAAGACTTAAAACTAGAATCATTCGGGTTTAGCCATCTTGAGAGATGTGAGGCTAAATCCAAACGTTTCTAATTCTTGGTCTAGTGTTAAGCTATGTTGCATTTTATGCGGAACAGTGCAAGAAATGCATAGTTACTGCATTCAGATATTGCGAATTATATGAAATTCCCGGTATACTCACCAGCGTTAAGAACTAGCAAAAAACTCCTGTAACTGCTTAACGGTGGATTTTTCCAACAGGCACAGATCAAAATCAAACGTATTTTGAGACACTTCATATCTTCCAGTTTGCGCAATCAATTGCACAACCCTTTGAAGTTCACTATTATCCCTTAAATTAACAATTTTTGTTTGTAAATCTTTTAAAACCTCCATATATTCCTCGGGATTTTCTTGATTTTCTTTATCAAGATCGCTTTGAGGTCGCGACGGGCTTTGTTCGGAATCCGAAGGTTCCGGACGAGAATCTTCGGGTTTTAATTCTTTTTCCGGCGGCTCTTCCGCCGGTTGTTCACGATCTAATTTCCGTTTCCTCCTTTTTTCTTCTTTATCGGCTTTCTTATCTTTACTTTTCTTCGATTTTTCCTTTTTCGACGATTTCTCGCCGATCTCTAATTTAGTTTTTTTCGACGTCGGTTCGAAAAGTGACACTTCCCTTTGGGACTCTGTAAACGAATCTTCTTTACTACTTAAAGAACTGTTCGAATGTTCTTCTGAAAATAATGAATGAGAAGATGTTTTTTGTTTCTTTTGATTTTCATCGATATTCTTTGCTGATGCGAATAAACTTTCTTTGATTTCATCTTTTAATTCAATTTTGGGCGGTTGTTGTTCTTCTTTTCTTATCACAGGTTTTTCCTTTTCTTTTGATCTTTCTCTTTTTTTGTCTCTATCTTTATCTTTTTTTTCTTTATCTTTCTTTTTGTGTTTATGTTTTTCTTTTTCTAGTTTTTTCTCGATTATTCTATCTGGCGTTATTGATTTAGATTTTTCTTTTTGTTCTTTTTCTTCTTTATCTTTATCCTTTTTTTCTTTTCTTTCCAGTTTTTTGCTACCATTTCCAGGACTTTCCCTATTTTTTTCTTTACTTTTGTGTGAATGATCCATTTGTGGCTTTTGCGAACCATCCCTTTCCCGACTTCTATTTTCTTTATGTTCTTTATCTCTTTTCTCTTTCTTTCCTCTCTTATCATTTTTCTCATCAGACTTGTCTTTTCTCTCTCTTTCTTTTCCTGATTCTCTTTTCTCCTCTTTTTCTTTATATCTAATTGGTGCTGGAGGACTCGGTGGCCTTTTCGGACTTGATGGTCTCGGAGACCTCTTCAATTTCTCTTTACTGTGAGCCCTATCTCTATTTTTATCTTTATTTTTTTTCTCTTCTCGTTCTTTTCGTCTATCAGAATCCATTTTATCAGATTTTCGTTTATCAACATCTTTCTCACGATCTTTTTCTCTATCTTTATTAGGACTAAGTTTACTTTTATCTTTATTTTTATCCCTGCTGTCTTTCTCCAGTTTACTATTTGATGAGTTCATACTCGATACAGTTTTATTCATCGACGAATCTTTTGAAATTGTGCTTTTTGGATCTGAAAAAACTTTATTTGTTTTTGTGATTGGCGTCCCAAAGAGATCTTGAAAACTATTCGAAGATCTTTGATCCATATCCATTCGATTTCGATGCTTTTTCATTGCCATATCTGCGCCGCTTAATTTTGGCTTATTCACTAACTCATTTTTTGATTCTAATGAATTTCTCGAGTCTAACGAGTCATAAGTGCTGTTTGAATTAACTACCTAAAACATTAAACATCATTTTTATTTTTTAATTAAGAATATTTTAGTTAATTCAAACATAACCTTAATTTTTTTTTTTACAAATATTAGAATTTATTTTAATCAAAGTGTTTCTATATACTTACCACTCCTCCCCCTTTAATCAAACAACTTTTTAATTCATCCACAGGATTTCTAAACACATAAATTTCTTTTTGTAAGTTACGTACAGCTGGTCCAGAAGTTTGTAAAGTCAAATCGTACTGAAACTTAACCCTTTTTTGATCATGTTTGATATAAATTTCAATAGGCAAAACAAATCCAGCATATCCACTTTCTTTAACCACATAAGGTGGTTGTTTAATAACTAAATAAACAAACAAAGTTTAGATTGCTAAATATCATATTTGCACTTTAATGTGCAAACTTTAATTTCTATAAATCAAACCTCTTTTTGGATTGGGAAATGTTTCGTGTAAATGAAAAACGACTTTCTCAACAAAGTAGGGAAGCTGAGTCCCGTCACAGCCTCGTACATAAACTTCCCAGTCGTGTGTAAACCCTTCGACTGTCTTTTTTGTGCGTATGGAAGCCTCGTGGCCTATTTCGAAGCTTACTCGCACGGACATGACTTAAACATTACTGGTGCAACAACCGTGCGTCCGTAATTAAAGCCGTAGGGATCCTAGAACACAATATAAATGAAAATAAGCGCCAAGAGGATGGTTTAACCTACATTTTCTGGGTATGCGGATGTTCTATACGATCGTATTGGTATCTAACGAGTTCTCGTTTGATTTACAATGATGATTACAACCAAATTTTCAATTCGATGGGGCCACTTTTGATGAGGTTATTAATTTTTTTAATCGCTAAAAATTATAAACAGACACACTAGGAGACATAGCTCAGTCGGTAACAAGTTTGACAGTTTTTTTTTTATGTATAGAGAACTAACTTATCATCACATATTTATTTTTATTTAATAATAACATTATTTTTAGTTCATTATATTCCAAATATTTTAAGTTAATATTGTTTCATAAAATTTGTTATATCAGATTTAAATTTAACCCCTAGATAGCAACATCAAAAATTAAATCTAACTAATAACCTAACCCCAATACTCTATAAACATTACAAATACTCATAAATACAAAAAGTAACAAGGACTTTTTTAATTACAACTTTAATGTGAACTTTTTGATAACAAAAACTTTTTGATTACGATTGGTAGTACTGACATAACTAACAGTTGTCAAAATAATTTTTGACGTATTGTTTCATGGAAACTTGTTAAATTAATAGTGATTAAAAACGTATAAACAAATTGTTTAACACTAAAATTGAAATAGAAATGGTTTGCGTTCCATGCTTTATCATTCCAGTTTTATTGTTTATTTTCCACAAGTTCCTACAACCAATTTTGCTGAAATATTGGAATCCTTGGGGTACAAAAGATGAAAAAGTGATCAACGAGAAAGTTGAGAAGATGTTGTGCAAAGACGGAACATGTTTTATGAAAAAGGAAGTTGAGTCAGATGCCAATACTGCTAATGAAACTAAATTGAAGAGTAGTTGATTGTTTATAATGTATTATTAAATAAAAATAAAGATTATTTAACAAGAAAATACAAAATATTTATTAATATAAAATAAGGCATAATCAACAAAGTTAAAAAATAAATTTGTGATGTCAAAACAAATTTATTGATATTTACAATAACAAAAAAAATTCCAAATACCATAAATAATTTTTATTCTTCCAAAAGATCCACTTGTAATACACACATTAACCATTTCTCATATTTATCAGCTAAATACCTTTGTACTGGATCGTATTTAAGTGATTGTGAGGTTTTTATCAACTCAGTTTCGTCTTTAACGATTTTATTAAAGCACATTATACTTTCGGCATCCCTAAATTCAGGTTTAAACAGTTTAAAATTGATTATAATATTATCCATACATAATAGTTCATTCAAATCCCTCGATATCAAACATTCCGATTTGCTCAGATTCGTATCATTAATTCGTAAACGATTTTTACTTTTAAAATTAAATATTTCATCAAATAAAGTTTTTATAATGAATCGTCTGTGATACCAAATCGATTCATGGCCCGGATAAGATTTATTCAGCTCTTTAACCGTATGGAATAATTCATAAATTAATAAGCTGAATAAACATTTGAAATCTTCAAAGTTATTTTTTTTATTATTAATGAATAAAGAGTTTAAATCGTTATTTAATTTAAGATGATCAACAGTAAATTGTTCATATGTAACAAAAAAATTATTCATTTTTTCGCGATTTTTAATCAAAAAGGTCATTAACTTTTGTCTATATTGAAAAGCAGAATGTTCGGAAACATTACCAAACAGCCAATCGTATGATGATTCATACTGAGATGCTAATATAACACTAAAACTTTGTTTAGAGAGACCTTTTATGTTTTGTAAACTCCAAATTCTATGTGCCCAAGCATGATAATTATTTTTGGTAGTTAAAGAAGTCATTTCAGCTACTTTTAATTCATTATTCAATAACAAATGAGAGTGTTCATAATTCAAAAATGCGTTTGCCACTAAAAGAGTATTATCTTCCATTGCTTTTTTAAAAATCCATCTTCTTTGAGTAAAAGCCTCATTACATTTATTTTTATATGATAAAACTAACTTTGTAAAATATAACTCAGAATTTGCCGATAAATATCCCCTTTCTAAAAGTTCTTTTCGCATATTCCAATACGTCGTTACCTCAGGTTGAACCAAAACTGCACCCAACAACGACCTCTTTACCTTTTGTACTTCAGAATCTGATAAATTTTTCTTTATCAAATTTCTCATCTTCATCAAGTAGACTTTTGTATGTATAATAATATACTTAACTGCCCACATTTCCAACCCAATACTGTTGTTTTCGTAAACAAGTGGTGATGTATTCTTTTCATTATTCATAACGGGAATTATTGCAAATTCATTTCTGCACAAAGAAAGAAATCAAACGTTGACATAACCTCAAACTAATTACTTACAAATTCGGTTCTGATTCTATAATTTGACTTAATTCTATTAAAACTCGATCTACCAATGCTTTTTCTTCTTCCATTTTTGAGATATTTTAAAAACTCATGCACCATTAAGTTTATTATTTTCTTTTTTTGAACAATTAACCTCTTAGGCGTTTGAAGCTAGCTTCATATTGAAGTGTCAAAATAGTCTTAAAATTTAAGATAATTTTCTTTTTTAATTTAATTAAAATTTTTATAATTTTGGAAGAATTTTGAACCTAATTTGATTTTAAACAATTTAACTAAATTTTAGTTGTATAACAAAAAATAACTTTAAAAATACTACAAAAAATTTAAGTTGGTATCGCAAAAATCGTGCCACTTCAATGTGGCTCGCAGTTTAAATTTTGATTTGCTCATATTTTCTTTGTAATTCTAAATTTATCCACCGAAAAATGAGTGAATATATAACGATACAGGGTAAAAAAGTATTTCAAATATTATTTCCGTTTAATATAGTATTAATTTTTTAGTGGGACAATGTGGAAACCAAATCGGTTCCGAATTTTGGCCATTAGTTCTTCAAGAATACGGCATAACACGCGAAAAATCTAAATCAAAACCTCCTGAACAATCAACAACCTTCAATAGTTTCTTTCAAATTCATCCCGATTATAAAGGAGAGAGTTTTAATACCATTCAAGATCTTGTTGATAGTGAGGTTAAGGCACGAACTATTTTGGTGGATATGGAAACAAGCGTTGTTTCAAGATATAAAAATAGTTATTTACGTGATATATTTGATGAAGAATACATTATAGTTCATTATCCAGGTTCTGGGAATAATTGGGCAGAAGGTTTTTGTCATTATGGACCGAGATTTGAAGAAAAAATATTATATAGCATACGAAAAGCTGTAGAAAACTGCGACAGCCTCCACGGATTTTTATTAATGTATTCTTTAGGTGGCGGGACTGGATCGGGAGTTGGAAGTTACATCTTAAAATTATTGGATGATCATTTTCCCCATATTGATCGATTTGTAACTTGTGTTTACCCAATTGGTACTGAGGACGTTATAACTTGTCCTTATAATATGGCTTTAGCCACGAAAGAATTAATCGAACATGCAAGTTGTGTTATTCCAGTCGAAAATCGAGCCTTAATTGATATCGTGAAAAAACAAGCATCAAATACTCATTCAATTGATACAATGAGTTTTGTTGCCGGCTGTAAACCATTTCAAGATATGAACAGTATTATTGTCAATATGCTATTAAATTTAACAAGTGGATCAAGATTTACTGGTGATTTAAATGTTGATTTAAGTGAATTAGTTACTAATATGGTTCCATTTCCAAATTTACCATTTTTATCATGTGGATTAAGTCCTTTAACAATCACTTCATCGAATAATAAGTAAGCTAAATTATCATTTGATTTTCCAAGTCTTTTTTTATATGTTTTTAGAATCAATTTAGAGGAAATATTTCTTCAATCATCTAACCTAAATAATCAATTAATAAAAATAAACGCATCAAATAACCAGCTCCCATTAACATTAGGTACAACTTTATTAGCTCGAGGGGATTTATTTACAATTTCCGATATGCGTTCATTCGTTGATCGGTTGCAAAGGAAAAATTGTTTTACTTCATGGTCGAAACAAGCTATTAAAATTGGTATGTGTGGAGTGGCTCCGATTGGACATCGGGCGAGTATGATGACTCTTTTTAATACTACCGCGATAAATGGACTTTTGGGTAAAGTGAAATCAGATTTTACGAAATTATATCAAAAACGGGCGCATGTTCATCATTATTTGCAAGTGGCCGGCTTTGAAGAAATCTTTTTTGAGGAGTGTTTAGATGTTCTTTGCGAATGTATTAAATCATATCAGGATATTGAGAATAGAAGTATGGAGAATATTAAAGTTCCTAGATTAATACCAGAAAATTAATTATTTTTGATTAAAATTTTAAATAAAACTGTTTTTGAGGTTATTGATTAATTGATTGAGTCTTCTCCAGTCTCTTTGTTAACACTATTATTCCAGTAACTCATCTGTTGCTATTTTATTATTTCTTTGCTCTGTGGTGATGGGGATAAATATATGATTTAGATCCCCAAATTGTCCACATTAGCAATCTGGATTAGATCTTAATCCAATTCTATTGGATCGTTGGTTATATGCCTAGAGAATTTATATTATAGTTTTTTCTGTAGCCAGTGTTAAGTGCATTATCTATGGTTAAGTGGCTTTCTTCAAAAAATTTGGCCTGTATAGATTGCTGTCAGTTTTTGAGGTTATGTTTATGACGTTTATGGATTAACCTGATAAACTTGGTTGTGTAAAAGAAGTTGTATAATTTATTTTTAACCAAAAATGATTTTTTTTGTAAATATAGCAAAAATAAGTTTAAAAAACGTTTGATATATCACAAATAAATTAAAAGAAAAAATTATATAATTGTAAATATTAACTTTTAGGATCAGCTGTATAACGTCAAATAACGCATGCGTTGACATATTGATTACAATACAAACAAATAATCCCAATACAAATTGATTTTGGGAAAAATCATCATCAAATTATTTAAAAAATTCTTAAAAAGGTGGTTTTATAATTGAATTTTATCAAATTAAATTAAAATTATTGAAAAGAAAAATCCTTCGAATTGTATCGAGCATGCGCAAGAGTAGCCCGGTTATCGGTGGCCATGTTTCGTTTCTGTCACGGTCAGTGTAGGTGAGGTGAACGCAAACGAATCTTTGACTAACAATTTCAAAAGCAGTCGTTAAACATTAAATTCCGGCCTGAAAATGGCAGGAAATACGGGGATGGAACAGCTAATCCCTATAGTGAACAAATTACAAGATGCGTTCACCCAAATTGGGGTGAACATGACGATGGATTTGCCTCAAATAGCCGTTGTGGGCGGACAAAGCGCCGGGAAGAGTTCCGTTTTGGAAAACTTCGTTGGCAGGTTTGTTTTCTTATCATTTTCATGGAATCCCCTTTAACAGGACTTTGTCATCCTTTTTTTGCTTTTCTTTAACGGCGCGTTTCGGTGTCGTCATATTGATTTTCTTCAATAAGTAGGTGACTGACATAGATTTACAATTTTTGGATTTTCCTCTTGTTTTTATTCATGTTTTTTCTTCCTTTCATCCAAATGATTGTATGTTGGATGTCTTTTTTTCAGGGATTTTTTACCCCGAGGTTCCGGAATCGTCACAAGACGACCACTTATCTTGCAGTTAATTAATGCCAATACAGGTAAATAAGTTAAGATTTTTTCCTGATTTGGAATTAAAGCATTTAAGAATGAATCACTAATAAATGATAAGACCTTTTTTAAGTATTTTGATAAAAGTTATCTAAAAGTGTTCCTGTTTTAAGTGGGCGGATGGTTTTTAGATAAATCGTATAAAGAAATTAAATTAATTCAACTAGAACTAACATTAGATCCATCTTACTTCGAACTTGTTTCTGGCTTTACCTGAAAGTTTCTAGTTCTGGGTCTAGTGATAGTGCTGGTGTTACTTCTAGTTTAATTAACACCAGCTGTGAAAGCCTCCATACTGATATTAAATTAATGTTTTTGTGATAAAAAAGAGTATACATAACCTCAATTAATTAATTAATAATTTAATAAAATTATAACTTAATTTACAAGAATTACGAAAGGATTTATACTCAAATTAGAACTAAATATTTATTTAGAATACACATATCTGTCATAGATGATAATTAAAATTAATAACTATAAATTAAAAAATTAATTTACCAGTTAGGCAACCAATATTGCATCTGTGTTGGTGTACATAACCTAATATTTATTTATTTTTCTTAGAATATGCCGAATTCTTACATTGCAAAGGTAAAAAATTCGTTGATTTTGATGAGGTTCGTCGTGAAATTGAAGGGGAAACCGACAGGATAACCGGAAGTAATAAAGGGATCTCAAATATTCCCATTAATTTAAGAGTGTATTCCTCCAATGGTAATTAGACAAAAATCGTATCTTCAAAATCTAATCGTTTTATTATTTTACCTGCTAGTTTTAAATTTAACATTAATCGATCTTCCTGGATTAACAAAAGTACCGATCGGTGATCAACCAGCGGACATCGAACAGCAAATTAAAAGCATGATTATGCAGTTTATTAAGCGCGATTCCTGTTTGATTTTGGCTGTTACCCCAGCAAACACTGATTTAGCCAATTCAGACGCGTTAAAACTTGCCAAAGAAGTGGACCCTCAAGGTAAACAGTTTACTTTTACTTACAAGTTGATTAAAAATCATTGTTTCTTAGGAATAAGAACGATTGGAGTTATAACTAAGCTGGATTTGATGGATGAAGGCACAGATGCTCGAGATGTTCTAGAAAATAAATTTTTACCCCTACGAAGGGGTTATATTGGTGTTATAAATCGTTCGCAAAAAGATATTGACGGTCGAAAAGATATCTCAGCTGCTTTAGCCGCTGAAAGAAAATTTTTCTTAAGGTATATTAATATTTTGTTTATTAAAAAATTAATTATTTATATTTTTTAGCCACCCATCATATCGCCATTTAGCTGACCGTCTTGGAACCCCATATCTCCAACGCATTCTGAACCAACAATTAACAAATCACATCCGAGACACATTACCTGGTCTCCGAGATAAACTCCAAAAGCAGCTTTTAACATTAGAAAAAGACGTTGAAGAATTCCGACATTTTCGCCCAGATGATCCATCAATTAAAACAAAAGCCATGCTCCAGATGATTCAACAGCTCCAAGGCGATTTCGAACGAACCATCGAAGGTAGCGGTTCAGCTCAGATCAACACTATGGAATTATCTGGAGGTGCAAAAATTAACCGTTTATTTCATGAACGGTTTCCTTTTGAAATTGTAAAGATGGAAATCGACGAAAAGGAATTGAGAAGAGAAATTGCGTTTGCAATTAGGAATATACATGGTATTCGAGTGGGGTTGTTTACACCAGATATGGCTTTTGAGGCGATTGTGAAAAAACAAATAGCTAGATTGAAGGAACCTTCGTTGAAATGTGTTGATTTGGTTGTTCAAGAGTTGTCTAATGTTGTTAGGATTTGTACTGATAAAGTAAATATAAAATTATTATTTTTGAGGTTATTTTTAAACGTCAAAAATGATTTCTTTACATTTTGAGGTTAAGTTGAATTTTTTTTTATTATTATTTAATTCTTTTTATTTAGATGGCTCGTTATCCCCGTCTTCGCGAAGAAACAGAAAGGATCATTGCTACACACATCCGACAACGTGAGCAATACTGTAAAGAACAGCTGGTTTTGTTAGTTGACTGTGAATTGGCCTACATGAACACAAACCACGAGGATTTTATCGGTTTTGCAAAGTAATCTTTAATAGGATTAATTAAATTTTTTTTTAATCACGATATTTTGTAGCGCTCAAAATCAATCTGAAGCTTCCGTTAAAACCGGATCGAGAGGACCGCTTGGAAATCAAGTAATTCGTAAAGGATACATGTGCATACATAATTTGGGAATAATGAAGGGCGGTTCACGTGATTATTGGTTCGTTTTGACTTCCGAAAGCATCTCTTGGTATAAAGATGAGGAAGAACGTGATAAGAAATATATGTTGCCGTTGGATGGGTTGAAATTACGTGATATTGAACAAGGATTTATGTCCAGGAGGCATATGTTTGCTTTATTTAATCCTGAAGGTCGTAATGTTTATAAGGTAAAAATAGTTTAAGGCGTAAGTTATACCAGTGTAATTGCTAAAGAATTTAGGTCATTTTTATTATTTTTTTTTGTACCATGAGTTAGGATTTTAGAGAAATATTGAAATTTTACAAACTGTCGGAGTTTTGAAGAAAAACGTGTTTAAAGTTGTAACTATTGATAAAATATTTACCATAAGAAATGTCACTTCGCTATTCCTGGCCTATATAATGGACACAAAAAACGGCTGCTGAGTCGCTAAAGCTTTTTTTCGAACAGTCGTACCCTCCTTTGATGCCGCTTGGTTACGTAAATTACCTTGATAAATTCAGCCAGAAAAAAAATAAAAAACAGCCAGAAAATTGGCAAGTTCGATAGTTTTGAAACCATTGTGGAGCAAAGTGCCAGAGCAAACCATTATAATTTTCATTATTATTGTTCATATTCTTCAGGATGTGTAAGTTTTTTCTTTTCCAATGTTTCACAACTTTTACAGTAGGTTGATTTTACAATTTAATTGATTATTTTTTTGCAAAATTTACCTGCAAGAGTTGTAACTCTGAAACGAGAAGTGTGACCGCGTTTTTTTCATATTCCAACTCCAGAAACTGTCAAATTTACATCTGAACCTTCTTTTTCTAACCTCCTAGCCTTCTCTTCGTCCACGGCGATTTTTACTCTTTGTTTATAAACTGTTTCAGCTGCTTTGGTAACGTTTTTGAAGCATCCAGCGAAGGGATTGTTATTGAATTTTCAACCCCTATAAGTCGCATCACAAACACTATTCGTCGATTTATTTCATAAGCATTGTTAATCATTGGTCCAGAATTTACATATGAAACACCCCACTCACACATTGCAGGAATTTTGAAAAAAAATCTCATCCTACTTGATCTACAGATAGGATTATCGTGAGTCCCTTTTTGATTTAGATACGAATTTCCACTCATTTTTGGTTACGCTCTTATGCTCTCTAGAATAGCTACTAATCAGTTATTCGAGTGTAGACCATTTATATTTTTTTCGTTAAAAATTCTTAAATTTTTTGACTTTTTATGACATCTTATTGGACGGCACAGTTCGATATTTCTGAGAAAAGCAGAAAAGCATCTAATAATAACAAATAATAGGCGGACTACACAATATGTGTTTTTGACTTGCGAGGGGTTGGTAGTTAGTATGACCTTGAAATTTTAATAGTATGTTCTTGAAACTACGATTTTTTTAAAATTTTACACTGGTATAGCCCCTTAAAGTTTATTAGAATTAATTAAGAGTTAATATTTTTATTTTTTTAGGATTATAAACAATTAGAATTGAGTTGTGAAACTTTGGACGAGGTTGATTCATGGAAAGCTTCATTTTTGAGAGCTGGAGTTTATCCGGAGAAACAAACAGACACGTTAAATGGAGAGGAGGTACTTATATATAATATTTTAAATAAAACTTTTATTAAAATATCATTTCAAACTCATTAGAGGTGTCGGGATAGTTTTGATTAACATTAAAAAAAATCTTTTTAAGGTTAATTTTAATCTCTTTTCTTCTTTTTCACATCACCAGGGAGAATCGTACCAGGTTCGTAATTCAACGCTTTAACAAAAATCCTTTTTAGACTTTCGCTTTGTGTGGGATTGTTTCTTTTCGTTCCATTGTTTTTGTTATGCTTAGTTTATTGTGTTTCAACTAGAACTTTCTTAGCAGAATGAATCTGGAATGAGCAGCTCGATTGATCCTCAACTGGAACGTCAAGTTGAAACGATTCGGAATTTGGTCGATAGTTACATGAGGATCGTGACGAAAACCACTCGAGATCTCGTCCCCAAAACGATTATGATGATAATCGTTAATACAGTGAAGAATTTTATTAAGGGTGAACTTTTGGCTCATTTATATGCGAGTGGTGATCAGGTGAATAATAAAATTTTAAATGATTTAATTTGAATTTGAATCTAAAAAATTTGTTTAGAATACGATGATGGAAGAGTCACCGGAGGAGGCCCAAAAGCGCGAAGAAATGCTTCGAATGTATCATGCTTGTAAAGAAGCGCTAAGAATTATTGGTGATGTCTCGATGGCTACAGTTTCAACGCCGGTTCCACCTCCAGTTAAGAACGATTGGTTGCAAAGTGGGCTCGATAACCCAAGATTATCACCTCCGAGCCCTGGAGGACCTAGAAAAGCTGCTCCTTCTATGGGACAAGTTGGAACTACCGGTAAGTGAGGAATTTGAGGATGAATTTATTTAATAAAACGGGCTGGAAATATTTTTATAGCTCAAAAATGTCGTCTTTCTTAATAATGTGTTTTGAATTCAAGAATGTTTATGTTTGGATTTTTTGGTAAGACAAACAAAGGTTTTGTTTAATTAATTAATTGTTTTTGGGGGGAATTAATTATTTATTAAAAAAATTACATTTTAATTTTTTGTTTTAGGTTCTTTAGGTTCATCGAGAGTTCCACCACTTCCCCCAACTTCCGGAAGACCAGCTCCCGCCATCCCTAACAGGCCAGGGGGTGGTGCCCCACCAATGCCTCCAGGAAGACCCCAAGGACAAGCTTTACCCGCTCCACTTATTCCAACGTAAGTTGACTTTTTCTAATTTTAATAATTTCTTTTATCCATTGGGTTGAGTTTATTTTTTTTTGAATATTTCTGTTGTTGGTGGTGTTTTTTTCCTGTTTTCTTTTTACAGGAGGCGTTAAAAATGTATTAAAATATAAAAAAATTAATGTCCGTTAATGCTCGTTAAACAAAATAGCGCTTCACAACAACAAAAAAATCTTACACACTGAATGTAGCTTAAAACAAAGAGTTAGTTCTAGTTTATTGTTCGTACTCGTGTCTCATTATGAAAGAAAGATAGTTTACAACAATAAAAATTAAATTAACCGATTTTTTGAATTTTAAGATGGTGCTGAAGAACAATGATTAAGTTTAATTTAATTTTTATTTATGCGCTTTTTACAATTAATAATTAAGAAAAGTCGGAAGAGAAAAATGTTTGTTTTGTGCATATCCGTTGTAATTTTTGACAGCCGTTTCGGCGGACAACAACAGGGTCAACAGCAAGCTGGTGGTGGGATTCAACTTCCGCAATCCGTACAATTAGCTGTGGGCCGAGCGGTCACCAATGCAGCCGTCAACGAACTCTCCACCGCCTTCAAATTCCACAAGTAAAAAATCACTCAAAACATAACTAATTATTGATGATTAAAAAATATAACATTTTCTTTCGCTTCTTGTGTTGATGAGTATGTAAATAATGATTGATGATATTAATTTTTTTTTTAGTAATAATACTATATATATACGTACTAATAATGTTGTAATTTGAAGCTTTTGTGTGTTTGTTTTTGATTCTTTGTGTATGTGCTGTTAATTTTTATGTTAATTGTAATATAATGACACATTTTTGACGTTTAATTTTTTGACATTAGCAAAATGATAGAGCCATCTATGGAGCATATCTTAAACTTTAAAAATGAATTTATCATTCCAAATTAATAATTAAACATTCCATAATTCTTAGAAAAAGCATCCCTTAATTTTAAAAATTGCATTTAGAAACAGCACACACACGAATAATCTCTAATACTACAATCTTGCGAGAATTATCAATGTCTTTTGGTAGATTATAAAAAGAATCTCATAAAAATATTAATCTACTGTTTGTATATTAAATATTAATGAAAGAATTATTATTAATCAAGAAAAACTCGTTTTCTCTTAATATTTTAAAATTTTATTTTTGACATTTAAAACAATTATTAATTGAGAGCCATCTATTGAGTAAATTAAAAAAAAAAGATTCATTATTGACAATTTAAATTTCTTTGTAATTATTGATATAAATAAATATCGATATGAGTTAATTAAAAGGTATAAAATAAGTGAAAAGGAATGAATGAAAAAGCTTGTTATAAAATGAAATCGATGACGAAAAATAACGCATATCAGATATACAGTTGCTCACAAAATTGAGTATACAAGGGAATGGAAGATAATTGTGAATATTCCCATGTATACTTAATTTTGTGAGCAACTGTATAGCGTTGATGTTTTTTATTTTTTGGTATTGCTTCTGCTAAAAATAAAAAAAGATAATTGTAAAGTTGTTGAAATTAAAATAAAAATGTAGAAAAAAAAGTTTTCATTAAAAATCAACTAGATTTAAGTCAATTATTGACGTTCTTCAAATATAAGATGAAGAGAAACCATGAATATAAATGAAAAAATAAAAAATGTTGTTGAATAATGCACCCCAGATAATAATTAATAAGAAACGTAGACTATTGTGTAGATAATGCACGAATTAATATTAATTTTTTTTAAGAATGATGTTAATAAAAGTATGCAGAGCGAGTTTAAAAATGTTTACCGCAAAATTTGATTTCTTATAATTTTTTTTAATGTATTAAAAAGTATATATTTAAATGTGTAAATATAGAAATTTAAAAATGATTGAGAAATTAAATTAAATTGAAAACTATTTTTTTTTCTTATTTTGTTTTATAAAATTATTAAGGTTTATTTACATAAAACCCAATTTAGGTGAATTTGTGTTGATTTTTTTTATATTTTTTTTTAGTCGCCCCGTGCCTAATATTCCCCCCAGAATTCCGGACAGGCCTTTTCCTGGACGACCAAACTAGAGACCTAGTCAATTTTGCATCAAAAAATTACATTCAGGGGCACCACAAAAGAATTATTCAACTTTTTTACTAATAAGAACAAAATTTGTATTTTATTTGTGATTTTTTTTGTTAATTCCTAACTTATTTGGTGTCCAAAAGCGGTACAAAACTAGTCTTTAAATATGAGGAACGAGTATTATTAGTTAAATTAGTCTCATTAATAATTTGTTTAATATATTTTTTTTTGTTCAATTTAATCCAAATTTTTTCTTTTCAATTTGTATTTATGTACATAAAACACTTATATAATATTATTTTTCTTTAATTAATAAATTAAGTTTTTTTACATAAACATTTTTATTATTAAATTCACCTTTTGCAATAACTATTTTCATTTCAATTGTATATAACTCATTTTTCAATTTCAAATGTATAACTTGGTTTATCATCTAATGGATACTGTTTAGGTAATTGCCCAATAAACATTTTACAATCTTCTAACCAATAGTAAATGGCAAAAGTTCCAAACATGACTCCTAAAAATTGGAACCATTGAGTACTCATAGGTACACGAAGTCTTGCGGAGACGTCATAACGATCTTCGCCAATCATATCAGCCTCTGCGTGTATCTAAAATATATAAGTTAAAATAAAAGGGTTTAACTTCAAAATAAAAAATTACTGGTTCGTTAAAATTTCGTTTTAATTCAGGAAAATCGTATGGATAATACGCATCCTTTGATTCAGCCGAAACGAACGGTAAATCCGGGTAATCTCCAAGTCCTGTTCCATCGTCAGGAAGCGGTTTATATTCTTCCGGTAATAAACCATATTTAGCTGCAGCAGCTTTCCTCTCTTTCTCAGTTTGAGGATAAGCCATTGGCTTATAATCCTTATTCCAATCTAAAATTTGAAATGTTTATGTATTTTTAAGGTTAAGTTAGGTTAGATTACATAACTATCAATTGGAGATTTTTAAACATTTCAATTTTAAATTTAACGTAGTACTTACGATTTCGAATCGACGTAAATAAAATTGGATTGGATTTTAAGCATAATTTTGCTAATTTATGGGTTTTTATTAACGACATTTTTACCAGTTGTTAATGACAGATGTCAAAAACTTTAACTTTTTAACGTTGGTCAACTTGATACCAACTAAAACAATTTTTAAGGTTATGTTTTAATTTTTTCATTTTTTGTAATAAAAATTATAAATTATTAAAAAATTAAAAAGGATTATCTTTAAACCACTAAATTAATCAAATTATAATCATATTATTTAAAAAAATCTTAATTCCTTAAAGAAACCACGTGGGATATCATAATTTTTTTTATTCTTTTTAAATCTTCATGAAACGTGTTTTTTTACAATTTCCCTTCCTTTATCACCGACCTTGTAACCTTACACCATCTCTTTCCATTATAAATACGGCTTTATCGTCTTTTATTACCAATTGCGGTTCAACTTATCCTTTAACAACCACAAATTACTCTTCAATTACTCCTCAAAGTCATCCAATCATGTCTGAAGCCGGAAATTTAGGTAAATAACACTTTTCTTAATTAAAATCTTGATAAAATCCACGTCTATTTCAGTGTTATTGTCGGTTTCTGATAAAACCGGCTTAATACCATTGGGAAAAGCTCTAAATGAGCTTGGTTTTACGTTGGTGGGAAGCGGGGGAACAGCAAAAAGTTTACGGGAAGCTAATTTACCTGTTAAAGATGTTTCCGAAATATCTGGAGCCCCGGAAATTTTGGGTGGAAGAGTTAAAACTTTACATCCAACTGTTCACGGAGGAATTTTAGCCCGGTAAAATTTTTAACCCCTAAATCTCAAAAAAAATTAATAAAATATTTCCAGATTAATTCCCTCTGATCAAGAAGATCTAAAACGCCAAAAAATCGATATGATTCGCATGGTTGTATGTAATTTATACCCATTTGTTGAAACCGTTTCAAAACCGGAAGTAAAAGTACCCGACGCGGTTGAAAATATTGATATTGGAGGTGTAACTTTATTAAGAGCTGCTGCAAAGAACCACGATCGTGTAACTGTTCTTTGTGATCCAAAGGATTATGAGAAAATTATTGAAGAAATTAGATCCTCTCCAAACAAAGATACAAAAAAAACTACCAGAGAAAAGCTCGCCTTAAAAGCTTTTACTCACACCTCAGAATATGATTTGGCTATTTCCGATTACTTCCGAAAACAATTTTCATGCGGAGAATCTCAACTAACACTTCGTTATGGCATGAATCCCCATCAAAAACCAGCCCAAATTTTTACAACATTAGAAAAACTCCCGTTAACAGTTGTAAATGGTTCTCCAGGATTCATTAATTTATGTGACGCTTTAAACGGTTGGCAATTGGTGAAAGAATTAAAAACAGCGTTAAAATTACCGGCTGCTACAAGCTTTAAACATGTTTCACCTGCAGGGACTGCGGTAGCTGTTCCTTTAACAGGGGATGAGGTGAGAATTGTATATTATTATATGAGCATATAATGAGGGCTATTATTCACTAAGGTTAAGTTAATTAACCTGAGTAAATTGAAATTGATTCCATAAATATATTTTTTTAAATACATTTTTGAATGAAGTTTAAACGTCAATGTGACACAAATTCAATGTTACCAACTTCACAACAATTTGTCAAAATTAAATGTCAATTTTATGAAACGTCATGTTTTTTGAAAATTAATTTATGCTTAAACTTAAATCATATAAAAAATAGAATTTCTTTACGTTTTTTTAATGTCAAACTTTTAAAAAGTAAAAAAAAAATTAAATTGACTTTTTTGAAATTTTGACGTTTCAAATAATTATTATTAGTCTGTCAAGTCAACTCATTTATAAGGTATATATTAAGTCGTGGACAAAATTAATCAATAATTTTATAAATTAAAGCTGTAAGGAAAATTACTGAGTTGCAAAACTGTTATTATTAGGGGTTATCTCATTTGTTTTTTTAAAGATAGAGATAATTAATATGCATTTTGAAAAACATCTTAACCAATACGTTTTAATGATTGGTAATAATTATCTGGTTATTTTTAGATTTTTAAAACAACAAAAATTGTTTTTATTAAAATTTATTAAATTAATTATTATTTTTTAAATTAGGCTAAAGTTTGTATGGTGGATGATTTAAAAGAGCACTTAACTCCGATGGCAATCGCTTATGCTCGAGCTCGAGGTGCCGATCGAATGTCATCGTTTGGAGATTTCATCGCTTTATCTGATATTTGCGATTACGCAACGGCTCGTTTGATATCCCGAGAAGTTTCCGATGGAATCATAGCGCCCGGTTACGACCCGGAAGCGCTTGAATTGTTAAAAAAGAAAAAAAATGGTTCTTATTGTGTCCTAAAAATCGATCCCGATTACATCCCCGACCCAATCGAACGCAAAGTTTTATTCGGTTTAACCATGGAACAACGCCGAAATGATGCTTTAATCGATAGAAGTTTATTTACAAACGTCGTAACAAATAACAAAAATTTAACGGAAGCTGCCGTTAGAGATTTAATTGTGGCTACGATTGCTTTGAAATACACTCAAAGTAATTCAGTTTGTTACGCGAAAAACGGTCAAGTTATTGGTATTGGAGCTGGGCAACAATCCAGGATTCATTGTACGAGATTAGCCGGTGATAAAGCCGATAATTGGTGGTTGAGACATCATCCAAATGTGATGGCAATGAAGTTTAAAGCGGGTGTGAAACGAGCCGAAATATCAAATGCAATCGATAATTACGTTAATGGCACAATTGGAAAAGATATGGACCGAGATGTATGGACAGCAATGTACGAAGTTGTTCCCCCAGAGTTATCAGAAACCAATAAAACCGAATGGATCAAGAAATTAAGTGGGGTCGCTTTAGGTTCTGATGCATTTTTCCCATTCAGGGATAACGTCGATAGAGCCCATTTGGTAAGCTTAAATTTCTTTTTATATTTTATTTTCTATTTATACAGGGAAGTCTTAAAATTCATTTCCACTAGCGTTAAATTCGAAAACCCCTTTGACATTACTTGGAAATCCCTCAATTCCTTTGGAATATTTGGAAATCTGTTGAACTCACTTTTGTATAAGATGGCGATCACAAAATTGGGTTTTATTTAAAAAATTTAAATTCTCACATTTTCCAACCTTACATCTCCAACTTTAACCCCTCAAAAAACAACAAAAAATAAACAAGCCAATATTCATTAATCAAAACCATCATTTTTATATTCTTTTCACAATCTACGTTAAAATCCCTTTAATTTAACTCCAAACTCGATAAAAATCGGTTATAAACAACCCAAGATATCAATCAAAAAAATGTATTAATTTAATTTTGTTTTTCGATTCTGTTTTGTTTTTTATTTAAAAAAGATGACGTTTTCGCCATTTTTGAAGATAAATACGCCGTGGTTGGTGTCGCTTTAAAGGATTTTAAATTTCCTTTCGAGTTTTGGATATTTTAATCGATTTTTTTGAACTAATATTTGTTGTAAATTTAATTTTTAATTGTTTTTGAGAAAAAAAAAATATTGGACCCCATCGTCGGAACATGATATTATTTCTTTTTTTTTTTTTTAGAGTGGAGTTACATATATTGCAAGCCCATCAGGTTCTACAAACGATGCTGACGTAATTAAGGCATGTAATGATCATAAAATCACTTTAGTTCACACCAATTTAAGATTGTTCCATCATTAAATAAATAAATAAAATATTTTTGAGTACTTGCATTTCTTTTATTTTTTTCTTTCTTGGGTTATAGATCAAAAAAATCTTGATTTTCCACCATCGACTGAAAAATAATGGGATAAATTAATAAATAATATGTTATGCACCCAAATAAAGATAGACGAAGATAATTATATTTCCTTGTTAATAATACCAATTTAAAAAATAAAAACAGCAGATATTCTCATATTATAATGCTTAATAAATCTAATTAAACAAAAAAAACTTTAAAAAGTTCTGTACAGTGCATAATTAAGCATATTAATGATTAATTTGAGGTAATCCGAATTCATCCACTGGAATACCATCCTAAAATAACCCACATTGTTACCTTTAAAAATTAATTGATCAAAACTTACTTTGTTCTTTTCCGGCTCAGCTATTGGTTTAGTATCTGGGGCTGCTGGCGCTTTCAAAACATCATCTAAATAACTAGCATCATCATCGAGGGCGATTTCATCACCCAAAGCATCCAATTCGGCGGCTAATTCATCCTCATCAACTTCCGGAGTGTTATAAGTTCGTCCTAAAGCTTCTTGGACTTCATTTGCTTCATCTAATAAATCAGCCATTTCATCTTGGACATCCTAAAAATAAATCTTATTACAAAAATATTTTAATCATCACATTTTTTTTACATCAATATCATCAATGTTGATTTTTTTAAATTCCTTTTTCATTGCTTTCATGCCATCCTTCATAGCGATGACCGTTGCATGTGTATCTTTTAATGTTTGATGAGCAAAATTTGCTTGTTCCATATTAAACGATTGCCCGCGTAAGTTTTCAAGTTGACTCTCGTACATTTTCTTCTGCTTCAAAACTCGCAACGCTTTCTGTTTTATCGCGTTTTTGGCCGGACCTTCACGCATTTTCGCCATTTGGTCCCTGTACTTGCGTAAATCTGTTTCCAGCGCATTGATTTTCTTTTCTACACCCTCTGCCCTTGTATCAACCTATATTTAATGAGCAATACACGCTATTAGTCATCACTCAATGTCTTTGATTGATTAAAATTAGGTTATCTTTAGAAAAATAAAAAATTCATATTTACCCCAGTGATACAATCGCTGATACTTGGACCTGGCTCTTTTGGTTTACCTTTTCCGAATAATCTATTCATTTTTAATATTTAAAAATTACAATATACACCAGTTTAATGTTAAAATGACAGTTCTCGTAAACATAAATGACAACTTTTTGTAACTAATTTCATATCGAACTTTATCTCATATTTATGTCAAAATTGACGATAATGTAGATTTCTTTAAATTAACCTCAAAATTAAGTTAAATATTTCAAATATATTTTTATTATTTCGTTATTTTAAAAATGACGGCAAATATTGAGTCTGGTGTACAGTTATACGCGAGAATTCGCGAAAATTCAATACCTACAAAGTTAAAGTACCCGATTTTCGAAAATACCGTTGATCCCAGTGATTTAATTGAAATTACCGGAGATGATAAAGCTGGAAATGCGTTAATTTTGGATTTTATAATTCAATCAATAACCCCTGAAGAATACGGCGGAAATGGAACGAATACAATTTTTGTAAACACCGAACATCAACTTACAATCCCAATTTTTATAAGGGGGTTAAAAAGTTTCATGAAACATCACAAAATAGAGAATGAAAGCTTCATAGACGATTGTATGAAAAACTTGAGCATTATAAATTGTTATAGTAGCGACAAATTAAAATTTACGTTTATGCATATAGAAAGATTGTTGTTGGAAAACATTGAAATTAAGTTAGTTGTTATCGATTCAATGTTTACTTATTATTGGATGGATAAACCGACTGTTGGAACATTGACAAGTTTTCAAAAGTACTGTGCTAATAACATTAATTATTTATTAAATGTTATTAAAGATCTAAATGTCGTTTTGATTTGTAAAAGTATTAATAAGAATTTGAAATCAAATTACAATGGATCTAAACGTAATTATATTCTAAATATCTCGGAAAATGGAGAAAATATGTATAAAGTTGAAATATTTGAAGATGGTGTTTCTAAAAATCAAATACAATTAGAAGTAAAACCTTTTGTTAGGCTCTCTAAGTAAAAAATTTTTGATTATGTATGCAAACCAATATACATGAAGTTATTTGTTATAAAAATTTATTTTCAAGCCAAGGTCATTATAATTGAGATATATTTAGTTTATTAATCTTTGTTTATAACGGGTGTTGGTTACATTTGATTAAACAAGAAGTGAAAAAGCTAATAAAATGTTATTTTTGTTATTAATAGTCTTATTAATTACATTAATTTACTACAAAGTTAAACAAAAACATTCTCATTGGGAGAAACTTGGTGTAAAACATTTAAAACCAACGTTTTATTTTGGCAATTTCGATCGTGTTATGTTCAGAATGGCATCGTTTAATCAGGAATTGATAAGGGTTTATGAATCATTTCCGAATGAAAGGTTGTTTTAAATAATTGTTTGTAGCTTTTTATCATAATATCTTTTAGGTATGTAGGAATGTATATGTTTACAACGCCTATTTTAATAATTCGTGACCCCGAAGTATTAAAATCGGTTTTTGTTAAGGATTTCGAACACTTTGTTGATCATAGACCGATTGTGCCAGAAAGTGCTGATCCTATTTGGACTAAAAATCTATTTACATTAAAAGGTTTTTATTTCAAAACTTATTTGTAATAAATTTTATTTAATTTTTTTGCTTTAGGAGCAGCTTGGAAAGAAATGCGTTCAACTTTAAGCCCGACTTTTACATCAAGCAAAATGCGACTAATTTTTGTTTTAATAACAGAAACCGTTCAACACCACATTTCTTATTTAACTGATAATAAAGTGGATAAAATTGAATTAATCGATACATTCGAACGATTTACAAATGATGTAATAGCTTCGGTAGCTTTTGGAATAAAATGCGATTCAATAAACGATAGGGACAATGAATTTTATGCCATGGCAAAAAAATTTACTACAATCGGTTTTAAAGAAACTTTAGTTTTTATAGCTTACTCATTATTTCCAATGATATGCAAATATCTAGGGTTAAATTTATCACCAAACGATGCTAGAAAATTTCTTTACGATGTTATAGTTGAAACAATAAAAATCCGTGAAAAAGATGGAACGAATCGACCGGATATGATCACATTATTGATGGAAGAAAAGAAACAAAGAGAAAAATTGAACGAAAAACCTTTAGGAAACGAAGAAATTGTGGCTCAAGCTTTTATCTTTTTATTTGCGGGTTTTAACACCGTCGCAAACGCTTTATCTTTTTGTATTTACGAATTATCAAGAAATGAACAAGTTCAAAGGAAGCTACAACAAGAAATTGATGAAACATTAAGTAAAAACGGAAAATTAACTTACGAAAACTTAATTAAAATGAAATACATTGACCAAGTTATTTCGGAAACTTTTCGGTTATACTTACCAGCTTTAGCCTTTGATAGAGTTTGCACAAAAACTTACACAATTGAACCAAAAAGTCCTTCAGAAAAACCTTTAACATTAAATCCGGGCGATTTAGTTTGGGCGGCCATTCCAGGTTTACAAAAAGATAAAAATTATTTTCCAAATCCCGAAGATTTCGATCCGGAACGGTTTGCTGATGGTGTTAATTCATATGCTTATATGCCGTTTGGAATAGGACCAAGAATGTGTATTGGGGCTCGATTAGCTTTGATGGAAATCAAAACTTATATTATTGAGTTGTTATCAAGATACGATGTGACTTGGATTCATCCTGAACCAGCGAAATATAGCAAAAAGTCTTTTGAATTGAGATTTGAGGGAAATGTTTGGGTTCAATTAACACCAAGAATAAAAAAATAAAAAATAATTTTTAAGAATGGTTTATTTTTTTCAATTTTCTATAAAACCATCACTTTTAAATTAGATACTCCATCTATTCATTCAAACACAAGAACTTCACCTTTGTTCATAGGGTGTTCTTTTCCTCCATAAGGAATGTAAATCGTGTTGTGACTATGATGAAGCTTTCCTATAGTTAAAGCTCCATTATGCTCTGCTCTTCCTATATAAAGATCCTCATTGGAAGTCTTCCCTCCAATAACGGCATTCTTGGGAACTTGGTCTCCTTTCTGCCATGATACCCACTTAAATTTTCGCTCACAAAGAATCTAAACAAATCAAGTGTTTACAAAATGAAAAAGATTCGTAATTGTTTTCGATTTACTTCAACTTCGGGAACGAGGTGTTCCTTGCCGCTATAAGCTATGTAAGCAGCTTTTTTTGTTGGCATAACTTTAGCCGGAATGACATCGTTGTTATAATTAGATTTCCCGATGTATATCGGACATCCATCGCTATCGTTTCCTCCTACAACTGCACTCTTGACCACATCATCAGGAATATTGTCAACTTTACACTCTCTCCAAACGAAACCTGCGAAATCTAAAACAGGGTTAAAAAAATGCAAAATGTTTTGAATTAAACAACAAAAATTGAAAAAATTAAGATTGATAATAATAATTTACCTTTCTCTGCACTCATTATGGATTGTTGTAAAAACCTTTTGGTTAACGATGCAAAGGTTGATTTACAATTGATTCCATTGCAATCCCTGGATTCATTTTATACCCATTTTCACGAAAAAAATGTGAATAGTAGATAAATATTACAGTAGTAGTTAATATTGATAATATTATTTGTTAACACATCTATATTTGTTCAGGATGAACCTTTATTTATCAATCAACAATAAAAATATCAGTGTTGAAAATACCAAAAAAAACTAAAATAAATTTTGAAATAAAATAAATTTAAGGATTTATTTACCTCTACCATAAAGGCACAATGATTCTTTTATGGAGTATTGATTATTAGTACTAATAATGACTCTTTTAGATACTGCTGGCTTATCTTTAGCTTATCCGGTAATATTTATTCTTCTAACAGTTGTATATAGTCTTCTAGAAGCTGTGCCTTGTGTCTAAAAGTCGTATCTAGTCTTCTACAAGCAATATCTGATCTTCTGGTAATATTTACTCTTTTAACAGTAGTATATAGTCATATAGAAGCAGTTTCTACTCTTTTGGAAGCAGTATCTAGTCTTCTATAATCAGTATCTGGTCATCCGGTAATATTTACTTTTCTGCCAAAAGTATTTTACAAGCAGTTTGTTGTATTCTGGAAGCCGTATCTAGTCTTCTGGAAGTTCTATCTACTCTTCTGCAAGCAGTTTCTAGTTTTCTTTTGATGCATAGCTATCATGAATCTATCGCTCTAGAAATTGGAGCTAGCGATTGAAACAAGGAGGAGTCAAGAGAAAATTTTTTTCATCAAGTATTTTCTACCAACAGAATCACAATTCCTCTTTGGGTCTAGAGATAATTGGACAACGTAAGAGTTTTTGTACAATAAATAACTATGCATTTAAATAAATATATACGCATTTATATGAATGCATATAATGCATATATCTTCGTCTGGAATATCTTCAGCACCGCCTGTGAAGGTATGTACAAACATTAATTAATGTTTGTAAACAGAACTAACCTTACCTAACATTCCTTCACGGTTTAATTGGCATTTCAAAAGAAAACTTCACGCTATAATTGGCATTACTAATTACTAAAGAAAACTTCACGCTATAATTAATGTTTGTAAACAGAACTAACCTTACCTAACATTCCTTCACGGTTTAATTGGCATTTCAAAAGAAAACTTCACGCTATAATTAATGTTTGTAAACAAAACTAACCTTACTTAACATTCCTTCACGGTGTAATTGGCATTTCAAAAGAAAACTTCACGCTATAATTGGCATTACTAATTACTAAAGAAAACTTCACGCTATAATTAATGTTTGTAAACAGAACTAACCTACGTAACATTCCTTATAAATTAATATGCATTTCATAAAATATAAATACACCTACGTATTTGTATTTAGTATTTTATTTATTTAATGTAAATAACATAAAAAATAAAATGATTGACAGTTTTCTACGAAAAAGTAAATGTGGTATGTAATAAAATAAACAAGAGATTTATTTTACTTATCTATTTTTTTAATGCCTATAAAATAATAATCGCAGAACTAATAAAATTAGTCAGACCAATATTGATAGTGATAAGTGATAACCTTTAAACAACTTTTCAAAAACAACCCACAAAAGTGCAGATACAGGCAAACCAGGGTTCCGATTAAAACTGCAGATGTTTTCCCTCCAACAGCATTAAAACGTGGAAATTATAGCGATGGAACCGAAATTTAGGAACTGATAATAGATCTGTAACTATTGGACCATCACAATCATGGTTCCATTTATATTCCATATGACGGAAAGTTATACAACCCAATTCACAAATTTGCATAAAAAGTTACCTATCTTTTTGGGACAACCAATTTTTTTATTAACGAAAACAATTTTGCAATTCGCATTTATTAACAATAAGATTTATTTTGATTTTATCAAATTTAATTTTGAAAGATTCGTTATAATCAGTGTTGGTAACCGTTAAAATGATAATATCCCTGAAATGGATACAGCCACCGCTCCTCGGCTGTCAACCTTGAGGAATGGTATTGATGTTTTATCAAAACGTGTGTGAATGCGAAGAAACAACGGGTAATTTAAATAGGGTGAAAATTGTAAATAAAATAATATGCCGTTAGCTAATTCGGTGGAACCATGGCAAATCCAACACGCCGCCATAGAGGTAAGCAAAAGCTACGACTTAATCCGATTGCAGGAGGCAGTGCCATATTGACGTTTTTACTTTTTAATAATTGTTTTTATTTATTTTTTTAACAATTATATTATTTTAATTTGCTAAATGGCACGCGATTAGCAACATTTTTTATTACAATAAAATAAATTATAAATTCGTTACAATTTTTTTAATTTTATTTCGTTTCCGTTATCGTTTTTTATTATAACTCTTTGTATGTTGTTCATTTTTGCAGCTATCGGAGTGTCCAGGCCCCTAAGATTTGTTTCTGTACGTAAATTTGATCACATTTTATTGTTTTCTTTTTTTTGCCAAAAACAAAATATTATTAACTATAAAAATAAAAAAAAAGCACTACATTTCGCATTTGCATTTCTCCTTTAATGTTTCAAAACGACAATAATAGTAATGATAAAATGTAGTTTCTCCTTGTTAGACCTTGTGCTATTTGTTGAATGTCCCAGCAACAGGTGCTCTTTTTGTCTGTGGATCAATAATTGGAGTGATTCTTTTTTAATTTCATTTTGTATACAAATCCTATCTTTTTTTGAGGTACTATGATTGTTGTTATTAATAATCACTCTTTTAAAACATCCTGTATAGCACCTTTTGTATTATACCCCCTCTTCTTTAATTCCTTTTAAATGAATAATAAAATAATTCTTGGAACCTTTTTTGTTGAATGAAATTTTTGGGGACATTCACATCCCACATCCTGGTTTCGATCACCTTTCTTTTTTTTGTTATTTCAGTTCTTGTTTAAGCCTCTACAAAAATGCCTTGTATTACTTCGAATATTATAAAAAAGGTAATCTTAATCAATTGAGAAACTATATTTTATTTTTAATTATCATTACTCTCTCATTGTTTGCACAATTTAATATCATGTACTTATCATTATTTTGCATGAGTTTAACATTTAAATGTTTTCTTTCTTTTGTGGCATATAAGCTTTTTTTTCTTTTATTCCTTTTTTATTTCTTATAATTTCTTAATAGTATATAGCAAATTAATTTTATACATTAATTTATTATCACTTATCGTGTTAAGAGTTTTATTATAAGAGTTTAAAAGTGTTGATTAGATAAATTTAAAAAAACATACCAAGTTCAATAAGATAGCAACATATGTATACTTCCGATTGATTTCTTAAATAAATTTGTTATTTCGTAACCTCAAAACAGGAAAAATTACGATAAAAACTAACCACAGAGTATTTATAGTGCAGAAATGAACATATTTCAATTCTTAAGGTTATCTTGTCAAAATTCATTAAAAATTTGACATTTATTTTAAACGTCAAATGAATTCGAACGATCACAGATCATTGGTTGGATTAACAAGATGGACGATTATATTATAACCTCATTATAACCAAAATGACAAAAATCTTTAAAAATACTAATAATAATATTATTAATATAAATACTAATAATAATTGCTATCTTTTAAAAACCTAAAATTACTATCAATTTAAATAATAAAATCACGCACTACATACATTATTATCACATTTTAAAAATCATAGAAACGTTCTAATTTGCAGTCACAATCTGGAGATGGAGATGATATTCCCAATTCAGATGATGGTCCATCGGAAGGTGAACATGAAATTGAATTGGCCGAGGCAAGATCACTTTATTATACATCTATAGTACCTGCTTATTGATTTATTTAAATAAACTTATAGGTAGTACGTAATGGTCACGAAAAAGCTGATCCTTCCCAATTTATTTTGTTAAAAGTATTAGGAGAAGGTTCATTTGGGAAAGTATTTTTAGTAAAAAAAGTGATGGGTGCCGACACTGGAACGTTATATGCAATGAAAGTTTTAAAAAAAGCTACATTAAAAGTCCGAGATCGGTATCGATCGAAAATGGAACGAAATATTTTGGTTGATGTGGAACATCCGTTCATTGTAAAGCTTCATTACGCGTTTCAAACCGAAGGAAAATTGTATTTGATCTTGGACTTTCTTCGAGGCGGTGATTTATTTTCAAGACTTACCAAAGAGGTTATGTTTACAGAAGAAGATGTGAAATTTTATTTAGCAGAATTAGCGTTAGCATTGAGTCATTTACATTCTTTGGGTATTATTTATCGGGATTTAAAACCGGAAAATGTTCTCTTAGATTCCGAGGGTCACATTGCATTAACCGATTTTGGGCTTTCAAAACTTCCAGTTGAAGAGGGAAAAACTTATAGTTTTTGTGGAACCGTTGAATATATGGCTCCGGAAATTGTAAACAGAAAGGGGCACTCATTCGCTGCTGATTGGTGGTCTTTCGGCGTTGTAATGTATGAAATGTTAACCGGATGTTTACCATTTCAAGGTACAACAAGACGAGATACGATGACAATGATTTTAAAAGCGAAATTAGGAATGCCTTCGAATTTAAGTACGGAAGCTCAGAGTTTGTTAAGAGTTTTGTTTAAAAGAAATCCAGCGAATCGTTTAGGTGCTGGACCCGGAGGTGTTGAAAATTTAAAAAAACACGAATTTTTCGCTACAATTGAATGGGATGCTTTATTTGCAAAGAGAATAAGACCACCTTTTAAACCAGCAGTGCCAATGAGAGGAAACGATGCTTGTTATTTCGATTCTGAATTTACAAGTAAAACGCCAAAAGATTCTCCAGGAGTTCCAGCAAGTGCAAACGCAAGGGAACTATTTAAAGGGTAAAAATGATTTAAACATTTTTAATTAAATAATCAATTATAAATTTAGGTTCAGTTTTGTGGCGCCTTGCCTTTTGGATACAGCACCACCATTAATTAAAAAAACAGAACCTTCTCCGCTACTAATTGGAATAACAACAACCAGTTTTTATGAAGAATACGAATTGCAAAAAGTTTTAGGTTCGGGAAGTTACAGCGTTTGTCGCTTGGCAAGACACAAAGCGACAGATCAATATTTCGCTGTAAAAATCGTTGATAAATCATCGTGTAATTGTAAAGAAGAAATCGAAATCTTGTACCGATACGGACACCATCGTGGAATTGTTTCTTTAATGCGCGTTTACGAAGACGACGAACGTGTTTTTTTAGTTTTAAAATTATTAAAAGGTGGTGATCTTATCGATTATATGGTCGCGAAAAAAAGACTTCCCGAACATGAAGCTGCCGCAATTCTAAAAACTTTAACGGAAACTATCGCTTTTCTACATGAAAATGGTGTTGTTCATCGAGATTTAAAACCAGCTAATATTTTATTTGCTACTGAAGATAAAGATCCAAGAGGAGTTACTATTTGTGATATGGGATTTGCTAAACAAGTAAGTATTATAGAAAAAAATAACTTTATTATTAAGAATGATAATAATTTATTGTCTCCAGAAGATTACAATATTAAAAAAAAGGAATCCATAACTAATCTAAATCCTTCTCCTTTCCCTAGCCTCTCTTTCCCCTATGTCTCCTTGCTGCCATCACCTTCCTTCATCACCTCCTCCCTCAACTCACTACACTCCACCAGCAGATGGTGGTGGAGACTCCCTGTCATCCCCACGCAGCCTCTCCTTATATTGCATCCAATATCTGTTGGCACTTTCTTCATTCCCAAATCTAAATCTGGCTACCAACCTCTTCCCTTCCTCATCCCCCTCCGTCATCAGGTACTTTGGTAGCCTCTCTAATACAATTTCATTATATTTTGGATTGTACCTGCTTTCCCTTATCGCCGTCCCATAACCTTGTTCGCCCTAACTTCATTATTAATTTTTTTTTAATTAAGAAATTTAATTATTTATGGATTTTTTAGCTTCGTGCTGATAATGGTCTTCTAATGACTCCTTGTTACACGGCAAATTATGTCGCCCCTGAAGTTTTAAAACGTCAAGGTTATGATGCGGCCTGCGATATATGGTCTTTAGGTGTAGTTCTTCATATCATGCTTTCTGGCGAATGTCCCTTTAACAACGAACCGGAAGACAGCCCCCAACATATTTTACAAAGAATCACATCGGGTTCTTTAAATTTCAAAAGTAAATCGTGGCAGAAAGTTTCGCAACAAGCTCGAGATCTCGTCTCGGATATGCTTCACGTTGCCCCACAACGTAGGCCATCGGCGAGTCAACTTTTAAAACATCCCTGGGTGAATCAACGGACGACATCAATCAATGTTAATCATCATCAAAGAAATTCTTGTGATTTATTAATGGATACAGCTTCCGCTTCTGCGACTGGGCCAAATTTAAAAGAAGCTGTTGAAGCAACGTTTAGAGCGATTGCTACATCACCTCAGGTTGCTCATTTGGGACCTGTTGCTATGTCTGAATTGGCTAGGAGACGATTGAAAGATAAAGCAAGAAATAATTTACAACAACATTCAAATGCAATTTAATAAAATTGAAAAAAAAAGAAATTGAAACATTGAAGTTCGTTTTTTGTGATAATTGGGCAGAAAAAGAAACGTCAATTGTAGCATATCATGCGATTCAATCCCTCATTTCTCGTATTTGTTATTATCTGATGAGCTTTAAAGATTAAATTAAAATAAGTAGCAATTAAAAAAATGAAAAATATTAATTAATATTATTATAAAGATGTACAAAGATATGTACAATCAATGATAACGATTAATATTGCTTTTTTTAAGGAATAAAAAAAAATTGTACAAAAGAAATTCCTATTTATATTAAATAATTAATTAATAATAAATTAACGTTGATGTTTGATTATAACAATTTTTTTCTAATTTATTTTAAAGTTAAAGTAGATTTTAAGAAAAAACTTCTCTTTCTTTTCATTATTGTGATGTACAACTTCATTCCTCAAATCTTTTAATAAAAAGTCTCGCTTTTAATGTTAAAAAAAATTAATCAAATAAAATTAAAAATCGCTTTTGTGTGGATACAACTTAAAAAAATCTTAGCCCTACTGTATACGTATTTTTCTAACACGTAAGGAAATAATCAAAGAAAAATATATACATAGAGTGCATTTATATTTTTTAAATACCATTGCAAGACGAAGAGTTCCTTAATTTATTTTTATTATTTTTTTAAGTTTCTTGGAGATCTTTTGTCTCTGTAAATAATAAATATTGTCGAAAATAAAAAGAATAGGAGTAATACATAATATTTTTGCAAAGTTAATTACAAAAAAACTCGACCTCATCACAAAAAATGTATATTAACAGTACAATCCTCTGTGTGCCATGTTCCGTGTAATTAATGTTCTAAAAAAATTGTTCAAATCAATTTATTAAAAAAAAAAAACTAAAACTATCTCTTGAGAGCTGGTCTCAATTTATTGTCTCGTTCTTTTACGGTTTCAAAAAAAATGTTACATCTTGTATAATAAATAAAAATTGTATAGTTATATAAAGAGTTACGAAAAAAATCAAATTTGTTTTATTTATACAATAAAAACATTCATGGTTATACTCTTAATTAAATGTTATAATACTTTGATGATTAATCATCGAGATGAAGCCAATGTGTGGGATATTATGTTCTCCTAGCGCATTGAATTAATTGATTGTTGGACCTGAAACACGATAAATGTTATTTAATACATAAAGCAATTAATATTCATGTTGAATTTCAACATTTACGTTGTTAAAGTCAAATAAGTCTTTTTAACGAATTTCACGATAACTATTTCAAGTTAACTCAATAAACGTTTTTTGGTCACTGAGCATGAAATCAATTTCCAAGTACCACTTCCAAAAAGTTATGTCCAATATTCTCCACATATTTTTTTACTTCTTTATTACATTTATTTAAACTTTTATTTTTTGAACTGTTGAACCAAAACAACCTTAAGCTTACTTTTCTGCAAGACGGGTTGCGAAATAGATTTGTTTTAGTATTAGAAATGAGGAGATACATACTGTAGTTTTAAAAATAAATGTTGATATTGCTCTGTACAATTTATTTCTATTATAACCTAATACATTTGAATCCATTAATAAACATATTGAAGGTTTGATGTCAAAACAATTCAAATAATAATGTAAATTTTAACACACAGAAGCCCACAGCTTACAGTTTTATAGCTAATTATGTGTATACATTAATAAATACATAACCGCGGGTGTAATTAATTTAAACGTAATCGAACTTTGATTCTATAACGGTGATTTAGTTTATTACTTTTTGAAATTAAATTATTATAAATTTAATAACATCTAGTAAATCTTGATTGAACCAATAAATATGATCCATACAGCAAAAATAAATTTGTGTTTCTAAATCTAAATGCTTATTCACAGCCGTTTACCGATAATATTTATCGAGTTGTGCGGCTCTTATTAGTTTCGTTACCAAAAACTATCATTACCGTTCTCATTTAAAACTCCATTAAAAATTTTTTGGTTTATTTTGTAAGATAATAACTTCACTTAACCTCTTCCTTTTTTTAATATCAACAGCAAGATCGATTTGAACGTATCCATTACTAATTTTTAGTAACAATAGGAAACTTTACAATGTAAAGAAGGAAATATTTGTTGTGTCACGAGTAAATCAATCCGAACGTAATCGTAAAAAACCGCAAAACTTCAACGAAAAGTTACGTCTTTCGCGTTTGAAATTATTTTGGGAGCGAGGTTTCGTGCTACGACAAGCTTTTCACCTCCGACATGTCGTAAATATAAAACTTGGGTTTACGAGATTACCCACGTCAACTGTTTGAAATCTCATCGACGATCAACGCGTCGGCAACAATTTTTCCGATCTTTTCGAAAAGAGAATTTCATTGGGTTAGATTAGATAAGAAAGTTATTTGAAAATTGCATAAAGAAATTAAGTTAGTAAAGAAATAAAGAAGTAAAAAACTTGTAAACTTGACGCCTCGTTAATCTTCGCAAATTGCTGTAGTAAAGTAACTCGAGGTGTGTTTAGGTGTTACAACGTCTAATATATCATCATGTGATAAATTATAGGAGTAGGTAGCTTGAGAAGACTAAAACTGATTTAAAAAAAAGTTATTTTAGTTTGTTAAGTTTAATAACTAAAATCAATAAGTAATTTTAAATTTAGTACTATTTTCAATTTTCTATTACACCCACCGGGTACGATAAAGCACAACACAATCTTGTAAGAATTGATCGTGAAGGGAGAGTAAAAGGGGTGCAGTGGAAATGAGCTTGAACATGAACCCAACCCTATTGTCAAAAGCTATTTACCGAAGTTTCTTCGACAGAAGCACGCCCACGCCTGTCACTCAATTTTTCCGTGCTTTCTGACCTATTATTAAAGAAAATGGGTGTGATGTAAACGTGATGTCTCCGGAAATACATATTCTCCCACCTCTTTATTTTAAATCAAAGAAACCCTCAAAAACCAAGAAGAATTTTTCCCCTTTTAAGAATCCCAAGCGGAATTTTAATGACGATCTAAAATACATAAAAACGTAAAGACAAAAAACGTTGAAGCATAAATTTAATATTACAAATAGGAGTTAATCTATAAATGTCGCGAGTGAAATTGAAGTGAAAATAATTTAATTATGCACAGACAACACAGTTTGTTAAGTTTTAAATGGGAAATAATGAATGGAAATTCCTAGGAAATGGTAAATAAAGGTGATTGAATTTTCAATTTTGTTAAGTTTGAATGATTAAATCAATTAATTAAAACAGTTTTGAGATAAAATTTAAATTTATTTTAATTAACTTGGAATGTTTTATATAAACATTTATTTCTAAAACTTTCAATCCAATTTTAACAACTAAAACTAAAACTAACATTAGTACTAGAACTAATAGTAGACCTAGAACTAGAAACATTCGGGTTTAGCAGTAATAGTAATTTGTATGTTAGAATAAGTTGTAACACTTTCAATTTGACGATTTAGATGTTAAAATTTATTCTCAGTCAAAAATTAAAAATTATGGAAAGAAACTTTTTGAATAAAAAATGTTTTAAATTAATCTAGAAAATGAATGGTGTATACGATTTTCTTCTATCAGCGATAATCTCTAACTTATGAGACTTCGAAGCTGTTAAGTAAAAAATATTAAGGTACATACCTGAAGTTTCAATGTCCACGTCCATGATAATAACTTAATAATTCAGTTATGTTGAATTCTAAGTGTTTTTTATCACCTAAAAAGATCAGTTCTTTTGAGTTCGAAATCTATCGTAAGCTTAATCTTTTTTATTTCAACATAAATCAAGTTAATTGCGTTTAAGGACTATAATTACATAAGTGTGCCACACAAGATTTACTTATTCACATTGCGACGCCGTGCTTTCTCGATTACAAAGTTAGTAATTAACTAACAAACCGTAGATCGTAAAATTTAACCGCACGGAATTAGAATGAACTGAATTAAATTTAAAATTTCCAACGAAATAATAACTTGAATACAAATCAATTTTTTTTCTATTTCTATTCGACCTGACATAAAAAGGCACTTCAAGTGAAGCACGAATTAATACCGTGAATTACGATTGGCACGGAAAATAGGGTAAGGTGAAAAAAGGGTGCGCTCTCTCGAATTCCTGTAGCGTCCATAAATTCTAATTGACCGTGTCGGGTCTCTTCGTAGGACGCATTAATATTATAGTAGGACGCCGCAGTGGCTTGATAAATTCCGATGGCACATTGTATTGAAAGGGACGTTAAAACCGAGTTTGCTATTGAACGGAACCAAATTTCATGCAACCAAATCCCCCAATTTACAAGCAAATTTCACCGAGATTATTAATTTTGAATGAGAAAATTTAAAACAACTTTTATTTTTAATATAAATCTTTATTTTATCATTTATTATTTAATACTGATAATCTTTTTGGGAGTACATTTATTTTAAAATTTACACTACAAGATTTTTCTTAATTGTTTTAAACATATCACATTTATTATAAATAATTTAATTTATTTTTTTGATAGGATTTCTTTATTTTTTTGTGTACTACATTTGTGTGCGCAAATTTTCTTGGTAATTATATGATTCTCCAGTTTCTTTACATATATACACATAGATTACATTTAATGTTAAATATTAATATTATTTCAGAATAATAAAAAAATGGAAAGCGACTTTTTTAAAATAGTATTCGAAAGTCTCGTCGTTATTAAATTTTAATTAATTTAGTAGGAGTTTAAGCTTTATTAAAATAATCCGCGATTTTAACCAGTAGCTACATTGGAAGTGGAAAATTAATACTTGCAATTTTTTTATTAACTCAAGCATTTCAGATTTAAATCAAATAAGTCGCTGGTTCCATTTTTTTAATTCCTTTTAGTTTTAGCGTGGATTCTAAACACTAATGAAAAGCGTGAGGTTCCCCACAATAAGAGATCATTACTTTAACATGATCATCTCGATTCGAACGTTTTTACGTTTATATTTAAGATTTCACCTTTGACGCAAACTCTTTTTTTAAATCTTGTAAACAAAACTTTGGACTTAAAAAACTGTATTTACCTTTAACACCTTTTTAACATTACAGGTTTTTAATAGAGAAACTTTTAAAAACATTTCAACATCCGTTTAAAGCGAAAAGAACTTTTTCATTGTCAAAATGCACGCGGAGAGAGTTGAATTGTGGTGAACTTTGAAAGTTTTCAATTCGAAATGGACCCAAGCGGAAGTGCGAAGCTTAACATATGACCCTCTCCAAACAGTTCAAATTGTGCAATTCAACACTCTCTGAGTTTACTTGAATATAACTCTAACTGCAAATAGTTTCCTGTTTGTTACATTAACGTTACATTAAAATTTTCTTCTCAGTCTTTCTTTTTCTTCAATTCATATTTCTTTTGATACATTTTTTTTATAGTTCGATTACAATTTCCACACCTAGAAAGATATCCAAACGTTTTCCACTCGACTGATTCAACGAAAGAATTCGCTTTTCGTCTAGCCAATGACGTCAGCGATTTTCGATTTCTTTTCTGGAGAGATCTTTTCCTTTTACTCACTAAGACTGCGGACTTAACGCTTGTCCGTCCGAAAATCCCGTTTCCCCTTTTTCTACTCTATTTTCGTTTGGTTAACCGGATTTTTCTCTTATTATATTTGATTTTCGACGACGTTATTCGGATACCGGACCGATTTCCTGTAATTGCACTGGTTCCCCGCGATTGTGGAACGCATCATTGAAGCGGAACGAACTGGAACCTGATGGTGTTGATGGTGGTTGTTTGGTTTTGATATCCGGCTACCATTCTGTCGTCTCATGCTTATATAGGTAGTGCATGTGTTGTCTCGATTTAGAAGGGTTGTATCCGTTCCTTCTAAGCCTATAAGAATTATTTTCATCATATTTCTATTAATAAAGATAAACAATTATTGATATTTATTTTATCGTTTTTAATATTTATTAAAAAAGTGTTAAAACATTATTGGGATTGGTTTGGGTTGGGTTAAAATTAATTTTTTGATGTAATTCTTATAACTAGTAACTGGAAAACTACAAAATTGTTTAGAACTTTGTGTTTAATGGAACACCCTATTTACAAGTTGTTAAATCCAAAAAAACTTTTGAAACTTTTTTTTTAACTCAATAGGTATTATTGGAAACATTAACTAGAGACAATTTACGCTAATTATGGATGAAATTCGATGACACAATCGAGAAGTTCGCAAACCATTTCACGACTCTAATAATGCCATTGTTGAATATAATGGCTTTTGATTTCCCTGACCAAATCAATGTTCACCTGAATCTCCTTTAGAACACCCCGTTTCGTATGCAAGATGCATCTTCTCCTCCTATAATTAATTCACTCAAGTTAATATTCTCTATTATTGAAAGTATTTTAATAAAAGTACCATTTTAAAAATAACTTGGATACACAATTTAGTAATCTGTATATTTATATTCAAAGTGCAACTTGTATTATAAAAGATAAAGGGAATAACGGCTGTGGATACTCGGATCCGTTTCGAATTTACGGCGTAGATGTTGTAGAAATGGATCCCTTGATAATGTATAGTTGACCTAAAGGGGTCATAAAGGTAACGTTTTGCAATGAAATTTTATTACGTCATCGGCTAATACAAGATATGGAAGAAATAGAGGGATTATATTTTTATTTAAGAACATCTAAAATGAGATAATCAAAAGAAATTGAATTATATTTTTAGCATTGCCATGATTTGATTGTATTCAGGGGAAGAGTTTCCGGATATTTGGGATAATAAAATTGGCCACACTGAAACTCTGTCCATGTCACATGAATATGGATTTTCAGTTGTCCATGAAATTCAAATTTTCATCTCGACCAATGTAGCACAAATTCACTCTTTTTTTTTATCAAAAAACTTCCCAATTACGTTTTTTTTGGTAATTGTAATCAAAACTGACGAAGGATCATTTACAAATTATCCGTGAAATGAATCAAGTTCATCGAAGTATGTTATCTGTAGTAATTAGAAACCGTTTCGATTATTTAGGTCGTTATCTGACGAGAGTAAATCTCATCCCCGGGGTGAAATTGAAGCAAAAGTGGAATAGGTAGTGAGTTATTTGATCCAGAAAATGAAGCAAAATAAAGCAGTCATGTGGATAAACTGTTGGTTGATTGCTTACTCTATATAACTGAAGCGTTCAATTCCGATTTAAATGTATTAATTTAGCAACGATTTTTAACCCAACCAATATTTTCTGCGTCGTATTAATAATTTTTAATAAAAAACTTAAACAGTAAATAGATAAAGAAAACATGGATCACATAACAAACATCAAATTTGTTAATAAAAGAAACTCTGTACATACTTAAACTTACTTGTCAGCGGTAAACTGGTTGAAGATTTAGAACGCTTCGACAACGAAGCTATACATTTCCGACAACAGGGTAAAGTCGACAAAATCCCTGCTCGAAACCTGCTGTTCATATAGCAGTATATTATCGGATTGTAACAAGCATGTGAAGTTGCCAAGGCGTGGACCGTGTAGAATAAGTATTTTTTTACGTTGCGATTTTCTATTTCTGAATTTACAATCTAGAAAAAAAAGAAAAAAGTGTTTTAAAACTAATAATCTAAATAAAAATTTCATGTAAAAATGTTTCTTTTATAAAAAATCTTTTCATCAATTAATTTCAAACATTTGAAAATTAATTAAAATTGAATACATAAAATTTTTATCGTGTAAAAGATATGAAGTAAATTGTTTATTTTCAATTTTGTTTATATTTTAAATTTTAATCCATGATATTAAATCTTGTTATTCATTTATATCATTTGTATTGATAATTCAAGGGTATAACTCAAGAACTAAACGAGATGGAGAAAAAGTTTTTATATAAAAATTGTGTGTCATGAATCAAAATAACATATTCCATGATTTGTATCGGTATAGTTATCGCCATTTTTTAGATACAAGGCAAGAATCCTCAAAATGCCAAATTTGACACTTTTCGTTAGATAGATAAGAGAAAAGATAAAGTGGCATGGCATGTTTTGAGTTGCACATCCCAACGTTAGCTATCTCTTCCTGTCTGTATTAATGCATATAAAGCTGTATTTATCTTTGATGTGTACCTATTCATTTTCATTACACCTATCTATGTATAATAAGTGATGGTTATATAAGATGATCTTTATTCATAACATTTTCTATTTAATGAGTGGGAATTTTCGAAGAAACCGTTTCGAGAGCAAAGTTATAATTCATGATACAATTCGATTCGCGTCATATACTCGACGGAACCGGGGTATAAATAAAGTTTACCACGTTCTGCGACGACAACGTTTCATATCGGATCAATAGCCATTAAATTTTGGACGGCTAAATTCGCCAAAACGTCGTGTCATTTATGGATCATACGAGCGATATGCATCAGGTTTAAATTTTGGTAAATTTATAACGTTCCTCTTTGATGTATCCATTAGATCTTTTTATTCTTTATTAATCTTTTGATGATAAACATTTTTTAAAAAACTCATATATTTTGGGAATATTAAGTTTAATGCTTTTAAAAGAACCAATTTAAACGTTTACTGCTGATTGTATCGCTTACTTTCCTTTGATAAATTCTTTTTGGTGAATTTACTGGTGTATTTTCTTTTATTTACGTTATTTACTTACCCAATACACGTTGAATGGTAACCAACAGATCGAATAAACCAAAACCACCGCAACCATCATTCTAACCGTCTGAAAGAAAAGGGAAACGATTGATTAATTTTTTTTAATTAAATTCCTAAATCTAATCTATTTAAATCCTCAAAGTAGGAAAATCAACAAACTCTCACCAGGTTTCCCACATAGTTACAAGTAAATTTCATTAGTAAATGGATTTGGCTACTTTAAAAATCTCTCTGAGTTATGCGTTTCAAGACAAATTTGATTAGGTTATTGATTATTGAGGTGTTAAATTTTATGGTACCGTATTCTGGTTTTTGTTGAATACAAAATAAGACAATTTATTTTAATTGAAACACCACGTATTGCATTGCTGATTAGATATGATTGTTTTATTCTATAATAGGGCGACGTAAGTGGCCCCAAGGTACTCTCAACATTGTACAGTGGTCTATTTGACCTGCAAGGAGTGTTTAATTAGGGTTATAGTTTGGTATGTTTAGTTTCGCAAAATTAATTTGGGTACACTTTATACAATACAGCTACAATAGATTTATATTTGAAGACCGAATTCTTTCCCATTATTATTTATATGTTGTTATAATTCAAAGAATCGCTAATGTTCTAAATTGACGTTTTTGGGTATCAAATTTTGTTGTAACAAAAAAGCCAAAAATGCTAGGATGAAAATTGCTTGTAATGCATCAACTAAAAGTTATTCGTAAGCGATTATAACCCAACTATGACTATTACCAACCTAACAGACTTAGAATTCCAAGCATAGCCCACAATTTCATAGCCTTAATTATTATATATCGTAACATTTGTAACCTTATGCAGAACCTTCTCATGTCATTGCTGTTTTAGTGTCCCGAGAAACCTTCATTACGACTTCGGCACATTTTCTAATTTAAAATGAAACTGTCATGTTTAAAAAGATGGAAATGGAAGTAATAAATCTCTAGAATTGAACATTACTCTATGCGTTTTGCTGTCAAGTCTCGGAGTCAAGCCAAAGCGAGTTCATAAACATTGAAAACTAGAACAGCACACGAGATATGAGGGACACAATAAGCTGATATTAAATGTTCTTATATTTCCAAATTTAATTTGTTAATAAATTTTACCTTAGCTTACAAGTTAACTTATTAAAATTGCGATTTTCAAATTTTATATTCCGAATTGGGCATTTCGATTATCTATAAATCATATAAATTCCATCCAACGATTCTCTTTTATAGGCGATTCACACCAATTTTATTACCGCATTATTTGTGGATGTATTTAGGGTAATTTAAAAACCCGTAAATAGTTGATTTGAAGGTTTTACGAACCTTAAATATTAAAGTCAATACAAAAAAAAAGATAAAGTGCAAAACAAAACTATTAACTATATATTATGCAGAGGAAATCTTAGGAGTTTACCAATGTGAATTTCGATCCAACTGATCTACATATGTGAAAGTGAATACTGGAATTATCAACCGAAAAGCAATTTTATTTATTAGTTTTATTACATATAAGTAATAGTGATATTCTGTTCAAGCTAGTTTAGGTTGGTAGTTCTGAATCAAAGTTTCAAGTTGTCACTGTCAAATTGACAACCGATTTTAATTTTTAAAAGTTTTACTCTAAATTGTTATTTTGTGTGGTTTTGGTGTGTTTGAGGTGTTAAAATCAACATTATGTAATTCCCCAATTAGTTTAATCATGCACAGTGTAAATAGTTAAAACAATAACGGTAAGATTTTTTAGGTTTATTCATAATAATTAGGTTATGTTGATTGATATTATTTATTATTTGCGACCTTTATTGATTATTGATTATAATTAATATAATTGACATTCAAAATTCTATATTAGGTGTTAATTTGTGCATAAATTGTCCATAATCTTATTCAAAATAATTAATTGGGGTTATTGACTATAGCAAGCATAACTAACCTCACTTAATTAAGCAAAACAAAAACAAATTAAAATAGGCTAAATTATCTTTTTCTTCGCGATTACATACGATAAATATATAATATTTGATCAAATTTTATATTCCGAATTGGGCATTTCGATTATCTATAAATCATATAAATTCCATCCAACGATTCTCTTTTATAGGCGATTCACACCAAATTTATTACCGCATTATTTGTGGATGTATTTAGGGTAATTTAAAAACCCGTAAATAGTTAATTTGAAGGTTTTACGAACCTTAAATATTAAAGTCAATACAAAAAAAAATATAAAGATAAAGTGCAAAACAAAACTATTAACTATATATTTCCCATTAAAAACTCTAAACGGACGCATTGGGATGATAAAACGAGATATTTGGTTCAAACTTTTATTGATTGGAAGCGAGTTCTGACACACCACATAAAAGGGGATGAAATTGAAATCGAATCCCTTTGAAAAGGTAAGAACTGCACTGAAAAGTGAAAAACTCTTTTAAGTTTTATTTCGTTAACCGGTAAACAAACTGTTAATTTACTGGAGACGAGTAAGTTTTCTTTAAAGTTTTTTTTTCAGTGTTCTGTCGTTGCATCGTCTTCGTTGTAATTTTATTTGAGTTAGTTTTAGCCGCGAGAGAAAATCTTTTAATTAAAAGTGCAATTAAAAAGTTTGGTCAAGATTCTATTTCATTGTTACCGCTAATTAAAATCTTCTTGTTTTCGAAATGTAATAATAATAATAATGATAATAAAGTGAAATTTGTACAAAACATCTCAACATAAATTTTCTTATCGAGACCTATTAAAACTTATCTATCTTAACGATTACTACTTAATTAAAACATTGCTAAGTTGTGGGTTTATTAGACCATTTTAGTTTCAAGTACCTACTTTATAGAAATTAATAGATGTTTCGACCTCGATAAATCTTAATAAGCTCGTTTAAGTGTGGACCTCCGTTCTTGATGAAGATCCGGCTTGTTCCCACGTGTTAGATTATTGCCGGGATTTGCAGATTTAAACCGGACGTTGACGACCATTTAATATTAGAGCAGCATCCGTAGAGTTTCCGACGGTAAAGCTTCAAGATTATCAACACACGTTATTAAGTTTATAATTAAAAAAAGTTTGTTTCGAGTACATCAAAAAAATGTGTTAAACTATTTTAATTAAAAAAGATGAAAAGTTTTCGAGATTTTCGCAAAACTTTGAAATGAAACCTTTCGCTTTTTATAGAAGTGGAAATATCCTGCGGAAGTGCACTTAACGATTTGAAGGGGTTTGTCCAAAAAGGTTGGATGATTGCGTTACCAGTTCAAAAGCAATATTTCCCGCGCATATAACTGCGTTAAAATTTGAAATACGCCGCGTCGTTGGTAATCACACCTTTTCAAACCTGAATAGAAGCAAATTTTTCTTATAATACCAATGTGATCTACACTTCATCTAAAAACGGTGGAGAAACGAGGAGTTTTATTGAGATGGATTCCAAAATCTGAAATTCTAGTTATTTAATAAGTTATTTATATCATATGTATCACAATTAACAATAAATGAACAATAAACTTTTCTCTCTAGATTTTTTGGTATTTTTGTTACAACAATATTTGTTATTCAAAAACGTCAATTTAGAACTTTAACGATTCTTTGGGTTATAACAACATAATATATGAAATAGTTGAAAAAAAATTGTTTATAGATTATGTTTTTATGATTTGTTATGAACAATTTTTATTAATATCATTCTTCGCAGAGTTTCATTGAGACAGATTCTAAAATCTGAAATTCTAAGAAGTAATTTCTATCATGTGTATAACAAGGAACTTATTAATTATAAAGTTGTCGTAAAACTTTGCTTCCTGTCAATCAAAGTAACCGAGCAACAAAGTTTCTTTATAATTATTATGCTTATTATGTTAAACTTTTAATAAACTTGGTGCATAAGAGAATTCTAATTTAAATTTTGATTTAAATTAAATTAAATTTTTTAAATTCGGTGTGGAAGAAAACTAGGTTTCAAATCTAAATCCTACTTTATCCAGAAACTACATTTTGTCCACATTACATCCACGGAGATATCCACAATCCTTCTCCGCAGCCAATAAAAGAGGATTTACTGTGTGCGATACAATTGAATCTTATCTACTTACTTCTCTTCTGACGGCTTACTTTACTGGGTTCCGTGGAATTATTCAGGATAAAGTAGTAATTTTTATTTAAAACCCAACAATATACATTGAAATTTCAAATAAAAATCAATACATCTCGGATATTTTTAACATTTCAGCATTTTTATTAGATATCCCCAGGGTATTTTATAAACAGAGAAGTAGTTTGCACGTCAGCTAAAATATACAAGTTAAAATAAAGTATTCCAGGCGAAATATTTAACTTGAGATAATCAAATAATTCAGAAACCATTTCATTCAGAAGGATTGTCAAAATTGAAGAAAATATGTTTGTACTAGACCTAGAACTAGAAACTTTCGAGTTAGAAAGAATAATAACTTAATAAGGAACAACTCATGCCGTAAATTCAATATGAAACGAGCATCTCATTTTCCTTTCTTCAGCTGTTCTAAAATTAGTGTTAAAAATTTTTTTGACGTCAACAGTTAAAACGAGAGGAAAATTAAAAAAAGATAAAATTCTTGGAAATGAACAAAAGTGAGGAATTTGTATACAAAGTTGCTGTTGCTTCGTCGATTAATGGGGTGGACCCGAAAATTTGAATTTCAAAACCGATTACTCCGGGCGAATACGATTTGCCGCCGTTTAAATTTTATTCCGGTGATATAAACCCCCCTTTTGAGCTTATTATTGAGCTGCAAATCCGGATGCAGTATTCATGAAGGCACCCGAATCGAAGTCGAACGAGTTCGCGAATAGTTTTTATGACATTTCTACGAATACCTTTCGAATACAAAATTGAACGATAACAAAATTATGGCATTAAAAGAATTGTAGAAAAGTTAAAATTTTAATATTTATCATCAAATTTATTTAAAACCCAAAAAAGAAAAAGAGGTATGAATTAGTTGATCACTTTCAAGAATATCTAAAGTTTCTAAATCAACCTACAAGAAGAGTTTAGACTCCTTAAACAAGAAAGTAGGAAGCTCTCGG